GGGGGGGGGGGGGGGGGGGGGAAACAAAACGCGGGCAAGTCGATGAGCAGACAAGAAAGGGAGCCAAAGCGTCGCCGTGCTTGCTGCTGCTGCTGCTGCTGCTGCGTTGTGCCTTCCTTCGCGCGAGGAAACACACCATTCTCTCGATCCGCGTCCTTCAAAGCCCCCGATGAGCGGCCCCCCCGCCCAAAGTCTCGCAAGTCCATCGACGCCGATCCGATCGGTCTAAACGTGCGCGGAGGGCCGCTGAAGTTATGTACATGCTCGAATACTTATGTCGTGTTTTCGTTTCGTGTACGTATATCCAGGGGGGGGGGCGATCCGATGCGATCGTGTGTATCTCATGGAGAAGGCGTTTCTTGCGACAGGGACTCGATCGCCCCGGGGGGCTTTCGAAGCTACTTGGCCTCCGCTCCGTTCGGGAATGAGAACGTGTACGCGCACTTGGGCTTGCGCTTCTTCGGCGTGATGTCCATGTCTGCCTCGTCTCCAGTCTCGTGGCCGTTCTCACCCTCTGCGCGCCTCTATGTCCATCCCATCGACTCTCTCCCACCCGTTACCTATTCCCAATACCTGCGTCGTCGTTCACCGGTGGGCCTATCGGCCCCCCTTCGAGCATCAAGTACAGTTTCCTCCCTTTCCGCTAGTTTTTGGATCGTGGGACAATTCCAAGCCGAACGTTGGTCGGTGAGAAAGAAGTGTGTTCGTTTTCTCGCAGTGCTTCACTTTGCTCGGTCCTGATGAACACACCACATAAGTACGTGGAATCGTCGACCGTGAGTTGCCGAACACACTCGTATGCCGGCAGGACGTGTCTTTCCGTTGTAACGTGTGCACTTGTGCCGACGCGATGCTTCTCATCCCTTTCACGATACTGCTTTATTCAGGCAGAGAATCGTAAACGGAGGCAGTCATGCCCCACTCATTATTGCTTTCCATGCCGAGAATGTGTACGCCGACGCGTCATTCTACATGCATGGTGTATCCCGGCGAACCCTGGTATAAGTACGACGTGGAGTGACTCGCAGTCAACTGTATCAAACGTGCCAAAGAATGCTGCTATTCACTATCATCGATCAAATGTTCCCGCCCAAGGCGAAGTGGACGCCGAAGGACATACCTGCATTGGACGGGAAGGTTTTCATCGTGACAGGTGGCAATACAGGCATCGGAAAGGAGACGTGCAAACAGCTTCTGCTGCACGGTATGTGCTGAAGTATACCTTGTAGATCGACCATAGCTAACAGATATTAGGAGCCGAAGTTTGGCTGAGCGCGCGTTCTGAGACCAAGGCTGATGCAGCAATTGCTGACCTCGAGCGCGAAACTGGACGGCGCGCACAGTTCCTGCAGATGGATCTCGGGGACTTGCCCAACGTCAAGAAGGCAGTCGAGGAGTTCAAATCGTTCGTTACATCCTCTCCGCCCATGATGGTGATTCTGAACGAATACCGTAGCAAGCAGACCCGCCTGGATGCTTTGATTGCCAACGCCGGCGTCATGATACCACCGATTGAGCAGTTGACCGCACAAGGCTATGACTTGCAGTTCGGCACGAACGTTCTAGGTATTTCGGCCATTTCCACTCGTGGTGTTCAGCTCTAACATTGCCGGGTCAGGTCATTTCCTACTCATCGAGCTGCTCTTGCCCCTCCTTCGCTCAACCGCAACCTCTGCGCAAGACTCGTCGTACCGCACCCGAATCGTCTGGGTCTCGTCGTCTGCACCGTATTATTTCAATCCTCCAATTCGGTACGACACCCTCACCGACACGCGCCAGCGCAAGAAACTAGGTAGGCTATCTGTCATCATCGTCGTTTCAAAAGTTGTTGCACACTTACCACAATCAATCAGGGACCATGCAGCTGTATGCTCAAAGCAAAATGGCGACTTGTATGCTGACATTCAAGCTCGCAAAACTCCTTGAGGGAGATTATGGCGCCAATGGACGGGTCATCGCACATGTCGTTGATCCCGGTACGGATTTGTGGTATACTATGTTGTTGCATCCGTATCTGATCGGTTGAGAATACAGGAACCATTCGGACAGATCTCCAGCGTCACACGAACCGCATCCAGCTTCTCTTGGTACGCCTCACTTCGCCCTGCGCTTTCTCGCAGTGCATCTGATGTGTCACAAACGAAGGTCGGATGGCTTCTTTTCCCGACGCCCATGGGTGCCTATTCACAACTCTACGCCGCTACGAGCCCGAAGGCGGGAGAGGAGAACGGGAAGGTGCGTCGGCGAGCTCCTTTATCGGCAGATCTTGCAGCTGACTTGTCTCCTCCGGTCGTGCAGTACTATTATCCGTGGGCGAGGACTACCAAAACCGCAAAGGAAGCGTACAAGACGAACGAGCAGGACAAGGTCTGGGACTGGTGCGAAGAGCAGATCAAGCCGTTTCTTTGATCAATACGGTATGGACACCCTTGTTTATCGCCAATACATCCCTTTAATCCTTCGCGGCAAGAGCTTGCAGAGATTCTAGCCAGGTGTTGGTATATTCAGGTTCGCCTTTGCTATTCACTTGGATGTATCCCTTTCCCTATGTAAATAACGACAGTGCATGGAGTCAGTTTTCGCTATGGATCATCGATACCCGCTACGGTCAATTTTTGACTGCGCATTTCCAAATCCCGGGCAAGATGCCGATATTTTATTAGCTCAGTCCGTAGCGCACCTCCGGATCCCCGCGACGAATACATAACGATGTCAGAAAATTACCTGGGTCTACGTATCCGGACTGTGTGATCAAAAGACGATATCGTGACGCGGGAGCTGCGGGGACCCCGGAGTGGGCAAACACGCGACCTCTATCGCGACCAACGCGCAACCGAGATGCCAGTCCATCCTCGGGCCGCACCGACGGGTCTTGCCCTGTTTTGGCATACTCGCGATCGACGCTAAATGGTCGATTCTCGTCGGCACGCTCGGGCAGTCGCTTGGCATATATCGCTTGGCATATGTACATATCTTTGATAACGTTCCGTGTATCCTCCTGGTGTCAACCAAAATCTTCACGCTCCACAACTTTTGAACCACCCTCAAATCCAACTGGCCGTTTTTTTCCAACGGGAATATCTCAACGCTCGGGATGTCCATCGGCGGCGAGGACGTCCGGCTCTGCTTCTTCGCGCTCTGCAGGCTTAAGTGCCTCGAGATTTGAGGCGTCCGTCCCTTCTCTCTGGGCCGAGACTTCGGGCCGTCCACCATCGGGCGTCGAAACAGACGGCGTATCGACAGCTACGTCCGTTGCGCCATATGCAACCGCAGTCCCGTCCAATCTTGGCGCTGAAGCTGGGAGAGGAGACGGGATCGCGACCCGATACGGAGATCTAGTAGACGAAGCGCTCGGTCGGTCATCGTTCGGCAGCACCGCTTCGTCCGGAACGCGTTGAGACGACGTAGCGGGTAGAGGTGACGGGGATGGCATGGCGACGTCGCCACTGTGGGGCTCCTGCCAGGATGCTGGAGCGGTTGGGTCGAAACGGAAGTACTCGTAGACGTGGGCCATGTTGGTGAATGCCCAGCGCGGATCGCCCCACATTGGGTACCCGTCAGATATCTCTTTGAACGCCAGCTCTATCCGTTCCCTTTCCCAGCCACGATGGTGTCCCTCCAGGATACGGCGGATGACAGCCGCGGAGCGATCCGGAGACATGCGTTTGTGGGCTCTTATAAAGTGGATGAGAACTCTGAAATCGATATCGGCTGGTCCGTTCTTCCCTTCATCATTGATGTTCGTGTGAGCGTACCGCTGCGGCTCCGGGTCGAGCGAACGTCTAATCTCGACGGTGAGCGCCGAGCTCAAAACGTCAAAGAAAGCGCTCATGGCAGATCCCAACGGCGCTCCCCAGGGATCGCCCTTGAGCCAAACATTGATGAGAATCGATACCGCGGCCCAGAAAACGTGTCGCTGCGTCGATACCTCTCCCAGTTTCTTCGGCTCTCCTATCGAGGTGACGATTTGGAGAGCTTGGTGGAAATCTTTAGGGCCTGAAATGATGGGTGAGCTCAGTCGATGCTGTCAGATATAACCACAACAGCCTGGAACTCACCAAGATCGGTCGAAGGATGACGAAGATACCAAGGTCTGATCGTGAGACATCTGTACACCACTTCATGTCCCGGTAACAGCACGGGTTTGATGTGGCCGATCATGGTGTCAAAGAGAAAGTTGAAGTTCTCTGTCGAAAGCGCGCGCAACACGAAAAGTACGTAGCGGGGAGGCACAATTTCGCCGACAAATTCAGATAACAACCGCATCATCCAGAGGGAGTTGACAGTCATATATGGAGAGTGTTTCAGAAGCGTGATTAAGAGCTTGGAAAGCTCCGGCGTCGAGGAGGTTTCAAAAACATCATAGATGTAGCGAATAGCGCTGTCTTTAAACATCCCCTCAATGCCAATTTCTAGAAGCCGGTGCATTAGGCGTAGTTGATTATCGTTCACTGCTTGAAGAGCTGGGCGAAGGCTATCAAGGCAACGCCCATATCGCTCCAGGGTTAAGGCTTCATAATCCTTTCCGTAGGGACGAAACCAGATCTCCTCGATGGATATAAGCAGCGGAAGGGAAGGGTCGTCAGGAAATCCGAGGGCCTCTGAGATGGCAATCCAGGATGCGAACAGGAATTTCATTGGGTCACCAGGCCATCCATCCGGGTGCCATAGCATTGGCGCGCCGCTGTCATTTATTGCCGCGTGAGTACGTATCCGCGGACCTGGTAACCGATGCAAGCATTCCTCTATGGTGTCCTTGTCCAGTTCACCTTGCGCGGTATACCGTAGCAGCGTCAAGCATTGGTTTGCAGTGCTTGTTATAGGATCCCGCCCGAAGCCTCGTAGTGCAAAATCTCGGTGGACCCAATCATTGAATTGGAACAAATCGGGGAAGATGCCTTTGTCCTCGTGTGACGACGAAGGAGGCGGCAATACATCAACATCAAAGTACGTCGTATGACTGGCAGATGACGAAAATAGTGGGTGGATCTTGCGCAAGCGGCGGCGTGCGGACGTTGCGAAGCGGTGAGATGAAATGTACAATGGGCGTAGCAATGAGAGAAGCATCCAACCAAACGGTGTTTTGTATGGACAGGCGTCGTATAACAGCGGTAATACCACAGCAAGTATGGCGGCGAGGACGGTCACCGCGACTGCGACGGTCGCGACCACAAATACTGCGCGATTCAAGGTCCAAGTGAGAGTAATGAGTCCACCAAGGAATAGCACGACCGCCACCTGTAGGAGTATCGGGACCAAGGTCACAATCGTTGGAATCCTCCATTTCTTGAACGCGTCAAAGCGGAATCTACGAAGTTGTAGGGCGTGCTGCACAGGAGAAACGGTAGGCCATACAATGTACTCTCGGAGCCACTGTTTGACGATGATGCCGACGAGAGCGGATCCGAGAGCGAGTACGAGACTCAGAAACCACAGAGTGTTGATAGCCACTACATGTGTTGGGTCATGGAACGGTTGCTTCAGAGCATCCGAAGGCGAAGTAGCATTTCCTTGCGACATTTCACTGAGCTGTTGAGATATGTCGGATAGGATCTGAAGTGTCAGTTGGTTCTGGTCCGGCTGTAGTTGCTTGTATAGTTCCACAAGGAATGCCGTGAGGACTGCGGAGAATAGACCGGCCTATGCTCAAGAGATGAGTGGAGTGCAACAAACAGTTGGAGGCAGCGTACGAAGATCAATAAGCTATCTATATCCTCCGAATACCCTCTGATCATTTCCCTGTCAAGCCTTTCCAACTGTCCATAGATATGCGTCCATCCTGTACCATCTGCTGATACCCCAGTCACTGGAACCTGCAAGGATCGCGCATGAATGATGCTAAGCCGCGGAGCGAGTATCGATATAACCTTTTCTTTGTCGTCGTCAGCATCGGGGGACTCTTCGTGATCAGGATCCCATCTCAAGGCCGTGGGCTCATAACCTTCCATCTGCTAGACAATGAAATAGAGCAATGCCCTTCCTGATAGATAGTTAAGCCTCACATATGCGTAGGGGTCGAAATCAAGGGGGAGGCGAGATCCAGGTCGTTCGTCTTGCAACTCTTGATCCGTGTCTTCTCCAGAGTTCTGGATTGCGCTGTGCGCGCGCGATTGCGGGGATATAGAATGGCGGTCCTGCGCTCCGGAGTCTCGATCCGGCTGTGGACCGTGCGTCGCACGCCGTAGGATTTGACTCGGACTTCCTTGGTCCATAGTTCAAGAACTCGACGGGAACTCTGAGGAGTCGTTCAAGGATGAGTGGGAAGGCGGGAGTCGGGGGCTAGATGTGAGATTCCACTCCCCGCACGTCAGCCGAAACGTGTCCGCTATATGGGCCGCGGAATGATGCAAAAGATTTTGAAGGATTTACGCATACGATCTGTGCGTTACGCGCGGGCTTGCGAGTTCTATCGTTGTCTGCCCCGGCCAATCAAAGTCCCTATCCACAGCCAGCTAAATTCCCTACACCCTGCCTATGCCCATAGACCATTCTCCCCTGTTGCGAGGAGCAGTACGTTGTCCCTATCGATAACACCGGAGTCCACGGGTTGTCGATGCACGTGTATCAATGTGGACCCACAAACGAAGCCTTGGAGCATTAGGAGACTCTTGACGAGTCGCACGGACCGCTCATGATCGTATATCGTGAAGGACTGCCAGGAGGGAGAAAAACAGAGTAACCGGGTCGCTTCTGAACGTCGGACGTAGATCGTGACTGAACATATGCAAACCACCAAGCGCCAAAATGTCGACAGCAGAAGGTCCGTGCCTGTTCCACATCGTCCGCGTATTGGAAGCAAGGCAAGGGTTGTCGTGTTCAAAGATGCAGAAAGTTAACAGCGACACAGAGAGGCAAGTCGAAGCATGTACGCGGCAGACAACGAAGCTCTGTCGCGTTGCTGCTCGTAGCGTTTTTCTCACGACCAACCGATTGCGCGCTGAGTTACGACGCTACAACTGGACATGGACGAAGGGCTACTTGCTATAGCGTACAGAGTGGTACATATTAGAAGCCCCCCTACGTATTTATACAACAATACTCAGGCGTCAAGGACGATGAGAGTGTCTCCTGGATGTGACACTGACGTAATTCATGAACCAAGCACAACAAACTGTGCGTCGTAAGGTTTCTCTCCAACTCCCTTGATATCACTTATTGGTACATATTAGAGCTCCTACGTATTTGTACAGACGATACTTGGCCACGCAGAACCTAGCGCACTGGATCATGCCACCGCACTATATGCAGTAGTAGCAGAAGATGTATCATGAAGACGAGAATGTGCCGATCATGCGCGGATCCACCGAGCCCATGAGGACATCGGAGTCATTTTGGTGATTGAACTGGCCCATCCAGCCAAAGCCTGTGACAGATGACGATAAGCTGGGCAGCCAACGCACGACATAGAAAGGTGACGTACCGGGCCAGACGCCTGGCCAGAAGGTCTGGTCCACAGCGGTTTGCATGGTCTGCATCAGCTCGTCGTCAAAGGCGAGCGGAGGATTGAAGAGAGTCGGATGATCCTGGTTCAGGCCTAGACCCAGCCCGTGCGGGTTCAGGAACGCAGACGAGGTCGGCGAGGTCGGCAGCTGTCCGAAAGTCGTCGCCGCTGGCGGTGGAGACACGCTCGTCCTCTGCTCCGTAGGAGATGGGTAGTGCGAATTCGGAGCCGAGCGCGAGTGGGGAGCATCGAAGTACGATGCGTATTCCACGGTTGGAGACGTGGCGGGCGACACGGTTCGTTGCTTGGGGGCGTTCCGTCTGGCTGCCGAGGAGCGCTTATGTAGCAGTGTCGGGTCCGCGCGCGCCAAAGGTGTAGCAAGGAGGTTCTCCAAGAAGTGCGAGTATAGCTTCGGTGCATGGCGATCGTCGATGGCGACGTCGGGTGAGCCAAGTAGTTCGGCGATTCTCTGAACCTTCGGTCGGATACCCTGGCGCTGCTCGACAGTCATGTAGTTTGCGTACTTGGGGTGAAGTAGCTGTAACAACGTGTGAAAATCTTGATCCCACTTCCAAGTCAAACCGAGTTACCTTGACAAGAAACGCGCAGGCGAACGTAACGAAGACACTTTGAGCCTCCGGGCCATGTCGAAGGAAGATTCCTGAGGGGCAAAGAGTCAGCACCATCGATGAGTGCTGGAAGTTGTACGATGGGACTAACTGTTAGTCGCTGTGCCTAGATTATTGGCGAAGTCCGTCACGACGTCCGAAGCTGCACGCCAACACTGAACGAGTGAATAGTCAGCCTTCTCGGGTCTTCCGACAGTGTGGAACGAGACTGACTCTTTGCAGGAATTCGTGAGGGTTTGACCCTCGTTTACCGAAGGCGTGTTGGAATCCGACCGACAAAGCAGCAAGACGCGCGTAGCTGTACGCCAAACTCATGATTCCGCTGCGGAACTGGCCTTGCGCATCTCCCGCATCGACCGTCTTCAGCCTGTCCGTCCACACCTTCCAAAGGTTTTGCAGCTTGTCGTCTGTGTCCATCGCCAGCTTGCCAATGTCGGCGTCCTGTCGACGCATGCATCGGTCACAACATCAAAACCGAGGACATCAAAGGGGACGATACCTTGTTGAGCAACGTGGGATGATTAGGGTCGCTGTACACCTTGGCCCTGAACTGCGACAGGCATCGCAACTCTGCGTTGTACCCGCTGAGGTGGATGTCGAAGTTTCTAAGATTGTACTCCGAGCTATGCCACCATTCCTCGGAATGGTTCGCGACGTAGTCGTGATTCGGAATGATGGGAGATTTCCCATACTGCGGCGACTTCGTCAACGCACTGCATGCTAGGGCCGAGAAAATCACAGCTTACTTGTGATCCCGTCGAACGGTCGAGGTTGAAGCAGTTGATCCATGCTCGGGTGCGATTGAGCAGCTCCCGAGCGTGGCTCTCGTTCCGAGGCTTGGCCGTAGATGGATGATGCAGGTTTAGATCCGTGGCGATTCTATCGAAGGCATGTATAAGCAGCGACTTGAGGTATAGTCAAATACGTCATCATTACCTGATGGCCAAGCCGAGGTACAACCACGTCCGATCGTCCTCCCACTTCTTCACGGGTAGCGGATATAGAGCCAGTAATATGTAGGCAAAAACGTTTTCGACCGTCTTCGGGCCACCAATGAGGGCGGTGCCAGCAGCAAGCCTAGCGTAGTTCATCAACTCCCCGTACAGCTCGGGTCGTAGGCCATAGTAGCGAGACGCAACGGCACAGACTTGGTGCGGATTCAGTTACAGCGCTTGGACGAGCGGGTGGTGATGTCTACTCACTGACTGTGAACAAGAATGGACTTCGCCAATATGTCGTCTTCGCAGTGTAGAGGACGGGATCGAGGATAGAAAGCGAACAGTTCATATAGTCGAAATAACTGCCGCGTACATGACATCAACGTGACGGACCAAATGGTACGATCGAAAGTACTCACATCCGGAATAGCTTCTCCACTTCATCGGGCGTCACGATACCCTTGGCGAGTATATGCGGCGCCTGATGTGATGGATCCACGATCGACGGTCCCCGCGTCTCGGGCTCAGGACCTGGCGAGAGCAATGCCTCATCAGGGGACAGCTACAGAGCACGAGACAATTCCGAGACACTCACTCGGCCTAAAGTAATCCTCGTCGGCGATACCGACTCTCTCTTCGTGATGCTCCTCCGCCACATCTCCTGATGCATCTCCCTGGCCAGCTCCGGAGGCTTCCGCGGTTCCAGTCGTGTTCTCGGGGCTGCCAGGCACGCTCTCCGTCCCGCTCCCCTTCTTCCCCGGGCGCTGCTTCCCCGCCTTCATCTTCAAGCTCATATCCGCCATCAGCCCAAACGGGACCGCCTCCGTCGGCAACGACGCCAACTTCTGCTTCGTCCCCGCCGCCGGCTCCCTCCTCGCCCCTCCCCCGCTCCCGTCCTCGCTCGGGTTGTTGCTCGCCCGGCGCGAGCGCGACGGCCCGACGGACATGACCCCGTACGGGCTCCCGGCGTCCACGACCGCCGACTCGCCGTCGCTCTCGACCGCGATATCGAGCTCCGACTCCTCGTCGAGCACGTCGTAGTCCGCGTACTCGTCCGAGCTCTCCTCGTCCTCCGGGTCCTCGTCCGCCACGAGCGCGCGCGTCACGCCCCCGCCCCGCGCGCCGCCCATGCCGATGTACCCGCCGAACTGCTCGAACGACGCGCGCGCCTTCGCGATCCAGTCTTGCACGCGCGGGTCCGGGGCCGTCGAGGGCGGCGGCGGCTGCCCGAGAGAGTAGCGACCGAGGTCGCGGTCGTCGAGCGGGTCGCCGCGCTCGGCCTCGGGCGAGCGCGAGTCGGCGGAGATGCCGCTGTGCGACGCGTTCGAGAGCGGCGACATGAGGTAGGGAGCTGATACGGAGAGGCTGGGGGTGGGCACCGACACGTTCTGGGGCCGGTGCGCGCCCTGGTGTTTGTCGTTGGCGGCCAACGTGGCGGCTTCGAGCTGCTTCATGAGGCGCTCGATGTGGGCGGCCTGGGCTTGGATGCGCTGCATCAGGTCGCCTCGTTTTCTGTCGAATCACGTCAGTCTACACATGATTCCTTCAGGCGGAACGGCGCGAGCCGTGTACTCACGGCGGCTGCTTGCGAGGTCTTTTCCCTGGTACGACGCACTCGTGTCCGCCGTTCATGCATCGCCGACAGACGTCCGGGTCGAGGCCCTTGCTGATGCTCAGGTCCGGGTCGCGCACGCACTTGACCTTGAGCATCTTGCACCGCGAGCACGCGCCGCGCTCGCGCAGGCTCTCCCGGGGCTGGAGGGTGACACGACCCGCGTCGCGTTCGAGCTCGCCCTCTCCATCGTCCTCGTTATCCGACGCGTGCGAAGCGTCCGCGGGCTCGCGGTACGCCGCCGCCCTCGCCGCCGCGGAGGACGAGGACGGGTCGACGACCGTGTTCGTGCGCTGCCGTTTGAGGCCGGTGCCGCCGCCGCTCGCGGGCATCTGCAGCTGTGGCTGGGGGGGCCGGGCCGGGCGCGCGTCGGCGGGGCTGCGGTAGTGCGAGGAGGAGCGCGCGGCCGACGTTTCCGGACCCGGACCGGCAGAGGCGGACGGCGGGTAGTGCTGTTGCGGTTGCCGGTACGCGGTGTTGGGCGGTGCGCCGCCGCCGCCGCCGTAGCCGAAGGTGCCGGGTGCGTTGTAGGCGCCGGACGCGCCGTCGATCGACGTCGGGGAGGTGACGAAGGCGGCGGCGGGGTCTGAGGTGATCTGGGGTCCCGGGGCGGGGGCGGGCGAGACCCCGGGTCGTCGCGCGCCCGGCATCGGAGGCGGTTGCGCATTTGCCCAATAGGGCGGTGACGTCGGGGCGAAGGCGCTCGGCGGCGGCGGACGGTGCTGCTGCTGCTGCTGCCCGTACTGCTGCTGATTTAGGGCGGGCTGAGGGGGTTGGGAGAGGGCGAATGCGTGATCGGGGGGTAGAGACCAGGCATTTTGGGCCCCGTAGGCGGGTTGGTGGTCGTGTTGAGTATCGGCCCCGGGAAACGTGCTGTAGCTGGGTGCCGTGTTAGGTTGGGGTTGGTACCGAGGGGTGATCGAATGGGACGATGGCTGAGGATGGTCTGGCCCAAACGGTTGAGGAAGGAACTGGTCGTATTCCTGGTCGATCACGAACTGCTCGAGCTGGGGCGGCTGGGCGTCCCACTGCTGGAGGCTGGAAGTCATGGTGGACGAGTGGGAGGGGAAGTCACCAGAGACGGCGACAAGCGTCGAAACTCTTTGATATATCGGCGCGCTAGCGCGCGAACGCTGTCCGGCTCTTCCGCGCGTACTTGTCGTGGAACCGAGAAGAGTCCACCGGCTCCAAGGCGGGAGAACGAGGAATGACGAACGAGTTTGGGCTGTCAGCCGATGGATCCGGAGGGGGTGGTATGAAGTGGAAGCAGGGCAGAAGCGCGAGCCAAAGCCTCGCGCTGGGACCGGACTGGTGTGGTCAGTATTATATTTACGGACGCGCTAAGGCGGTAATGTAATGCACGCCGCCAGGGCGAATCGCTGTCACGGCGCTGTCAAACGGTCGCATCTTCGGGAGGTGCAAATCCCGTGTGGCGTTCCCGTAGGCCTGTGCCCATGCCCCGCCTCCAACAACGTGCCCGGCCCGCCGAATATTCGCGCGCCTCCCTTGCTTCTCTCTTTCCACATGCACGCCTACAGCCAACCAACACGCGCTCTCGGCTGTTACCATCGGCAGCAAGCCAGCGATACACTGCCAGTCCTCGACCCTGCGTCCTCAACAAAAGCGCGAAAAACTCGAATTGATAACGGCCATCGCACGAATCCAGGGCCTCGAGCGATTCGCGATGAACGTGGGTCGCGGCACTGATACATAACGAACTCTCGACAGCTCTCAACCCGTCCAAACCTTGCAATTGGCGCAACATGGTTCCGACCATCCGCGCTTGTAAGGGCCTGGACCCTGCCCCCCCTCCCCCCTTGTTCTCTTCGTGGCGAACCCGCGAGCCCGCGCCCGTCCAAGCACGGCCTCCCGAACCTTATCGACTCCTTTTTCTCTCGGTTGCACGATGATCCATCGCGCGCGGTGTTACAGCACATGCTTAGTGCGCTGTGTGCCTCTGCCTTCTTTCGTTGAATCGTTAGGCCGGGTGGCACAGCCGGGAGATACACATGCAGCACATGCGTTCGCGACCGCAGACCAAGATTCCGATCTCTCGCGTTTCAGGGACGCATTTCGCACTATCAGGGCGATCTTCCGGATGGCGGGCTACGTTCTGCACGGAAGTACATTTAAGTACATCGTATCCTGGAGTTTATCGAGCATGAAGCTGACGGCTTAACGTAGTGGGATAATCCGTTTGCGTGGAACTGGCAAACCGGTTTGATAAATTCGTTTTCGATCGGCTGCTCTTTTGAAATCTGACCTTGGTGGCAAGCGCGGCTCGAGCGCGCGATCGACTTGTCTCCCCTCTCGGAAATACTCCCGTCGATCCCCTTAATCGGGACATCATCTCACGTGACCGTGCGTGTGGACGGGAAACGCGAAAGAAAACCGCGAGAGCGTCCGTCCTTTCCGCCGGTCCTACTTACGTGCACGCTGCGAGGGGCGCATCAGTGGTAGTCAACGCGTTCGTGTCTCGATCGCATCAGCGCTCGAGAGTCGACCACTATACCAGGTTCAGGCGCGCAGAAGCGACGTTCCGAGTGAAGTTAGAAGCGCCACTGTCAGAGCTGCAGTCATGAGTCTCAGATTCATCTCGGAGTCAAGCCAATGGATGACTTCCCGTAAGATCTGTAGCGACAGAAACACAGAATAAACAGTTCAAACCCCGATCTGTGGGTTATGCTGTACGTTTATGCCCCCGTACGGCCCTGTGCGTGTGGGGCGGAAATAGAACATCATAAACGCGGAGGTCCGTTGAGAAGGGCTGAGTAGCGAATGAGGAAGAGGGAGGGTCACGTGCATGACAAATTCAAGTCTGTAAACGGGCATTCTGGTCTGGAAGGGGGGGTCGACCCCCCTTCCAGATAAAAGGTCTGTACGAGGGACTTGTAAACCGACAACTTGGCTCGTCGTTGCCGATTTTTCGGCATCGCTCGCTTAGTGGATTTGTAAGCGAAATCTATTCTATTCGGCCTTACAGATCCTTACGGGAAGTCACCCAATGATGAGGCGAGACTCGTATTGGACTTTTCTCGTTATGAGCCTGCACCATGAGCGCGATCTTGGAGCATCTTGTACGGCTGGTGGTGTGCATTGTGCCGTTGTCTATGGCTAATCCATATCTCGGTACCGGGCCTCGGGTACGTCGGCCAGGGCTGCGAAGATCCTTGGGGAACAAAAGAGCGCCTGCTCGGACAAATCCTCCACCCCCTCTGCTTGCAGGACGCCACCTCCCTCATCGACGGAACTCCCGCGTCATTCACGCAAACTCTCCTACAGAACGGGGCTCTCCGAACGTGCGAAGGCGAACCCATGGCGGGCACCTAATCCGGCTTAATTATGTCCGCGCACGGGAGGAAGCGAAAAGCTTGCGTAAACTCCGTTTCTTAGTATAGCTGTTCTTCCCCCCCCTTCCCCCAGCTTCGTCCTCGGGATGAAACCCCATTTGTGACCCTGTCGAACAGGCCGGTGAGGCTCTCTCATTTCCGTCACTCTCGGTGGGGGGGACCGCTGAGAAGTTAGCATGTGTGTGTGTAGTGTTCATGACGGAATGCGTTGGCGTGCGCGAATCTCTTTCTTCGAGGAAGGCGATAACGGAAAATGCTCAGCTGGTCGACGCACGCATAGGAACGGGGGAAACGCTGCGGGGCGTTACAGGTGTCTATATTATCCACCCCGGGGCCCACTCCGCTGCACCGGCGCCAACGCCATCGGGCAAAGTATTGAAACGCGAGTTCCCCCCCGCACAGTGACGTTCCCACCACCGATTTTTCACGGGCGCGCGCCCCTTGTCTTCGACGCCGTATATCTTCCGGTTCGCTTTCATCTGCTCGGCGTCTTTAGAATACTCGGAGGGAGACGGGTAGGGAAATATGCCTTGTTGGTGCTCGAAGGGATCCTCGCTGCGCCGGCCCTTATCGGCGTTCGTCCTTGCCACCTGATCATCTCCGAGAGTATCTGGCATCCCTTGGAAGCTTCCGACGATGTTTGCCGCTACACGGCTGCAATGCGTCGTCAGGCCGCAGTTAGATCCGACAATTGACCCGCATCCGATCCACCCTACCAGCGCGCTCTCTCGGCCCCTTTTGTTTTGCCTTTTCCGCCAATTGAATGCGCCACACTCCGTCGTCACTGGAATCCATCGGCCGCAGAGACTATGCCCCCGCGCGGTTCCCGCTTTATTTCCTTGTCGTTTCGAGCCTCCGAGTTTGCGTGCGGCAGACTGATAGGCGGTTGGCCTCACGAAAGACGACTTACGTGTATGATCTCGACCGCCGCGCCGGCCCAGAAGCGCGCGCGCGTGCTGGATGTCAACTTTGTGCGCATCTTCGGCCTGTAACGTGTATAGTGAACCTTGACATATGCCGGGAATCGTCTGCTGGCCGCGTCCAAGTCCTCAGCACGATTCCCCGGCGCGGGCGTCTACGCACTTGCGCTTGGGGAGATAGGACCCGCCCGCAGCACGCGTGCCGGACATATGTATACGATTCCAATCATACGGTTTCGTGTGTATACTAACGTTCCCTTTCCGGACAATTCGATTGCTCAGCCGATCGGCAATAGTAGTGGTTACCATTGGGATTCTTATATCCGTTCGTCCTCGTGCCAACGTCCAGATAGCACAGCTATCCGGCGAGAAGTAAACAGCGTCGTGAAATAGCTTGGAAACGCTTAATTCGTCTTTATGACTGTTGACAAGCCGCTTTGGAGGCATGCTCGCGATTATTTATCAAACCCCGACAGGCGCGGGTGTGGGATTATCAACGCTAAATCGGTTCCGGCAGAAATGACTGTAATTAATCTCATTTCACTCCGTACACGATGAGAACTCTCCGGAGGAGCGAGAACGGCAGGGATGCCGCTGCTATCGACGAGATCTATTTGCAAGCCGTGCATAGCCGAGGGACGACGAGCGCTTGGATCATGGATGCATGGATTACTTCACAAAGCCATCCGCACGAACGAAATCCCACACTGCGAAGAACGAAGGGAGAGGCTTCGCGATACCCGCTCGGAAGCATTACCGCTGTGTCTGTGTCGGATTACCCCTTGCGTGGCCGGTTATTGACGGACCTCGCGGATGTTAATTAATCTGCGGCGCTTCTTGGGATCTTCGTGGTGGCGTCCCGAACCATGTCGTTCAAGGTGTGCATACCCACGGCACAGTCCCGCACAAGCGCTGGAGAGCCCCCATCTGCGTGGTAGCCGAAAGCGCGCGTCGATTCTATAGCTTCCTGATCGATCCTTCTGATACGTGAGGAATTTTTAGCGAACGAAAGGGGTTAATCCGTAAACTTCTAATTGCGTTCGAGGAGGCCGTATGGGATGGCCACGGTCAGTCGACTTTACCTCAACGACCTGCTTATGGAGACAGGCCTTATATTAAGAGAGAGCAACTCCAGTGAAAGGACCCAACTCGAAATGGTTGATCGTCAGTGAAAGGCATGCTCTCCCGTGGTCACATCTGAGAGGAATGCGCCGAGACAGCCGCGGCAGCGAACCTTACCATGTGCCTCGCGCTGTTTCACCAGAAGGTATCCACGGTCTTGCCGGTGCGCCAAAGCCAGTCAACGACGGGCCCAGAAGGCCAACCTTCAGCGCTAGCTACGAACTTAGTGCACATCGCTCTCCCGTTCACGGTCCAGAGCGCACTACACAGTTTTTACCTCGTCATGCCCAACTGCATAACCGCTATCTTCGTGCATCGGGCGCCAACAAAGAACGCCCAAGATCCGGGTCAGGGCTCCACACTCTAAATGCACGACGAGCAAGGTTGTGCCAGGAGAACCCGACGGTCTTACATAGTTAATCTTCTCATCGAGAATGAGGTAGTAGCCGTGTCATCTTCCGTCCTGACATGTGTCGAGGTGCGGACTCCTCGCGTTCATTCTGAGGCTAGAAGCTCATGGGACGGATGCTGAATGCGGTCCATGGACATCCAGCCTCGTCCGAAAGGGGTTACGAACCGCTAAAGGTAGTTGCATATTAGTACATACATGCTTGTCTTCGTACACGTTTTGATCTGTTCTGGCACACGCTGCCACGATTGTCATCGACATGCGAACTCTGATGCGAGTCGGATAGGTGTGCTCACTCTTCGCCGTGGTCAGTTTTCCAGCGCAAACTTCACCTCTTCTTCGACGCTCGCGAGCATGTCACTCGTGGTTTTGGCCGGTGTCCATCCGACGAGCTTGCCACGTCTCGCGACGGTCCTCGAGTTACCTCCTAGAATGACGTTCTAAACAGAAAGTCATGAATCCTCCATCTTGGTCATCATTCAGCGCCTTGAGTATCGCTCACCGCCATAACGTCGCCGCCCAGCTCCTCGACCTCGTCGTCGGTGAACGTCGTCGGCTCCGCATTGTCAGACTTGCCCAGCTTCACCAACGCCTTCCCGATTGCCTGGTATCCAAGCACGACTCACTCGTTTTTCCCCACAAACGCGACGATTCCCGCACCAACCTGTGAGATCTGATACAGCTTGTGCTCGCCATTCGCCGCGACGTAGTATCCTTCGCGGCCGTGTCCTAAGGCGGGGTTGCGGGCGTCCTTGGTTTTCCGCGCCTCGTCAAAGATGACCATGAACAGGTCCGCGACTGCGGCGCCGCAGGTACGAGTCAGACTTGCACGAGACCCGCTGGCTTGCGACGAGCCGAGCCAAACGCACCTTCGTCGATGTGGACGTTCGGCCAGTAGTTGAGCCCCTTTCCGACCATACCGGCCCGGCCGCGCTTCACGGAGAGCCGTGCCAACCTCGGGATTTGCTGGCTCTTCGGGTTCTGGATCCCGAGATCGACGAGGATGCCCGTGGCGCGGCCGTAGATCGTGGAGGGCGAGATGATGTACGTTTCGACGTAGCCTGCAGCCGCGAGAACAGCGGTGAGCGACGGTCCTCGCCAACGACATATACCAAGCGATGACGTACCTTGAGCATCTGCTTCGAACACGGTCAACTCGACGTTCCTGTGTGGAGCGGAATCTGGGACTTTCGCCAACTGGACGCAAGGTGGGAGTCGTCAGCGTTGTAGAGCCGCCGCAACGTGATATTCGCTGACCTGCGCTAGATCTGTATCGTCGTACACCGGGGCGTCGCCCGACAGGCCCGCTGCATGGTCGCAGAAGACCGCGGTGCCAGACTTAAGCGCGCAGCTCAGTTCAGAAACGTCCTGGGCGGAGAGCCGCAACCACGTGTACAGACCGTGTGCAACAGGATCGGTTTCACGCCCGTCTTTTCGTACCTTTGCCTCAGGCCGCCGAGGATCGCCCTCGCAGCCTCTAGGTCGTCCACGTCGGCGGCGGCTATCACGACGTCGCTCTGCGATGCTAGAGACGCGACGAGCGCCGCGTCCGAGTGCGAGCCCTGCACGGGCGTGATCGGCACCCCCGTCCGTTCCTCGACCTCGGCGAACAGCTTCGCCTTGTCGGCGCTGCGCACGATCGCGGTGATCGCGAACGCGCTCTTCTTCTCGTGCTCGAGGAGCTTGGCCAGCACGGAGCCGCCGACGTAGCCTGTCGCGCCGGTGAGCAGGATCTGGATCTTCGGGTCCGTTGACATGTTATTCGAGGACGCTGTGGTGAAGTTGATTAATACTGTAGCGGATCGTCGTGACCATCCATCTCGACGTGTGCGATTGACGTCATGGGTAATGGAAAGACCCCATACGGATCGTCAGCAATCTGATAACGTTGTATCTTGAGGCGGTGCACAGGAAACAACCCTTAGACGTCCACGTTCCGAACGTGGTGGCAGAAACTATCAATCAAATTATGCGAAGGGCTATGAGAGAACATGAGAGAGCAGGTGTCCGCACAACATGTCGTGCGCAAGATGCGTAGTAGGGTTACATCCGATTCGCGACGTGCGCGGATGCGAAATCAGATCAAGTGCTTCTTGAAGAACGAGCACGTCTGCGCGAACGCGCCCTGCACAAAAAAAAAAAAGGCACGCCCGTTAATAATCTCATGCGCTCGCCTCGAACGGGGGAAACCAACGCGGAAAAAAAAAAAAACGCACCTCGAAGCCCTTCCGGACGTCCTCGATCGCGTAGTTGGGCCGGCACCCGAAGCCGTGCGCGGTGCCCTTGTACGTGACGAACTCGACGTCGAACGGCTTGTCCTTCAGCGCCGCCTTCGCCTGCGCCGCGAGCTCGGGGCCGAACGCGTGGTCCTCCTCCGCGAGCGCGAACGAGACGGGCGCGCGGAGCGACGCGAAGTCGTCGGGCGCCTTGAGCGAGGACGGGTGGACGAGCACGATCGCCTGCGCGTCGCCCGAGGCGTTGTAGCGCGTGCAGAAGGGGGCGCCGTAGCAGTAGCCGACGGCGCCGAGCGTCTTCAGGCCGTGCTCGGTCTTGAGCGCCTGGATGAACTCGTCGGCGTGGCCGAGGTGCTTGCTCGCTTTGTGGCGGAGGTACCCTTGCCGCGGCGCGGTGTTAGAGGTGAGCATGGTGGGAGACGAAGGGCGTACAGGGCACGAGGCCGGCGATGGTGAAGGTCTTCTTGACCGTCCAGAGGATGCCGGTCTGGTTACGCGCCGCTTCCGCTGTGTCGGGGATCGGCAGGCTGTCTGGGTCCAGTCCTTCGCCTGGAGAGGGGGAGCGATCGTGTGTCGTTCAGCGTTGGAGAGCTTACGCCAGGGGGGGGGGGACTAAGCGCGCACGTAGGCGAACGACGTACCGAAGAAGAGGTCGGGCACGTAGACGCGAATGCCCGTCGTCTCCGCCATCTTGTCCGCCATGAGCTTCGGGTTGTTGAGCTGCTCTTTCGCCCGTCAGCGTCGTAGATACTACTTGCGCATATATGCTGAAGGGGCCTGACCCTGAGCCCGAACACGTCCGTGAAGAAGACGATGGCCGTATCCGGGTGCGCGTTCGGGGCTGGAGGCTCGGCGACGTACGTCGCGAGCGGGCCGATCTGGACGACCTCCCCCTTCGCGGCACCCTCCATCTTGTATCCCTTGAAGCAGTTCTCGCAGAAGCCCGTTTGTAGCTCGGCCTGCGCTTGCGCTTCGGCGGTGGTGGTCATGGCTCGTTGTCTATAGTGGTCTTCAGGAGATAATTTGGGCGCGTTCTTTGAGCTTGCCGTCGTTGTTATACGCCTCCTCCCGCATGACGATAGCGGCTGGAGACCGGTACGCGCATTGGGTGGATGAGTCGAGGAGGCTATAACCGGGCCAATCGGGAACGAGGAGGTCGGCAAGAGGCGTGGGACTCTGTAGCCATATGGGGAAGGGGCAGGGTGGATCGGATGGGTGGTGTTGTACGCACGGCGCATTTGGCGCGAGGTCTGGACGCCGAAGTCAGGGCTGGAGAAAGGCGCGAGGGTGTTCGAGCCGTAAGGGTAGAGTGTACGGTGCGAAGCTATGGCAGTTGGACGGAGATGGTAGGAAACGTGCGAGGGGGCATGCAACCATCGATCTGCGACGACCTTATAAGTTATCTAGCTGCGGCCTCTCCAGGCGACCCCGACATTCGACGATTGTTCCAGAAAAAAACCAGCATGCACTGCGAAGCTGGCAATTGCGCGCTCTGCCGGTCTCTGAACGCTATCCCACCTACGCATACCAACGGAGCTGAACCCCCACATCAGCCGCGCGAGCACGTCGAACGGACGACGTCGAGCACATCGACCGATGACGCCGACCACAACGACAGAGCCAGCAGTGCCACGCATGAGCATACTACGTCGAAACTCGACAAGCTGAGGAGGTGGGCGTTCAAGGCTACGTCGAGTGCGGTCGAGGTGAAGGAGTCGGACCCGGACGGGCGCAAATCGCTGGACTTGCTCGGTTGACGCCCGTTGCTATGAATGAGGTACGTGCCCCCAAGGCTGCTGGATATTCAAGCCAGAAAAGTCTCTGACAGCAAGTATGGCACAGACTGATTTCCATTCCGTGTCGGTCCGCGCGCACCGGGGCAGCAGGCTGCATCTCGAAGCGGGTGTGAAGTGGATCAGAACACTGTGTCTTTTCTCTTTCATTGTTGAGAATGCTCCGAGGACATCGATAGAATGATAGAACGCCAGTGCCATACGGTGGACGCCCGCGATCGACGAAGGACGCGGAGGTCTGGGGAAAAGTGAGAAGACGTCAACAAGGCGATGAGTCCGAGAGCGACTGTCGTACCAATGTCAAAGGAGGCGCTTAGCAGCGAACTAGACATGATGATGTTAGCGTTGGCTCAATAGTAAGCATACTAAGCTGTAGGATGGACAGGCGTTGCCTCATATATCGGAGCCTATGCTCGACTTGGCTGTGCTTCCTGTCCGAGACAATGCGCAGAGCACTCTTCCGCGCAGAGAACACGCCAGGTATCGATTCTGTTTCGCAGCGAGATGACATGCAAAAAGCGCAGAGAACGGCATGTATACGTAACCACCCAGACAGAAGCGAAGACAGCAGATCCCGTCCGTGAGCGACGCGCACGGCATAGAGGAGCACGCAGACCATTCCAGAGCGATATGGCATGGATTGTCAGACAGTACATACATCATCGCCATCAATGTCGGCGTCGGATGAGAGCATGGCTCGTCCGCGTCAGGGGCGGCGCTTATAGGGGTGGTGCGGCGCCAGGGCCCACCACGAGGGCACGTGCCACCCTCGCATTTCCGCACCGGCCCAGGACCGAGGCGAGCCCTCTTCTCCCCGCCCGCCCCCTCCTCCTTGTTCCCCTCCCTCTCGCCAACGTCGCCGCCGGGCTGGGCTTCACGTCTCTCTCTCTCCAATATGACCGCACCGCAGATAATATCGTCCTCGACGCACCAGTCGTCCGGCTCGAACGGCATGGTCGGGACGCACTACAAGGTTGGCAAGAAGATCGGCGAGGGCTCGTTCGGCGTCGTCTTCGAAGGTGAGCGCGATGCGTGGTGATGAACCCGCGGCGCCATTCCCGGTACTGACACCCCTCTGCTCGCCCAGGCACGAACACGCTGACCAACCAGCCGGTGGCGATCAAATTTGTGAGGCCGCTGTGGCTGCAATGTTCCGGCGTACCGACCGTACTTTGCAGGAACCCCGCAAGTCCGACGCGCCCCAGCTGCGCGACGAGTACCGCTCCTACCGCACCCTTAACGGCACCGGTATGTCTCCGCTCGCGCGGTTTGCTCCGCTGGCGCCCCGTGAGCTGACCTCACCCGTCTGGTCCTTGTCTGCCTTCTCTTCGCCCTCCCCACCAATTCCCACACGCATCTCCGTCGCTCACCGTGGGCTCCTCGTCGTCGCCCTTAGTCGGTGTCCCGCACGTGCACTACTTCGGCCAGGAGGGCTTGCACAATGTCCTCGTCATCGACCTCCTCGGCCCCAACCTCGAAGACCTCTTCGACATGTGCGGTCGCAAGTTCACGATCAAGACCGTCTGCATGGCCGCGAAGCAGATGGTAAGTCATTACTCCAGATCCTGCGGAGGAGGCGGAGCTGCATCGTGGCTCGCTACGCGGGACACCGCAAGCCCCCATCTCCACCGTGTCATGTCCTTCCGCGACGCGTGTTCTTCATCTATCATGGTTCCGAGGTCCAGGCGCGGACGCGCGAAGGGCTGTGCTTTCCTATAGTGTGCTGACGCAGAGCCTGCCAGATCACTCGTGTCCAATCCATACACGACAAGTCGTTGATCTACCGCGACATCAAGCCCGACAACTTCTTGATCGGTGTCCCGACCACCAAGAACGCCAACCTCATCCACATCATCGGTACGTTCTATGAAGTTCTTGTCCAGACTCTCCATTATGCTTGCCTCGTGTATGCGGCCTTTTTGTCGAGGCCCGATCCATCCGCTCTATGCATGTGGGCTGCCATGCTGATCACGTACGATCTCTAGATTTCGGCATGGCGAAACACTATCGGGACCCGAAAACGAAGGTCCACATACCGTATCGGGAACGCAAGTCGCTGTCGGGCACGGCCCGCTACATGTCGATCAACACCCATCTCGGGCGTGAGCAGTCTCGCCGCGATGACCTCGAATCCCTCGGCCACGTCTTCATGTACTTCCTCCGCGGCGGACTGCCGTGGCAGGGTCTCCGTGCGCAGACGAACAAGCAAAAGTACGAGAAGATTGGCGAGAAGAAGCAGACGACGCCGATTGAAGAGCTGTGCGAGGGCTTCCCTGGTGAGCTTCTTTGTGACCGCAAAACGTGCTTGCCCTCCCTAACCTTGTGCTCCCCTTCTGTAGAGGAGTTCGCGATCTACATGAACTACGTCCGCAAGCTTGGCTTCGAGGAGAACCCGGACTATGACTTTCTCCGCGAGCTGTTCACGAAGGTCATCAAGACCCTTGGCGAGATTGAAGACGGCATGTACGACTGGATGCTCCTTAACGGCGGCAAAGGCTGGGAATTTAGCAGCGTGAGTTCCCCTCCTTGCACCGTGCCGTGCGTCCGCACTGAACCACATTCCATCAGTCCCACCCATCCTCTACCCCGCACACGCCGCGCGCGGAGCGCAAGGAGCGCGAGCACGGCCGCCGGCAGTCGCGCCAACATCTGCAGGACGCCTCCGGCGCCCAGTCGTCCCCGCTCGTGCTCAGCCCGACGCCCGCGCGGCTCAAGGACTCGGGCCGGCGCAACACCGGCGGCGATTCGCGCGCCAACTCGCGCGACCTGAGCGTGCAGCCGCTCGCGCCGACGAGCCGGCGCGCCAGCCAGCAGCAGATGCGCGCCGAGCGCGAGCGCGAGCGCGCGAGGGACAGCGCGGCGCTGGCCCCGCCCACGCCGCACCCGTACGCGGCGGCGCCGAGCCCGACGACGACGACGGGCTACCGCACGGAGTCGTACGGCCGCGCGACGCCGGCGGCGGCGCTGAACGGCGGCGGGTCGAACCCGGGGCTCGCGGGCAGCGGCTCGGACCCGTACACGTACGGCGGCACCGCGGCGACGCACGCGAAGGCGGGATCGCGGGAGCTCGCTTCGCAGCAGCAGCAGCAGCAGCATGCGGGGACGCGCGGGATGGGCGTGTACGACCCGATGGAGCGCGTACGCGAGCAAGACGAGGGGCATGGTGGCAAGAAACGCGGGTTTTGGAGCGTGTTGTGCTGCTCGGCGTGAGGCGCCGAGCGGTGGACGATGTCGTGCGCGCTCGAGGCGCGCATGTGGATGATTCTCGTTTCATTGGTACGCTCATATCGTCTCTCGTCCGTGGTGATGAGACGGTCGAGCTGAGCACGCCCTTCACAGTAATATTGTCTTTTTTCTGCATTAGAACGATTGCACGGCAGGCTCGGACCCAACCACGAACTGGACGCCAGGATACATACGCACCTCCCTATTACCGTACTCTCCCTCCCGCCTAAGCTACCCACCCACCCATCGCTGCATCACGCATACACACGTCCACGACTCCTCCACCCAACGGCGCTATACTTGTTCACGTTCCTTCTCCTTTCTTTCTCGCTCAATCGCTCAGAGCCTGAAGCTTACGGGAATGATCGCGGTTCCCCGTCGGACACGCCCGGCGCACGTGGTACAACGAACAAGCTCCAATCGCACCTCTACTCCGTCATCCTTGCATGTCGATTGTTCATGAGAACCCTACGAATCTCCCGAAAACTCTCTCTCTGATCGCCCTTATCTTGTTTCCTCGTTGATAACCGTTAACGCCCTTCCCCCGCATGTATTATGTGTCAGGTCTGCAAGCAATACAGGAGTCCTGTTCATAGTCACTACTGCTAACGCAGGATGTCGGGAGGTCTCGTAAATTCACGCAGCATTAGTATAGGCCAACTGCAGCGTACGTCGAATCGTTGTCTGCGGTATTATATACACCGATTACCAAGACTATTGGGCACCATGGCTTAGTAGGCGCACCCACTCCTTGTTCCCGCTGTTTTCGCGATATAATAGGCCATGGCTTACACCTTTTTCAATGTACCGCGTGAGTCTACCCTTGAATGGGATGGGTTTCATACCCTGCAGTGCTAGGTTGATGGCAGTCATCGAGGCTCTACGCCCGGGTCGGCCCTTCAGCCATTGGACGAGTGGAAGGTAATCGGGAGGGATTGATACGATTAGAGCCGAAGAGTTCCACATGTCTGCAGGAGCTTTCGTGGTGGAAGCGGAAGCTGCTGAACTTGCGAAAGTCCTGATCGCCTGTGATTTCAAGTTGCGGCTCGCGGAAGGACTCGGGAACGAACCAGAGGACGGATCGCCATCGTTCGGGAGGCCCGCCATAGAGGAGGGTTCCGCTTGGGATGCGATGGGGCCAATTCTGGTGTTGAGTACCGAGTCACGAACGGCCAGCATGGAGTGTCCGCCATCACGAGTGATGCGGAGACGAGACCTAACGTGCAGATATCCTGGTCCAAGCGGAGCGATCTGCTTAAGCGGTCCGATCGCCTTATCGGGGCCGTCGATGCTTCCGTTCTGCATCTCGCGAACACTCAGCCCCGACGGAGCAAACAGCAGCGCTTCTCCTGTTTTGAGTGATGCAATCTGGTTGATGTTGAGTGATGAGGCGGTTTACCCAACCACGTTGGATGAGGATATCTCACCTTGGAAAACCAGGCGCTCGAATCCGTTGTTCTGGCTGCCACATGCTCGAGCAGATGCCTCAGCCACGTAGGCGAGGAGAACCGATGAGCAACGATGAAGGAACACAAGTCGAGGAACTTGCTCGGGACCACCGTCGGCTCCTGAGTAGAAATCACCACCCTGGTGGCTAGGTGCCGCTGCTGTCGTATGACAGACAGAAGCGATTCCGTCAGCCGGGATGATGACGTGTTTTCGGTCAGGTACTGGCTCAAGATCAACGTCCAATACTCAACAAGTCGGATAACAACTCACTTTATGGGCCTCGTCGAGTACTGCAAGGTGTTCTCGATAGTCAGTCATGATGGGACAACACAGATCACTGACATCTTACCGACAATCTTTCCCGATGCGCGAACGTCCGCTTCAATGAAAAGCCCCAGGATCATGTCAAAAAATCCGCATGCAGACCCGGCATCCATGAAAGGCGAGGACAGACTGGAAGCGCCAGAGCGTGTCAGGTTTGTGCATGAATGTGAAACTCGATCCTCACTCTACGATCACCAATTTTCCGGGACCAAAATGTGTCGAGACTCGGTTCGTGTCTGTTCCCCCCTCTAAGCAGGCATCCAGAAGACTCAAGCGAAGATTAAGCATCGACTTCTGGTCGGTACTGAACTTCTGTTCCTGTAAAGCACGGCGAAAACTGCTGTAGGAGAATACGTCCATCGAACGGATGTACGCCATGACGTATTCCATATAGAGCGGCATATCTGTGTTCGAGGACTCAGCCTTCATACAACGCTCAAATGACGGACTAAAACGTACGCGATTCACCATCAACCTTCATCATGCAAAGCAAGCGCTCGGCACTGATATCCCGGGCAGCGAAGTGCAGCGGTTGAACTTCAACTCCGGGTAGTCCTTTGTAGACCTCTCGCATACACCTGAGCGAGTTGGGCCTGGCAGCGTTCAATAAAGACACTTTTAACGCATAGACAGAAACCTACAGACACAGAACTGTTACGCGGGGCGGGACGGCATGCTCACCACGGCGGGGGTCTAGTGATGCCAGGTAGGCTGCCTCACATGGTTGAACGACGCCGCCACCAGCAGCCGTGTCAAAATGAAACCTAAACGAATGTGTCAGCCAACTTCGAGCGAGGACCTAAAGCGAAACTCACAACAAGCCGCTTAAGGGGGCCGGTAGTGTCCCTACACGGTCATCCTTGATCAAGCAACTCTCGAGCAATACACTTGTGCTGTGGCTCTTCCCAGAGCCCTGGCGAGTTGGATGTGTCAGCTGAGTCCTCTGAGTCGTCATCCCGAACCCGACTCACCTGTACACCGCATACTAGAGCACTGAATGGCGCGTTAGAGTTGACGAACACCTCCGAGGACTGGACTGTTGAGGCAAAGCCTGTTGCTTCCTGCTCCAGCACAAGTCCGTACAGCGCATGCTGCGGGAACGTAGCCTCCCCAGCAAGAGCCAGTGCTTCGCCAGTAAAGACAGGTGCTGTGATTGTAGCATGATCACGATGATGAGCATGATCATCGTGGTCAGGCTCCGATCGGACCTCAAGTAAAGCGGAATATCGAAGTGAAGGGGGCATATCGCGATTGGGTGGTCAGTTGGGTGAGGTATGAAGGGCGCACCGTGTTATATAAGACCGTCGATAGCTCACCGCAGTAGTGAAAGACACCGTGACGTGCATGAGGCACGAGAACTCGGGGGACAAAATGAAGAGAGGACATGCGCGGTTTCACCTCGAGGACTTCTCCCGCTCGAACTGTCCCATTACCAGGAACTCCTGCCATGTACGGTTTCACCTCGAGGATTCCTCCCGCTCGAACGGTCCCATCGTCATTGACTCTTGCCAATTCTGCGGTTCAAGTTCGTTTGAGCATGCAATGAGTTGAATTGGCCCCATTGCACGTAAAACCCTGACGCGCACGGATAGTTCAATCCGCACGCGTCCTCGTTACTACTGAGGCTATAAGGGAAGGAGCCTGATCCCAGTTGCAAGACAAGTGGAAGAGGGCAAGCAAGCGGACGTAAGAAAAGATGAACAAGCCACATTACGTCCAGGTCTGGATCCTGTGGCTGTCTGGACCCTGTGGCTGACTTGGTCTTCGCGACGACTCCAGCACAGGATAGTCATGATAGACCGGAGCCCCGGTGTTTCTAAATCATCGTTGCCCAGTTTGTGCACCCGTGCTACGTACCTGCCTGCAGTTCCGGTAAAATCGGTCTCGGCCCGCGATACATTACCGCGTCGTCGTTAGCCTCATCCAAGGGGACGGATATGTCTGACGCAATGACATTCGTCAAGGAGGCGGAAGCTAGCCAGGTATCTCGATAGTACAGGTGGACGAACATATAATCGACACGCCACCATGCAATGGGGACGATGGAAGCGGTAATAATCGGGCAGGGAGGAGAGATGAGCGAACGAGGGGGCGATCCGGGGAGAGAATTGATGCTGATGACTCTGGACGTACTTGTTACAGCCGGCGCGCGTCTGCGTCTAGTAAACACGCGGAAATGGAGGATGCGTTGGTAATTCCGAACCGGACTACCGGTACGAAGTGGAAGGGGGAACCCGGTCCCGTGATGACAGCGATAGGAGGTCGAGGGTATGTGAAGGCCAGGTGGGCGGATGCGCTCTGGGAGCGCGAGGAGAGACGGAGGAGGAAGGGAGGAGGATCAGAAGTTGGACCAGGAGACGATGTCCTGCCTGGAGGAGTAGCCGGACGTCTCGAGGTTGACGGTGACGCCGAGCGAGGTCGAGCGCACGGGGCGCTCGGCACGGAGACCCTTGACGGGCTTGACGAAGCACCACGCGGGGCAGGCACCTATTTCGGTCTCGCCCTTGGTGAAAGGAGAATCGCGGCCGATGACGCACCAACCTGAAAAGAGGACCGGCATGAGAAAAAAAAAGTGCATATATGCGCAGGATGGTGGTATGATATGGCACGAGCGGGGATTGGCATGCGCAAGGCATGTTTCTTGTAGCAGCGAAAAAAAAGAGGGAAAAAAAAGGCTTACCATCGTCGTGGGATTGGAGGATGGCGACCGACTCGCCGAGGGAGAGCACAAGCTCGTCGGGCAAGACGGGGCTGAACACTTGACGCACGCGGCGCTTGCCGGCCTGGGCGCTCGAGCTTGCCGACGCCGTGCTGGCGACCGACATCCTGTGGTTGCTGCCCGAGCCGATGCTCAGGTGCGAAGACCGGTTCCCGCGGCCGATGTTGAAGATCGACGAGCGCCACGAGCTGCGGTGGTCGGCCTCCTTGCCGGCCCCTTCGACGGTGATGGACGGGATCGAGAAGGCGAGGGAGTCACGCGAACTGGGTTGAGGAGAGGAGCTTGAGGAGGATGAGGCGGCCAGGGCAAAGGAGAAGGGCGAGAAGGGCTTGGGGAGCGCGCCGGCTGTGGCATAGTACTCGATGATCTCTTCGCGGTTCGCGTCCGGCCGGAGGGGCGCCTTGGCTGGCATGGGTACGTCCGAGGTGAGGTTTGCGCGGGAGAACTGGCTTCCTTGAATCGCTTGGACGTCACTGTATGTGCATATAGGCGTCAGCACGATGCAACCATGCGGAGATGAACGATGATAGAGTAAAATCCGGACTGGATGTTTCTATTTGCTCGAGGAGGGTCGCTCAGCGCGCGCAAGACCGTATGCTCACCCTGAAGGAATGTCCTGTTTCTCGCTGTCTGAGCCCTCTTTGACGAGCCCGCGGACGTTGAGGAAGGCGGCGCCGCGCGCATCTTCACGCTTGTTTTGTGCGCGCTTACGGAACGTGCGGATGCCGAGCCAGAGTGCGAGCGAGAACGCGACGACGGAAGCGACGCAGATTCCGGCGATGATGGTTGGGTTGGAGACCTTGGTGGCAGAGGCGGTCGAGGTGGGGGCGGAGGACGAGCGGAGGACGAGCGAGGGCATGATGGTTGGTCGTTCTCGTTCGAGTTACGCTCTGGCCTTTTGATAGTTCGTTTTTCTGCCCGTAACGTGTACGGGGCGAGGCAATGTGCGCCTGAGCGAGTGTGATGACGAACGAACGTGGAGGTGCCGTGCGGGCGTATATCAAAGGGACCGGCGAAAAAAACGGTGCGGTCGGTTCGTATCTTTCAAGCCAGCGCAAAAGCAGTCATGCGAGATCCTGGGATCGTTTGCCGAACAAAAGGAGGGGAAAAGACTCGGACAGGAACAGACGCAAGTGGCCGTCGTCGCTGTCGTCGTCGTCGGTGGCGAGAAAGATGGGTGGTACGGAGGGGATTGCATCCGTTCGTTCGTGATGCTCGTACGACGAACGGTTCCCACGAGGCGCTATCTGCGCGCACGACGGGGGGATGCTTCTCTGTCTGATCTAATCTTAGCCGCGTTCGCGTCGCGCGGCTTCTGCCGCTCATGGCTCAACTGTTCCGCCATAATTGAACCGTAGCCTCCGGTCAGTTCCTGTCGCATCTCTGTTCGCCCAACGCCAACGCCAGCGTCAGAAAACGCAAAGTGAGGACCTCGGATTGCGATGGCATATTCAAACTGGGCACACGAAAATGGAGAGCACTGGGAAGCCGGTCGGCAGAGTCGCGGAAAACTCATAGAGGGCCGTCGTCCTGGCAACACGGAGGCCGGCCCAAAAAGGCAAAAAAGCGACGGCGGAGGACGGGGGCTCGTCCGTTGACATCTCTGAGCGGGGAACATGAGCTTGTATTTGTCGACACACGAGCAAGCATGTAAATGTCAGCGTACTAGATATTTGTTTGGCCCCAAGCTAAACACCTTGCACGTTCAGCGCTCATGATTGACGGCCAGGGTCGAATCGCGGCTCCATCCAGACCTCAAAAACGCCCGAGTGCGGAGGACGGTCCGGGCTGCAGTACTTACAGGTAATGAAACTTGCATCCTCATCCGCGGACTTCGGGAATAGTTGCTAGGGATTGATGTACTTGCAACTGGTAGCAAGTGAGTAAGTACTCTAAAAGAAATCTCTTACCTGAAATGCGGGACGAGAAACATTGACGCCGTTCGTGAAACGGTCTGCCCGCACAGGTCTCCACAGGATCATGCTCAAGATCGCAAGGACAGCGCACAGATCCGGGATGCCACAATTGGCCCGAGCTGCATGTAATCGGAGCGCTCAGCAGTGATACGCCCGGCTGCAATCGCTCCTTTGGGTGAGATCAGAAAACGACCGGAAAGTGCCCGAGGACGACGAACATCTGTGGCTGAGGAAGTACCGTTTAAAATTATCGCTGTCCTCTTGCGCCCTTGCCACCCCTTTCGATATTTGTTCCTGCTGAGCGCGTCCACGCCCGAACGGTTCGGGAGTGCCATAACGTGGAGAAAAACCAGCATTCCGCTCTTCTCGAGAACACGAACGAGATAATTGCCAGGTAGGCATCAGGCTGAAGCTAAGGGAAGAGAATAAAAAGAGAGCGTTCGACGTTTGTGCGCGAGCGGTTCGGCAAGACCCTCGAGACCTGCGGGCGACGACTCAAACACGTACGCGTTCGATGTCTGGATTGCGGAACGGGGGCTAGCCTGAAGAGACGAATCGCAGCGGCACGAAAGATACATGATCTATCCGCCCACGTTCACGCAACCATATGGATAAGCTGGAGAACCATTTTCATGCCGTGTCCGTGAGCCCCAGTCTGAAAGACTACGCACAAAAGCTGATAGTAAGTTACATCAAAGCGCGGTCAGCCCAAAGTCAGCACACACAGGGAGCCTCAGGGAGCGCATGTCAAAAGATTCTCACGCCGTGCTCAGTCCATTTGTGATGCCGCACAGCGACGCGTTCACCCGCAGTTCCAGCCTCCTCGTTGTTCGTAAGCTCCTCATAGACGCCTTTGTAAGGTGCTGCTGGTATGCCTACGCGTTCAAGATGGCAAACGTAGCAATACGCGCTATGCCGCCGTCACGGTGCTGCGGGATGAGCGCGAACCGCTCAGCTATATAACGCGAAGAGTCTTCCAATCGGACTGGCATCGATATCCAAGCAGCGACACCGAAATATCCTTACCTCCCTTCGCACATCCTTCCCATAACCCGACAGCAGCAATGACGGCCATTTCCAAGGTCGCAATTGCAGGCGTAAGTTCATCTGCGTCTTCACGCTTGCCGCGACATGCATGATCTGACGTCCCATATCTTTCGTAGGCAACTGGTAACATCGGCCCGGCCGTCCTCGAGCAACTCCTCCTCGCCAAGTTCGACGTCACCGTCCTCTCGCGCTCCAACAACCCATCCGGCCTCCCCGCCGGCGTGACCGTCCACAAAGTCGACTACGAGTCCGTCGAATCCCTCACCGCCGCTCTCCAGGGCATCGACGCGGTCGTCTCCACCGTCGCCTCATCCGTCCTCGCCGTCCAGACCAAGATCGTCGACGCCGCCGTCGCCGCCGGCGTCCGGCGCTTCCTCCCTTCCGAGTTCGGCCACGACATGCGCCACCCGGCCGCTCGGGCCCTCTCCGTCTTCGCGCCCAAGGCCCGCGTCGAGGAGTACCTCCAGAAGGTCGCCGCCGAGACGAACCTCACCTACACCTTCGTCAGCACCGGGCCGTTCCTCGACTGGGGCCTCCACGCCGGCGTCCTGATCGGGTCCCTGAAGGAGCGCAAGGTCGAGATCTTCGACGGGGGTCGCCTGCCGTTCAGCACGACGACGCTCGCGACTATCGGCCGCGCCGTCGTGTCGGTGCTGCGCCACCCGGAGGAGACGAAGAACCGCACGGTCACGCTCCACGAGGCGGTCGTGAGCCAGAGCAAGCTGCTGGAGATCGCGAAGGAGCTGACCCCAGGAGAGGAGTGGACCGTCACGGAGAGAAAGTCGGCGGACTTGAAGGCGACGGCGGACGCGAAGATCGCGAAGGGCATCTTCGACATGGAGGTGATCGTGTCGCTGATAAAGTGGTCGATGTTTTCCGACGATTTCGAGAACGAGTTCAAGGACGTGGACAACGAGTTGCTCGGGATCAAGACGATATCCGACGAGGAATTGAAGGCCATTGTAAAGTCTGCTCTGTAACTATAGTCCTTAAATGGCCCTGTTGTTGTAACGTGTACGTATTGCCTGTATTCGCGATGAACTGAGTTATGCATTGAGTCAAGTCAAACATGATTAGTAAAGGACGCTCAAAAGGTTCAGGGCTAAGTTCTCAATCGGGAAGCCGCCGCTGTGCCGACATCCTGCCGAGGCGCGCCGCATTCAAAAAAGGCAATACCGCCGCGATTCGGACAGCATGAGTGCGCGGATACGCCGCCCGTCATCGTGTGCGATGACCACCACAGCCAATTCTCGGGTACCTGATCATCCTCCCTGTTGTGGCAGAAGGGGCGAAACTCCTTCCTTCTGCATTGCTCGCGGCATGCACCTCTAGCCCCGCTACCACGTGTCCGAGGAAGAGTGGGTTACGGCGACAATGATGGCATGCAGCGTGTGCCTCACTTATGTATGACCGGCACCCAGGATTATGAACCCCGTCTTTCGCTCTTCGTTCATCCCTTGCCCACCTTGGGCGATACATCTGGGCTAGCTAGGCTAGGCCACCTCTATGCGCAAGATCTCGAGGAGTACGGTGTGGAGCGTCGTCGGGGCATGGTTAGCGGGTAGCAGCTGGGCGGAACAGTGCCACCTGAGGGCTCCGAATGGACGCGAGGTGGTCGTCCCGTCGAAACCGATTTCAAGCTCTGCGGGCGCGAGTGCCAGTGCAACGGCAACCGGGACCGCGACAGGGACCGCAACCAGCCCAACAGTCAGCGAGACGCCCTTCAAGTACGGGACGGATACCATCAGGGGCGTGAATCTGTGCGTAGTGGGAGCTTATATGACCCCGCAAGGCCGCTCATACTAGCGACGATTTGATATAGAGGAGGATGGTTCGTGCTAGAACCGTGGATAACGCCTTCGATGTTCGAAAACACGGGCAACGACGACATCGTGGATGAGTTCACCTTCGGCCAGTTACAAGACGACGACGTTGCTTTGAAGGCTCTGCAGAACCATTGGGAGACGTGGATGACCGAAGAAGACTTTGCGAACATGTCCGCGGCTGGGCTGAACCACGTCCGGTATGTCTTTGTCTCTTGGCGATCATCGATCCCGCCGTACTCAGGGGATATATGCGCCCAGGTTACCGGTCGGGTACTGGTCGGTCCCTCTGACATCGTCAGATACGAATTTCACGACGTCCGTCTCACCCTATACCCCTGGCGCATGGCCATACATCCTGCAAGCCCTCAACTGGGCAAAAGCACACAACATTCACGGTAACGTCCTCTCGCCTGTCGCGCCCTCCCTCGCGCTCACGCGACCGCAGTAATCCTGGATCTCCACGGCGCCCCGGGCAGCCAGAACGGGTACGATAACTCGGGCCAGCGCACGAGCAACCCGCAATGGGCCAACGCCTCTACGACGAACGTCGCTCGAACGCTCGATATACTCCGTTTCATGGTCAAGAACGTCGGAGGGTGAGTCCCCCCCCCCACTCGGTCGCTTCCGACTCGGAGTCTACATCGGTTGCAGCATGGTCGACGTTATCGAGCTCCTGAACGAAGCCGCCGGGTTCACGAGCAGCCAGTTCGCGGAGACGGTCCGCCAGTTCTGGCAAGACGGCTATGACGTCGTGCGAGAAGCCGCAGGAGGCGGTATCAAGGTCATGATCGGAGACGCTTTCTTGGGCGTAGATGTAAGTTGCGGGCCTCCACGTAGCCCGACTGTCGGGGGCTGATTGCTCTCGATGCAGAGTTGGGAGGGCTTCCTCACCTATCCGTCCGCGGAGGGCGTCATCATGGACAACCACGAGTACCAGATCTTCAGCGTCGAGGAGCTCTCCCGGTCCGAAGACGAGCACATCGCGTTTGCGTGCAACACGACGCTGCCCACCCTCAAGGTGTTCGCCGCCTCGAATATCTACACCATCATCGGCGAGTGGAGCAACGCCCCGACGGACTGCGCAAAGTGGCTGAACGGACGCGGCGTCGGCGCGAGGTGGGACGGGACGTGGTTTGACGCGAATACCCCGCTCGGGAACTGCACGGGCTGGACGGGGGACATGAGCACCTTCAGCGACGACTACAAGACCTTCCTGCGCAAGTGAGCATGTTTCACCCTGTCGTAATGGGGAGGGGGGCCTTGACTCTCTCGCTCACGCCTCGAAAGGTATTGGGAAGCGCAGGTGGCGATTGGGGAGGCGATACAAGGTTGGATCTTCTGGACGTGGAAGGTGCCTAAGCTTCTGTTCCTTTTCGCTCGCGCGCCGGAGCTGACGGCGTAACAGGCCGAGAACGCGGATGAATGGAGCTATCAGAAGGGGCTCGAAGGCGGATGGATCCCCCAGGATCCGACGGATCGATTGTACCCAGACATTTGCGGATGATGAAACGGTCGGTCCTCAGTAATACATCACATTTTTGGTTTGTATCGTAGAGAACATTCGTAACATGAGATATTAGGCAGGCTCGTGCTTAGGTTTCCTGGCTATTTGTGGTGGGTAGGTAGGTATATTTCCGGCGCGGTCCCAATAGCGGAACAACCGGTTGCCGCACCGCACGCCAGTACGTGCGGCTTGGCGCACACAGTGCATCCACGGTTCCCGTGAGCTGCATAACAGCCGACACACCGCTTCAGCACTGGCGCAAATAACTAGGTACATGTATGTGCTACTATGCGCAATCCATTACCTAGCGGCCGCCCACTTCAGCCGTCGAGAGTCAATACCGGGAGTTCCGATAGTGCACTAAAAACCCGCCCACCCCTCAGCAAAAAAAAACCCAGTAGGGAAAAACAAAATTGGGGTGGGGGGGAAAGCATCACACCGAACTGCCCAGCAAGACGTACAACGAACGGCACACTCGGGCAAAGAGCACGGAGCTTTCGGAATCAGGAAAAGTGTCAACATCGGAGGGCAAACGTATGCAGGAAAACATCGTCGCGCGAGGACAGCCGAGGTGACGACAGCAGAGGTGAATCCCGGTGTCGCGCGCAGTCGCGTCAAACATCGGAGCGCAAACACACACAGGGAGACATTGTCGCGCGAGGATAGCAGAGGTGTTTGCGTTGTGTGCGCAGAAGTGGAGGTACCTGAGCCGGCGCGGAGCGGACTTCCGCGAGACGCGACGACTCATGACGTCGGGATCGTCGGTCGCGTTTGCCCACCGCGCCGACTTCGACTTCGACATGGCTGCCTTTCCTTCTCAGCTCAGAGTCAGCTTCCAGACTCGAAATGTCACTTCCAATCCTGGAGCGGACCACCTCTGTCAGCTCAGTTCAGCTCTCTTGCGACTCTCGACAACTCTCGGCTCTTCCGGCACGACCCACGACGTTTCTGGGCACGCATCCCGCATTAAACCACAAACACAGGATCCACCGGCGAGCTCGTCGTCAGCGGGGCTAGCATCTGAAGGCTTAGAATATCTCGTGAATCCTACGCCGTCTCACGCTTCATGACGGCCCGAAAGGTTGCTGGTGCAGGATCTGCTGGGGGGAGCGCGGAGTCCCCGAAACCTCGGCCGATAATCGTACCTGGCGCCTGCTCGGGCTGACCGCCTGAGTTTCTGGCGCTCACCAAATGCGTGCCCGCGAGTCGGACTAACTTGTTGACAGGTGCACGGGAGCCCGGACGATCCTGCCATATCGACCGTCCGAGGCAACTCCTTATTAGCGGCGCAACGCAGGTCTCGAGTTAACTCTGGCAAGCCTCGCGACTTAGCCTAGCTGCTCACGACGAGAGTAATGTATATACGAGCTTCATGCTTACAGCCGAAAACGGCTCGTGCAAGATAGGAGCCATGCTTCTGTGCATGCTCTCCCGTATGAATAACTAGGTCCAATGGCAATGCACGCACAACAGCCTACCGCACTGCCGCCATGCATTGTACAAAGGTGATACACGTGCGAACAGCCATTCTTGCGGCTTTGACCCAGACGGGCCTCTCGGCGCTAATCGCGATAGAAGCTATCGAGGACATCAACGAGGTGCATCCGTGGCCGACCCTTTGCCCCAACGCTTCCTCACCTGCATCCAGAGCGACGTTACATGGAGGACATTTCAGCGCCTCATACCGTGGATTTGCAGGAGCAGATAGACTTGTTAGACAACGTGAGTGGTTGATCGCATGGACCACAAAGGAGCAAAACGAGGAACTCAACGTGCTCTCTAGGGCCTCGACCGGATACGTCAAACGGACGGTACGTTTCGAAGGTCCCTGCGCACGCTGAGAGAACTGTGCGGGGAAAGCGGGCTCGTACCCACCAGGTACAGGTTGTCGGGACTGGCCAGGGTTGGGACCGATCCACCTTGCGCTGGCGGATTCGCCGACGTATACCGGGGGACCTACAACGGCACGATTGTGGCTCTGAAGTTCATGCGACTGCACGTCAGGGATGGGAAATCGTTCATGAAGGTGCGTGACCTACGATGCCAGACCAAACCGTCCGCTCGGTCAACTCGGCGACTACGATCAGGTGTTTTGCAGGGAGGCTGTCGTCTGGAAACGACTGAATCACCCACATATCGTCCCCTTCATCGGCATCGATCCGTCGTACCACGCGTGTATCGTGTCGGAATGGATGGAGCATGGCGATGTCATGTCGTATCTTGAAAGCCACCCGCGTGCAAATCGCGTTCAACTGGTGAGCGTCGCGTTCTGATGCGCACCGTGTCAACCTCACGGGGCCACATCAGATCACGGACATTGCTCGTGGCTTGGAGTACATGCATGCCAGCGGTCTCGTCCACGGGGATCTCAAAAGCGTGAGTGGGTATCCTCCTGAACGGTCAATCCATATTCAGTCATCGGGACGCAGCGCAATGTCCTCGTTGACAGCCTTGGGCATGCGCGTCTCAGTGACTTTGGTCTCGCTACGACGGTACTTGGTACCGCCACTCTGGCGCCGACTGCTGGGTCGTCAGCAAATTGGGGCTCGTTTCATTACATGCCCCCCTGAGTTGTTCGATCCGATGGTACAGGATAAGAGCTTGACGTGGAAGTCTGACGTGTATGCATTTGGGATGACCGCATGGGAGGTGAGTGCAAGTTCGACGTCGCCGAACCACGTAAACCGATCCGACTTGCAGATCTTTGATGGGAGGCATCCTTTTTTCCATGTTGCAAACATGTTCTTGGTCATTCGTGAGGTTCTCGACGGTGTACGACCAACACGTCCTCTGCATGCAGGCCTGGACGATTTCATATGGAGTAATGTCATCAGCTCCTGCTGGGTAGCAAATCCGTCTGAGCGACCTCGGATTTCGGAAGTACTAGATCGGCTTCAATGGTATGAAACCGCTGAATGGTTGATTGCGAAGCTGCTGGATGAAGGCCTTGCGGAGGTGGATCGACAAGGTCTCGACGAGATGCTGTCTACAGGTTGGCCGGCGCGTCATCATGTTCCCACAAGCTCTGTACTGAACTCGCACAGAGATAGGCAGGGCTGCTATATTCACTATCGCTGATTCAAGCACGCTTTCTGAGTCTTTTGAAGCCATGCTAGGCGAATCAACAGACTCAGACTTGCGCGAGACACGAGCGATCGATACGATATTGGTCCTCGGCACAATGTCGTCGTTCCTGCCAGGCGTGAACTTGAAGCGATATCCCAGACACATGATGGACAAACTTGTGCCTCACGTTGACAAGAGACGACCGGGGATCCAGCAGGCGATGGCGAGGATGACACGCTATTGCGGTGGTACGCGGTATTTGGATGCGTTGTGCGCGTTGTATTGACTCCATCATCATGGCTAGCGCTGCAGCGTACGATGCAAGGTCATTCCAATTATGTATTCTCTGTTTCCTTCTCTCCGGATGGCTCGCAAATCGCCTCGGGCTCAGGGGACCACACATGCCGGATTTGGAACGCGGAAACCGGGAAGGAAGTCGGCGAGCCTTTACGGGGGCACACGGACGAGGTCAGATCGGTGTCGTTTTCCCCCGATGGAAAGCGCCTTGCCTCTGGCTCATTGGACCGCACCGTGCGACTGTGGGACGTGGAGACAGGGCTGCAGATCAGGCAGCCGCTCGAAGGGCATACGGACTGGGTTGCGTGTGTCGCATTCTCACCCGACGGCCACCGCATCGTCTCGGGCTCAGGCGACGCGACGCTCCGACTCTGGGACGCGCAGACGGGACAGGCCATCGGCGAGCCTTTCCGGGGTCACTCTGACTGGGTTCGGAGCGTCGCATTTTCACCGGATGGGAAGCACATCGCCTCAGGATCCAGCGACCACACGATTCGACTCTGGGACGCCGAGACAGGTGAGCCAGTCGGGGACCCGCTGCGAGGCCGCGATAGCTACGTTGTGTCAGTCGCATATTCCCCCGATGGTGCGCGCATCGTCTCGGGCTCCGACAACAAGACGGTCCGGATCTGGGACGCTCAGACAAGGCAGACGGTGGTGGGGCCGCTGCAAGGGCACAAAGACGCGGTCCGCTCGGTGGCGTTCTCGCGGGATGGCAAGCACGTCGTCTCCGGCTCCTACGACGGCACGATGCGGATATGGGACGCGCAGACGGGACAGACCGTGGCAGGGCCTTGGGAAGCCCAGGGTGGCCGCTGGGGGGCTTGCTCCGTTGCGTTCTCGCCCGATGGCAAGCGCCTCGTCTCGGGGGGTTATGACAACGTGGTGAAGATATGGGACGCAGAGGTTGATTAGGCCAGCGTGGTGCGTCGGGATGGGATCGTTTCGAGGTGCGTATCCGCTTTCGTCGTGCATGGACCTCCCTGACGAGTCAAAATGGTAGTTGACGGCGTCGATTCGCGTCAACCGGCTAGAAGCGCATGAGGTGGAGATTACCCGCGAAACATCATCCATACAGCGATGATATTATCTTGGAAATTGTCAACGGCTTGAAAGGCGCACCAGAGACCGTTCACGCGACTCAGTGGCCGCCGTGTTTCCATACCCAGATCTTCCAAGGTGCGGCACGTACCGTACGCCGTGTATATTTGCAGCGCTTCCCCGTTCTCGTCGACGCAGTGCCCTTATGTATCATGCGCCACGGAAAGAGTGGTCGATTGGGAGGCGACATCATAACATCCATGCAACAACGAAATACAGCGGGGGGCGAATAATTAGGGTGTTCAGGGGAAAAGAATGACCACGTCGTCGCACATCGAAGTTCCTTCTATCCATAGAGAAAGGGCGTCCGAGCGCAGGCGATTTGACAGCTTTTGGTGCGACAATATCGAGCGAGGAGGAGGCGTATTGGAGAGGCCTAGCGCGGACGTGGTTGGCATCAGCAGCAACCGTCGAATGGCGCCTCCTTGGTCACCTTCGTTTCATGGACTGTGGACTTGAGCATGGGTCCTCGTGGGCCTGGCAGACAGTCACAGGTACATATTCAAAACATACGTTTCACTAAGGAAAGAGTCCCCACCTTCGAATTCGCTTGCATTGCCATTAGTTCGGCGGACTTGAACCGGGGAGTTTGAGAGTGCATAGCCACGACATGACCTAATAAGGAGGTGACACTGTTCCTTGTCAACGGCCTCTCTTGCTGCTGCGACTCTCTGACTCCAAAGCTTTGTGACGTGCACCCGAGCTCCAAGGATTTAAACTCTGGATACGTGACACAGAGGCTACTAGCTGCGAAGCAATGTGTCAATAATAACGGAGCCCTTCCTGGTCGCTGGAGCTGTGTAATCACTTCGCCGCTACGCACGGGGCAATCCGCTGCGCTATGCACGATGGAGCCGTCGCCTATACCCGCCGAGCGGGTGCCGCTCTTGGAATGGATATGTGCCCGAAAACTGGTGTGACATCTGGGGTCAACCCCAGTTCTCGCTGACACCTGGCAATCACCCCCGGATGTGTCTGCTCGTATATCATGGTCTCTCGAAGACCATCGTTTGGTCCTCGGACACGCCCGTGTGTTGACCGCCTTGCCGAAGAATGACCAAGAACAGGATCTTGCGCTGCCGGGTGCATCGGCATGTATGTCGGCAGCGTGGCCGCCTTCAACCTATTCGATGTTTGTGCTCGGCCTACGATCAGTTGACCTCGACCATTGGATTTGCCGTCGCTGTTAGATCGCGGCTGCGGCTCTACATGCAGGATTTGCAAATGAGAAGGTGATGTAGACAATGCGGTCACTCACAACCCGAGGTCTCGAGGTCCTTAGAGGCTGCAATAAGTCCGCATACGGACATCTATTCACTGTCCCAATCCTACCACTCCGCGGACAGCAGGACTACGGCAAGTGCATCGCAATTTTATTCTTCGCTGCCGCGCACCGCCGCGCACGGCAATACCACGACGAAGCGTCAAATCCGAGTACGCGTAAGTGATCTCACCCACGTTTGCGTGGTGCCGCGTGCGTAGTGGGAAGTTCAACTCTCGAAGCGCTTTCGAATCTGCGCAGCCATGGGCGCTTTTAGGCGGTGCTGATGCCGTCTAGGGTACCCTGGTCGTCCTGACGTCATCTTTGTTCATAGTGATCTTTGGTTCTCCCTGGCTCTTTGGCGATATCAACTGACAGACTCTCATGGGACTATATACTACGATGCACCCGCGGTACAATGGAGATTTTTAAGACAGCCATACCGATCATGGGGTCCACGACGCTCTCGGAGTCGAAAGGTCAATAACTGCGCATGCGCCGGTCTTTAGCGAGGATCATAAAGTTGATCGAAGTGGATGTGCGTCCGTGTTACGGCCAGCGATTCTCCGTGCACCGCGGCCTGGAACAGCCTTCAACAGTGCTAGCGCCTTAGTCGTGTTGGATCGGGAGTACAAGTCATTCGGCAGGTTTGAACGTGCAACGGAAACAGGCTACGGATTAGGAATTGAAGCGAAATGGCACCACGGAATCGCATTGAACGCCACGCAAGTGATCTGGGGTTCCGCACATTTTCAACTTCCTGTGTACGTCCTCGACGGCCTCTCCGTGCCCGGCGTGGAATAATACGCGCAGCTGACGATGTTGCTAGATGCTGGCAGATGCATGACCTCATGCCGCTCGCCGACGGGTCGGACCTCTATACAGTTGTGTAGATCACTGCGTGTGTACTGTTCGTGCCTCCTCTCCTGTTGGAACAACGCTGCTGACGGAGCCTGCGGAATGGAATTCGTCCTCGAACGAACGAGGGTCGCCACAGCATTTGAAAAACCGAATCTCACCAGGTATAAGAGAGCTGGATGCTCGAATAGGTTTCTTCAGCGAACGACGCAACCTCATCCAAGTACAATCTCAATACACCCTCGCATCTGAATCGATACAATGTTCGCTCTCTCTGTTGCTGCAGTCGTCGCTGCCGTTGCCGGCTATGCCGCCGCCCAGGAGTCTCATCAGATCTCCGTAAGTCGCGTCAGAACTGCTGCCTCTCTTGCTGACCTCTCCCGCAGATGACCAACAACTGCGGCTCCGGCAACCCTGTTTTTATTGACGAGGCGAATGCCACCCCTCAAGGCCCGACCACCATCCAAGGGCAAGTACTCGGCGGGATCGCCTGGATTGACGGCTTTGCCGGTGCCGACTGCCAGAACTCGGGCGTGAACTGCGGCGCCGTCGAGTTCACGCTCCGTAATGACGCTCCCAACCAGAACGCGGCCGACTTCACGCTCGAGCCCCAGCCCGAGAACGGCAACCACCAGTTGTGAGTGTGATCCGCTTTCACTCCTCGCTTCGTCGAAGCTGACTTTGAAAATGTTCCTAGCACGTACCCGATGTCGTTCAGCTACATTGGCGGCGGTGCGTGCGCCGGCATCAGCGACAACTGCCCGTCTGCGAGCGCTTGTCCCGATGCTTTCACGGACCCCACCAACGGCACTCCTCTGCAATGCGTGGGCACCAATGCTGGGGTTAATATCTCTCTTATGTCCGTCCTCCAACACGACCGTACTGACTATCAACATGATACAGATTCAAATCACCTTCTGCTAAATGCGCGTAGCTGTGCACAGCTGATGTCCAACATGTTCTTGAGCAACTGTCTCCTGCGCTCTTGTACATTAGTTATAATGATGAAAATTGATGATTTCTTAAATCAGAGCCGCCCTACGTGCGGGCGTCCTTCAGCTTTGCCTTCAAGTGTGCTTCAACTGTACAAGTGTGGCAATGCTTATCGCCGGACCCGATGGCCTTCATTAATTGCCAACCATCATGATAATGTCTGCCCCATCCAACGTAACCGCCATGAACTTCGCGGCTTCGCTATGGTTGGTATATGATGGGTGCTGAGCAACGCCGGTGCGTGGGTGAGAATCCGGACTGATCATATGCATGGCAATGTATGTATATACGCTTCAACGCCTTGTCGCTGCGTGCAAGTCCCACGACTGAGTACGTGATCACGGGCTCCCTGCGAACGTGCGTGAAGATCGTCTGAGAGACACATGTTGGTACATTGAGACTCGCGATGTCGAGGCGAAAAGACGTATGGTTACTACAAACAGCTTGCAAGGAACTCCACCGCTTTACCGACTGCATCCTCTGCCGCAGGCGCCTCGACGCCGAAGTTGTCCTTGCTGAGCAGTCCGTGCTCCGCGTCCGGTACAGGGATCAGCTCGTTCTTGATCCCCGCTTCGTCTAGCAGCGCCTTCAACGTCTCGCTGTGGGCGAGCGGTACCGCGGTGTCCGCCATTCCATGTACTGAGACGACGGGAGGGAGCTCGCGGACGAACAGCAACGGGAACAGAGGACGGATTTCGTCGTCCAGCGCGTGAGCCCGCGCGTCTTTTGTAGGCAGCGCTCCTAGAGTTTTGCTGAGCCCCGGGCGATTGGTGAGGTAGTCTGGGATGACACCCTCTTGAATGACATATATCATCGTCATGTGCCGCCCATCGGCGCACTCGTACGTGGGCGCCCGCATGGGCGAGCCCGAAGACGGTGGCGGGTGAAGAAGCTTGTCGAGGTCGAAGGATTTGTTGAGGCCGCCGAAGAAAGGCACACCGTCAGGGTGCGGGTGCACATAATGATCGTCAAGGAGGTCGCTCAACCCGAACATGTTCAGCACAGCTTTGGGCTTGAGGGATGCCTGAAGAGCATACTGAAGCGCCATGTAGCCACCCGCGGAGGCGCCCGCAGTAAATATAGAGTTGGAGGGGACGAGGCCGGAAGGAAGGGAGTTGCGGAAGGCGTCGGAGCTGAGGAAGGATGAAAGCGCGCGAATGTCGGCGAGGATATCATGCCCGTTGAAGGGCAGCAGGAGGCGATAGTCCGCGGTAATAAAGATCCACTTGCGCTTGAGTGCGGCGTCTAGCAGAGTATTTTCGGTCCTCCATAAGATTTCAAGTAATAGCAAGCGGGACTTACCACACAGCGAGAATGGAAACAAGTCATCGTCGCGCGATCCGCAGTACAGACCGCCGCCGTGGAACCAGATGAGGATGGGTGCGGAGCCATTCGCGTCTGGGGCATACAAGTCCAGTTTGACGTCAATACCGCCGACGTGCGAGTATATGAGGGTTTTCGGGGAAGAAGACATGGCCGCTCTGCAAGGATCTGGATGGTTCAGCTGAATCGACTGATCCAAAGGCTGGCGATGTCGATCCACGGGTCGCTCTCTTCATATCGTAGTCGATTGCTTTCGGCGTATCCTTATTTCGTATGCGTATGCTGATAAAGCATGGGAGTCAGCGGGACGTCAGGCTTATCGACGGTTGAATCAGCGTGACGACTTGCCACAAGGTTCAGTGCCACCTTTGGATGGAGATGGCGAGACTAAAATATTTGATCCTGGTTGTGGGCACCGAAAAGGAGAAGAGATCCTAGAAAAGGTGAGTAAGAACCATCGAAGAGGAACAAATGTGTACGACGATATGTACGCGAGTAATACTGCTTACGTAGGTGAGTTGTCAGGTAACCGGGGGGACGTTCCTGATCATGTGACATTTTTTGCAGTGTTCACTGCCTTCTTGGTATTACTTACGCTCGTCAAGCGAGGACTTGGCCGGCGCTGCAAGCGTGGCCGTTTTCTAATTTATTCTCCCGCGACAGCACACAGAATCAGTCGATATCATACATCAGCTCGGTCGACATGTATCACTCTCTTCGTCCATATGCTCTGCGCTATCCAGTGGGTCAAGCTTGTGCGCGTGTCGTACAAGGCGCCAGGTATAAAGCCCCGATCGTGATATATGCTTCTTCACAGCATGTTGAAGCTGATGCTCCCCTTCCACGACTGCGATCTCTGTGAATTGCGTTCGGTGGGTCAAAAGGTAGACCCGATATTAGGGTCAGTCAGCTGCTTCCGAGATTTCGCCGGTCCACCTGAAGCGATCGCATACCGGTGCTCGGACGATATCGATTGGCTGTGCACCGCCTAACGCCCTCGGGCGCGTGATGTCGTCGCGTATCTCCTCGGGCAGTATGATTTGAAGCAAATGTCGAAGTACCCTCCGAGAACACTCAACTATCCTTGCCATCCTCTTGTTGCGCCTACGATGCACAAGCGTGAACATCAGCAAAACAGTCTCACACAGGACAACTATGAATGCTTGTGGGAAGGATTGACGAACAGTATCTGGAAACTGATGTAGGATGCTATATTGGGACACCTGAGGTTTCTCAAGCCGCAACAATGGCATTAACACTGGCATTCACTAGATTCTCATCGACATAGTCATAGCACCGTGCGGTAGGTTTGCTCGTCTCATATAATTTTGCACCAGGCAAAGAATACCGAGGTGCCACATGCAATCACATAGCGAAGATCACATTTACGATTTTCATTTGTGCATAGGCCCGCGATATTCCCAGATCAAGTGCTGGATCATGTTCGATCTCAAAATTAGCCCCAAGCTTGCATTCTACATCATGTTGGCGCTATATCAAGAGGCAAGGGCCAATGATCCAAGATGTGGTGGTCTAAATACATGATTGACCCAACAGATAGGAATGCTGCTGGTACGTATAAAGCGCACGGAAGCCGACGAACTTCTCCTCGATTTCGCTCGTCGTAATCCTGCGAGTCCACGTTATGCCAGAATCTTTTTCTCTCAACTCACTAGGCAATACAGTGGGAGCAATCTATTTGGGTGTACTACTTGATGCTCTGCTGTTCGGTGTCACCAATGTGCAAGCATACATGTACTTCCACAGTTGTGAACGGGATCGCACAACGCTGAAGCTCCTGGTGAGTAGTATTTTAAGGTACAGAATCTTTCTTCATGCCTGCCTCCGATGGAACGAGCAGATTGTAATGCTGTGGATCTTGTCCGCGCTGCACACCGCATTCGGAGCATATTCACTTTGGTTTGACCTAATCACGCAATTCGGGAACTACTTCAACTTATTGCATCCCCTATGGTAACACTCTCTTGCGTGCCTTTGCTTCCAGTGACGTTGATCATACCACAGGGCGTTTTGGGTACGCAAGCATGGACTCTGAACGTCTGTCACTAACACGCTAATATCCTTTGCAGGCAACCATACCAGCCGCAGTACGTTAGATGTTCATCTACAGTTGGAACATGTGTATGAGGGTGCTTATCCAGCTCGCGAGTGATTTGCTGATCCGATAGTAAGCTAAAACTATGCTCGCATACTATCACCGCAACTGAACAATCATCAGCATATTCTGTATGCGGATGTGGATATGTGGGATAAGCTTACTATCTATCCGTTCGCCCACTGATCTCTTAAACATCGCCTGTATAGTCAGCGACCGCAATTGGTTTCTGGTCGCTCCCGTTGTCAGTATCAATTCTTCAGACTGCTATCTTGCCGCGAGTTGATTGTAGCATACTTCTGTCGCAGGCGGTGTTGTCGGTCGTGGCTTTCGGTGAGTGCTGAATTTCGCGTGAGAGAAACTGTACACCCATATTCTTTTAGGATTTGGAATAGGTAAGTGGGTTGTTCAAGCAGTAGTCAGCAACTGACGTTTAGTGTAGATGTCGTTGTTGTTGGGTGAGTACCAAGCGAAGCCGCGCGTTGTAGTTCAATCGTATTCACAGACATGTAGGGTGGACGAGAAGACGGTTACAAACCTTTGGGATCGGGAATCGACTGTGCGTAGAAAATATTACAGTCATACAGAGGCACGAGATCGTGACCCCTGCTCGTGTCATAGTGGATGTTCAATACGAGTCTCGCATCCGGAGCGGCAGCAGACGTGGTGCTGGCCGTATCACTTTGCGTTCTGCTGTATCGCAGAAAGATGGGCTTGCAAGCGTACGCCCCACCGTGCTATCCGTCTTCAACTAGAGCTCTTTATCTGTGATCCAGGTCCGACGGGATTGTTACGAGGTTGATCGTATACAGTATCAGCACTGGAGCATTAACCAGGTGTGTGATCCGTTGAAACGTCGTCATCTTTTTAACCTTTATATGTCTTCTCCATAGCATGTGCGCTGTGGCGGCTGCCATATGTGTTCGTTCTCATCATCTGGCATAAGTACCGCACGTTAACGTGATTGAACAGTATTCAGTGATAGAGGATACCTTCATCTTCATGACGTAAGTGAATTCGTGTTGTTCACGCCGCTCCCATAGATCACTCAAAGACCCGCAGCTTTTACATCATCTCGAGCAAGCGTGAGCCTTCGCATCATGGGTTAACGAGCATGACATCCAATTTTAAGTTCCTGCGCGATCGACACAGTGTTCTTCAACGCTTTGCTCGCGGGATTGAATGCGCGAAACACGCTCCGCGCGTCCTCGATCGAAGAAGCCTTCACGTTGCCCGCCTTGCCTATGCACGGACTGGACATACCCAAGGTGGAACAAGGCGGCGACGACGGCTTCAGAGCAGTTGACACGGGACGGGATGTGAGTCGTCATGTAGCTGATTGTTTTCTCTGGAGAGCCCGAGCCACTCATGACTTCCCCAGGCGCCGATCGTATTCGTGAGAGAAACGTACGACATGGAGAGCCAGAGTAGTACCGGGTTTGGGATCGGGACGGCCACGTGAATGTATAATATGTTTTGGTCATGAGAGACTAAAGGCACCATGGAACGCGTGTGATCATCTATGTTAGATACTGGGCAAGGATTTATGCCGTAGACGCTACGGAGAGCATACTTCGTCTCACGCGCTCGGAGCGCTTTGGCAGTTGACGTTCGAGGTGCTCCGTCAACTCACGCGAAATCGCCTAGGGAGCTGGAGTATCCAGTATTCGCGGTTTCGGACGCATCAGCCGAAAGATGCGTTATCAGAGAACCTGAAGGAAGGACCTTCATTACCCGTATACGATGTTTCAAGATCTTGAAGGCGCTATGCACGCCCCTCATCGGGACGTGACTTAGGACAGCTTGATTTCCAAAGGTCCATCATGTTGTGCATGGCCTAATAAAAGCCAGCGTCCGTAGCGCACCATGAGTTACGTTGGCGTTCATCAGCTTCCGTGTCTGACTCCGTATCCACGAGTCGTCGGCAAGCGGGTGCGGTACGCGTCCGTTCAGCGATACACGGTCCGCAGATGGCTAGAGTAGAGGTGCAGATCGCCCAGTAATGCTATGCGGTCTCATACATCCAAGCATCAGGGGGTCTGCAAGAGTTGAACGGCATCGCTGAGATGGTGCTGGCAATATTATTTCGCCACGTGGGCGTCGGTGGCCGTGTGGCCCTAATTTGGGGTGCATGCGAAACGTTGACCGTTGTTGTGATGGGAAGACCTCGAGACCGCTTCGTCGCTTCGTCGAGTCCCGCCGCCCCGTCCCCTTCGCCCCCGACGACGAGGGTCTACCTCTCTGCGTCCCCCACGCCCTCCTCGTCGCCGTCCCCGACGCACTCCACTTTTGCTATCTTTATCTGCATGACCGCCTTCCACTTCTGACCCGGTGAGCATGATCATGTCGCCCGTTGGCAACGCGCGCCCGGAGGACTCACACTGCCCGTCGTCTTCTTTCATACTGCAGTTCGCGCTTTTTTGGGAGACTCCTATCGTTCTCTATACGCACGACGCAGAAGAAAAAACCAGCAAACATATCATCAACCCGCACACTCATTCGATCACCACCGCTCCTTACGGACTCCGTAGACCCGCCCCCGAAGTCGTCAAGACATACCTCGTAATACCACCATCGCTCAAGAATCGCGATGCATCTTCAACGTCACCAACACCAGCACGTTCGCAGGCAAGTCATTTCGGACCCTCTCGCGATCCCCACGGGCGTCGAGGGGATCAGCACCGGCGCCGCGACCGTTGCGACGGCCGCCGCCACTGCGAGCAGTCTTGCGCTCAACACCGCCACCTCCGACGCCGCCAGCGTCAGCGTCCAGCTCGTTCCTGGTCAATCCGCGGTCACCATCACGACCCAGGATTCCTCCACCCCGACCTCCACCTCGGCCGCAGCGACCAGTACGACCGCCGCGGCCAAGTCCGCCGCGTCGCACTCCTCCATCTCCCTCGGCGCCGTGATCGGGGCGTGCGTCGCCTCCGTGCTCGGCCTCGGCCTCCTCATCGTCTTCGTCATCTGGTGCAACCGCCGCGACCGCGCGGCGAAGGCCGAACTCGCCTCGCGCCGCTCCAAGCTCAATGCGCAGGGCGAACACAGCCGACGCCAGTCGCGCAACCTGCCCGGCGGCACGTGGGGCAAGCTCGAGAGCCATCACGGCGGGAGCGACGATGCCAGCTCGCGCTACTCGGCGCAAGACACGACCGCTGGCACGGGCGGCGACGCGGAGAAGATGAGCATGAAGATGGACATGTTCAAGTCGGCGCCGAGCGTGCGCTCGGTCGAGAAGTCTGGAGAAGAGGAGGACAGCGGCGAGAGCGCGACGAGCAACTACTTCGACATCGACCCCTCGATGCTGTCCAAGTACCATCCCCGCCTCGCCGAGGAGATGTCGACGACGGCCAGCCAGCCGCACATGCACCAGGTCCCCACCGCGCGCCCGCTCGTCGGCCGGGTGGACACGTCCGCCGGCGCGGTCTCGTGGGACGGCGATACTGCCGCGGACTCGTTCGTATCCCTGAAGTCGATGCGCATGTCGGGCACGATGTCTCCGACGTTCGTCTCCGCCCGCTCCACACCCGCCGTCACGCCCGCCGCCATCAAGCACCGATGGGAGTCGGCCGAGGTCGTTACCCTCGACGAGGACGGCGTCCCGCTGGACTCCTCCTATGCCTCCACGCACAACACCGAGCCCGCGAGCGGGAACACCTCGCGTCGCGCGAGCGTCTCGAACCCGTTCTTCAGCGCGCAGGAGCGGATCAAGGCCCGCAACCCGTTCGACGACGTGCACGCGCAGCTGCCGCCGGTGCCCACCCGGCACATGGCGACGGACAGCAACTCGAGCGATGCGATGAAGTCGCTGCTCGCCGCGCTCGAGCTTCCCGGCGACGACAAGGCGAAGCTGGTCGAGAGCGAGGACGACCCGCACCGGGTGACGAGCATGCAGCCGAGCATCGTCAGCCACGCGTCCAGCATGGCGTACGCGGAGGAGGTCATTCCCGCGTTCCCGCTCCCGCCTCATGCACAGCGATAGGTCTTCGTCAACACTTCGTTGCCGTGATGGTTCGCTCGTCCCCCCTGCTGCCCCATCGACTTGACCGGAGCTATTCACGATGTCATGTGTTCGTTCGTCGCCGTTGCTTCCCCACAGCACTCTTGCACGTTGACCTACTTGATACGACTCGGCACGTTTAGCTGATGGGAATACCCGTCATCGCCGTCAAACCTGCTGTCTGTTGTCTACTATCCACCTGTTTAAACCCCTGCCATCTTCTTCACCCACTTTGCCCTTCTTGTCCATTTTTTTTTTGCGCGCGACGCGACGCGGCGATCCGGCATCGACTCCTCCCTTTCGCCCGTTCTTTCTCTTCCCAGTCCAGGTTCTTGTTCATGTTTTTTCCACGTCTTTTGATTTTCTTGCCGTCGGCGTCGACTCGCTCGATGTTTGGCGCGCATATATTGGCTCACCTGCGAGGATTGGTCGACAACCGTAGGCGCGGTCTTGGTTTGTTTAGGTGGCCATTCCGCAACCACCGCCCCCCTTTATTTCTTGTCGCTGTTGCATCGCACTGCGCGCTTGAGCATTGCGTGTAGATATCCAAAACCTGCTTTTAGTAATAATTTATTTGAACGGCCTGGGAATATCCATGGCGGAGGCATACTGAGGTCCAAGTCGCGTGTGTACGTACGGCTAGCGCTGGATATCTGGACTTGTCCCACGACTGAACGCTGCTAGCCCCTTTTCTAACTGTGGGAACTCATTTGTATTCCAACGAAGTGATGCGAGTCCGTAGAAAAACGTCATCGCTGCGGATCGGATTGAAACTCCTTCTTGACTCCTGCGCGTTTGCGCAACTCTTGGGGTATTTTTCAGTGGCCTGCCAGAGCTAAGGCCAGTGTGCTTCAAGCTCGCCCTTTCGCCGATTTCTGGATAAAAACGGGGTGTCGTCGTACGATTGATTGGATAATAACACCGTCTATCACAGGCCATACACCCGATATCGTTCGTCTCTGGCCGTGGGGTTTCCCACAGCTTGCGTACATTAGATCAATATTGCTCTGGGTTTTCCCGTATCCGGGTCGAAACCGCGTGAGCTTTGTAGCCCGTCATCGCGAACAGAAGAAGAGAAATGACGCGGCTCGTACCGGTGAGGGCCGCCATCGCATCCGTCTCGTAACTGACTCCCGGGGTTAGGCGCCATTCTCGTGAAGCCCCATAGAACGAAAGAGAAAACGCAGTGCAGCGGGACGCGCGTCTCGATGGGACGGACAGGCATGGGGCGCGAAACGTCCGGAGCAACTGGGGCGCCGTATGCGCCATACGGACACTGCCCGGTGTAAGAAGGTCCGCCATCGCATATTCGACGAGTCATGCAGACGAGGATGAAGTAGTCAGCAAGGATCGGATCTGCAGGACTGCGGTTTCGCGACTTTTTCACCGGTGAGCTCTTTGGTGGGGCACGTGTATCTCTCATCCTCCTCTCCATCTGTGTGCACTTCTTCCGCGATAAGCATACCGATAACCGTATATCCCACGAACCGTAGTTCACAACACGGAACGGGCTAGCGCGTCGGTGGCCAGAGGCCGGAGCGCAGAACCCGCCTTCACCGCCTCCGCGTTTTGTCTGCGCGCAGCACCTTTTGAACGGGGATGAGCAAGTGTTGTATATCGAGGTGACCGTGTGTCAATGGCAGCAACGCTAAACAGACAGTGGTATTCAGGTAACTGCCGTCGTCTGCACGGAATCTAGACTCAAGGGCGAAGTGATTCGACGGGATAAAACTCGAGCGACCACATTACGAGCCCTGAGGCCTGAGGCCTGAGGCGGTGACGCTGTGACATCGCCGGCGAGCTGGGTCGGACACACTTGCTCCTGTCGGATCTGCGTTGGAAGATGTTAGCTAGAAGGTTCCTTCCCAGACACCGCCTTGGTATCGGGTCCGTGCATATACAAGTACAGGGCGCCCCCGACGTCTTGATCGTCAGGGAGCGCCTGCGTCGTATCCATCCGGCTTCTCACGTTTCGCGCCAGGCCGACGCCGGCAACATAACACGGATTGCACGGAATCGCACTAGATTGAACACGGGTGGGAGGACAAGTCGGAACGCAATCTCATGGACGCCACTGACGGATCCCACCCGGATCCCGCACCCACCGCTTCTTCTCGTTCGTCACTCAACTCTGGCACACCACACTATGTCGTAACCCCCACCGACGAAACCCTCGGCACGCAACGCTTCCCTGTCGTAACACTCTCTGATCCACGCGTCAACGGCCCCGACCCTCAACCCCTATTCTATCCTTCTCCCAGTGATACCGTCTCGCTCGGAGCGCCCCTCTCTGACTTCGACGAGACGGAGTTCGGGCGTGACTACCCCAGCGGACAACGTCAAGACGGCTCAGCCGTCATACCACCACAGCAACCAAGCTTCGCAGACCCATACCTCTTCCCGCTACTGGCGCGGAACGAGCTGAAGCGCCTCACTTCACTATGGTACTACACCAATTCCATCCTCAACGATCACGATCTCCTAGAGCAACTGCAGGGCACCGTCGACGTCGTCCATGTGAGCACGCGTCTTCGCACCGTTATAGGACGTTCGCCCGGTCCTAATTTCGGACGTGGCAGGACATCATGCAGCAGGATTGCACTTTCCTCGGCTTGATGGACCACGACAGCTACACGCACATCGTCACCAACAATTGCCCGCTCTCCACCGTTCCCCGCCGGGAGGCCACGTGCGCGCACACCATCCTCCAGGACTCAGACACCGTCTTCTCCCTCCCGAACATGCTCGAAGACTGGCGCTTCGCCGCCTCGCCGTCCGTCCAGGCCGGCATGCGCTCCTACGTCGGCACCCAGCTCCTCTACCGTCTTCCGGGAACTGACGTCGAGGTTGCCTTCGGTTCGCTCTGCGTCTCCTCCAACTCGCCCAAACCGGCGCCGAGCGCGGTTCAGATCAACACCCTCAAGCGACTTGCGAAGACGATGGTGCACATGATCGTCGAGCGTGCCAACATCCGGCGGCGGAAAGTCCAAGAGGAGATGGTCGCCAAGCTCGCCGCAGTGCTCCAGGACGTCACGCCGGGTAATCTCATCGAGCGCCGGCTGAACGTCCTTCGCGAGTGTTACCCAAGCTGCCACGTATCGTATCAGATCCAGCAGGACGGCGTCGTCCGCCTCCGAGGCGGGCCTCGGGTCCCGTACGAGCAGGTGCGCGACTCCCTCTGGGAGGCGACGGACGCCATCCTCAAGGTAATCCTGGACAACCACACCCCAATACACCTCTCGCGCCCCACGAATCAGGCCGTGCGCGCCATCGTCGTTCGCGTGCCGTCGGCGGACGACGCGTACCTCGTGGTGGAGACGGACGACCTGAAGACCGTGTTCGACACCATCGACGTCTTGTTCGTCGTCCAGTGCGCCACGTCCATCTCTAACGTCGTCATGAGTGCGGACCTCAACGCGGCAGCCGCGTCCAAGGACTTGTTCCTCCGTGGAATGACCCACGATCTCCGGACGCCCATCCACGCGATCATCGCGTCCGCCGAATTGTTGAAGGAGGGGTCCTCGGACGTCGAATCAACGCCACGTACGCCAGGAAAGGAAACATCCCGACGCATGCTGGACGTCATCGAAGGCCAGGGCAACCACCTCCTTGCCATGGTCAACAGTCTGATCCGCCTCAATCACCTCGGGGTGGCCGACCAGTATGACCTCAGCACATCCTTGCAAAACCTCGCAGCAATCGAGCAAAGCGTCGTGGAAGGGATCACGAACTCTGCGGCGTACGCTGAGCGGAAGACCGAAGTCGCCGTCTTGGTCGATAACCAGCTGCCGGCGACGGCGGAGCTGCTCCTCACCAACGTAGCAACCCTCGGCATCGTGCTCAGTTCCCTCATGGGCCACGCACTATCGACGACGACCCGGGGCAGCATCTGCCTCCGCACGTCCCTCTCGCCAGACCGCGCCTTCCTCGACTACGAGGTCATAGATACCGGAGCGGGGATCGTACCCCAAGATTGGGGGCGCGTGTTCCCCCCTGCCGAGCCCGTAGCGGATCCCGACGACAGCGACCCCGCACATCTTCGTCTCAGCATAGCGACCGCATCCCGCATCGCAAACGCGCTGAGCGGGGCACTTTCGCTCGTGTCCTGCACCCCGGGTCGGGGCTCCCACTTCCGGTTGCGGCTCAACAAGCCCGTGATTGCTCCCGACAAGGACCCGGAGAGCGTCCGGCACCGATTGAAGAAATCGATTATGCCGCTCACGTATTACGTGCTCGACGGTGGCCCGCCGTCGGTGACGCACGTTGCCCAGCAGCTCGGAAGGCTCGGCTTCACCGAGACTTCAAAGGAAGGGGCGGCGATCGCCCTCGGCGATGCCAAGATGGCGCGTTTGGCACTTGAGCGACTGACGAACCCGTGGCAGACCGCGTTCCTCGTGTCTGGTGAGCCCACGAGCGAGGCGCGTCCAGCTAACGCCCCCGGCTGACCTTGATGCCTGGCGCGCAGACTCTATCGAAGAGGCTGGACATCACCGGCGCCCGTCTAATCCGCGGGTGCTCCGTAGCCCGTCGCCGGTCGTTCGCGCGCGTCTCTGGGCCGTCATCGACGCGGCCCTGCAGAACTACCACCGACGAGGACCGCTCTCCGCCGGCGCTTTCCAGGCATCGCGCAACTCGACCCCGTCCGCCGGCGACGCGCCCAGACGCGATCGGTCCTCGATTCGCCTGCTCATCGTCGACGACAACGAGATCAACGTCAGGATACTCGTCATGTACGCCAAGCGCCGGGGCTACGCGCACGCCACCGCACGCGACGGGCAGGAGGCCGTGGACCAATTTGCAGACGCGCTGGCGAGCAGGGCCCAACAGCCCGCGGGGACGTTCGACCTGGTGTTGATGGACCTGCAGATGCCGAAGATGGACGGCGAGGAAGCGACGCGTCGGATCCGGGTGCTGGAGCAAGACGCCGGCGTGTATCCTAGCCTCGTCTACATCGGTCAGTGTCGTCCCTGTCAGAAGTGCGTGCGCGCAGTTTGGCTAAAGGGGCGCGGTCGGGGGGGTACTAGTGTCCGGTCAAGGTTCGGATCGAGACATCTCGCGCGCCCTAGCGGCGGGAGCGGACGGCTACTACGTCAAACCGTGCAGTATGCGCTCTCTGGACGATTTGATCGCGCTCCGCTTCCGGGGCGGTTGAGCGCACAGGATGCTGCTGTCGATGCACTGGGTGTCTTGTTTCCTCTTATTTCATGATGTCACTGTCGCCATCATCCGACAGGCATCCGAACACACGAATCCGGACAAATTTATTTCTATTTCTCCGCCTTTCGTCCATGTTTGCCAGCCGGCGAGTCGGGCGACAGGGCGAGTTAAAATACGGCGAAGGGCAAGCTCATCGTCTATCTATACACCAACGTGCTTGGGCTGTCTCCGCGCGCATGTTCTTTTTTATGAACCGTATCCCGTTTTCCTGGGTTTTATCAGGTAGAATCTGATGTGCATCACATACATGTAGGATCACATACACCGGCCTTGTTGCATATACTGTGTCTGGTACCTCCTCCTGCTCAAGTCTATCACCGGCCTCGAACATGGCCTCCTGCATCACAGATCATGGCTCTTCACCGCTATGGATTAAGACAGGTTCTGTTGTATTTAGCCAGGTAGGTAGGTAGGTATATTTCCGGCGCGGTCCCAATAGCGGAACAACTGGTTGCCGCACCGCACGTCAATACGCACGGCTTGGCGCACACAGTGCATCCACGGCCCCCGTGAGCTGTTATACAGCCGACACGCCGCTTCAGCACTGGTGCAGGTAAACTAGGTACATGTACCAGGAAGGCGGGGGTTTTGGCGGAAGGCGGCAGCACAGCACAGGAGGATATTGGCGCGCCGTCGCTGCGGCTGCCAAAAACCGGGAAACGACGGGGAAACCCCGGAGAACCGGCGCGGGGACCCTGAGGACATGCACTCAAGTCCATCGGACGTCATCATACTGCGGAACGCACGTGAACCAGACCAGAGCGCACGCAGACGCAAGTTTGCTTTCTAGCAGCAGCATGATTTGCTTACATGCGCCTTGGTATCATTAGAGAGGTTTCTCAAATAGCGCGGTGGATTGGAACGGTTTCGTGCGCGCGGCTGGTCTGCAATCTATGATCACAATCGAGGACACACGGTAGGATGATGGGTTTCGTTTGCTCACCCCGGAGTGTTGGCGAAAGGCACAAGGAATGCCGAGCAGGGTGTGGGACACCTTCCCTGCGAGTACGCGAAATGAGATCCGCAAAGGTGCAAGGATACACCCTGGAGCACACGATACGAGGGGAGATAGGCAAAGGTGCAAAAATACCATCTCGGTTGGTGGACAGCTGCCAGTGTAGCGGGGGGAGGGCGGGGCCTTCTCGGGGCAGGCCAGTCAGAACGTTCGACAGTGCGAACGTGTCAGGGCATCACAAATACGAGAACGAGACCGACGTGTAGTCCTGCAGAACGACAGGCCTGCTCCTTGGTACTTAGTTATGGTCTGGTGGCGTGTGTGGCGCACTGGCGGAGGTTAGAGTGAGAATCGCCGTGAACCTGGATGTCGGCGAGCTGTGGTGAGATGGGTGCCATGCATCGTGCAGCATCACAAATGGGAGCAAGCAAAGTGCCAGCCTACATAAACAAGCGGACTTCCTGAGGTTGCCTTCCAATTGACTGCATGCTGCAGCTAGACCGCGATATGGAGGACGCATCTGCGTTGGAATCCATGCATGCATCCCCAGAGTCGTCCCAGCAACATGTTGGCGCATTGTCGAATGGCCTGCATGCTCATGCTCTAGGTCAACATGTGGACTATTGCGCCCTGGGATATTCACAAGACCCGAGTGATTTTGTGCGCATTTTCTTCCGGGATGATCGATGACGAGGGAAAGCTCAATGACGGGCGTTTCTCAGACCAGCTGTACAGCCCTGACCTCGACGCTGTCTCCACAATGTTCAGTACATGAGGTATTCGCTCCTAAGCTGTCCGTGCCCGACCTCATCCTCGTCTCCATTGATTGGCATTGGTTTTATGTTCATTGGTATGCCCTCGCCAACTCGACCAACGCATTTAATGGCCTGCTCCTTGGACCGGTGCACGGGCACATATGCGACAGCGCGGGTATTCCTACCGTAGCGGTCCCAGACACGGCCGAAATTCTGAACATCGTCCTTCGCGGAATATACAATCTGAGCTTCGCAAGCCCTCTACCATCGTTCGAGGCGGCATCGAGCGCTGCAGTGCCTCTCCTCAAGTACGGCTTCGATGTCCGGCGTATGTTCGCGCCTTCGACCACCCTCTTCGAGCTCTTTTCGACCCTATACGCGCCCTTCGTGCCGATGGACGTCTACTGCTTCGCGGCGCTGTACGATCTCGCCCCCATCGCATCTGTCGCGTCCGGACATCTCCTCTCCTTCTCTTTCTGTACGCTGGACGACGCCCTCGCGAAGAAGATTGGGCCTCGCTATCTCCGCCTCCTTCTCTGCCTCCACCTCGGACGGAGTGGCGCGCTGAAGCGTCTGCTCCTCCCGCAGCCGACGATGCATCCACCGAACACGGTATGCGGCATGGCCGAGCAACAGAACTTGTGTAGCGCGTGGGCGTTGGCAAGCGCCTACCTCTCCCGGGACCCGCGCCCGAGTGAGTTGGTTCAACGTCGGCAGATCCGCCATCCAAGGCCGCTATTGACATGATACTCCACGCGCAGATACTACTTCCCAGGATATGCGAAGCGTATTGTATCCCATATCCTGCAGTCTCGAGTGCGCGCAGTGCGGGCTGTCGTTCGTGGACCGGTCGTTGTCGTTAATCGCTGAATGGGCAGCAGTGAAGGTACGACCATGTTTGTGTACTGTTAACGACCTTTCACTCACCGTATGGCGGTACAGACGACCATAGTCACGGAATGACGTCGAGCCGGCGATTTACAACCCGACCTCGGTTCCAAATTCGCTACGAAACTACCCCCTGTTGTTACCCTAGCACCACCCACTACGGATGATCTTTCGCCTGTTCTTGATTCACGCGTTCCCCCTTCTCTTTGCGCTCTTGTGCCTACTTCGACAAGAACTCCGCATTCTATAATGGGCACGACTTGGCGGTGTCATGAGCTCGAAGTATGGATCCCCTGCTGTATATATTTACTCGTCATTTCAACCCTGTTCTTGTTCGTAATGCAATCATCGTCTCCTTCCGCCCCGGGTGCGCGCGATACTCACCTTCGTTCGAGCATACGTCCAGCGCAGCACGCGCTCTCTCGCAATACGGCTGCAACGTCGATTCCGCTATCAAGCCTGGCGCAGCGTACTCTTCGGTCTCTTCTTGACTGCCTTCCCAGGCGTTCCTCATTCGATACTTGAACGATACTCAGATCATAACTTAGTTAGCTACCAGTGCACACCAATCTGGTCATATCAGTATCACACTATGAACTATTGAGAGCTGTCTTGAAACCTGTGCTCCCAATTCCCTCTCGAACCCATAGCGGGGGCAATTCACAAAGCTGAGACGGGGTCAAAGGAGACACATTTTCAACACCATCCGGGCCATGCTTTCCCGAGCTGAACCACAACCCAAATATCCACCTCTGGGTTTGCCTCGTGTTTCAACTAGGGTTTCCAATCACCGTTGTGCCAGTCGGGCAGCGCGCCAGACTCCTGGATGGAAGTTGGATGCATGTGAGCTGTGCGGCAACTGTGCGGTAAGTATGTATCTCGTGAGTAGATCTGAGTGGTCGAGAGATAGAGCCCCGGCGGCATCGCAGTGGTGCCTCAACGCTTGAGCGATGAATATAGCCACGGAAAGCGTCGGATATGGGATTGTGCGCCCGTGGCCTATAGAGGCTTGCTGTTTCCGGCAAACGCAAGCCTCCCGCCCGCTCTCAGAGTCCTTCAAAGCGAGGTTTCGGGCTGCGATAAACAATCTGGGGAAATGGCAACGTTTGAGCACCTGCGGTCCGATGCCGATATCATGGCATGGCGCGCTAGAGAATACCAAGATCGTCCTTGGCGTCTTTGAAGCTGATATCGTCTCGCCGATATTGTCAGCATTGACAGGGCCACTCGCCCCGTCGATGTCCCAGCCCAGTGCCCACCGCCCAACATCTGGCCCTGCAGCACGCCGCAAGAAACGCGAAGAGGATCCCGCCGTGTTGCGCACACGTGAAATGGTAGCGGTGGTCGTGATGAGTGAGAATCGCCGTGAGCCCGGTCGTTGGCGACCATCAGGGGTGTGCTCGGGAGTTGAACATACCTAGCCTGCGGGCCTAGCATTGGCGAGGTGCAGCAAGGTGGAGTGCCAGTTTGTAGATAAGTAGTCGGAAGTCTCCCAAGCTGCAGCCAGCTGAAGTACCCTGAAAGCCAATGGCGAACACGTTCCGTGCATGTACACCGTCGACGTCTCGCACTGGCGCCGTAGAAGTCGGCTCACCGGCTGCGAGTCCTGTCCTGTGGACCATTGACGATATCTTCAACTTCGACACGATTTCAGACGACACCATTGCGCTCAGCGGCAGCGCGAACAAGCACGATCCGGCGGATACGAGGTGGCTGGTGAGTTTGTGGGTTTCTGACATATCTAATCTCGGTCTGACGCGGAACTTGCCGGCAGGCTCAAGCGCCAGTCACGGGGTCGCCTCGTACAGCCCCAGCGTCTACCGCCTTCACTTCAGTGTCCCCCATTTTCAGTCCTGGCTCTTCCGTCGCGCAGACGACTCCCGACCTCATCCTCGTTTCCGCGGATTGTGTACTCTTTTCTGCCCATCAGCATGTCCTCTCCAAATCTACCAATGGATTCAACGGATATCTTCCCTGCCTTCCCGGAGGGACGACGTACGACGATCCCGCCGAAATCCCTGCGGCATTGGTCCCAGAGACAGCCGAGATGTTGAACGTCGTCCTCCATGCCATCTATAACATGGCCTGGACGACTCCCATACCATTGTTTGCAGTCGCGTCCAGTGCGGTAACGTCGCTCGTCAAGTACGGTTTCGATGTCAAGACCGTCTTCGCGCCTTCCACCACTCTCTTCGGACTGTTCTCGAGATCGTACGCGGCATCCGCGCCTATGGACGTCTACTGCTTCGCAGCGTCGCACGACCTCGCTCTCCTCGCGGTCGTGGCGTCCAGAAACCTTCTCTCTTTCCCGCTCTGCGCGTTGGACGACGCGCTCGCAGAGAAGATGGGACCGCGCTACCTTCGCCGCCTGTTCTTTCTCCACCTCGGACGGACGGCCGCGCTGAAGCGATTACTGGTCCCGCAGCCCGCCCAGCACCCGCCGAATGCGGTGTGCGGCACGGCCGAACGGCAAGGACTCAACCGTGCGTGGGCGTTGGCGAGCGCCTACATCGCCTGGGATGCGCGTCCGAGTGAGTTAGGCGTCGCCAAACTCGGCCTGTTACGATCACTGACCTTGCACTCCACCTACAGACCTTACTTCTCAAGACATTCGAAACGTTATGAACCCGTTGATCAACGACCTCGTATGCACCCAGTGCAAGCTGTCGTTCTTGGAACGCTCGCTGGCTTTGATCGCTCAGTGGTCTGCAGTAAAGGTATGTCGTGGCCCGACATAATTCATTCGTGAATCATGGTCCTAAAGCTATGATGGACAGGCGACCATTCTAGCCGATTGATGTCGTAACGGCGACGTCGTCCCTACATTTGGGGCTGAAAAGATCCTCTTGTGCATAAACACATATTTCCGCGGGTTCTTGATCGCATTCGCGTATTCCCCGAGTTATACCCCAGTCGTGCGTCCGACCCCTCAGCATTGCGAAGGACGCCGACGACCTTGCGCTCTTCGTACCTCGAAGTATTCGTTCTGATGGCGAGCTGGGAATCATCGCGGTAACTGCGTGCCACATGTATGCTACTATCCATGCCTTAGTGTTTTATCATTATACTTGTCACCTTCAGCTCAACGCGATTCGTCGACGCCTCGTCAGACACGCGTTATTCTTTGTGCCCTTCGTAACCCACGCGCCATTCGAGTCCCGCTCCTCCTTCTTGGATGTGTGAATGGTGGGACGCCGCGCGTGCGGGAAGGATCGACACGCGCAGGTGAGGCAATATCTGCAGACTGCGCGGCGATCATGATCAGAAAACCCGGGTCGTGTAAGTTCTCTAATCTACGTGTACGGCCACCACTGAACGTTGACTCTTAGGCCTCAAGCTTCAGATCCTATCAGGAGCACGGGCACAATACCAGGCGACTAAGTATGTTGTTGCTGTCCAGGGTATCGGGGTTGGTTCATATCGAGCATTCGTTCACAGGGCCTAGGACACCTTGCGCGTCGTTACTTACTGCCGTGCGGCCACGCCGATGCGCTGTCATCCACAACATGGAAAGGACAACTCGCCGAGTCCCTCGGAGCTCACGAATACAGCTCTGGTGACAACCGGGCCAAGGCATAGCAGAAGCTTGGGGGCGTTGCCCAACACGTCCCCATACCTGAACTCGCATAGGTCTTAGGTTATACCGATCCCAACCACTCTCGCCAATGACGGCGTGCTTCCCATTCTGGCCCTCACGGACAAGTTGATTATCCCTGACGGTGAGCACACCCGGAGGCTCCGTCAGAACTTGGTGGTGATTCTGTCTTGCGTCCGCAGCGCCGCTGATTTAGCAAGCACCTCTCCAAGCTCGGCGGGCCAGGGCTTTCGAAGAAGCGGTTGAGTTCGTGGCAAATACCACGTTGCGAAATTTGACGGGGTCAACCAGGCGTACGGAAGGGTGGTATCTACATAGAAAAACCAAAATCACCGCCGTGCTTGTGCCTTCATGGTTCGGCCAAGGTCAAATCCCAGGTTGCAGTGATTAGTTGTGAGGTCACTGTAAGTTTACCTCGTCGTTCACCGACGACGTCGTGTACATCGTATACGTGTACGCAGTCGACTCATCAACTCGGGCAGTGTACTTACGCCACGAGTACGTACGTGGTCCACGAGTCAGTAGTGCAGCGTGTTTCGATTGTGACGAACACCCCTGGATGGCTTGCGGTCTCTGAGTTACGACGCGCGCTCGTGAGATAAGATCCAGGGTATAACCGTGACCGCAGCGCGGGTGACCACCGGTCCGCGTGTGTGGCTGCCTATATAGGGCGCTTACAGTCCGTTCCCTATAGCACCTACCATCATCACCGTCCCAACCTATAGAACGATGGCGACGACAGACGTCGAGTACTCGAGCGACTCGGAATGGCTCGATATCTCCTCGAACAACGAGACGGGCAGCGACCTCGAGACCGACCTCAGCGACCTCGATCCCGAGATGGAATCCGACCGCGATCGATATCTGAACACGAGCAGGCCGCTATCTAGGATGTCGTTGGCGTCGAGCAGTGTCGACAGCGAGCGGGTGGATCGATGGGAAGGGTTGGTCGACGACCGTCTGGAGATGAACGACGTCGCTACGGAGCGCAAGGCACCCTCGAACGAGCACCCAGTTCCCTGCGAACCCGCGGTGGACCAGCGCCAGTACGAGGACGTCGAGGACCAGAGGGTGAAGCAAGCGCTCGATCAGAGCATGATCAGCACTCTCAGTTCGCGGCCCCATTCACTCCATTCCTCCCTGAACGATTTGCGCTCTTCGCGTTCCTCCGCGCGCTCTAGTGACTTGCGATTGTCTTTCCCAGACCCACTGACATCGTCTCGAGGAAGCCATGCCTCATTCGGATCGTTTCACGACGTCGCGATGCCGACCATGAGCCAGGACGATACCGACTCGCCCGGCTTGTCCACGTTCGACGACGAAGATGATCTGACGCTCAATACCATCGAATTCACCAGCGATGCTTTCTCCTCGGACAAGGAGCAGGCTAACACGCTCACGATTCTGCCCTCCCCCAAGTCCAGTGACATTGCTACGCGACCTTTGCCGGTCGATTCCACATACCCTGTCACATCTCGCAAGCATGTAGCATTCGCGTTCTGCAAGCTTGCCCTGAGCGACAGGCGAAACGTAGTCACGATGTAGGCATCATTCTCCTTCACGTGTCCGGGGCGCATTGACCACTGCTGAACGCGTAGCTTGACCATCCTCTCCGTGGTTCTGGGGTACATCGTGAACGGGACCATGAACCTCCAACCGTCGCCGACGCCTACTATGACGAACCAATCCTCATCGACCGTGTCCGCGGCGCCTGCCTCTCGCCCCGAACTCAACGTTTCCGCGTCCACGCCGAGCGCTAACGCCGCGGGCCTTATCCCTTCCTCACTGAAGGAGTTCGCCCTGGCTGTGTTCAACCCACAACCGTCACATATCATCACATCTGCCGCCGTGCCGGCCGGATCAAGCTCAGGGTGTACAGACGCGGTTTCAGTCCGACCCTTTAGCTCGATCTCCGTTGTACCCCAGACATCATCTTCGCTAGCTGTAGTGAAACCATCCTCCGGCGAGCTGTCCGTGGTTTCGGAGGCATCGACGTCTCTCTCCGTGATCGGCAAGCCGTCGAGTGACCTAACGGTCATCCCTACGAGGTCGAGCTCGCTCTCCCTCCCTTACGCCATGCACACGTCCGTCCTCGAGGAAGAGGGACCCAGACAACGTGGTTTCGGCTCTGATCACCTTCCTCGAGCGCAGAAGAACGCCAAGCGGCTCGTCAACGGCTTCAAGGCGCGGTTTTGGGACCAAGACACCGTGCAGGGCGCCGTGATCGAAGCCGTGGGCGCGAACATGGAAGAGCTGTTCCAAGCGCTCGAAGAGCTCGCGAACGCCATCCGCCGACAGGCCCGGTACATCACCCAGGAGTTTGCGGAGCTGCGCGAGCTCTCCGTCGTCGAGGCCGCGGTCCGCGTCGGGAAGGCCGGCCGCAAGTTCGTGAATGCGGCGTGGGAGGACTCGAAGCGGGAGGTAGAAAACATCAGGGAGGCCACGCGGCACGCGAAGGAGGTGGGGATGGAGATGAAGGAGGACTTCAAGCAGGTCCTTCGGATGCGGCACCAGCGCGCCCGCGACAATGCGAAGAAGATCGTGGGGACGATGAAGAGCAGGGCGCGACGAGGCGTTGGCAATCTGCGGAACCGAGCTCGCGCTCAGGCTCGCCGCACCCGTCTATCGGAAAGGAAGGTCCTAGCGTGGGCCTGAGGCCGTCCTACCCGGAGCTCACACGTCCCATACGAGGGAGAATCGTATCTTTCTTATTCTTCGTCGTTGCAGTAGTCGATGCACAGTTTCTTTGGGATTCCATGTAACACCATAAGCGCAATGTTTATTATGTACTACAATGCAATGAAATGTATGATACTATGCAAGTTTGGACCACGGCTGCCGCAGGACGCCCAGATGAGTGAAGAACAGTGTGGAGCGCAAACAAGGGCCCCGTCGTCCTCGTTTGGTGGATTGTGCGCTATGAAGGCGCGCGAGAGGCCCTGACGAATTCGGTGAAGTATTTTCGGAAAGATTTCTGGTCTTGATCTCGCAGTTTTGTCGCGAACTCTAGGGCGGTCGGCTGCGGCCAGTTCTGCGCGGGGAGGAAAACGTTGACAAAATAGTCGAAGGCCTCCTGGCCACGCGTCTTCATGACTGTTTGTAGGAAGTTCGAAATCTCTCCCAAGACCTGCAACTTCTGAGGAACGACACCTGGTACGAATGGGGAATCAAAACTCACGACGACGACTTGGCCATCCTTGACGTTCAGTTGTGGTTGCGACAAGATGGAGAAGGCAACTGGGACGAGCTGCTCGTAGATGAACCTCTCGAAACCCGGAAGCGCTTGTCCAGCGTCCTGGGCGGATCCGTTCGCGACGGCGTCTGTCCGTTGCCCCCATGTGGCTACGCAGCGAGAGAAGAAAGTGAAGACGGCTTTCTGGCTGCTGGTGTCTGACAGATCCGTCGCTAGTTGTTCCATGCTCGTCAAGAGAGGCTCCAACTGCGAGTTGTTGCCTGAGAGCGAGAATCGGTGAGCCATGTGTAGGAGAACGCCAGGCAGGACTCACGTTGGGAAATAAATATGCCATGAAGCTTCGCAGCCATGATGTTGTTGAGCAGGGCTAGATAAGCCCTCTTAGTGTCGGTGTGCGTCAGCTGATCGTCGGTGCCGGTTACGGGTTGCGACAGAAGCTCCCCAATGTGGGCACTCAACGGGCCGATGAGCTGGTCTAAGACGTCAAACATATCTCGCTGTTTGCGTCGGTTTAGAAACGTATCCGACCAAGGACGATCAATGCGCCGGTAAACTTACCTGAAGCTTGTGAAGAGTAAGGCCAATGAAGTTCATGAAGTCGACGAGCTCCGAAGGTTCGAAATGCGAGAGAAGATTGGCCATGAGAGGCGGTATAAGGTCTGTAATGTTTGGCCCAGTGGTGCCCAAAATTCGTGCGAAGGCGAACCTAGCCTACGATCCTGTAAGTTCACTGATACCCTGATAAAGGTCGTAGAGAAAGAATAACATACAGCATCCCGTATGCCTTTGTACCCTTTCAAAGTTTCTAACGAGACAAGGATAGCCTGAGCCATATCCCGGAAGACATTGATGGGCGGCATAATGTACTCCGGCGGAATAGGTGGTGATGGATAATCAGGGAAGCCCTTGGCGACGTTGCCCAGCGCCATGTCAATGTGATGAACCTTGAGTATTGCCATCACGTCCTTCTGCGCGCTCCCGGCCACCTGTAGACTCCTTCCTAGCTCATCCAGCCACGGTTGCACTATCGACAACAAACTTGCAGCCTGTTGCGCCGGATTTTTGTAGAGAAGAGAGATGAATACACCGACAGTCTCGAAGAGGTAGAGTTGGGAGTCGAAAATGCCCGGATTGCGTATGGCTTCTTCCAGCAGGTCTTGCTCCGCGGGATCATCCAGTTCGGGCAAGTCGACTTTCGGTTCTAGTAAGTCGCGGACACCCTCAAGCAGCTCCAAGGCGAGATCAACTGAGACCTCGTTTCTGCTCTCCCGGATGAAGCGGTGAAAGAGGTAGTAGACGCGGGATCGGATAGAAGTGTCGGGGTTATGAAGGCCTCTGGATAGGGCGAAGGTTAGACGTTACTGCGATTCGCACAGGTGGCATTTACCTTTGGTCGACCATGGCCTGTAACGTTGGCATGATGCATTCTTTTCGGACCTTGAAAAAGTCGCCATATCGCGCGACTGTCTCAAAGAATTGCATGACGACCGTCGTGTGAGGGTAAGACGATATGCCCGAGTTGACCATGGCCATGAGCATTTCGCCGTGAGACGTCAAAGGATAGGTAGAATAGTCGGCTACCTTTCGCTGATCCTTGGGAACGGCAGGAGCCTGACAAAACGCTGATCTACCCTTTCCGCCGGCTAGACGATACCCATGAGGATTGGCTCTGCTTCGCGGATAGGCAAAGAAGTAACGAACTTTTGTTAATCTCCCCAAAGATGAAGACTAGATATATAGCTAGCTCCGCATCATTCCACTTGACGTGTGTACCGCTCTGATAGGCAGACAGTGTAGAAATGGCGAGGTTACGAACGGCAGCTGTCACAAGGTCTTGGTCGATGATCAGAATAGCGTCCATGAACGTTCGAAGGTCCTACGAAGGCCATCAACTCCAGAATTCAGCAGAGTCTAATCAATGTACCTTTCTGAGCCCTTCGAACGCCGATCTATCGTCCTCGTCCATATCCTCTGGGTTGTCTGTCTCCTCCCATTTCAATTTCTCAAGGATCACCGAGAGAAGAGACGAGAGGAAGGAACGTCTGGCATCGTCCAGCGGATCTGTGGATACCTTGCGACTGCGCTTGTACTAGCACATGGTTAGCGATTTTCGTTAGGGAGACCAAGGGAGAAAGTAACGTACGCTTCCGAGAACAATCTGGAGGAACGGGAAGATGGTCGAGGAGGTGTCGTCGTACTCGTCCGCCATGAACCGAAGAGTCACGGGCAATATGTAGTTCGACAATCGAGTCGCTTCAGCCTTGACCGATTCGTCCTCGCAGTCCTGTGGCTAATCGTCAGCGAGTCATCTTGTGTGCCAAAACCTCACACACATCGACGAGTTTCATCAATTCCAGTCCCAAACCGTTCAGTAGCCGACCCAACGCCTCGCGATATGATTCCTCTCCCTCATCTTCGCTACCAGACGCCTTTCTGCTTGCTTGTTCTGCGCGCGTTTTGCCTTCGAGGGCGTCGACGACTTCTCCGAGGGACAGAACTTTGATCAACTGCAGCTTGTCTCCGGGTTCCTTAAGTCCTTTTGTGACTATACGTAATAGAGCGGCGGAAGTTGCCAGGCGGATTGTAAGCTCCGGGTCTGATAGGAGCGAGAATAACAAAGGGATCGTGGAAGGCGTAACGGTGAGGTTGATGTCGATCCATCCTGGTTTAGCGAGAAGTTATCCATATGCTCCTGGAATAGGCCAACTTCCGCTCACCAACGTAGGATGTATACGTCCTGATTCCCAAGTCCACAGCTTCGATCGCACGAGCCAAGTCCGGGTTACCAGCACCTACGTCGTCCGCTCCTCTCAACTTCACCATTCTATCCGCGTTCTCCGCCACGATCGCGAGCACCGCATCGTTGATCTTCCCCGCGTCCCGTTCTCGGACCAGGTCCCGGATGCGCACGTCGCGTTTGTGCCTGACGTCCGACCACGCGCGGGCGGCTTTCACGATCTGGTCGAAGACTTCGCCAGAGATCTCGAGCACGATGTGGAAGAAGAGGATGGAAACGTGGTGGTTGAGGGTGGCTTGCGAGGACGACTCGGAAGGGCGGATAAGCGCGAAGAGATCGTCAAAGAAGTTCGGCCATTGCTCGACGTAGGTACACAAAAAGAGGAGGGTCAACGTGTGGGAGAACTTGTTTCGTAAAACTTCCGAACATGGATTAAGCAACGACCCGAAGAAATTTGAGATCACTCACATGGTGCTTCCGCCTCTGCGCGACCATACGCGAATTCCGACTGAACGTACCCAAGGAACGCTTGTCGAAGGGTCTGGAAGGATTCGGCGTCCAAGGGTTCAAATCTACTAGACTATCAGGAGAAGCTCACCCTTTATGTATGTCCGACGAGCTCACCGGTTATCGAGGAAATCATCTAGCACTCTCAACGCGAAGAACCGGACTTCCGTAGGATATTTTCGCGTGCCCTCCGGGGTGGCGTCCACGTACAAAGCTAAAGCCAGTCTCCAGGTGCTGCTGGAGTTTTGTTGGATGGAGGACAGATAGCCCAAGGCCTCTTGATGCAACGATCCTGCCCTCGGATCAGATGCAATGAGAATTGCTTGCACGACCTGGTTGAGCTCTTCCTCCATGACGTCGGACGTTAGTGACCTGCTGCACGGTGTTCTTCAAGGTCCCTTCCTATTAGACGCTCGGTGGTACGAGAGCGAGAGGTTATAAGGCAGAAATATGTTTCCGTGGCTGGTAGCGAGTGAACACGAGCAACATGACTCCGGCGGCAAATAGTGTTATCGACGCGGTCAGATGAGAACTTGCCGGGGAAAGATTAGATCATAGACACGTCACGCGATTGCGATTGCGCGTCTTGACTTCAACCACCATCTACGCCGGATTGAACTGCCAGAAAGACCATGGGGAACAATCCAGCGAAGCCGGTCATCAGAATAGACGCATTGCCAGAGGATTTGATACTCGAAATCGCCCTCCAACTCGACTTCGAAGACCTGCTGGCGTTCAAGCAAGTCAGCCTTGCGCTCGGAAGACGCGATGCTCTCCCGTAGGATCTGGACTAATCATGCGAACATTCATTAGACGTGCCGTATCTTCCATCTATGCGCGTGTTCGGACTATTTGTCGCGTCGACTGGCGCTTTCTTTCCACCTCCCTCTGGATATCGACCCATGGGAGGAGTTGAGCGCGTTGTCGGGGAGGGAGATTCAGCGACGCATGGTCAGGTGCGCGCGTACCCTATGCATCTCGTGTACATATGTTGACGGTGCTTGCTTTAGGGCCTTGAAGCTCGACAAGAATTGGTCGAGGGGCGTACCCCGCATCAAGCAATTCGTGCATATACGCGGGCATGTCGTTCATAATGACGAACTGTCGATCGGTCGCATGGCCCTATTACCTGGAGCCCAATGGCTCTTGACCGTTCAGTCAAATCGTCGAAGGGGAAGGACGAGCGCAACGTGCACGTTCTGGTCGCTGCACGATGTTCGTCAGCCTTACAGGGCTGCGTGTCTCGAAGTCTCAGGTACGACACCCAATCTCCGAGAGGGCTTCTATTGATCGCGGGCTGAAGGGCAATACATGTTCTCCACCGCCGAGACTGCGTGTGGCAAGAGCCCTGCAACCTACGCCGTCACTTACACACAGAGCGGAGAAGAGTGAGTTGAAACATATCCATATCAAGCCTCGACACGACTAAAGAGGACCCATCAGCTTTCTCGACGTGTACAATGTGCCCCTGGAACAACGCTGGGCACCGATAGATTCCGTTACAGGTACGCCGCAACTGCTGCTCAGAGTTCGCAGGCCTCCGGACTGCCCTGGCGTGATGTACAAAGTTCGTCTGATGGGCGATTTTGTGGCTACCACCATCAGCCGTGACGGCAGTCCATACGGCGTCCTAGTCGTCTGCATCTCGTCCGGCCACCGAGTCCTCCTCGAGTTGCCCAGCATCGGGGTACGTCCGCTCGTTCCGGGAGAGGCAAGCTTCCGCACTCACGTACTGCGCGTCTTAGGAACTCCAGGGTTCATATATCGAGTTCGTTGGGGACGATCTGGTCATCGTTACCAGCCAATTCGACGGGGTGATGGTGGACAAGATCGCCATACCCGCGCTGTTCGCATGCTCTGACCCGGAAAGCTCGAGCTGTTCGGCATCTACGATCCGACTGAAGAAGCCCCGCACGATTTGGGCCGGCGTTCCCATCCATCCGGACGCCATCGTCTCCTTCGGCGCCTCGCCCGGTCCTCGAATGACCGGGTGGAGACTAAGCCACGTCAACGTCCTATCGTTCGGGCAGAGCCTTTACCTGGCCCGGATCCCGCCTTCCACATGCACATCGTCGAACGACGCGGACGGCACAGACGCGGACAGCGGACCCTCCGACCTACCTCGGTCCGCGACACGGCCTGCTGGCCTGACCTCCCAAGACTCGACCGCGCTCGGGCCCTGGGGCCACCGCGCCGTCTGGTTGGAGCGCAACTGGGAAGACGAGCACGTCCGGCTCATGAAGATGTCGGCCTCTCCTCCCGACCATCACGGCAGGAGAGGAACCGAAACGACGGACATGGGGATCAAACTCGGCGTCCTGGTGCCGCCCGTCCCGAACCTGCCGTTCAGACCGGCAGAATGCCGCAGTTTGGCGTTCGACGAGGCGAAGGGCAGGGTGGTGCTCGGGCTGTACTCGGGCGACCTGTGTGTCCTGGATTTCGTCGAGGACTGACTACGTGGGTGAAGGAGAGACGTGCCGTTACATCGAGGGCGACAGTGTATAAGCCCGTCTTTCCGCGCACCAGAATGATCTGATGTGGCCACGCTGGGTTCCATTCGCCTGAAGGTGCATCTAACCATAAGCCAAGAATTCAAGCATGATTAAATTATTCGCCAGCAATATTGTGGCTCTAGGTCACAAGCATGAAGTCTACGCGTCGTTCTGTATTTACAATGCAGTGCGATCCTTACATGAAATCCTTCGTGGTATATGACAGTAGCAGACGAAAGGTTCCGTCGCAAAGCATAGTCGGTGCCGAGTAGTCTAGACAACCATATAGATATGGATCGTGGCATAACGGTACGGATCGCAATGCACAGTTCGTTCATGTTCGTCGGACTTTAGGTGCCGGGATGAGGCCCATAAGCCCGAATGCAAGGAGGTAGATTCCAGATGCTGATGATCAGAGATGAGCACACTGAACGGTCAGGGTAGGAATCAAGTGGCCTGCACTCACCAGCTATGGAGCCTTCGACGTAGCCTAAAGGGGAGTAAGCGCCGAAGGTGTAGGTCGTCGTACACCATCCGCCGACCATGGCGGCCGTAAGGATCGGGATTACCCTGGACAGCTCGCCGGACTCCCTCCATTGGCGATACTATGGGTATCAACGCGTCAGTTGGACGAGGTGATGCCAATGTGATATGTGCGTACGTTCGGTTGCACGCCCTTCAGCTGGGGCATGAGGAGAATGTACAAGAACAATGTGATTGTTAACGTCCCTAACGCCAACGAGACGTATGCTATCGTACTGTTCAATCAAATGAGCGCGTGAATTGACTTTCCATGGCATCAGAAGGAGTGATGCGCAAGGAGAAAGGTTGTTATAGCACTGGCAGATTGCTCACCTCCCCCAGTCATCTCCGCCGTTCCCAGCTATGCTCCAGAACGCGTCGTGTGTGTTAAGCCAGTATGTGATCAGAGCTCCGGGCAAGATGAATTTGACCTGCTTGAGGGTATGCCCAGACAGCGATACGAAAGGGTTGCCGGATGGCATCTGGGCGAAATTAGATTCCGAGGTTGTCCGTGACGGAGGCAAGCCCAGGTCTATGCAACGACGGCGAAAATGAGGACGTACGCCTCCGGGTCTCTTGCTCGTTACTTGCTGGCTGCTACCGTGACGTTGAGTACTACGTAGCAGATTGAGTTGCACCAGAAGGTCGGTGCATGCAACTTGCACGTCGACCGATGGGAGAGCAGTACTCTCAATCACATGCGCCGAGCAGCCATACATACCGCGCCACTTCGTTCTAATTACTTTCTCGTGACGCTGAAGCGTATTTGGTATATTCGATATCAGCTCTGCACAGTCCCGACCGAATCCACTGTCCATAATACAGACCTTTATCTGCATATTGATCGCTCGCTGGTACTGCATGCAACCAACGCCGATAACTTAGGTCAAAATATTCAGCCAAGTGCACGGAAACAGGCTGTCTGGCATTCATCCCGTCCCACCCCAGTCTCGCTGGTCGATCAAAGTACGTTCCGGATAGATGCTCCATCCTGACTATAGAGACAGCTTTCTGTCGCCGTCAAAGAGACGAATGCGCTATTGCCGTCGGAATCGGCGGGAGAGATTGGCAGTTGTGCTTGCGATGTCTACGGGTTCGCTGAAACAGTAAAGGTGTCGCACAAGGGATCCCGATGGCAGCTTTCGGCTCTTCACTTGCGTTCAACGCGTGAGAACCGTCCGAGGAGGAGCCAGGACGGATAGTCCGAGTTGTATACCCGCACTAGGACGTTATCTCAGAGTTGCGGTCAGTACCTGCCGCACATTGGGACGAGTAACCTCAGGTCTCACCAGCGAAGCCTACGAATCAATGGATATGTGGCGCACCGTGGCGTACAGTGGCGTACAACAAGCATCGTCGAAGCGTTTCGAGTGCGTTCGATCAATGAAGTAACATCGCAGACGGTCTCATGGTGCGTTGCAATTGGCGCAGGCTGGTAGCAAGGCTGGACGTATTTCCTTCTCCTGCGTATATAATGGGTGTCTGAATCCCTCAGCTTCATCCAGTTTCCTCTCAGTCAAACGAGTTCGTGCGGTGCGCCTTCTCCATCACATATAAGCCAATCTCCCTCCACAATGCTCATACACTGCCGCGTTTTAGTGCCGATGCGCCATCATTGCTCCTAAATCACATCATTCTCCGCTCAAGTTTGCATTATGTGCGTACCAGCAGCGTTGTGTGATACTCACGCTAAGCTGTTCCGTAGGTCCGGGAAACGTCCTGCCCCGCAGTCTCCCCCTCCGTCCCCTCCGCTATCACCTGACGATCAGCAGTTTTGGGGACCGATGTTGCAAGTTCTGAAGGCAGACAGCGACGCAGCGGTAGAACGGTTCAAGAAAGCGAAAGCCGATTCGTCCCTTGAAGAATGTTTTGCAGATCTCTTTCCAGATGCTTCGAACTCTCTGATCCCATTTCTTCCTGCCACTATCGGAACCATTGCTGATAGCCTTGGTGCTGGGGTTCCCCCTGGTCCAGTCGCCCCGGGAGCGGGTACCGCCATCGTCGCGGCTGTATCCCTTCTACAGGGTCTTCCTGTCGGTTTTATGCCTGCGGATCTGGACCAGCTATGTGGAGCAGACCGCAATCGCCAGCAGCCACAGACTGCTCCTGCTCCCCCTCAGCGAGGACCCTTGGTCAGCTTCCAGGCGCACTTCCTCCCCCCCTTGCCAGTGGCGCAAAGCTTCGCCGCCGCCGGTCACAACCCGTTCCCCTTGATTGATAACTTGGCCAAGGCGTCCCAGAACTGGAGGCTTCCCTTCCCGCCTCCGCCTGGAGGCACCTCATCGCACACGGCTACATCAATATCTCACACAACCATAGTCTCCACTACCACAGCGCACACAACTCCTCCCGCCACCACACACACTACGGAGACTCCTCCGCACACTTCAACGACCACAAATCATCCTTGAACATTCGCTATGGGTGAGTCTGCTCGTGCGTCTCTCTCTTCATTGACACTAACTTAGGAAAAATCAGTGTGCATTCGATGTATCGTCTTCTCCTTGTCAGGCATTGGTTAATTGGCTGGCTGCACTTTGTGTAATGGATGAAGGGAGTTATATGCACTGTCGGGGAACCGGCATGCATTCCTGCGTTTAGCAGGTTTTACCGGATATCCAGCCGAAACTATGTTTCTGGCCGATACAAACGTGATATACCTGTATTGTATTGTATATACTGTGTCTCTGAAATGTCGTTTGTGCATTGCGCACTCGTGAGAAGTCTCTGATAAACTTCTATGTCTGGGAAGGAGATCCTGTTATGCCAGAGCTACGGACGCCGTCAAAGGCTAAAGCTGGAGACTTCAAGCTTCAAGCTCCATTACCGTCGCCACCATCACCGTCATCACCTCGATTGCGATAGCAGCCATAATCGGAGCCGGTTATGGTCATTCGTTGCGCCGGCATTTGAAGCACATGTCGACTTGGACCCGTCGGCGACTTCGTGCACATCGCAAAAACAACAACATCGACGAATGAGCGAGTAGGTACACCGAAGACCGCACATCTGCAACACACACACAAGGAGAAAAGAGACTTGCAATCGAATGGATGCTGATGGTGGCGACGACAATGAGATGTAATGATGGTGACGGCAACCTCCCCTCTCCGCTGCGATCGGACGCTATCCCCGTCCTATCTCTCGTAGCAACACGACAACAACGACGACTGGCACTGCTACACGGAAGAACAGCGACGTCAATGTGCGTCGCAACGCTCACGCCCCCGCCGGCCCTCATGCGTGACCCGGCACACCGCCCATCTGGACGGGCGCCTGCACCTGCTGGACTTCGTAGCCGTGCGGCGGCGGGACGTTCGCCCCCGGGGGCGGGGGCGGCATCATCATGTGATACGGCACGGCGTGCTGCACTGCGGGCACAAAGAACACGGGCGTCGTGAGCGTTTTGCCATGCGCATCAACAGGCACGGCGACAGGCGTACGCTGAGGGCTCGGCTGATAGTACGCGTGCGCGTGCGCCGGGATGGGCGTCGGCGGCATCGACGGGCGGTGGCCTGCGCCGTTCGGGGGCGCCGGATAGGATCCGGGCGGAGGCGGCTGCATGTACGCCTGCGGGGCTGTGGGGAACGCATGGGTACACCATAGAACAATCGGGATGGGATCAAGCTGCACTCACGGGGCATCTGTCCCATAGGGGCGGCGTACATAGCTGTACCAACGAAAAATGCGATTAAGTAACGTGGTGTCAAGATCATGCGAAGAGCTTACGTTGCCCATTAGGAGCGTGCATCGGTGGATATCCCATAGGCTGCATATAGGGGCTTGGCATGTACGCACCAGGCGGCCCAGGGGGCGGCATGCCTGGCATCATAGGCTACGCAACATCATATTAACGTTTGTCCTCAGTGCCAGGCAACACAACGGCTGCAACTCACTTGACCAGCATAAGCATAGGGTGGGTAGGCGTACACATAACCTTGCCTTGCCGCGGCCTGCGCAGCCGAGTCTTCCTCGTAGGATGGCGGAGGAAGCGGCTGAGGCCCCGGGTGCACCATATGAGGGGACTGCTGTGGCGGTGGTTGTTGCTGGATCGGCGGAAACATCGACAAGTAGCGTTTACCCTGGTACGGCCAGAGGGCCGCTGCAGGGACTTTCGGTCAGCGTCCGTCTGGCGTAGGCGCTGAATAAACGCGGAAGATGCTCACCAACGGCGGACGCCTCTGCGACTTTGTTGTACTTGAACGGATTGAAGTCGTCCCTGATGCTGACCGGGCCCTTCTTGATCGGCCGCGTGCCGAAGAACGGGTTTGGCTGCTGGGGGGGTTCGGCCTTGGACGTCTTGGGAGAGCTTGGAGCCTTCGGTGGGGTCGGCGTGGTCTAGATATCGCGTTAGCGGAAACCGTGTCAAAAAAGACAACCACAACTCGCCTTAGGCGTGGGTCTGAATGACGACGCGTTGACGTTCAACCTTGCGGCAGTCGAGGGGGACGAGGGCACCGCAGGAGGCGTACCAGCCGTCGAAGGAGCCACAGAAACGGAAGCACTGGAGGACGCGCCTGGTCCGGAGGCAGGCGTAGCGGCAAGAGCGGCAGGCTTGTTCTTGGGCTTGAACGGCGGGATGGGCTGTATGAACATGCCCTTCTTGACCGCAGGAGCCGCTGCGCCATCCGCGGGCTTTTTCGCGCCAATAACAGGAGCAACGGCAGCCGCGGAGGCAGACGAAACCACACCGTTCTTCTGCGGAGCCGCGGCACCGTTCTTCGCAGCGGAATTGGAGGGAGCAGGAGTTTTGGCCTGAGTCGGCACGACCTGATGGGAAGGCGAAGGGGTGACGCCGGCGGGAGCGCCTGGCGCCGAGGCTGTCGCAATCGTGCGCGCCTTGGCCGACGCAGCGTCTTCGGCCGACTTCTCCTTGATCTGCTTCTGCTTCTCTTCGTCTTTAGCAAGAATCGGGACCAGATCTTCCGGGATAGGCTTGTTAAGCTATCAAAGCAGCTGAGTTAGCATGCAGTTCAGATTTGTTCACCCATCAATGGGGCAGGGCCATGCATAAGACAGAAACGGAAAGACGGTCAATGCCCACCTTGAAGTTCTTGCTGAACTTGACGAGCTCGGCCATGCGCTTGTCCATGTCGTTCTTGATCATTGCCTGCCTCTTCTGCGCCAACCGCTGCTTTTCGTTCGTCACGAAGTCGCGGAACGCGGGCACGGCGTCGGCGGGCTGGATCGAGTGCGTTCATTACCAAATACGAGCGTGAGAGAACGTGATGGCAGGTATCCAATCGTGAGCCAGGAACCTTATATCGCGGACAACTGGCGGACAAACCTTACTGACGCTGCCGTTAGCAGCAGGGGCAGGCGACGAGGACGAGGCGGCCGCCGCCGCAGGTGGCATCTTGGCGGGAGGCGAGGTCGCCGAAGAGCCATCGGGCGCGTTGATGGTGACCTTGGGCGTGTCCGGCTTGGCGGCGCTCGGTTGGCCGGACTTGCGGGCGGCAGGGGGCACGTACGCGTTCGGGCCACGAACGACGGCACCGTACCTGAGGGCCTTCATCAGCATCAGGCCGACGGTCAAGGGCACGAAACACTCACTTGTCCTCCTCGTTGACGCCGCTGTCGTCGACGGTGTTCATCACCCGCTCCTCCTGTACGTGCGGGTTGTTGGACATGGCGCCCATGATCTCGTTCGCGATGCGCTGCGCCTCGCGCTCGCGTTCCCTGAAGTCGGGCGCATTCCTGTCGAGTTTGGTCGTATAAAGGTCTTCATCAAAGCCGGCCTTGACCCCGAATAGCTTCTCGTTCGCCGCGAACTGGTCCCAGCCCTGAGGCCCACTGGACGCGCCAGTACCAAATGTAAGGTCGTCGCCTTGCGAGCCAGGCCCGCTGGCGGGAGGCGGAGCGTCGGGCTGCCACGCTTGCAGCTCGCGTTCGCGGCCGGCCGTCTTGCGGCTGATGTCGGTGTCGGTCTTGAATGCTGATTGCCGTGGGAGACCAGCGTCGGTCAGTATCGACTGCATATACGCGATGATCGGGCGGAGAACGTTCACTCACTATCGCCGACGGGAGGCTGGGCATCGGCCGGGCCCGACGACCAGCGGTCGATGTTGGTGGAGGCGACGAAGTGCCGTTCTTTGAGAGGTGCGCCGGGGACGGATATGTCGCGAGCGTCGCGGAGGGTGACGCCGGTCGTATCCCCCTCGGCGCCGGTCGACAGGACGACGCCTTCCCAACGCTGGCCGGTCTTCGTGTTGAGCGTGATCGTCGTCCCGGTCAGGCCGGCGAGGGATGCGAGCATGCGATCGGTCTCGGTGCGTGGCCCTGGGCCGGGAGAGGTGGTCCCGCCGTTGGGCTGGACAGCGAGGGGCGGGAAGGCGCCGTTGCCGGGGCTGGTGGGGAGCCGGGCAGAGTGGGCGCCCGGGGAGAAAGTGGGTGACGCGCGGGCGCCATTCCACGCCGAGGGGCGTCTATGGGAGGACGTGGAGTGGGTCAGCACGAGCGGAGGCGGCGGATAACGGTAGCACGACTTACCGCGCGGGTGACGGGTCGGGTTGCACGCCCTTGCGGGTCGGCTTCGGCTGGCGTACGGATGTCGACATGTACAAATCTGGCTGTAAGAAATCGGAGAGAGAGAGAAAGAAGAGGGCCGAAGAAGAGCAGGGAGATGCGCGAGCTAGCTGGGCGAGATGGACGAACGGAAGACGGAGAACCGGAGACGAGAGCGGGGAGAGTGGTGGTCAACGCGCAGCGGGAAAACTGACGGGGCGGGCGGTCGAAAACAAGGGACCAGCAGTTCGTCGGCGCCGTTGTGCGCGGCGGCGGGGCGCTGAAGGACGGCGAGGGTGAGCCGTTGCAAGGCGGGCGGGCGGGAGGATATGAGATTGCCCTCGCCTCGTTCGCACAGGCCTGGTCGCCGCAATGCATCCGGGGTCCACCGGAAGATGCCAGTCACGCTCTATTGTCACACCGCCGGTAATTTAACCGAAGTGAGTAAGTAAATACTATGGGTAGGCGTATACTCGTCGCGCTGTGAACCTGCCTGTATGGGTACCATACGTGGGTTATGCATGTGTATATCCTCCTTCGTGGGCATAACGCGGCCATGCCTTAACAACATGAGGAGGTCAAGCCAGTCGCCTTGAGGCAGGATTCTACCGTCACGCGCGTCACTGCGTGGTCACGTCGGACCGTTATTGCAGGATAGAGAAGACTGTACTCTACTGCTGATTGACTGTAGTAAATCATATACCCGACTTCATCAAATAAATTGACGAGCATTTCATCGGTCCTGTTCGCTGCAACCTGTTGCGCGTTATGCGGTGAACCGCCATATCGTTGTCTCCGGGGTCCTTGACCCGGTGAGAATGTTTCATAATAAGCGTGACGCACGACGGAGACAAAATCCAATCGCACTGCAAGATCGTAAGGACGCGCTGTTTGCCCTCTGAACCCGTAACATATACACATATCGCATCTTGCGGGCTGCCATCAGAGTTTAACGTTCAACGTTCAATGTTTGACGATCGACGCTTGTGGTGATCTACCGCCCATCGTTATATGCATCCACACCGCTCGGTAGGCTGCGTACAATCCCTCAGCTATGTATTTTTGTGCTTCCGGCAGAATAATACTGACTATGAAGGACGCACGAGGAGACGCATATATATTGACGTGGCGCCGTTGGTCTCTGTGGCCGCCATACCATCTATCAAGTAAGTACTTACAACAGACGACGAACGGCAACGTCACGGTCATGAACTCCAGTTCGTCCAGAGCCCCGTACATTCCCGGCCCGCTAACATCAACGGCCTCTATAGGGTATACTCACAACACTAGGCCCGTCTGCGCACCAGCGACCGGGACCGTTTCTCGGAATTCTGAGCAAGATCTCATTCTTTCAGGGCTATGTCGTATACTTACCTCTGAGCGAACGAAATCGCGGTCAAAGGTTCCCGCCCGGGTCAAGGTACGGCCGGATGGACGTCTATAAACTGGTATTCGTACGGGCGTACCATCATGGTTGCGTCACTAAAAGTGAATCTGCGCAGGGAAAGTGGAGTGGAACTTTTACCATGCACTGCATTTTTTTGGTGAGCTCCCGCAGATCTAGACAGACGTCTTCGCATACTGCGGAGAACCCTATTATCACCTGCAGATACGCTATACTCCGCGCATGTAATCATCAACTAGTCTCGAAGCCAGCCGTCTCGGAGTACGGGAAGTCCCTGCACACCTCATCCCGGGCACACGAATTCTGCCACTGATCCTCGAATCAACCCACAAACGCAATCGAATTTAGCATTAAAAGAACTGTACTTGGAGTGTGCAAAGAGACTAGCTTACGAGTCTAGCATACAACAAGCTATACGTTGCACTAGCTGCCGCCACCTACCTCTGAGCAATCAAGTATGTCCTTATCTCACTGGCCACATGGAGGGAAAGGGTCATGATAGTGCGGCCACCAGTTCGCGGTGATGTATTCAGAGCCTCTGAGCTTATACGTAGAGCGCATTCGGCGTCATGAGTATGATTAATTTATTACGCCGTACGTGAGATAATATCAGCTCGATCGCGCACCCCTGTATTCTATATCGTTACTTTTTAACACTGCATCGGGTGTCGCCGCATCGTTCGAACTAGCCAAAGATACGTGTGCATACGTATCTCGCCGGCATATCATGTTAGACACCAAGGCCGGCCCCCTGCCAGCCACGCCGTCGAGCTCCCTCAGGTCTCCCCATCGTGCCACTCCAGAAGCCACCGCTCGTCCACCAGTTCATCATCATTCCAGACGTCCAACATCAGTTTCGCCTGCTGGATCCGCTCTGCCCCCACTATCGTCTCTCCGTCGGGGCCCACTTCCCTGATAATGCGCCAGAACGTGGTGCCGAGGCCCATGTAATCCAGCATCGGTATGTCCTCTGCGAGCGCCTCCACGATGATGCGCGACGACGGCACGGGGTTCTGCCAATGAAGGAATCGCAACCGGGGCATTTCCGCGTACTTGGTTAGCTACAATCACGAATCCACCGTGAACGGCGTCAGCTCACGGGGCCATACGTCACGGACCGAGCAGCACTCACGAGCGGCTGCAGCTCATACGAGTCGAGCGAGAGGCCCTCCCACGGGTGTTGTATGTGGAGGGCGACGAGGTTCGGCGGGATCGAGTCCGCGAGCATCTTCACGTCGTCGTCGCTCGAAACCCCGCGCGCGTCGAGCCCGAGCGCGGATAGCCTCTCGCATTTGGGCAGGACGTCCAGGATGAGCTCGGAGATCGAGCCCGGGGCGTCGATGTCTAGTCGGTCCAGCTCCCGGTTCTGGATGAAATCGCGGATCGCGAGCGTGTCCGTCTCTTCCTCGTCCGGGTCCATCTGCTCCAAGATCATCAACTTGAACTGCGCCAGGTTGGGAAGCGCCGTCGCGTGCGCCCGAAGCACGTGGAAGATCTCCGGGCCGATCACCTCCACGAGCGCGAGCGAGACGAGCGAATGCGCGTGTAGGAAAATCTGGTCGACGTGGTGTAGATCTTTGCAGTTCCAAATCGCGAGGTGCGTCAGTCGTCCGAAGACGTTGGGTGGGATGGACCCCCTGTCAGATCGATGAACACGGGCTTTTATCTCAGCGATGGTGAAAAGGGGCTCACATGGTGACGCAGGGGATCGCCACTCTTCTCAACGTTTCGGTGTTGTGCCCGATTATCTTTTCAATGTACGGGATGATCGCGGTGGTCTCCTCGGCGTTCTCCACTGTGGCGTAATCGATGCCCTACAGACATCAGTATGGAACGGAACGTTACGTGGAATGCGCTCGCTCACCATCTGACTTTTAACGGAGAACGACGTTAGGCGTAGTCGCCATTGGAGGGGGTCCATATTCCATCCAACACTGGAAGAAATTTGACGCGTAAGAGCGCCGCAAGCAAGCGAATACTGCGGAAACGCGCTTGGGTAGACGAAGTTCCTTGACTTCGGGGCAGTGTTCCGATAGGCTTTTTATGAAATCTCCGCCCATAGCGGGTAAGAATCTACGCATCCTTTGTAAGTAATGAAGCACGAAAGCCAGTTTCATCACCCACCCAGCCCACAGCACGGCTTGCAAATGAGTCATCGAAGCAACTGCGGTGACGAGTCGACCTATTTCAGCAAGGTTCAGCATCGCTTAATGTAAGAAAAGAAAAGACAAACACTGACCGAGAATTTTGGGAGCATCGTCATTCTGGGCGTACGCGTAGACGAGCAATCTTTGAATGACCCTCGCGAAACCTGGATTCCGGCAGATGTAGTCCAGAATCTCGATCGATCGGGCCTTTTGTGTTTCCCAGAGGGTTTTCTCGATGACGAGTACGTCGTCGGGTTCAAAGCCGTGTTCCTGGAGGGACCCGAACGATATGCTGATCATGCGGAAGACTATGGGAACCGCAACGGCATGCACTGCTTTGCAGGTGAGGAGACATGCGTTCTGAGACGGACGAGGAAGGTATAACAGCACCTCACGAAGGAGTTCGTCTGGGATAGATGTCAAGCTCATTCGGAGGTCTCGATAGCGCGAGCGACAAGAGCGGGTGGAGTGCTGGTGCGTGTATTTAACCAAGTCTTGGTATCCGCCACTACATCGGAAGGAAGGACACGCCCTTTCTGGGTTTCGCGAGGAGCTTCTGGAGGAGAATGTAAATCGGAGCCGCGCAGGGAACGGTTCTGGCCATACACCATACGCGGAAGATCCCTGTCGACGCCGTTGATCCGCTTGCGAGGTCTCAGCCCGAGAATCGTCACATCGAGATCCGAGGCGGGACATGGCGAACGGTGGAAACTCCAAGAAAAGTCAGACCCAATACTCCCGGGGACGCGGCTCGGGCAACATGGTGAGGCCAAAGCCATCACGCGTAACGCGTCATTCCGTGCGAGGCGGTCATGCAAGCATGATCCCCAACCCTGAATCCATCAGCTCCAAGGTCGCACCGAGGTCCCGAGTCTCCGCAAGCCAGGGAGTTGGCGGCCCGAACGCTGTACCGAGTAGCTGGCGGCTGCCGTTCCATAGGAACAACACGAACTCTTTAAGGTCTTCATGTTCCATCCGCCGAGATGATCGTCCATTAAAGTGTTATCATGGGGTCGACGAGCATGCCCATTACCCCATTTCACTTCCACTGATACACATCTTCGAAGCCTAACCGACAACGCAACGCAGGTCAATAGCAACCGTGCCTTCCGGGATGACATACAGATTGTGTTCCATTTACCCGTCCTGAACATGGTTTGAGTCCAGCGATACACACCGACGCGCCTGGGCTTCTCATATACTGCGGAGACATTCCCCAGGTTGCCATATTTGCACCACCGTCGTGGCATCTCGCGACTTATCGTACATAAAGGCGACCCTCCTACAAGCTCGGTCACAGTTTCGCAGCGTCCTTATTCACAGGGTCCGAAACTTTGACCACCCTGCATCGTAAAAGGAGACATGAGCACGATGTGGATGTCGCGAACATTGGAGGAGAAGCAAACGACGCTGCTTACAGCTTGCCCGTATTTCCGCCAGTGAACAGCATGGGCAACGCCTTCGGCGCGTTATCGAGACCCTCGACGATGTGGAACTTGCGCTTCAGGGTGCCGTCCGCGAGCCATGATGCCATCTCCGAGATAGCGGCCGGGTACTCTTTCGCGTAGTCGAAGCTGCGCGAGTGGCCATAAATAAGCATCGCTCAGCGGAGAGCGGAATCCACAGCCTGCAGCTCACACAATGAAGCCTTCTATCTTTGCCCGCTGACTGATGAGGTTCATGTAGCCACTAAGGCCTTTCGGGTGTGGGTTGTCTGGCGTGCCATATGAGTGCAATGTAACCTGAACGAGTGTGGTGGATTACTGTAATCCGAGATCGCCCCTACGTTAAGGATCGTTGATCAGTCCACTGCGTTGCCCAAACCACGCGGTCGCGAACGGTACTGACCACACAACGGAATTCTTGCCCCGACCTTCAGCCTCGTCAACATGAAGTCCAGAGTCTCGCCGCCTTATCCATTCGTCAATCCTCGCACGCCAGTCAGAGGACAGCGTTGCGTCTCACCAACGTTATCGAAGTACACGTCCAGATACCCCACTTTCTTGAACTCCTCCTTCCACTTCGGGTCCTTGTAATCGAACGCTTTCTCCACTCCTACCTCTTCCTCTAGCCATTTACACTTCTCCTTCCCACCCGCGATGGCGTACACCTTCGCGCCCTTCTTCTTGCCTATCTGGCAGACGAGGGAGCCGACGGCCCCCGCAGCGCCCGATACGACGAGGACGTCCCCCGCCTTGACGGCCCCGACGTGCAATAACCCAAAGTACGCCGTCAAGCCCGGCATACCGAGCGCACCGAGGAAGTCGAGCATGTTGGCTCCCTTCGGATATCTACACGCGCGATGAGAACCGAGATTCGTGCCCCAGACGAGGGCCAACGCGACGTACACCAGCTTCTCGCAGTCCTTGGTCTTTACGACGGCGTACTCCGTCCAACCTTGCGCTCCGAGGTTAGAGGAGAGGGAAGCGTTACGCAGTCAATGACAACGACAACGCATACCTGGCCTTGTGCTGACAACATCCCCTTCCTTCAGCTCGCTACCAGGCCCAGCCTTGATGACGGTCGCCAATCCGCCCGCACGCATCGTCTCGCCGATTTTGACCGGCGGGACGTAGCTCCGTTTGTCGTTCAGCCACCCACGCATAGCGGGGTCCAACGAGAGCCAATGCACCTTCACGAGGACCTCATTCTCTCCGGGAACCAGCGAAGACAACGGCAGTTGCTCCGATTTGAAGGTGGTCGGCGTGATATCGGCGACAGGACGCTCGTGGAGGTAAATCCGGGTGTATGTCGCTCCCGCCATTTTGTGGTACTGGCAATGATCTGAAGCAAGCTCGCCTGGGCGAGTATTAGCGAACTGGCGCTTGAGTTAAGGCGGGTGAGCGCGGGGTATTTGAGTTCCATTACTTGGCGGTGATTCGGGAAGGTGAACCGGTTGACGGGCTTCAGGTCGCCGGTAAATTGCCGGCTTATCAAGCGCAGGCCCGCGTACTTCACCCCCGGATAGAGTGCACGGTAACTTTCGTCAAGGTGATTACCACCTCCTACGGGACCATGAGAAGACATCTATAGAAACCTTCTAATCATCCCAAATTGCGACGATAGCACATAATCGTATCCACTGCCAGTGCCAGGCATTCTGATGGGGAGGTGCCCGTCTTCAATGGGTCACGTGTGTACACCGAGCCCCGACGTCATGATGCATGTTCGGCGGCGTTCGCAGGACCGCAACAGCTCCTGCAAAGGTTACGATCCATATCGACCCGAGAGCCAGACGATCAAACCTTTGAACATGAGCAACAATCCCTTTATCGAACAACCAGCGTTTGGCGCATCGTCGCAAGCCAGCTTCTCGAGACGCTTTCCCGACATCGACGTACCCCAATCGACGGCGCAGCCGCAGTACCAGCAGCAGTATGCTTCACCCACCGGCTCATGGCAACAGGTACCCTCGTCGCCCTACGGCCAGTCCTTCCAGCAAACTCCCTCTCAGCCATACGGACTTCCCCAGCAGTACCCGCAACCGACCGGCATCAGCGGATTCAACGGCGGATTCAACGCCGGATATGCCCTCCCGACGCCCTCTATCCAGACTCCCGCGGCATTCCAACCAAGCACCTCGTTCGGACAGCAGATCTCGTCCCCGGCGACTGGGATGTCCTACGTCCAGCCTCAGCAACAGCTACCGCAGTACGGAGCGTATCCGAATCTGCAGCAGCAGCAGCAGCCGGGGCCTGCTGGGTACAACCCGATGCAGCAGGTGATCAGCGAGTTCGATCCCTACGCGAACGCGGGAGAGTTCCTGGGCAGCGTGAGCAATCCACAACCTGGTTCCTCCGGCGCCATCCAGAGCACGTCCACTCCCGGCCATCAGCGATCCATCTCCAGCGGCGCTCCGGGCGGATATAAACACCCGAGGGAATACGTGCGGGAACACAAGTCGGAGCTCGAGGGATGGGACGCGTACTCGTGGAAGCAGGTCAGCTTCATCCTTTACCTTAACGTGAATATGTGTCCGGGCAGGCGTTGATCGCTGGCGATGGGCGGGTGGGTTCAGGCGATGAACGCGTTCGATGCGCTCAAAGAAGCGTGGGCGCAGCGCAAACGCGATGCCGAATCGCGCGTGAACCAGCTCGCGGGACCCGGCGCATATTGGGATTACGCGCGACAGCAAGAGAGCGCTCGCTTGCAGGGGGTGAGTGCCTCCACCGTTATCATTCTAGCCCATGTGGGCTCGCACCCGTCGGCGGAGGGATCGGTTGTTGTCCATTGTCGCGTGTCCTGATGAAACTATGCAGATCGCCAAGGAAGCCGAAATCAACTACGACTCGGTCGCGGCGTCAGCCTTCCAGATGCAGGAAGTGTTCTCGGGGTATCGCCAGGTTAGCCGCATGTCTGTCTTACCTAGCGCCCATTGATGCGCTGATACTCTTTCCGTCACATCCCAAAGTCCAGCGATATGGCGAGCAAGCGACGGGTGAAAGAGAGCATAAACGCAGCACTTAGCTCCCTGCCCGACTGGCCTAATCCACAGTGGTGAACCGACCATGTCAACCCAAGTACTATAGCGCCCCTCCATTAGGATCTCCTCTGTCCTGACCCCGTTGTTGTTGTACTATCGCCATATGGTGCATTGCTTGTATGTTAGAGACGGTTGGAATAATGTGATTGTATAAACCTCCACGTTGCCGATATTTTCTCCGGACAGCCCAGGAAGGATCGCGAGGGTCAAGCTACTTGAGTATACCTCGGTTTCCAAATGTACGACGCAACAGCATTTCAAACTGTCTCTCGATGCCACTCGCCGGTATGTTCGGTACCTAAAAGTTTCTGAACGTAGCTACTCGGGTGACGGCTGTCGTCGATGAGGGTACGAGGCCGTGGGTCGCACCTCTCTCTCTAGCCGCAGGAAGTTCTGGCGCTACTTCGACAGCGACTACATCATGAGCATAGCCAAAGCCGCACCGAACGTCGAAGAGTTGGAATTGATGGGACCCAGTTCGGATCAGTTGGTGAGCAGGTCGTTCCCCTCCACCGGAGAACTCACTAACCGCAAAGCGAACAGGACACTATCACCTCCGCATTGTCTCTCATGCCGAAACTGAGGCACCTGTGCGTTGCCGGACCACGGGATTACAGTCAGCGACCCTTTCTGCAGGTTTGCCAACTCTGGGTACTGGTGATTAAGTACGGTATTGTACTTCAATGAGATTAATATTCGTGTATGCTTGCCGTCCGAACTCCAATCTGTTCGGTCGTCTCAAGTTTGCGGTGGAGGGCGGTTGTTGGATTGAGTTGTAAGGGAGTGCAAAACCCACGTCAGCTGGAGTCCGGCGCATATTTGTGCTTGTGGGTGCCATTATGATTTCCGTGGCAAGGAATACATGGGCGCTTGCTTGCACATATTTGGACACTGCCTCGTTTGGTAGGTGCTTCCGCTTTTGGTGCGTCTTGTCTCGCGCCCTCCTCACCAACTGCCCTCCCTTTTGGGAAGTGGGCGCGGTAGGCGCTGCTGGGCATCGTAGGTCCCGGTGTCCCCCCTGAATCAATCGCCCGTTGAGCTCGTCGAGCTCGCCAAGTAGTCGTCCCCGTCTATAAAGGCCCCCGCTCTTCACGTCCTTCCCCCTCATCGAGTTTGACCCTCAGACGGAGCCCAGCACTCCCGTACTTCTCGAACCAGCATCCACCTCAGCCACCTCCTCCTTCATACTCGTTACAATGTCGGCCTTCACGTGCTCCTCCTCCCAAATCATTCACGGCTACTGGACGAAATCCAAGACCCAGGAGCAGATTCGCGATAACGATGTCCTTGTGACTGCGGTACGGGAGGCATCTGCCCCCGAGGCCACGCTCGCTTCCCCTGCACCCGCGCATGTAACCTCCTCTGCGCGTTCGCACCCTCAGGACCAAGAACTTGACGGCACTGGTATGTTCACGCGTCTCTTGCACTTCACGTAGCATCACTAACATGCACGCGCAGATGCCGTGGATGACTTCTTTGGCTTCACCCGCACGACACGCCCTCGCCCGCTGTCTAGCACAAGCGACCTTCCCCCGCCGTACCCCACCCAGGGAGACCTCCCCGCCTACTCCATCGAGGAACAGCACGAACCCGTCACGCTCGCCATGCACCTCTTCAAATACGGCTTCCTCTTCCCTCCGTTCTGGATTATTGGCACCATCGTGCTCTTCTGCTCCCTGAACGCGCCCGCCGACTGGCACTCCGAGAAGACGGACCTCGAGCGCCAGCAGCTCTTGACCGATATTCGCGTCGCGGAAAGACGATGGGCCAAGCGCTGCGCGTACGCGCTTATAGCGCTTACCTTCTTCGTGATCATCGCCGTGATCATCGCCCTCGCCGTCCTCAAGTGGTCCTCATGAAGACCTCACTTTCTCCACCCCTACTGCGCGCGATGACGCCCATGAAAACCCGTTCGACCCTAGAGCGTTCGCTCACGCCATACCTTCATTCATTCTTCGACGTCTCTGGCACTAAACGACTGGATCGACGCCCTGATTCAAGCAACTCTTACTCTCGACTGTAGCGATAACACCCGTGCCTGATCCATACCTTCTCCGCCATCTGTACTCTGTATCGTTATTGGATTACTTTATGTCGCTCTTACGTTACAATCACAATACTTTGCCGTGTCTCCGTATCAGTTGAGATGAGTCTGTTTACCAGTTACATAAGGTGGAACCAGATGTCGCTCGATATTACACGGAAGTCTTATGCATCGCTTCGACGCCTCCGACACCGCAGGCCAATGAAGATACTGTAAGTGGAATGAACCGCGATCCCCGCCTCGCGAGTGGGCGTGGGCTCCTCCCGCCGGCTCTGGAGCCTGAGGCCGAGTATGTGCAGGGGAACGGTGCAGACCCGAGAGTAAGTAAAGCTGTTCACCGGTCCAAGAGGGTGGGATAAGGCGGCCGTCAAAGCTTCGCTGAGTTTCAATCCTCGAAAACCGCCAACATGTCGGAACTTGGCGCGGAGAAGTCGTAGTACGACATGTCACGTATCCTCAGGGGATTCCCCTCCCAGCTGGGGCTGACAGGCACGACCGTCGACTCCACTGCAGGTCATGGAGGCTGCGAATAATGAAAGCACTTTATAACCCCTTCGCGCATCCCCCCTACCAAAGCTCAACACACAGCATCTCTTCAAGTTAATGTCTACCGTCAGCCATACCAGCTACTTTGCGACGGGGCGGTTCGTAGGGAGGACCATAAGGGCAGAGTTAAGTGAAATCCAAGGCGCGGTGCGCGGGAGAAAGTGCGTTTGGATTCCCCATTCTTTCGTTCTTTCTTTCTTTTCCTTCTTTTCCTCTTTTCTCGAACCAGTTGCTCAGGGAGAGGACCAAGCAGGTTCGGAACCAAGGATCGGCGCGCCATCGACCCAGTGAGGCTGCTCGCCCGTTACTTCCTTGCAAACGTCGAAACCGAACGCTGACGGGGTTCGTGTGTCCCGTGTCCACTTCGAAGCCGCCGGTCGTTCAGCTCCGTCTATTCGAGGTCTTCGCTTTCGGTACCGCACAGCACAGCGAACGGGAGCTCGCGGATGGAGAGTACAGGTAAGAGCCGTTCCTGCGCGATGAAGGACGAGAGGAGGGGTGCGCCCGGTGTGCGCCCTCGATTTGACCCGAAACGCTTTTTCCCCCCGCAGGGAATTCCAGACGTTGGGCCTGATCTGCCGTGCCGATCTCTTCCGTTTCGTCCGGGTGGAGGAGGAGAGTAACAACGACGGTTTGGTACTACCCTCGGGCGCGATGGCCGCGTCGTCGAGCAGTGCAAGTTCCAGCTCGGAGCCGACTGGAGCCGACGCTTTCGATGGCGCCGCGAGGCCCCCGGGCGATTTCCACCAAGCGATGCAGCCCTCTACCGTCGCCTCAGGCCCCGGCACTACCATCTTCATCTCGGACGCCACGGCCCAGCCAGAATCCGTCGGGAAGGAGAAAAAGGCGAGCGCGCCCAGCGACCGGTCCGCGACCTGCCCGGTCGTCGGCGGCTGGGGCCGGATAGACGAGTCTCGCTCGATGGCGTCGGAGCTGTTCGTGAGTGGGGCCCTCACTCTCCACTTTTACCGAACGACGAAAACCTGATATCTCTCGGGAGGGGGCAGGGAGAACGCAGTACTCAAGCCACCGTCGTACACCACGGCGGCCGGTACATGATCGTGTTCGCTTTCTCGGTTAGTCCGTGTTTTTGTTACCCGAACTTCCCCGTCGCGAACCCCCCCCCCTCCCGCGAGGTTTTTTCCGTGTGCTGAAACGGCGTAACAACGCTTCCGTTTTTCCGTTCTTTAGGACCTCTCCATCCGGCAGACGGGCGAGTTCGTGTTGCGATACAGCGCGTTCGACATACACTCCACCGCCGTGCGGGTCGAGCTCGACAGCAGCATCGACCCGGCTCTGCAAGCATGGCAACCCGGGGTCGTCGCCAGCGCGAGCGCCTCGAGCTCGACGATCCCGGTACTGGCGGAATGCTACTCGCAGAAGACGATCAGGATCTGGGACACGAAGAGTTTTCCGGGCCTGGAAAAGTCGACGGCGCTGACGCAGGTACGTAACCCTCACTAAAAGCGGCGTTCTTGGGAAAAGTGGAGGACATTTCGTCAATGGGCTCACGATTGTCGCTTTGGTTTACCTCGTAGGCGATCGCGCGTCAGTCCAACGGCGTGCGCCCGCGGGTTCGACGGCATAGTGAGATGGACGGTAGATAAGGCGAGGGTGAGCGTACTTGGAGCGATGCGTGTCTCCAAGATGCTGACTGTTACTGTACAACGATCTGTACAAACTTCTCAGAGCGCTCAGGAGTCATGCGAGTAACGCAAAACAGCGATACAGCCCTCGTGGATTTCCGTACCGGCTGTAAGTAGTACACATAAAAATATGTGTTCTTGGGGTTCTAATCCGCCGCAAACACACAAGACAACCAAGTCATAGCTACAAGTCCGGAACCTATGTTCTGTGACAGGTATAAATGTTACCGCGAGGTATGGCGATAGTATCAGCGAAAGCTCGAAACAGCGAAAGGACTGACTACTTGGTACCTACCAGCACTCTGGACCCGTGTATGCTGTCCAGCAGGATGAGAAAATAGGAGAATAGGAGTAGCTCGTCGGCCTTATGGTTCGAAGAGTCCACGTGGATTACGGCGATCCTGTCGTATCCCTCCAACGGTCCTTCCGTATATGACCGAATTGTCGAGAAAAGGCGGGTCACTGTTATGATGCCGCAGCCTCCAGAAACCGTGACGACCATCCCCTGCTGAAAAACTCGTTTTTAGAAATTGGAGTTTCACAATGACTTTCTCCCCCGGCGGAACAGACGATCCGAGTTAGGTCGCGTCCTCGGTCGCGATGGTGGTCTGTGACAAAAAAATAATAATCGATCGTCCGCATCAGACGGGCTTTGATATAGAGCACAACCGGGGTGTGGAAGAGATCTAACTGACCCTGACCGCTTCCCTATGTGCGACGAGCGACGATACGCGTTCCCGGAACGACGCCCTGCATTGCGTACATTCGATGTCGTCGGCTAACGGACCCAGCGCCGCGTGGATCTCCGACGCCGAGATATCTGGGAGAAAGGACGGATGTGGGCATAAACGAACAACAACACGACGACGAGAAAAAGGGGAAGAAAACAACCAAGAAAAAAAAGGAAGGACGAGGTGAGGAGGAGAGGGTGTAAGTATTGACCCGATCGCGCGTCCCATCCGACGTATGGCACATCCGAGCGCCCACGCCCGCGGGAGCCGCTTCTGCTGTTGCGGTCTTCCGCCAACGATACGGTGAAATTACTTGTTTTGAGCTGCCGTGGAGCATGCCATGCATGAGGCGTACACACAGCAAACGTTGACTGCAATCACCCGCGTGTCATCGTCGTTCTACGCGTCTGCAATGCAGTGCGATGTGCGTAGGAGTATACAGTACGTCGGTACGCATATCTTGAGGTGCTCGAGCCGGCGCGTAAGTCGGTGGTTAACGTATGTAGGGGGGGGGTGGGGTGATACATGATGCCAGAACCGCACGCGACGTCGCGCAGCTTGCAAGTTTGATATTCCGTAGGAGGTAACGTTGAGCAGCGCTGTAAGAAGACTCGCAGCAGCCGAGAGATACGACGCCTCCGCCGTGTCGTCCCAGAACGAGCGCTATCGTGCCGCCGAATTGGAGCAATACTAGGTTCAGCTTCAGGGTGTGTCGACGAGGTATTGACGAAGAGCTGGCGGATCCGTCTTTCCGGTGAGCAGTGGCGATCTTGTATGCACATGCCCCATCCATGGCTGATATCTGCAGACCCTTGTTCTGCAGGCTGCGCGGATCAGACGCTGCGTGCGTATAACGATGGCGATCAAGTTTCGCGCCCTTGACTGCGTGTGTTGTTGCTGAAGAAACGCGCGTCGCGTTCGGATTTCCCACTCCAGTCGCGGTCATGTGACGCTTCAACCCTGTGCTTTCGTTCCGTATCGACGGTCATATCCGCGGGGGGTAAGTAGCAAGGGCTGCAACTTGCAAGTGATATGGCCGCCGCGCCCGCAAGCCCGACGTCCGATCTCAGCTTGGAACGAGATCAGTACCGCCTCGAAGTCCAACGGGCGCTCGAAGAGGACGCCGACCCGCTCGCCGCCTACGAACGCTTCGTCAAATGGACCGCCGATGCCTACCGTGGCCGGCCCAACTCCGAGTCGCGCTTCACCGAGCTCCTGCACGAGGTCACGCACAAGTTCAAGGAGGATGCGGCGTACCGGACGGACCTGCGGTACCTGCAGATGTGGAGCTTGTACGCGAGCCGCTTGCCGAAGGAGAAGCAGGCGAAGGTGTATCGGGGTTTGGTGAAGGCGGAGATCGGCGTGCCGTACGCGCAGCTGTGGGAGGAGTTTGCGAGCATATTGGAGCGAGATGGGCAGTGAGTATGCGCGCCTTTTGTGAGATAAGACCTGAACGTATGCGTCTTAGCCATGCCAAAGCGGACGAGATATACCGCATGGGCATCACGCGCCGCGCCCGACCGCTCGAACGCCTCAAGAAGCGATACGCAGACTTCCTCGCAAGGCATAACAAGACGAAACCGGTTCCGTCGTTCGCACACTCGCCATCATCCACCTCCACGTCCGCCGCTACACATGCGCCCTCAACCTCGACCTCCGCCTCCGCCTCCGCCACCTCGACCCTCATCCTTACATCCACGACGCGCACCGAACCACCCCTCTCCCTCCACGGCCACAACCGCTACGCACCTCTCCTCACGCCCAACCCTCCCGGCCGGCGCCCGGAGCGGCTCATGTGCGACCTCTCGCTCATCTGGGACCCCGCCACCCAATCCGAATGGTCCTTCGCCGAGGCCCGCGCGCGATCGCAAGGCTTGCTCAACAAGAAGTGGCCGCCGCTCGTCTCCGACGCCTCCGCGACCAGCACCAGCGGCGGGCGCGATACGACCGTTAAAGTGCACTTCGCCGACGGCGGCAAGAACGCGACGAGGACGGGCGGCGGCGCGCGCAAGAGTCTGGCGGCGGAGCCGACGGTCACGATCAACACGAAGGAGGCGCTCGCGGACGTGTTCGGGATGTACAACTCGCCCGAGAAGAGTATGCGATTAGGGCCGGCCGCGGGGAGCAAACACGCACCGCTGAAGAAGGTGACTATATGATGCGTTTCGCCCGTTGTTGTGAGAGTTTATTGAGGGATGATGCAGATCGAACCTCTCACTCCGGGGACGTTGGCGCCTCCGCCGTTGACGCGGAGCCACAGCGCGTCATCTGTCCCCGACCCGAAGACGCCAGGCTCAATCAGGCCGTTCGTGGACGAGAACGAACATGCACACACAACGCCCGCGCCCGTGAAGACTCCGCGTAAGTAGTGCTCTAGCGCGCTTGTTCGTTCTCTCTTCAGCATTACTCATACGTGTGCTTTGACTAGTCTCGTTCCGCCCGTTCGTGGACAACGCTGAGAACGAGGTGCCTGCCACTGCGAAGACGCCCGGACCCAGCGATCCGCACACGGTTGTTCGGACCCAGAGTGACGAGAACGCACATGCGAGAACGCCATTCCGACCCTACGTCGACGGCGCCGAAAATCCACCATTGAAGACGCCGTGTACGTTCAATCTTTCCTGCGGCCCCGCAGCCGAAAAGTCCTGAAACAGAGTAAACTAGCTTTCAAACCTTTGCATGATGCGGCTGCCGACGAGAACGGGGGAGGGCAGGGTATCACGCCCGGCCCGACGCTGCTCAAGGTAAACCGAGCTCGATTCGAAACGACCCGACGCGGTACTTACGATGGAAACCGTTCGCAGTTCCAGCCCTTCGTCGACGGTGCGCAGCCCAACCGTACTCCGGCAGCGGTCTTCACGCCCGGCGTTCGTCGCGCGTTGGCGGAGAAGACCGCCGAGCCTACCCCGAGACCAAACTCGGAACAAGACGGCGACGGCGCGAACGCCGCCTCGGAGAACTGGCCCAAGACCCCAGCCGGCGGGGGCGTGTTGTTCTCGCGCGGTCCAGGAACGGCCGCCGTCTTCACCCCCGCTCCGGCGTCCGCCGCCGCCGCCCCAACGAGCAGCGGCGCTCATCCCAAGCCAGGCCCGCTCGGCGACGTGTTCAGCGCGCCCCCGGCAGCATCCGGCCCGAAGACTCCCGGCGCATTCACGCCGTTCGCGGACACGCAGACGCCCTTCAAGGTCTTCGTCAGGCCTGGCGCCGGCGTGCCGAATGGCGCCATGCCGACGCCGACGCCGGTCTGTGGGGCATTCAGGCCCTTGAGGCATCGGGAGGAGGAGCAAGAGAATGCGCCGGTCGCCACCGCGGCCGTCGAGGAGCCAGAGCCGGAAGATCCGCCGACGGTGACGATCACCCAGGACCCTACCCGTCCTCCCGGCTTGGGCGCCATTCGCGAAGATGACGAGGAGGAGGAGCGCTCCGAGTCTCCTCCGGAAGGAGAGGCCGACGTCGGAATGTTCGTCAAGGGCCATGATCACGACACGGACACGACGGAGTCGGAGACCGACGGCTCGCAGGATCACCATGTCGAGTTCACCCCTCTGGACGAGCCCGAGACGGAGGAGGATTCGATGATGGAGGATCCTCCGGCAGAGTACGCCCGAGCGGAAACCTCTGGGGATCAGAGCTACGAAGGGCCCGAGACGCCAGACCTGCACCCGGCGGAGTATGACGAAGAAGAGGAAGAGGGGCGGCACGCGGTGCTGCAGCCGCTGGGCCGCTTCGGCGCGTTCACGGTGATGACGCCCGTGATGGAGCGCACGTTCGAGTTCACGATGAGCGCGCAGCTGGAGGGAACGCCGCTGGGGCACGTCGAAGGGCGGATATTGGAGGGCTTGGACGATCAGGCGGTGACGGAGGTGTCGGACCTGTTGACGAGGGATCTGCGTCAGACGAGCGGGAACGGGAACGCCTTGGGGTTGGAGGACGTGCACGGAGAGGACAGGCCATACGCCAGCGCCGGCGACGAGGATGCGGGGGCAGACGATGCCGTTCCAGCGTCCACATCGTTCGTGGCCGTGTCTACGCTCCCGGAGCCGTGCAATCCCTTCGATCCGCAGCGCTTGGCGACCTTGATGTCCCTCATACCAGCGGTCCCTGGATACCACGACCTGAAGCGTGACGACGCGCACCTCCTCGATGGCCTCCAGAAGTTCGCCAAGAAGCTTGGACAATCGAGCAGTTCGGCCTTGGCTGCGCCGTACTTCCGCTTCGAGATCGAAGGCAGGCGCTTCGGGGTTTACGACAAGCTCGGCGAAGGGGGTTTTGGGGCCGTCTTCGCCGCGAAGGACCTTACGGATCTGCCCGTGAACGAGGACATGGAGGAGGAAGATGACGAGGACGAAGAAGACGAGGCGCCGAGGTTCGCGCTCAAAGTCGTTCGGCCGCGCAACGTCTGGGAGTACCATGTCCTCCATCGCCTGCACGCCGTCCTGCCCGACCATCTCCGCCGGTCCGTGATCGTGCCACACGCGCTGTACGCCTACCGCGACGAGAGCTTTTTTGTCATGGACCTATGCGCACAGGGGACGTTGCTGGACATGGTGAACCGCGCGGCGGAGACGGGCATATCGCGCCAGGGCGCCTGCATGGACGAGCTCCTCATCTTCTTCTTCACGATCGAGCTCATGCGACTCGTGGAGGGCATGCACCGCGCCGGGTTCGTCCACGGAGACCTGAAGATCGACAATTGCCTGATCAGGCTCGATCCGGTACCGGGGGGCGACGCGAACCTGGCCGGCACCTATCGCCCGGACGCGGACGGGTGGCTGCATAAAGGCATCAAGCTCATCGACTTCGGACGGACGATCGATACCAGGCTGTTCCCCGCCGGCCAGGCGTTCGTCAGCGACTGGAACACGGACGCCAGAGACTGCCGGGAGATGCGGGAACGACTGCCCTGGACGTTCCAGCCCGACTATCACGGCCTGGCCGACATCGTCTATTGCATGCTGTTCGGCAGATACATGGACGACGCGTCGTTGAGCCACGCGGCGTCTCCCGGGGAGCGCGTGAAGCTGGCGACGCCGCTGAAGCGGTACTGGCAAATCGATCTCTGGAGCAGGTTGTTCGATCTCCTGCTCAACCCCTCGCTCGCTGGGGAGTTGCCGCTCTGCGACGAGCTTGCGGAGCTGCGGCAAGAGATGGAGATCTGGCTGGAAGCCAACAGCAATCGATCCGGCGTCACCCTCAAGTCCTTGCTGAAGAGGATAGAACGCGCGTGCACCGCTCAACGGTGACGAACGCCCCCCTCCCCATTCGGCGTCGCTGTCCATTCGCTCTTTTTATTGAATTTTTTTCTTTTTAATGATAGCATATATCCTACGATTCTTTCGCAACACTGATTGTATATCTGCCACAATCACGCCTGACGTTATCGCGAGCACCGGCCCCATCACGTTGCTCGGCTGGGCGCCTTCTTGGAAGCTTGACGCTCTCCTCCTCGTCCGCTGCTGCATGTTGGCGCAGTCGACGATCATGAGCCAGACGCTATTATCTCAACGCCTGTGCCGGTCACCCGGGAGAGGAGCTAGGTGCCGACGACCGGTCTGGACTGGCGATCCTCGAGCAATGAACGGTGTCGGAGCTCCGCATGCTTGTGTGCGTGTGCGTGCGCACGTCGCCTGTAGCCCCGGGGGGGGGGGGGGTTGCGGGGCGGGCGGGTGGAGGAGAGCGGAAAAGCAGGACGTTAGTGACTATGTGGGTGTGATTTGTGGGAGGACCCGTGAGGCAGAAAAGACCAACGGCCTTGCTTCCCGAACGCCCCTGCGATGATCGGTGTTTCAGATGTGTACATATATATGCATGAGCACGCAGATCCACACGTCGACGACGTCGACCGCGCCCTGCAACCGAGCGAACTGATCGTGGCCGTTCTATGTACTTAGTACCGGAAGCGAGGCGAGGCGCTTCAGTCTGTCCCGCACCTGCAGAGTGAAAGCGTCCGCGAAGCCTGGTCGCTGCGGTGGTCCGGCGGGGTAATGGCGACACAAGAAGTCGCGCTCGTCGACATCCAAACTCAATATAGAGGCGTATCGAGCGCTTCTGCATCGCTGGGTGGGGGAAACAAGGGCTGCGGGGGCGATGCCGGGTCTTCGTTGTGGCGGAATGGAGAAAAGAAGCGGTGCGTGTCCGTTACCAACATCCCGACGTTTCGACACCAAGCTTTGATTCGAGTTTTCTTTCAACGTTATCGCAGGTGACATCTGGCGACGTGGACGTATTGCACTCGCCAGGTGCAGGCTCACCGCTACGGCTTGAGATCCGGTACGCGCTGAGTATATGCCACGGCCGTACGTATCAAATCCCCCGCTCTGGTGGGGGACCCGCCACATCCTCGACCCCACCCAAACTCCCGGATCACGGCGTGGGCGAGGCTGACGTTCGCGCAGGCCGTACTAAAAAGCTCGAGGGCGGGACGGGGGGATACCTCACCCGCCCCCCACCCAGCCCCTCCTACTCTCACTCCAACCAGAATGTCCCCCATGGGCCGTCCAGTTGCGTTCGCGGCCGGCACCTTCTCCGGCTTGACCGTCCGCACCGAGCTGCGCGAAATCCAGGCGGCGGAGGTGGCTCGGAAGGCAGGCACGAAAGGTTCGTGCCCTCGGTCGTTTTCTAATACACTTGTAGAGTACACATCCGTCATGTGGCAGTGCCCTGACGAGACCCACACCCCAGCAGACAGACGCCCGGTTTGTGGGCCCGCACACAGGACCCGGTATAACGCTGCACGTTGTTGATTGATGTCCCCGACGCCCAGCTCGATCCTCCTCCGATCCTCGTCGCCCGTTTCTTCGTGGTCGACGCCTCTGCCCAGTGGCAGGGAGAAGGCTCTGCAACCGAAAAGGAGATCCGCAACACGGAGTGCGTCGGTCCTTTTGTTTTTTTCTTTGGGGCGCCGGGTGATGCTGAGCATGGCGCAGTGATGTCAGGGTCGAGGGTTTCGTATGCAACGTCGACCTGTTCCCCATGTCGTCGGATTGGCGGCACGGTGAGCCCGTCCCCGCGACCCTCGAGGAGAGCGCGAAGTGTACCGAGAACCTCTCGGGCAGCCGCTTCGCCGAAGCGATCCGCCTCGAGTACGGAGGCGCCAAGTCGGTCATGTTCCCTTTCCCCGTGCGTGATTTTTTTTTTTGGTTTTTGTGCCCGCGAAAAATCCCTTCCGCGTGCCTGACGAAACGAACGACGGAACGGTTCAGGATCTATCCGTGACGAAGAGCGGCTACCACCTCCTCCGCTATCGCATCTTCAACGTGCTCTCCATCGCCGCGGGGACCGTCCCCGTGCCCGCCTTGGCCGAATGCTACGGCGGCGTATTCCACGTCTACGGATCGAAGGAGTTTCCCGGTCTCCGAGCCTCCACGGATCTGACCAAGGTGTGTGCCCCCGTTCCCCCCTCTTTCCCTCCGTTCGGGCGCACGTGAAAGAGAACTGACATTAACATAAATTAACGCCCGGCCCCCCGCCCCGAATCCCGCCCCCCCCCGCGCGCGCGCGCAAAGCTCATCGCCCTTTATCGTCAAGTCCCCGTTCACGTCCGCCAAACGGGGCGCAAGAGGCGCAAATCGCCGACCCGGGACTCGGACTCGGATCCGTCGCGACGGTCGGACTGAAACAAACGCCCGCTCCGCTGAACAACCCCCCATTGGCTTTTGGCCCCAGGATGTCGCGCGGGAGTCGTTTATTGTATATGACGACGATGGCGGCCCGACCACACCCGTGTCATCGCGTCGCTTATAGGCGTAGCAACGTTTTTTCCCCCCTACCGATCCCTGTCTTTTGCTAGAAGAACGAAAGAAATATGAACGACGAAGCCCGCGCGGCGCATCTTTGCAAATCGTCATCGAGAATGTTCCTGGGCCCCAGGAAAAACCGGATTTGCTAAAAACCTCCTAAAACCTCCTAAAACGTGCTCATTTAGTAGCTTTAGAGGGTTTCGGTACCCAATAAGCGACTCTTTCGATAGTCCGATTTTTCCTGATGGGCACTCGCCCGGGGCTATACTGTGGCCATGGTTAGCGACCGCCTCAGCACCGGATTCCCCCAGGCTTAGCCCCCCAAGCGACGAGTCGCTCGAATTGCTCGCTCGTCGCTTGCAGCGAGTCTGACGCAGACGAAGCAACCGTCGCATCGGATTCGTCAGACCCATGGCGAGGCAGCGCGGGCGGTCGAGCACCGAGCCTTCTGGGCTAGTGACAACGACACGAAGGCGTCAAGCACCGCGAAGAACACATCTATTTTAAATACTACAGCACGGCCAGAATTGAAGCATATGAGAGCACATGTTTATCATACCCAAATAAAAATAAGCTACAACGAATGCGGATGATCGCACCGGGCAACCTTCCCGCCTCACGTCATGTCCCACTCTTCCCAGGCGGCCGACGAGTCGGCGGCGGTGAGCGGGGCCGGCTCCAGCTCCGCGGTTTGGACCAGCTCCGCCACCTTGTCGCTCGCGCCGTGTTCATCACGCTCGCTCCCGGCCATGGCGATCAGGAGCGGATCCGCCGAGCCGAATCCCGAATGCAGGAGGCGGACTTCGGAGGCTTCTATGACCTGCACCAGCCTCCCGCTCGCCACGTTGCGGATCTCGATGAACTCCGCCGAGAAGAGCAGGACGTGGTCGCCTCGATGGGCATACGTACTCGCGGTGCTCTCCCAGCGGAGGTAGCCCGAGGACCGGCTGGGGACGCCGTGCTTATCGACATAGCATCCGACCGCTGGGGGAGGATGACGTGAACACCACTTGCAGAGACACTACGACAGCACGGACGTACCGTCGTACACGACGAGCAATTCGTTCGCGCTGCATCGGACCAGCCCTAACGCTTTGGCAGACTCGCACCGTTCTTTGAGACTCGACAGCGGTGCATTCTGCGAGGCGCCTCTGAAGTCGGGCACCACCGTCATGACGGAGGTTCCGAGGCTGCGACATATCGATGGGTGAGTAAAAATAAAAATGCGAGACACAACGCAAACGGCGCAGCGACGACGTACTTGGTCGGATCTACGATCAGAATTCCCCGCTCGCCGCATACTGCCACGGTCTTGATGAGCGGCGACAGGTCGTGGACGTCTTTGGGCAGACTAAGAGGCTGTAAAGCGAGAGCGGAGATCAGCATACAGTCGCTGCGCAGAGAATGAGGTTGTTCACACTGCCGAATTGCCTGAACGCCGGTGAAGGCGAGCCGCGTTGAATATTCGCAGCCTGATCCACGATCTCGACGGCGTAGAGCGTTACCTGCAGCAGACTCTTTGCAGCGTATAGTACTGAACAATGCGTATCAGTTATAGATGTCGCGCCGAAGGTGACACATGGGACAACCTACGTAGCGTCCTATTACCGACCTTCCCCGCTCGGAAGAAAAGCACGGTACCGTCTTGGCTTGAGTTCACCGTCGTCGCTGTCTTCCGCAGCGTGCCGGAGTCATCCAGGCCTTGTGCAGCCCTTGCCAGGACGTCGAGAGAATACGAGAGAAGCGATCCGTTCTGGAGTATGATGATCTTGTTGAAGTTCGGTATGCACACCATCGACGTCGCATTAACGTTGGGTATGACCTTTCGATAATCTGAAAATGTGTTCACGGACCTGGCCAAATTCGGTGGAGGAGGTACCAACGATACTAACCGTGAACGCCCCTGGGAGCTGCGAACACTCCTGTTGCAGCACCTACGACGATAAACTGTCGACTTCCGCTGGCTGTACCGTTATCAGCGAAACAAAGAATGACATCGAAACATGCGTCCCAACGCACTGAATGCCGATGCGCAGCTGATCCTGCCGGAGAATTTGGACGACGGCGATACCTGCGACTTGCTTCCGCTGGTCCTGAAAAATCCATCGTCTACCACTTGCGGCGCGAACCACTAAAGCCCCGCCGTCATCTACCCCGCACGAATCATCGGTCAGATCGCATTATCGCACCATATTGGCATCCGCGTTGACCTTCCGCACCATCTGCGCTTCCTTGAGCATCGATTTCCACCTCTTTCGCTCCTCGTCGGACCTCGCGTAGAGGGTATATCGTCGCTTTGTTTTTTCCGAAGCATGATAGATAGTGAAGGGGTACATCGGTTCGGACTCGGCCAGAAGGCGGCCCAGGGGGCTCCGCCCTTCTGTATCTTTCTTCTTCCGTGACTCGGGTGGATCATGGAAGTTCCCCAAACGAAGATACTCTAGAGGAATTGGCTGTTGGCCGCTTGAGCCTGTGAGCTAGGCGACGATGAACAGAGTGACTGACCCTCGATATGACGTGTCGGCGTAAGAGGCCAGTTGTGTGTCTTTTCTCTTTGGTGAACAGCACTGTATGAAGTCTTAGCGGCGCTCGATCCCTTCTCGAATGAATTGCAACCTACGATTGTTGTCCAGCAGCGCAACGTGTAAGTCATGCCAGCCGTGCCAATCCAACTCAGTTCGTTGTCTTCGCGCAAGCGGTCCCGAGTATACCAACGTCCTCGCCTCGTCATATAGGTCCATGTCCTGAACACAGCTATTAATACTCGCCACGATCGATGGAAACAGAAACGCACGATGATCTCCCCCCTTTGGTACACGAGACTCTCGCAAAGGTCCCAGAACTTGGCTTTCGAGTCGGCCACATCGATGCCTGGCTGACTTGTCCTAATGATCCCGTTGATGACCTCTTGCACCACCTCCAACCCGCTGATGTCCGTGTGATCGTCCGAGACGTTTCCAGGCCCACTGCTGCCCAGGTCATTTCTGTCGGCATCTGACGTTTGGTAGAGCTGTCGAGTCACTTTCTCCACCCCTGAGAGTTGAAGCTTTAATTGCGTGAGACGGTTGGTCGGTTGTATGAGAAACGCGTTAAAGTCGCGCTTGCGGAGCCTAGGGTCCAGTCGCCGCTGCTGGATGAAGTAGGCGTAGTCGCCGTTGCGGTTGACTTCTGAGATATGGCGGGCCTTAGCGAGTGGGTAGTGTTTGTAGTACGATTCGTAGGCTTCTCCGAACACGAGGGCGGCTGGCGGAATGCGCAAGCAGGGTGAGATATATACTCTGAATGCGTACAGGAGACAAGTGACTTACTTTCGAGGACGACGTCGGAAATGGAGTGAATGAAAGGATGTTGTTCGAGTTGGCGGGCGAAAAGGCCGTTGAGCATGCGCTGGTGGTATGCGAGGATCTCGTCCATATTCCAGAACACCTCCTTTATGAAGCCGCGCAAGCGGTCCTTCTTGATTACAGGCGGGTCCGCGTTCCGAAGTGGTTCAACGAAAATGTCTCGAACGAGCTTGAGGTCCCGAACATCTGGGGGTATGTCAGCGCGCCGATAGCAGAGAGCACTGCGGCCGGAGCCTTAGACGCAGAACCCTCACAGTTACGCTCAGTCTTGATGATTTCGAAGATCTGCGACTGGCGCTTGACCTCTTTACTTCCCAGGGCCTCCAATGCTGAGGTCGGGAGTAGTCGATGCCACGCCTCATCGGTTTCGAGTAAACGTCCCTTCTGAAAAGCGCGCAAACCTTCTTCTGATTGTAATCTATGCATATAGAACAGGGTGCCGTCAACATAGGGTAAATCGCGCACAGAAAGGGTGATATAACACACTGCTCGTCCGTAAGGGGTTGCGCTGATTGCTCCGCAATGGAACGTAGCTGAAGCCATCGGACTGAGTTTCGACGAACTGTTTCGATGGCGGATTACGTACCTCTGCGTCCATGTCGCTCAATGATGCGAAGGAGGCGGTGGGCGAATATATCGGAGGTGAAGGACCCGCATCGCTCTTCGATGCCCGATGCCCACGCTCTAGCGACGGCCTCGCAGACAGAGAGCGTGCCGCGTGAATAGACCCCACGTTCGGTGAAGGAACGGCATGATTCACGCTTATGCTCGAGTGCGTCGGGAAGAGACTGGCTGCTCTCGCATGATGGCTCCCGCTGCTCGCCCCGGAATTCTGTCGACTAGGAAGACCGCGAAGTGAGCGCGCGCTGAGCGCCGGGGATCGAATGCTTGATGCGTAGTAGGATGGTGTGTTCCCGCCATAACCGTCCTCCCATGTGTCGTACGGGTCGCTGTCCGGTGGCTCAACTTCGAAGAGATAGGGCGACCAGGCTGTCGCGGGGTTTGGTAAGTCTGGCTGGCGAGCACCTGGGGGAATGTTGATGTTAGGATGTTGTCGGCTAGGATGCATTAGATTGATAGCAATACTGTGGCAAGAAGCAAGCTATGCTAACCGGAAGGATTATCGTGGATGGCGTCACGACTCAAGTCAGTGCCACGTGGGAATGGTCCATCATGCTCTGCCCCTCCTGGTTTTCCCGCGATACAGTGCTGCTTTTGTTGCAACTGTCATCCCCGTCCCTTGGAATCAACAGCAACGCACGTTAATATCGCTCCACATTACTTCCGTACTCTGTGCTCGTATGCGCTGACGAACCGGGCGAAATGCGCCGACATCATCGGTGCTCAGTCAGACAATCCACGCATTAAGAACTGAGTGCTGTCACTCACCTTTCATATCGATTCTCGACTTATCTGTGCGTATGACTCTCGGGGTGCTGCTGGGGCTGACAGAAGGTTCTGGAAGACGGCACGACCACGTAGTATATCAATTGTCGGTCTAGTCGAACCGGGTATGGAACATCCTGCAGGATTATCATCATCTACGCCAAGCCCAAGTCCTAAAGGTATGGTCAGTATACGAGCGGGCTGCTGATTAAGAATGGAATGCCGTTCGCCGATCCCTTCTTGATGGGAAGCGACTTATTCCTAATAACCAAGGTTTTCACACCGCTTGCAGGTGGCATTGCGGGTATCCGAGGCCGTCGGATGACCCACCTATCACCATGCTTCAGATCACCCGAATATTATTTTTGTTTCCACCCGAGTCTATATAACGTATCCGCATCCGAAGGCCCGACCAGAGAGCATCCCGTAGGCCAAAGTGCGGGTTTAAACTCGTACGTACATCTAGTTCCATGCGGCGATCATGCGCTCACTGCCATGTGTCATTCTGCACGATGTCTTCCAGGCTTGGAATCCGGCATTGAGCGCATCACGTCAGGTACACGGTCCGATTATAAATACTAAGAAATACGAATGAAGCTGAGACGTCGTCGCCCCGTTTTCCCCAAATCTGCGACTGCGTGCACATCGATTGCAGAGAGCATCTATCTGATAACTGACTATGTCGAGTGAAGAAACTTCGGATAAGAGACACCTTCCCGTGGATGGTAAGTCACCGACGCGTTCAACAGACATGTATGATTGACGGAATACGGCACAGCGGATACTCAATCGTCGACAAAACAACATGCACTTGGTACCGTGCGTACGGATTCAAAGAGTCCGTACATTTGCGGATGTGCTACAGGTACCTGTTCGATGGCGCTCCTGATTCAACCTCATGATATCACTCACACCTCATAGTGCCACCTCCGAAGGCCATCGGTCGTTATGCTGAGGCCTTAGACCTCGTCAATCAATTCATGCACGAAAGCGACGTTGCAGCTGCGGATCAGGCTGTTGCGATATTCACGGCCATCCTGGAGGCCGATGCGATGCGGTCCAAACCTCCCCCCCATTCTCGCGTTTGTGAGGAACCAAATCCCTCGCGCTCCAATGTGACACCGCTCCCAGAGAGGCATCATGTGCTTATGGAGCTAGCCCGTACCTTCGACGAGCGCGCGCGGTACACCGACGATCAAACCGACACTGACAAGGCGGTGCAGTACAGTAAAGAAGCTCTGGACATCTGTCGTGCACGGGCCATTATATGTCCTTCTGTGTACATGATCTATGCTCGCGTCCTTGACCTCGATGCCGAAACCCTTGCTCATGCTCAGGCTCGCCAAACCGCAGATGTCCTTTGTCGTCAGGCCATTCAAGTCTGCGGGACGGGCCATCCACTGAAACCGAGCATCCGCCGTATCCTCGGATGGATTCTCTTCCGCCTCTTTCAAGGGACCGGTACTTCGTCATACCTAGAAGATGCCATCCACTTGCAACGAGCGGCTTTGACGGATCTGGCCGTCTCGGACATTCATAGGCACCGACATCTTCGTTACCTCGGCATCTACCTCATCTGTCGATACGAGCTACTCACCGAACCAGTTGATCTGGACAGTAGTCTATCGATATTTGAGGACGCCATTCGACTCTGTCCTCCGACACATATCGATAGATCAAGAACGGTACATGACATGCTCTCCGCTGTGTATCGCCGGTGCTTCCAAACGGGCACAATCCATGATCTCGATAAGGCGGTAGACATAGGGCGCCACATTCTCGAGACCGAGGCATCTTGTGGCCGGACCCAAATCTACTCGATGAGCATGTTGTCGACTATCCTCAGTCTTCGTCACGAGCTCACCCTCTCTTACGGACGGGACATGGACGAGTCGATCTATCTAGAACGTGAAATCCTGCAGCGTTCTCCTCCCGAATCCGTGGACCATTGGATGTATCTCCACAATCTGTCACTGAAGTTGCGTCTGAGGTTCGAGTGGAGCGGTAAGCTTGACGACCTTTCAGAGGCAATATTGTTTGGACGCCAGGCAGACGATGCCCTACCTGAGAACCACCCTCGACGTTTCTCAACGGCCCATAATCTATCGACAATACTGGCTCTTCGCTTCAGTGAGGCAGGGAATATCGCGGATCTAGATGACGCGTTGTTCTGGGGCCAGCGTGCTGCGTCGACCATTCTGCCCTCGCACAGCGCTTACTTGGACATCACTTCGGATTATATCTCCCGCCTGTGTACTCGATTTGAGACTATTCATTCTATGAGCGACCTCGAGACTGCAATATCCCTTGGAAACGAATGCCTGGCTGCCATCCCCGATACTCATGTCAACAAAGCCAAAGCGATACACTGTCTCTCCAGAGCGCTCTTGCTGCGTGGTCGCCACACGAACAATCGTACAGATATCGACGGGGCCATCGCATATTTGGAAGGGATAGCAGATGGCTTTTCCCAGCGCGCAGACGGTCAAGTGTGCCTTCCCACTCTCGCGGCTTGCTACCTGACTCGGTTCCGTCAAATTCACGATCATGATGACGCACTCCGCGCGCAGAAAACTACTAAACACCTCCTCGCAAATATTTCAGCCGGCCGCCGTGGGCGATGCCAATGCCTCGTCGACGCCGCGGAGCTGTACGTTGAACCAGGAACAACGTACTGCGACATTCCTATGGCGCTTTCCTACCTAGAGGAGGCCCTCATTGACGACGAGCGCGACGTTCGCTCACGAATCCAATATGTCACACATGTTCTCGATCTCATACAACAACGGCATCAGGATGTCTTCAAAGCAGAATCCCCGACGACGTTGCAGCTCCTCGGCGTATATGAACGAGTCGTCGGTCTTCTACCGCTAGTGGCTTACTTCGACCTTCATCCGCGAGCACGCTTACGATCTCTCACCATCGGTCAGAGCACGGCCATCACCGGCGCATCACTCGCTCTTCAGCTATCACGACCAGAGAAGGCCCTTGAACTCCTTGAGCAAGGCCGCGCGATTTTCTGGACGCATACGCTGCACTTGCGCTCTCCATTTGATGCCGTACCAGACGCTTTCCGCGACCGATTAGCGACTCTTGCTCAACAGCTAGACAAGGTCTGTGATTCTTCACAGGAAAATAACGACGCAAGAATAGTGGATGCCCAAATATCTCGGAGAAGGAAGCAGACGGAGGAGTTCAACTTGCTTCTCGACGAAGTTCGCAAAATACCTGGAATGGAACATTTCCTGATGCCTCTGCCTTTCTCGGTGCTTACAAGGGCAGCAGAGAGAGGTCCCGTTGTGGTGTTGGTTCCCAGTTCGATGGCATGTCATGCGCTCATCCTGAAGTCGTGTGGCCATATGATCAAAATACCGCTCGAACCAGTGGTCACGGAATCATGGCTTGCGGACACGGGGGCGGGTTGGCGAACCGCCGTGGCGAACGCGCGATCTGTATCCGTGGATCGTCTCAAAATGTCCAAGACTCGACCAACTCAGAGAGTTGACAATATCCTGCGTCGTCTCTGGCACAGTATCGTCAAACCGGTACTCACAGCCTTGGAAATATCGGTAAGTGATTACGGAGCTCCATGGCCTGTTACACTCATTTACCTTGTCCAGCCCTCTACCTGCAGACAGCGTCCCCGTCTGTGGTGGTGTCCAACAGGACCGTTTGTCCACCTCCCCATCCACGCCGCAGGCGCAGATGGCCAATGGTGCTCGGATTACGTCGTCTCCTCGTACACGCCTACGCTTAGCGCACTTCTTGGTATCAGATTGAACTATACGCCAGTGAAAAAGCAGGATGTCCGGGCGCTGGTAGCTGCAGTGCCACGTCCACACGCGCAACAGTGGTCCGACCTCGCATCGACTCGCGAGGAGCTGGATCTCGTACAGGCTTCCCTACCTGCGGGATCGTTGATACCCCTCTCGACCTCGGATAACGCCTCGGTTCTCATCGGCAGCCGCGACGGAGTTTCCGCTACAAGCATCCTCGAGAGGCTGCCTCAGGCGACAATATTGCACCTCGCGTGTCACGCACATCAGGACCCGGACAATCCCCTCGAAAGTGGCTTCGTCATGCACGACGAGATGCTCACGATCGAAAAGCTGATGGCGATACCTCTTCAGCGCGCTTTCATGGCGTTTCTGAGCGCTTGCGAGACCGCGAAGGGAGACAAGGTCAGCTACCGACGCTTTCGGTTTCGTTGACGTGGAGCCAACGACGTACCTTCCAGAATCAACCAGACCAGACCATCCACCTCGCGGCTACGATGCTCTATGCAGGGTTCAAGACCGTGATCGCTACCCTCTGGTGCGTTCGCGATACCGTATGTGCACTCTGCTCATCGCGACCTCGATACAAGGTCCATGAACGACTTGGACGGTCCGACCGTTGCACAAACGATATACGCATACGTTTTCGATGGTGATGGGGAGTATATCAATCCAGATGACGTTCCCTATGCGCTGGACGCAGCCGTGCAGCGTCTTCGTCAGACGCAGTCAGACCCAAGTCGATGGGCTCCCTACGTTCATATAGGCATTTAAGTGCTTGTCCTTCCACGATCGTCCATCAACGGAATATTACGTGGCAGTGGCACGAGGTGCAGAGAGATACGGCGCTCAGCAATCATATGCACTCGATACACCGGAAGCAAAGCAAGGGCACAAATACATGTACTCCGCAGTCGGTATGCCTCTGAGACGTGTATGTTGACGGAGAGCTTGACGAGACTGCGGACGTGTTCTGCGGGAGGGATGCATGAGATCAGCATCGGTCACATGCGCGGACGCCGAACCTAGGGCGAGGAGGACCGAGTCACTGACTGCGACGCATACGTGGACTTAACCAGCGCGCGCTGCGGCAAACATACCCACATCTGGGGTGGCGTATGACGAACAATTGGAGAGCAATACGGGTCTGAGGCCGCGTCGATGAATTGCGATCAGCTGAAGGTAGCAAGCAAGCACGATAAGAAATCCTGGGGTATAGATGGTAGCATACATATGGTTCACAGTGAATACAATCATTCGCCTGCTCGTCATCTACAACGGAAAGTTTGAGGTACAAAGAACGCACTGTCGTCGCCGTCCTGAATATGGCAAGGGGTCGAACGCACGACTGGGATATAACTTAGGAAATACGCGATCAACACACCAGAACCCGCGTAGATATGAGGTTATCAATCAGAGGATCCCTTCAGAGCTCCTAACTCGGCGGACGATATCGTCGTCACGACATCATTCTGCTAGGATGGTCGTCTGTCCACTATAGCATTAGGACTAGAGCTCGTAAATGAACGATGAGGAGCAGCGACATACCTTTACTTCTCCCCACCGAGCAATCAAAGCCGACGAACGCTCCAAGAACGATAGCTGGCACTGCGTGCACTCGAGCTCGTTCAGCAACGGATCCATCACGCTTCGGATTTCTTGAGAAGTAAGGTCTGCACGTGGAGTGCAAGGTTTAGTTTGATAGTAACAGGCGGGAGCTGGCGACGAGCTAACTCACCCGGACGTGCATCCCAAGCAATGTAGGCGCTCGCCAACGCCCACGCTCGGGTGAGTCTTTGCCCTTCGGCCGTGCCGCAGATCGCATTCGGCGCGTGGTGTGCGGGCTGCGGGAGCAGCAACCGTTTTAGCGCATCCGTCCGTCCGAGGTGGAGAAAGAACAAGCGGCGAAGGTAGCGCGGTCCCATCTTCTCCGCGAGCGTGTCGTCCAGCGCGCAGAGTGGGAATGAGAGAAGATATTTGGACGCGAAGACCGCGAGGAGCACGAGGTCGTAGGACGCTGCGAAGCAGTAAACGTCCATTGGCACGGACGGCGCGTACGATCTCGAGAACAACCCGAAGAGGGTGGTGGAAGGCGCGAAGACGGGCTTGACGTCAAAACCGTACTTGACGAGCGAGGTTACCGCACCGGATGCGACTTCGAAAGATGGTATGGGAGTCGTCCACGTCAAATTGTAAACGCCATGGAGGGCGACGTTCAGCACTTCGACTGACTCGGGAACCAACGCTGAAGGGAGTTCGGCGGGATTGTTGTACGCCTCCAGGCCAGAGGGACGGGCTAAAAGTCCGTTGAACCCATTGGTGGATTTGGCAAGGAGGTGCTGATGGACATAGAAATGCACATGGTCCGCGGACACGAGGATGAGGTCGGGCGCTGTCTGCGCAACAAACAAGCCAGGGCCAAAGATGGCGGACACTGAAGTGAATGCTGTAGGCGTCGGGGCTGTACAATCCGATCCCGTGAGTGGCGCTTGAGCCTGCCGGCAAGTTCCGCGTCAGAGATCACGATCCAGAATTTAAGCACTGAACTCACCAGCCACTTCGTACTCGTGAACGATGCAGGATTATGTTTGTTCGCACTGCCGCCCAGTGGGGGGTTGTCAACGTCCGAAATCGCGTCGAAGTCGAAGATCTCGTCAAAGGTCCACTGAACGGGACCCGCGGCTGGCGCGCCGACTCCTCCTACGGTGCCAGCCCAAGTTGGCGTTGTTGCACATGTGTCGGCAAACCTGACGTGGGGGATGTTCGCCATCAATGGCACTCTTCAGCATTCTGCGACTCGGGAAACGTTTGAGTACTTATGCAGGCTGGCACTCCGGCTGGCACTCCGGCTTGCTCCACCCCGTCGATGCTAGGCGATGCAGGCCCGCAGGCTAGCGTGCCCGACCCCCGACGCCAACGACCGGGCTCACGGCGAACCACCGCTATTACGCGCGTCATCGCCGACGCGGGGGAATCCCTGTCTCACGTCTTGCGCCAGACATCGTCGGTGCTGCAGCTCGCAGGGCCAAGTACTGCACGGTAGGAACTGGGTCGGGACGTCGATGGGCGACGCGGTTGATTGGGGCAACGTCAACAAATAAATAGTGCTTGCACTATCGGGGTCGCCGACGTCGATCTCTCCAGCGCGCCATGCATGGCCCTGGGCTCCATAGATCTACCCGTGAGATAGATACTTACCGCACAGTTGCCGCATCAGCTCACATGCACCGGACTTCCTTCCAGGAGTTTGGCGGGCTCGCTGACTGATGGGAAACCCCAGACGAAACACGAGGTGGGAAAAAACCGAGAGCGGCTACTTCGGTTCTCGTTTACTTAGCATGGCAACTACGAGAAGACACCGTGCATCGACTTTTGCCCCATCGTGAGCCAAGAACGCGCCCACGATGCATTCGAGCATAGGATTCAACGGTTCTCGGTGGTTCACAGTATCATAATGGTATGGCCGAACAGCGGGACGGTGATCTTTCAGTGGAGCGACCTCGAAGAGTGGTACGCTGCCGGACGCGGCGGCAGAATCGACGTCGAAGCTGTGTTTCGGGAGAGCGCGCACGTAAGTAGATGGCATGAGCATGGTCGATCATCGTGCGGATCATCCATCGCGAGGATATCTGACTCGGAAGTCATTCCGTGACTATGGTCATCTGTCCCGCCATGATATGAGTGACCGACCGGCTGATAGCAGACAAAAAAAAAGTGGCCGTCACCTTCACTGCCGCCCATTCGGCGATCAACCTCAACGACCGGTCCACGAACGACAGCTTGCACTGCGCGCACCCGAGGCCGATGGCTATGGGATACACCACGCTTCGAATATCCTGGGAGGTGGTGCCTACGCGTCGAGTTATCGTGTCAATAGCGGCCTTGGATGGCGGAGCTGCCACCGTTGACCCAACTCACTTGGGCACGCGTCCCGGGCGAGGTCGGCGCTTGCCAACGCCCACGCGCTATACACGGTTTGCTGCTCGGCCGTGCCGCATACCGAGTTCGGTGGATGCATCGTCGGCTGCGGGAGGAGCAGGCGCTTCAGCGCGGCCTTGCGTCCGAGGTGGAGGCGGAGAAGGAGGCGGAGGTAGCGAGGCCCCATCTTCTTCGCGAGGGCGTCGTCCAGTGTGCAGAAAGGGAAGGAGAGGAGATGCCTGGACGCTACGGATGCGATGGGCGCGAGATCGTACAGCGCGGCGAAGCAGTAGACGTCCATCGGCACGGAGTGCGCGTAAAGAGTCGAAAAGAGCTTGAAGAGGTTGGTCGAGGGTGCGAACACGTGCTTAATGTCGAATCCGTACTTGAGAAGAGGCATTGCTGCGCTGGATGCCGCCTCAAACGACGGAAGCGGGCTTGCGAAGGTCAGGTTGTAAATCCCGTGGAGGACGATGTTCAGAATTTCGGCGGTGTCTGGCACCGATACCGCAGGAATATCCGCGCCGTCGCTTGTGTGCCTTGTCGGTAATACAAGGAGGCCATCGAAGGCGTTGTTCGATGTGGCGAGGGCACTCTGGTGAACATAGAATCGGTGGTGATCAACGGAGATGAGGATGAGGTCGGGCAAGGACAGATCAGGGGCGTATACAGCAGACACTGAATCAGAACAGAGTGGATACAGCGTCGGGGCTGTACAGGTTAAGCCCGTGACTTTGGTCTGAGAGGAGTGAACGCCGTCAGAGCTTTTTCTATCGCTGCGGAAGAAAATACGCACAGAATCACTCGTGTCTTGACACTCCCGCAGGGCGCGATCGTTCGTATATCGACTCGAAGCATGATCATGCATGCCAGTCGACAATGCGCCAACGTGTTGATCGGGCGACTCTGCGCCCGGGTATGCATGGATGGATCTCACCGCAGACGTCGATGCGTTCTCTATATGGTGGTCTAGCTGCAGCATGAAGACAATTGAAAAGGCAACCTCAGGAAGTCCGCTTGTTTATGTAGGCTGGCACTCTGCTCCCCCCATTGGCGATGCTGCACGATACATGGCGCCCATCTCACCACAGCTCGCCGACGACCGGGTTCACGGCGATTCTCACTCTAACCTCCAACACGCGTCGCCGTGCTCTAGCCAACTAAGGATGTACCCGCGCTCTGCAGAGCTAGAGACACGCCGGCCTCGTTCTCGTCTTCGTGACACCCTAATTGATAACCTCGCACTGTCGAACGTCCTGACTGGCCTGGCCCGAGGATTTTTTTTTTCCCGCTACAGATGTCCCCCAGTATCTTCGCACCCGTATACAGATCTCATCTCGTGTGCTTTGAGTGTATATTCTTGGATGTCATCTCGCGTATTCCCCGGAAGGTGCTACACGCCCTGCTCGGCATCATTCGTGCCTTTCGCCAACACTCCGGGGTGAGCAACCGAATCCCTCCTCCTGACCGAGTCTGTGACCAGCGTTATGCTATCAGTCACTGCATAGGCCTTTCGCGGCCCATCTCGCCTCGATCGATTGCGGGCCGTTGATGAAATACGCTTGGAAGCGTTCTGTAACGAGCTCGCCCAATCCAGCAGACACCTCCGAACTCACGATGTGGTCGGCGGTATGGGGATCTCGCATATTCAAACACATGCCTCCCGCTCTATAGCATCCCCGTCCCAAACTTGCGCTCGCCTGCGTAAGATCCTCCGAGTCCGAAACGCGCGGTGTCTCTGCTGCGTGACTGATGTACACGTACAGGTCAATATCGGCCGGGGATGGCGAAGCCAGCAATAGCAGACACCCCATTGCCCCGCGCGCCGCCAAACACCGGGGGAATCGACGGGGGAAGAAACCCCGGAGAACCGGCGGATGGGGCGGGGGGGGGGGGGATAACGCCCGGGCCCCCGACGCGACCATGCCCTCAATTCTGGCGGACGTCATCATTCTGCGGAACGTACGCGCAACCAGACTAAGCCCATCGAGGGCACGTAGAGGCGAACACGCCAGTGCGACCGTACAGTACGTTGAAGCTGCGCCGTCTATCTTATCCAGCAGCGTCGCCGAGTGACACGCATGCGGTCCGTTATCACCGAGTAGTCAGTATGATTTTCCACAGCGCCGTGCCTTGAATCAGTTTCGTGTATGATCGAAACCAACAGCAGTATATAAGATCGATACAAGACATAGATTATACAACGAGGTCGGGTTACGTTACGATACATGTATGTTGCTGCGCATACCCTCCTCTACCTCATAAAACCCCAAAGAAATACAGGATGTCGTCAGAACAAAAAAAAAAAGGGTGTGCGCGCGGAGAGCAGCGCAAGTGTGTGTCGTTGTGAAGACGTAGTACGACGAGCTTGCTCTCCGCCTTATTTTGTCCACCTCGCCACGCCCCCCGACTCGCAAGTCAAATCACCCAGCGCGGATCGACGATAGCATGTTGTGCGCTCAACTGCCGGGCCGGTATCGAAGCGCGATCAAGTCGTCCAGAGAGCGCATGCTGCACGGTTTGACGTAGTAGCCGTCCGCTCCCGCCGCCAGTGCTCGCGTGATGTCCCAATCCGAACCTTGGCCGGACACTGTGTGCAACCAACAAGCGCTCCCACCTTCAGCCAAGCTCCACTCACACACACACACACATATATATAGAGAGAGAGACCAACACTGACCGATGTATACGAGGCTGGGAACCGTGCCGGCGTCTTTCTCCAGCGCCCGGATCCGACGCGTCGCCTCCTCGCCGTCCATCTTCGGCATCTGCAGGTCCATCAGCACCAGGTCGAACGTGCCCTCGGGCCGCCCCGCCCTGCCGTCCAACGCGTCCGCGAACCGGTCCACGGCCTCCTGCCCGTCCCGCGCGGTAGCGTGCGCGTACCCGCGGCGCTTGGCGTACATCACGAGTATCTTCACGTTGATCTCGTTGTCGTCGACGATGAGCAGGCGGATCGCGGCCCGGTCGCGCCTCCGAGGCGCGTCGCCGCCGCCGGCGGACGGCGTGGAGTCGCGCGAGGCGTGCAAGGCGCTCTCCGCGGAGAGCGGCCCCCCGCGTCGGTGGTAGTTGTGCAGCGCCGCGTCGACGACGGCCCAGAGGCGCGCGCGGACGACCGGCGACGGGCAGCGGAGCACGCGCGGATCGGACAGGCGCCTGCGGTGGTGTTCAACCTCCTCTTCGGGCGATTCTGCGCGAACGTCGAGCCAATGATCGCAGGTCAGCCCGATAGCGTTTAGCTGGACGACGCTTCCGCTCGTGGGGGGGGCTCACCGGAAACGAGGACCACGGTCTGCCACTGGCTCGTCAGCCGTCCCAGCGCCGGACGCTCCTCCGTGTTGGCGGCGCCGAGGACGATCGTCGCCGCTTCCTCCGGGCTCTCGGCGAACCCCAGCCTCCCGAGCTGCCGCGCGACGCTCATCACCGACTCCGTGCCCGCGCCGCCGCCTCCGTCGAGCACGTGGTACGTTCGCGGCAGCGTCGCCCTCTTCATCCGGTGCCGGACGCTCTCCGGGTCCGGGTCGGTCGCGATCACGGGCTTGTGGAGCCGGAGGCGGAAGTGGGCGCCCCGGCCGGGCGTGCAGGACACGAGCGCGAGCGTGCCGTTCAGCGCGGTCGCGACGCGGGCCACGGTCGCGAGGCTGAGGCGGAGGTGCGACGGGTCGCCGTCGTCGGGGTCGGCCGAGGGCTCGACGGAGGGGAACACGCGGCCCCAGTCCGCGGGCACGATGCCCGAGCCGGTGTCGACGACCTCGAAGTCGAGGAAGGCGCGGTCGGCCGGGAGGGAGGTGCGGAGGCGGATGCTGCCCCGGGCCGTCGTCGCGAGCGCGTGGCCCAGGAGCGAGCCGAGCACGAGGCCGAGGGTCGCCGCGTTGGTGAGGAGCAGCTCCGCCGCCGCCGGCAGCTGGTTGTCGACGACGACGGCGACGTCGGTCCGCTGCTCCGCGTACGCGGCGGAGCCCGTGATCCCTTCCACGACGCTCTGCTCGATGGCCGCGAGGTTTTGCAGGGAGGTGCTGAGGTCGTACTGGTCGGCTACCCCGAGGTGGTTGAGACGGATGAGGCTGTTGACCATGGCGAGGAGGTTGTTGCCCTGGCCCTCTATGACGTCCAGCATGCGTCGCGGCGTCTCCCGTCCTGGCGTCGATTCCACGTCCGAGGATCCCTCCTTCAGCAGCTCGGCGGTCGCGATGATGGCGTGGATGGGCGTGCGGAGGTCGTGGGTCATGCCGCGGAGGAACTGGTCCTTGGACGCGGCGGCCGCGTTGAGGTCCGCGCTCATGACGACGTTGGAGATGGACATGGCGCACTGGACGACGAACAGGACGTCGATGGCGTCGAAGATCGTCTTCAGGTCGTGCGTCTCCACCACCAGGTACGCGTCGTCCGTGGACGGCACGCGCACGACGATCGCGCGCACGGCCTGGTCCGTGGGGGCGTGGTTGTCCAAGACGACCTTGAGGGTCGCGTCCGTCGCCTCCCAGAGCGAGTCGCGCACCTGCGCGTGCGGGACGCGCGACCCGCCGCGGAGGCGGACGACGCCGTCCTGCTGGATCTGGTACGACACGTGCCCGCTCGGGTAGCACTCGCGGAGGACGTTCAGCCGGCGCTCGACGAGGTCGCCCGGCGTGAGATCCTGGAGCGCCGCGGCGAGCCTGGCGACCATCGCCTCCTGGACGTGCCGCCGCTGGACGTGGGCGCGCTCGACGATCATGTGCACCATCGTCTTCGCGAGCCGCCGGAGCGTCGCGGTCTGGACCGCGCTCGGCGCCGGTTTCGGGGCGTCGGAGGAGACGCAGAGCGCGCCGAAGGCGATCTCGACGTCCGTCGTGCCGGGCGGGCGGTAGAGGAGCGGGGCGCCGACGTAGGAGCGCATGCCGGCGCGGACGGCGGGCGAGGCGGCGAAGCGCCAGTCTTCGAGCATGTTCGGGAGGGAGAAGACGGTGTGCGAGCGCTGCATGATCGTGTGTGCGCACAGGGCGTCCCGGCGAGGCACGGTGGAGAGCGGGTGGTTGCGGGTGACGATGTGCGTGTAGTCGTCGTGGTCCATGAGGCCGAGGGAGGTGCAATCCTGCTGCATGATGTCCTAGGCCCACGTCGCGTGGTTAGGGACCAGGGGGTGGGGCATGACGCGCCCCGAAGCGGTGGTTAATACGATGCTCACATGGACGACGTCGACCGCGCCCTGCAGTTGGGCGAGCAGGTCGTGGTCGTTCTGGATGAACTTGGTGTAGTACCAGAGCGAGGTGAGGCGCTGCAGTTCGTTCCGCGCCAGCAAGGGGAAGAGGTACGGGTCGGCGAAGCTGGGTTGCCGCAGTGGTATGACGGCAGAGCCATCCTGACGGTGGCCGCTGGGATAGTCGCGACAGAACTCGGTCTCGTCGAAGTCGGAGAGGGGCGTTGAAGGATGGAACGGGGGTCGCGGGGGACGCCCGGGACCGTCGACGGGTGGATCAGGGAGCGCTGCAACGGGCGATGGTCGTGTGCGGGGGGCTTCGTCGGTGGGCGGGTCGGAGAGCGTGACGATCGAGTACAGCGTGCCGACGTTGAGTGACGGGTGGAGCCCGTCTGTGGCGCCCAGCAGATGGCGCCCCTGCTTGTCCACGTTGTCCTCCGACATACGCGACAGGGCCGTGTTCGACCTGGTGCGACTCAGCCTCGTTATCCACGACAATCCGTACATTCCGTGCGGTAGTGCCGACATGGGGGTCTGGCGCTTGCCGGATGGATACGGAGCAGGCGTTTTCCCTATCCCTCACAAAAGACGTCGGGGGCGTCCAGTACTTGTACACGCACGGTCCTAATCCCAAGGCGGTGCCTGCTCAAGGAAGGAACCTTCTGGTTACCATCTTCCAACGCATGTTATCCGGCAGGACCAAAATCCATCATCTAAACCAACCCGCCGGCGGAGTCACGGTGTCACCGCCTTCAGGCAAGTCGTGGAATTTTCTGAATATGTAACTCCCTCAAATATATCGTTGCTTTGTCGAATCGCGCTTCGCCCTCTGGTCTGTTAGATTCTGCGCAGACGACGGCAGCGACCTGAAGACCGTTGCTGTCTACGGTAGCGTCGCAGTCACCTCGATCCACAAAACGCTTGGCTCATCCTCCGCCCGATGAGGTTGCTGCGCGCAGACCCGACGCGGAGGCGGCGCCAGGGCAGGTTCTGCGCCGGCGGCGAACCCCTCCGACGCGGGGCGCGGCGCGCTAGCCCGTTCCATTTTTCGCGGGACAATACGGGGGGGGGGGGTGCACGATCTGCGGCTTTCGTGCCTGCTTATCGTGGAACAAGAGCGCGCACCCCCAAATTCGAGAGCAGGATAAAAGAGCGGCACCCCAAATCGACAGCAGGATAAAAAGAGCGCACACAGGCCCATCGCGGTGGCGGTAAGCACGCTCGCCCGTGAAAGGGAAAAAAAAAAAACCTCGTGCCCGACATCCTCCGTCACCGCAGTCCTGTAGATGCGAGCGGGGAGGGGGTGCCTGAGGCCCGGGGGTGGGCGGCCAGCATGGAAACGGATGCGGCCCTCATGCTGGCCAATCATCGCGTTGAGCACCCTGGCGAGAGCTACCGGCGAGCCTACAACAGGGGAACGCGGCTCACACGGTTTCTATCCGGGTATCTGGCGCGGTCGCCATGATCCGGGGGTTGGGGGGCGCGATCCAGAGCCGGCGCGATCGAATGCTGGCCAACGCGCGCCGATCTCAAAACGTCCTAACAGACCAACACCGAGAGGATAATACAGTCGTGATTTCCCGATGCTGTTTAAGAGTACAAGATGCCATGCTTAAAGCTACAATATCCATGCTGCGCGACCTCTGGATCCGCCCGAGAAACCCAAAGGGAAAGAAATCATAATAAACAGTAACGAAACGGCATGCTAGAGGGTCAGCTTCAAGCCACGTCGAAACGAGAAACGTGCCTTGCCTGGCCTCAGAACCGCTTTTTCTTTTTATCACCATGGCTCCGCTTGCCCTCCCTGCGTCCCACAAGTAAGGTAAAGGACCACGGTACGCGGACGAGCCGCCCGGAGGTTCCTCAGCGACGTAACAGGCAGCTGACGCCCGCCAAATCAGAGAGTCGCGCTCGGCGTTCAATCCTGGAAGCGCAGCGCGATCAACTCGTCCAAAGAGCGCATGCTGCACGGCTTCACGTAGTACCCATCCGCGCCCGCCGCCAACGCACGCGTCCTATCCTGATCCGAGCTCTGGCCGGACACTGTTTCCAAAAAAAAACAAAAAAAGGCATTTCCTTCAGCGACCCGAGTCCCCATCACAACAGCGCAAAAAACGAAAACGCGGAGACGCTGACCGATATACACCAAGCTGGGCGGAGCCCCGGCGTCCCGCTCCAGCACCCGAATCCTCCGCGTCGCCTCCTCGCCGTCCATCCTCGGCATCTGCAAATCCATCAGCACGAGCTCAAACGCCGTCCCGACCGTGCCCGTTCCCGCCGCCGCCGCCGCCGGTGGTGGTGCCGCACCGCGTCCCAGCGCCTTCGCGAACCGGTCCACGGCCTCCTGCCCGTCGCGGGCGGTGGCGTGCGCGTACCCCCGGCGCTTGGCGTACATGACGAGGATCTTCACGTTGATATCGTTGTCGTCGACGATGAGCAGGCGGATCGACGATCGATCGGGTCTGGGCGCGTCGCCGGCGGACGGGGTAGAGGTGCGCGTCGCCGGTGACGCGTCGGAGGGGAGGGACCCCCGTCGACGATAGTTTTGCGAGGCCGCTTCGACTACGGCCCAGAGCCGCGCGCGAGACAGCGGTGACGGGCAACAGAGCACCCGCGGGTCGTCGGACGGTCGTTGGCTGTCTCGAGCTCCCTCAGCGGCCTCTGAACGTCAAGATGGTGGTCAGGATCGAAGCTGGGACTTGTCTCTTCGCTTAAGCGCTCACCGTGTACGAGGAGGAGTACGGTCTGCCACTCGTGCACCGACTGTTCGACAGCCAGCCGCTCGGCGCGACCATGGTCAAGGACGATGCTCGCGCCGTCCTTCAAAGTCTCGACGAACCCCAATCGCTCCAGCTGCCGCGCGGCGTACGCCTCCGACACGCCGCCCCTCCTCCCGTCCCCGGCGACCACGCAATACGTCAGCGGCATGGTCGCCTTCTTCAGCCGACGCCGCGCGCTCTCCGGGCCCCCATCGGGCTCGAGCACGGGCTTGTGGAGCCTCAGCCGGAAGTGGGCGCCCTGGCCGGGCGTGCACGAGACGAGCGCGAGCGTGCCGTTCAGCGCGTTCGCGATGCGGGACACGGTCGCGAGGCCGAGGCGCGGGTGCCCGTCGGGGGGTGCGGCCGGCTCGGCGGACGGGAAGATGCGGCCCCAGTCCCTGGGCACGAGGCCCGACCCGGTGTCGGTGACCTCGTAGTCGAGGAAGGCGCGGTCGGGCGGGACGGACGTGCGGAGGCAGACGCTGCCCCGGGCCGTCGTCGAGAGCGCGTGGCCGAGAAGGGAGCCTAGCGCGAGGGCGAGGGTGCCCGCGTTCGTGAGGATCAGCTCCACCGCCGGCGGGAGCTGATTATCGACGAGGACGGCGACGTCGGTCCGCTGCTCCGCGTACGCGGCGGAGCCCGTGATTCCTTCCACGATGCTCTGCTCGATGGCCGCGAGGCTTTGCATGGACTTGCTGAGGTCGTACTGGTCGGCGATGCCGAGGTGGTTGAGGCGGATCAGGTTGTTGACCATGGTGAGCAGGTGGTTGCCCTGGTCCTCTATGACCCCCAGCATGTGTCGCGATGTCGCCCTTTCAGGCGTACGTGACGCCGGTTCACCGTCCGCGGTCCCCTCCCTCAACAGCTCGGCGGACGCGATGATGGCGTGGATGGGCGTGCGGAGGTCGTGGGTCATGCCGCGGAGGAACCGGTCCTTGGACGCGACCGCCGCGTCGAGATCCGCGCTCATGACGACGTTCGAGATGGTCATGGCGCACTGGACGATGAACGAGACGTCGATGGTGTCGAACACGGTCTTCAGGTCGTCCGTCTCCACCACGAGGTACGCGTCGTCCGCCGACGGCACGCGGACGACGATGGCGCGCACGGCCTGGTTCGGGCGCCAGAGATGGATCGGGACGTGGTTGTCCAGCAGGATGATCTTGAGGATCGCGTCGGTCGCCTCCCAGAGCGAGTCGTGCACCTGCGAGGACGGCACGCGGATCCCGCCTCGGAGGCGGACGACGTCGTCCTGTTGGATCTGGTACGACACGTGGCAGCTCGGGTAGCATTCGCGGAGGACGTCCACCCGGCGCTCGATGACGTTGCTGGGGTTCAGGCTCGGAAGGGCACGGGAGAGCTTGGCGATCATCTCCTCCTGGACGTTCCGCCGCTGGATGTTGGCGCGCTCGACGATCATGTGCACCATCGTCTTCGCGAGCCGCTTGAGGGTCGCGGTTTGGACCGCGGTGGGCGCCGGCCGTGGCGAGTTGGAGGAGACGCAGAGCGAGCCGAAGGCGATCTCGACGTCCGTGCCGGGCAGGCGGTACAGCAGCTGGGTGCCGACGTAGGAGCGCATGCCGGCCTCGACGGAGGGCGAGGCGGCGAAGCGCCAGTCTTCGAGCATGTTCGGGAGGGAGAAGACGGTGTCGGATTCCTGGATGATGGTGTGCGCGCACGGCGCCTGCCGCCGGGGAATGGTGGAGAGCGGGCAGTCGTGGGTGACGATATGGGTGTAGTTGTCGTTGTCCATCAGGCCGAGGAAGGTACAGTCTTGTTGCATCACGTCCTATGTGATAATCAGTCTATGAATGCGTAGCTGCGCAGTCCGAGGGGTACTGCTCACATGGACGACATCGACCGCGCCCTGCAGTTGAGCGAGCAGATCGTGGTCGTTTTGGATGAACTTGGTGTAGTACCAGAGCGATGTGAGGCGCTTCAGCTCGTTCCGCGCGAGCAGAGGGAAAAGGTAAGGGTCGGCGAAGCTGTCTTGCTGCGGTGGTATGACGGTCGAGCCATCTGAACGTTGCCCGCTGGGGTAGTCGCGACAGAATTCGTTCTCGTCGAAGTCGGAGAGAGGCGTGCGGAGCGGATCGGTGTCACTGGGGAAATAGAACAAGGGCTGCAGGGGGTCGTGTGGGGCATCGATGAGCAGGTCAGGGATGTCGGTGAGCAGATCGTGGGTGTCGGTGAGCAGATCGGGAAGGCATCCGGCGAAGTGATGGCGGGTGCCGATGTTGAGCGGAGGAAGAGAAGAAGTGGTGGGTGCGGGAATTGAGTCCGGCTCTGCAGACGACGAGTCCATCAGTGACGTCCTGAGACCATGGGATTGTCCTTCGGCTCGTCCTCCGACACACGCGTCAAGGCCGTCCGCCGAGCTGGTACGACTTGTGTTTGCTAAGTATCTGTCGACAACGTGAACGACTGCCATCGTGGACCAACGCCGCACGGCGATGCGGACGAGTGCATACCGTGTACTCTACAGACCGTACCGTCAAACTGGATACGAAGAGATGTGTGTGAGCGACGCGTCCGGCAAGGTCGCAAGCTCCCGCGCCACTGGTGAGCGGGCGCACCGGAGCGGAGGTCACGTGCGGCGGTGCCGGTTCTTGGGGCGGCGGAGGTCGCCTCGCTGGCTCCTTGCTTCCGCTCCCGAAGGCTACGAGGGGGTCCTCCCCCTGCGTCTTTTGTTTGTCCCACCCACCGCACCCTGTTCGTGAATGTTACATTATTAGGAATCACCATACAAGTCCCGATTACAGAAGTAGCAATGAGTTGAAGTTGGTCGCGAACGTTTAGTACGCTCCGGAGAGTCGGCCGAGTAGGCCAGGGGCGAGCCGTTGCGCTCGCTCCCGGCCTACACCCAAGCCAAGCTTCACCCGTACATTCCGGTGACTCTCCTAGCGCGCTAACCGCTAGAGACTGCAGGACCGCAGTTCGCCCAAGAACTGGCACCGGTCCAAATCGCAAGCGGGGTATGCTACGGTATTCAACCTGCAGCTGGCTCTCGTACGGTTCATAACACAGGTCACTATCGCTCGGACTCGCCGGACTCAGATCCTACAGCTCATACTGGCTACTCAGCGCTGCCACTGCGCTCGCCCACGAGGTACGACCCATCCCTTTGGGACTCGCCACGTGTTTCGCTCGATGTCTGGTTCCAAGTATGCGTTTCGACGTGACCTCTTGACTATCCAGGCGGCATTTTCTTGCCATTATACTCTGCGAAATCTGTCAGAATCGGTGGTATCATGGGCGTATCAGCGCTTACGATGTCCTCGGATGTGCCAATTGTATCGAAACGCTAGATCACTTCTCGCAAAGGAGCTTTCGTGTTCGCTATCGACTCTGGACAGCGTAAATCCCGCCGAATCCCCGCATAACGCACCTTCTGGACGTTGTGCGCACCTAACGGACACCTGCATTCGCTCCTGCGGCGAGTAATTGCCGTGCGCTTGGAATGGCTCATCTAGAGTTACGCCATCCACCCCTTCGATCAGCATGCGCCACACGGGGCTGGTAGCTCTGGCAGCCTTGGTAGATGTGTTTCAAGTGTTTTATACCCCTCTCGACCTGATAGACGGTCTCACGGCGCACTTCAATGGCCGCGAGCTGGATGCAGGAATGGGGTAACGTGTAGCTAGAGGTCCAGCATATAAGACGGCCACCTCTGCACCATTCCTCCTCAACCGAGTCCCATCCCTGCCTTATAGTACTGCTCGGTACGCCTTCCTCCGTGCGCGACTGCAACGTCATTTTCCTGACACAGTGCATCTTGTTCAGTGAACAGGCCGTTTACTTGTTCCTCCTGCGACGTTCATAGCCGTTGTTCACGATCCGCGTCGCTACATGTACGTACCATTCTCGGCCTGAACTTGACGAGACCGAGCTGAACTATGCCATAGGTCTCGGAAACGTCCTATCAGCCCAGAGTTCTGGAACTCGTTGCCGGATGTGCTGCCTGATCAATCGTTCAAGTTTCCTGTGATATCCAGTCCTGATCCCTCGGAGCCCAGCATTGCCGATATCATAGACAGCACTTTTCCGCCTCCCTCCGCTACCCCTATCTCCTTTCTTCCTGCAACGGTCGCAGGCGTAGCGGCCAGCCTCAGCCGTGTGAAACCCGGCCGCCCCGTCATGCCAGGTGCAGGTAGTGCTATCATCGCGGCTACGGGCCTCTTAAAGGGTGCGGTCACCGGATTCCAGGCCAGCGATTTCGATCAGATCTGTGGGGTCGATCGCAGTCGAAGCCAGCAGCCATCTCAGCATCTTTTCAAGAAGCCTTTGACGCACTATCAGGCGTACTTCCTTCCTCCCTTGCCTGCGATCCAGAGCTTTGAGGAATCCAGCGGCAAAAGTATGCTGCAGCTTATAGATGACCTAGCTGCCGCGACGTCGATTGAAGAATTCGAGGCGACACGAGAGAACCTCGTTGCGAGCGGCGAGGAAAGCGTGGCGCACGCGAAGCCCTTGATAGACCGCTGGGTCTCAGAGACATTCAGCAACCTCAATCTTCCTCCCGAATCCAGCCCCGACCTTGACGACTCGGTCTTGCATATCATCACCACCACCGCGTTCGCCTTCAACCCCAGGTCCAGCAATGGTGTCACAACGTGGGACGCCGTGGTGCCGATTTACTACGGGCTCGAGAGTGCAATTGCGGAGAGGGTGCAAGAGGAATTGCAGAAGTACAACCACCTTCGCGTCGTTTTCGCCTTCTCCTGCTGCACCTTCACCAATTTCCAGTACATTCTCGTGCCAGGTCCTCCTCCGCTTCACCAAAAACCGAAGAAGCCCATCGGGTGTATCAACCGTATCACCGTGCTCGCGTCTACTTTGAAACATCCCGTATACGTCACGAAGATGATGCCTGCTGATAATGATGGATGGACGAAGGGGAAAGCGGGAGAAGATCTCTGGGTCGATACCAACTTTGCCGCACGCAGCGCGTACGCATTCACTTCGCGCGTCGTGGAAAAGCAACTGGACCTCGCCTGCTTCGGCGACGGCGGCAAATCTCTCGCTTTCGGAACGTGTCTCGATGCCATATCCGAAGACGGCGGCGACGCTAACCTGGTTGGTCTACCTCGCGGGCGGAATACCTCTTGCCACGATGAAGAAGACGGCCCAGCCATTCCTGCTGAACGACGTACGTCATTGGGCGCTGCCTGCGGCTGGCAACCTCGATGTTCGCGACTTCTGGAAGATCGGTGTATACGAGTTCTCTCCAACGGCGCCCGCCTCCACCGCCCCGAAAGAGATAAAGACCGTGCACGACCTTTGGATGCATAATCCGAACCCGGAAGCGAAATACTTCAGAGATGCCGTGACAGTCGGAACTGGTCATCGCGGCATGGATTGCTACTGGCGCGGAGATATGATCCAGGCGGAGCTCCAAGGTGGCACTGTGGTCACTCACTACAAGACGCCCGTGATGCCGTTCCCGCCAACTCCCGCTGGTCCCGCTGTCCCTGGAAGTAGTACGACTACGACCACCACTCACACGACCACGACGCACCCGACCACAACCCCCACGACCACAACCCACACGACCACGACCACGACCACGACGCATACATCTACAACCACGGCGCCTACAACTCCGGCCTCGAAGCACCCGTGAGCAGCAGGCACGCGTAAGTCTGTGCACGTCACTGCCTTCAACAACAATACTCACCGTAGATATGTTAGTGCAAAAAAAAAATCACGTTTTTTTTTCTTTTCACCGAACAGTGACTGATACGCTTTGTATGATGGATGAAGGGAGTTATATGTACTGTCGGGGAACCGGCGTGCATTCCTGCATTTGTAGGTTTTACCGGCAATCCAGTCAGCCTCACTGACCAGTACAACGCGGTTTATGTATCCCATTGCATTTCCCATTCGACGGGTCCTCGTAAAACGACCCATGCCCGGCCATTTGGAATTTTGGTTCCACACCTAAGAGGTGTGAAAACGTTGCGAAAACGCTATGTATTCCCACGATATGCGCCCGGGCCTAGTACTTGGCTTGTGGGCTCTTAGATCTCTTGCCAATACTTACCACGAACACCCTTCCTGTGGAAATCCTGGACATCATCTTCAGCTACGCCTGTATAGACGGCGTGATCTCCGGCACGACGTTGTCCAGCGTCTCCAAGCATGTGCGCCCCGTGTCGGCGCGGAGCAGATTCGGATCTCTGGCCCTCACATTGGGTGAACAGCAGCTCAACTCGTTCTCTGCACGGTTACCGGACCTATTGGCGGAAGGACGTCTCGATAGACATCACTTGCTCATATTCATTGACGAGGTCGCGGGACGGAGCCCTTGGGCCGACATGGACCTCGACACGGGGGCGGCAATGAGGATTGATGAGCGGGTGAACGCCCCGTTGGATCAGGTCATGCCAGGTCGAGTGAGAGCAGACCCAGGTACGCAGTGAGTGATGTAACTTGGCCACGCCTATCATCTAACATGCGTGCGTATATCATGAAGAGGACGAATCTCGGGAGAGGACTGCGCTTTATCAGCAACGACAGCTCGCGGTCAAACAGTCCGTCGCCAACATCCTCTGTGCAGTCGGCGCGACGTTGCTCAGCTTGACGCTCGTGGCCCGCCACATCGACCTGTAAATGCTGCAGTTTTCTTCTTTCCTGTTCGCACGACTCGTCGATCTCACCGTGGACCTAACCGCCTTCTCGGTCCGCCCCTGCGCCACGTTCGCGACCGTGCGCCGCTTGCACGTCATACGGAGCGCACCACACCTAGGCTGCTTTAGCCTTGCACTACAAGTCATCGATCGTGCCTTTCCCTTGGTCGAGCACCTCCGGTTCTCCGGCATTGCGCACCGCGACCGACTTTTCGCCGTGCTGCGCATCTATCTTGACATCCCCACCACGTCGGTGAATGCAGACACCTCGCTCACACCCATCGAGAGGGATCGGTTGACAGGGCGCTTGTCTCGTGCGCCTGCGGTCATCAACGCAGGGGTGGATGCAATGAGGGGCATCGCCAGCCGGGCTCTGGAGCGGCTTTACCTCCAGTTTCATTTCCAAAGACCGGTGCCTGCGTATGGGGCAAACACCGGCGCTCTCCGCTCCCGCCAGTCGCACGCATTGAACTGGTTGGTGAGCCGCGAGCGGGATGGACGGTTCGTCCTGCTCCCACCCCCGGTTGAGGACTCGACCTCGAAGTTGGCCCATACGTTGTGGTTGGCCAACGTGCAGAGTATCGAGCAGTGCTGGCCGGCGACATAGGGCATCGCACCAACCGAAGGGACCGAATCTTCAGTCGGATAACGGTGTTCGCGCTTATACGCCCCGAGTAGCTCGGCAAGCGTTGTCCCCGATATGCGGGTTTCCTGGTGACTTATCATGTTCTATGAGCAGGCGCCGCACCGTTGAAAGTCGCGTTGTGCGGGTTGCTCACTCACGACCGTGTTACGTCAGGACCTAGTCATCTCCCCAACCCTGTTTCACGCCCACCGGAATCATTCCCCGGTCCCCGTGAGCGATGACTGTTCGAATCCCGCTCCTTGATTCAAAGATTTCACATCTCAGTCTCTGAGATCGCATAGACTGGTTGGTCGGTTGAGAAACAACACCGTGTGCGGCGTACAGTTAGACAGTGTACTGGCATGTGCATCGGCAGCGTGGGCGACAAGCCCTCTGGCCCTCCGACATTTCGTATTCGATCCAAGATTGCTTTGCACATAATCGTAAACTTGGTGCATGGCTTCTCCTCGGGTTCATGGGTTCATGACAGCGCATCAACATATTATACAGACACGAACGAACCGCAAGGAAATGGTGGTGAGGATTCCCCGCATCGTTCACACCATGGAACTGATATTCACTCTGTATATTGCAGGGAATAGAGAGTTTAAACGTGTACTCTATAACCGCTGCCGCAATCAACAAGGTTGCTTCGTCGACGCATCGCCTCGACATCTTCAAACTGACGGAAATATCACGACCCACTATTCATGGACGAAGCACGTTGCTTACCCCCATTTAGCGACGGAGGGCGCATGTTACACCTCGGCTGGATTCGAGAAGTGCGCATCCATGGTCTCTTTGGCGGGCCGTGGAGGACGCAGCTTCCGTAATTCTGACGTCATGACCCTCCTGATCATATGAAATCGTAGCTTCGCATAACGCAGCCTGCAGATCTCCGCCCATGCCGTCCGACAACTCGGACTCATCGACAGTAGTCAGGTACGCTGGTCACACACGGATGCTCTGTATAGGTTCAATCAAAGAACAGGACAAAGTAACCAACTGCGCGCCTCGAACAATACATGCGATGTCGGCTGCTACGGAGCTGAAACTGCAATCGCATGGTCACCAGAGAAGTCGTCCGTAGTTTGTTGGTCTCTCCGTGTCGAGCGTGGGATGATGCACACACTCGACAATGACCCTCGGGAGCCAACGTGGGCCATTCCTGCATCCCCGCATTTGACATTCTATCCATTCGCTCCAGTCCTGCGCAAACATTTCTCGCGCCTCGCCGATTGGCTTAGCGGCGCTGTCTGCATAACGGGATCGAATGGTCGGGTGGCCGGATGTTGGTCATGGAATTGGCAAAGGATGGCCCTCATCAGGTATAAAAGACCAAACTGCTCGACCAGATCCTTCAGCGGACAACACATCCAAGCCAACTCATTCTCGACTTGTATTTGCCTCCGAATTGACACGATGTTCGCCCTCTCCATCGCCGCCGTCCTTGCCGCATTCACCTGCTTCGCCGCTGCTCAGGAGTCTCACCAGATCGCTGTACGTACCATAACAACTGCATCGACGACGCTTACGCTCATGTACCTCGTCGGTGACTACAGATGACCAACAATTGCGGATCCGGCAGCCCCGTTTTCCTCTACGAGGCTAATGGCAATCCTCAGGGCCCGACCACTATCCAAGGCCAAGTGCTCGGCGGCATCGCCTGGGTCGACGGCTTTGCTGGTGCCAACTGCCAGAGCTCGGGCGTGAACTGCGGAGCCGTCGAGTTCACGCTCCGCAATGACGCTCCCAACCAGAACGCGGCCGACTTCACGCTCGAAGCCCAGGCTGCGAACGGTAACCACCAGTTGTGAGTCCCTCGCATTCTCGACCGAACACGCTCGTCTTTGTGCTGACGTTATGTTGCTTGTCAGCACCTACCCAATGTCGTTCAGCTACACTGGCGGCGGTGCCTGCGCCGGCATCAGCGACAATTGCCCGTCCGCCAGTGACTGTCCCGATGCGTTCACGGACCCTACCAACGGCACTCCGAAGCAATGTGTCGGTACTAACGCTGGGGTTTGTTTCCTTCCCTTGTTTCTGGCCCGCCCAAGAAATCATACTAATCCTTGCGGTCTAGATTCAGATTACGTTCTGCTAAATGCACTCCTCTCGGACAACGGCCTAGGTACCAATTTTCCCTGTACCGATATTTGCACGTTTGTCCTTCTTGCGGAATATGAGACATGAATATTCCTGGGACACTCCATCTCAGTAAGGAGCTGGAGTTCGGAGGCAAACAGGAATCTTGGCTTCGATTCAGATTATAAACGATAGCACCATCTCTTAGTACGAATGGTAAGTTGCCTTCTGGGCCCTGGTATGCCGTCACTGCTCTTAGCAGGTTGAAGGTTCCGATAATCGATTTCAAAGATGCTCTGGATAATGTGTGTTGCTGATACATATTGCATGGCTAGTATTGCTACAAGTATTCTCTATGGAACATTCACGCGTACTGAGAACATCGTGCTATCTGTTCGGGTGACCTGAAGTCAAATAATCAACATCCTGGATTTCGAACTAGATGGGTTAGTCAGAGGTATCATTCTGGGAACGTGGATAAAAAGTGAGCTTACCAGGCTCATAACATCGCTGCCAATGAGTGCCGTGAGCAATCCTGCTGAGATCAACATGTGTGCTATACCGTTTTGCAACGCTCGTAGGTATTACCAACTCATGGAAAAGTGGCCATAATTTATCGCGGTGGTGTACGGGAACCCATAACAGACGCTCGCCTTGAGGACCTAGTATCCAGCCATCCTCCAGTCTGATCGAGTTTGAGCTGTATTTGCTGGTGGTACTGAGAAGCAATGATGGGACAATCTGGTCTGCTGCGCGGAGGGAATGCTGAATCCGAGGAGATAGAGAAATCGCGGGGGCGCAATCATGTCGTGCTAACATGTGCCTAGTCAGAATCTGGATGCTCCGTACATCCCACATATGGATGTTCCCGTCATCAGAGCCAGAGATCATATGTGTCCCGTCCGTGGAGAATGCCACAGAGTACACGAAGCCTGAATGTCCTCGGAGTGGTTCTCCGACCGGGCGGCCGGTGGCAACGTCCCATAGGCGCACCGTCCAGTCCGTAGATCCGGATGCAACGAGCGTCCCGTCGGGTGAGAATGCAACAGAAGTCACCATATGATCATGACCCCTCCATGGGCCTCCAATGGGTTTGCCTGAATCAGCTTCCCAGAGACGGACGCTGCAATCATCCGAGCCGGATACAACATACATGCCGTCATGCGAGACTGCAATCGCATGAACGGAGCCGCTATGCCCTCTGAACAGCGAGATCCTGGCCCCGGAACGGGCGTTCCATAGACGAATGGTGGAGTCCTCTAAGCAAGCGATGATGCGTGCGCCATCCCGGGAAAATGAAATGCCTCGGATGGTGCTGCTGTGGCCTGTAAAAGGGCCAGCGGATAGATGCCCGGTGTCAACATCGAAAACGCGTATTGTTTTGTCCAAAGATCCCGATGCAACGCGGGTTCCGTCGGGCGAGAAGGCAACGCACCACACGGGAGCATTGTGAGAGTAGACCTGTTTGTCAACGACGCGGTAGGAGTTGAGTCTCCATAATCGCACTGTACTGTCATCGGATGCCGAAACGATGCACGCGCCGTCTGATGAGATAGCAACCGCGTTGACTTGGTCGCGATGCCCGACCAATGGTTCGCCTACGGACTCGCCAGTGCGTGCATTCCATATTCGAACAGTGCTGTCAGAGGACCCGGAGACGATGTACGAGCCGCAAGGGGAGAAGATCACAGATTGAATTCCGACGCTATGTGCACCTTTGCCGGCACCTTGCACGGAAAAATCGCAGGCATTCGAGACAGTACGTGAGTCCTCTTCATCCATGTCTAAGGGTGACATCGGCGAGCTGTCGATACCTTGATCGTCTGGTATATTGGAATATGTCAGATCCCAGAGACGGATTGTGCAATCTGTCGATGCAGATGCGATACGTGTCCCGTCTGCGGAAAACGCAATACACCCTACTGCGGACGAATGCCCCTCCAACGTCCTCCGAACTGTATAGCCGGGGTGAGTATCCCAGACGTGCACAACGGAGTTGTGTGATCCTGATATCGACCGTGTTCCATCCGGTGAGAAGACCATAGAACGAACGCCCGCGGGGTATTCTGGCAGCTGCATGGTTTCGCCTATAGGCTTGCGCGCGCGAACATTCCAGACTTGAACAGTTCCGTCACGAGATCCGAGTACAAGGCGCTCTCCATCCGAAAGAAATGCGATCGCGCATACTTTGCCGATGGGCCAATCGGCAAGTGAGTGATCATATATCATTCCATCCTGCTCGTTCCATATGCGTACTGTCTCATCCGCTGACAAGGACGCAAAGCAGGATCCGTCTGAAGCGAATGCTATGGACATGATACGGTCAGTATGTCTTTCAAGGGGTCCACCGATCGCCAGACCAGTGTGGCTGTCCCATAGCCTAATGGTCCAGTCCCAAGACCCCGACACAACGCGCCTGTTGTCGGGAGAAAATGCCACACACCGAACATCGTCAGTGTGGCCTCTGTAAGGGTCGCCAATCTGTTCGCCAGAGGACAGATTCCACAACCGAACAGTGTGATCTTGCGATCCTGACACAATTCGGGAGCCATCGCGGGAGAAGGCCACAGAAAGGACTGCATGCGTATGGCCCAGCAATCGTCGGATGAGGTGTCCCGTGTTGGTACTCCATACCCGGATCGCGCCATCCTCGCATCCCGACGCAAGCACTTCTCCATCGGGCGAGAAGGCACAGCAGTATACCCAGCACCCAGCATCCATAACACAATACCACTGCGGCCAGTCATGGTCGGCACCGCCGACGACGGAGGCAATGCCGGGGAATTGAAATCGCGGAAAGCGTGACTTCAAGGGTGCGAAGGCAAGCGCGGAAAGGTATATATGAGGGGCGGATTGCCTGATCACTACGCCAAACTCCCGAGTGAATCGCAGTATGTCCTTCAGCAGTGGTTGTAGATCAGTGGATAATTTCTGAAGGGCGAGAGGTTCCTATAGCCAGGATGATTTAAGTATGGACTGCTGAAGCCATCCGAGACGAGCTTACCGCATCTGATATCCGTAACAACGCCGACGCCGAGAATACTGAATCGACAGAATTAAGCAGGCTCAGCGCTTCAAGCCAGAATAAACTCTTCTCTCGTAGCACGTCTGTCGCGAGCGAGATTATATCCAAGTTGAGTGAGGACCGCGCAAGGTGCTGAGCCCAGTACCTGCATGCGTAGGCGAGTGGGGAATCGATCGAGGAGTTTCCTTGTTCATGGTTGAGCGTATACGACGATTGCAGATTACACATATTGAAGTGCAGCGAGGATCGCATGAGTGTCATGGTCCCAGCGGCAAGCGAAGTTTCGGCGGCTGTTATATCGACATAGAAACATCCACCGCGGTGTCGGTCGAGGAGGAAGTCCCGGAATGAGGTGTGGATTGGCCGTATGGTATGTGTAGTATCGTGAATACCGGTGAGGAGGGACCCCATTCGGCGTAGAATAAGTTCAAGGTCTCGTTTAGACAACACGTTGGCAAGGATGGTAGTGAGATCCTGGATAGAAAGGGGCTCCCGAGCCGCTAAGACGCTCTGCATAACGGATCTATAACGCCGCATCACCTTCTCGTTATAGGCGTTGAAGATGGACGCCAAAACCCGAGTGTACAAGTCGTCCAGGAGATACGTGCTAGTTCCCGTGGGCGTCTTTGCGTGTGGAAATAACGAGTCCATCCGTTCCTCTCCCGTCGTGCCAGCTGAGGAGTCATCTGTCAGGGCCGTACAAACGGTAAAGGCGAATTGGAACAGCCCCTCGGACAGCTCGGCGAGCCGCCAACAGAGAGATTCGTAGTCGTCGAAGTCGTCTCGGAGATCTTGCAGTGTACTTCTGATGTACCTATATATGTCGATGCGAGTCGATTCATACAGTTCCCTGCCCATACTCTTGCAACGAATGTGCGGCCGATTGACGAGGCGCGTATGAATGTCGTCCTCTGGTCGGGCGGTCACTATGATACGGAGGTTACGAGGGAGAGACACGGTTCTATTTGCAAGGACGGAGAGTAGCGACCGCCGATCTTCGGAGCCGCTGGTCCCGCTCTCGTCGAGGGCGTCAATCACGATGACGATGGGGCCGGAGAGAGTAATTTGCTGCGTGGGGAGCAAAACGAGGCTCTCAAACTGCGTCTCAATGTCCGTTGACGTAACGTCAGAGGGACGTAACGAGATGACCCTTGACAACGCATTCCTGATCTGAGGGTCGATGGCGGCAAGATTACGGGCGATAGTAGGAAACATCAGTGCGCATGTACGTTCCGGAAACGAGCGATTGAAGCAGAACACGGAGCCTAGGCGCCCCATGTCCTTGAAGCGCGCTGCGATGGAATGGGCAACGGCCGACTTTCCGCTTCCAGCCTGGCCGAGAAGGAGATAGATTGATTGGGAGGACTCGTCGTCGTTGATCCATGAACATATGTCGTCCAGAAGTACCGTTCGAGTATCGGGGTGACACCGCTTGGTGCTATTGTAACCTGCATCCTTGGCGTACGGCAGCGTGCTCAAGGACATGTCCGTAGCTATCAAGGCGTGAGTTACGGGCGACCAAATCAGGGAGACGCCGAAAGTCACCGATATGTTCCGCGATATCCACAACCCCTAGTACCCGATTGACCGTAATTTCCGTACGAATCGTGGAAGATGTCGCCATTCGACTCCTGAGCTCCGAAAAAGCCATTTGGTATGCAGCAATCTTGCTATCAATGTCGGTGAATCGGTTCTTCACAGCTCGGGTCCCTGGCATACGCGGAAGGGGTCAGTGTGGGTTGCCGCGAGCGTGAGATATCGACCGATGCCAGAAAACGTACAGAAGCCTGGAATCTTGGTGAAAGCTCGTAGGAAGTAGGCGCAGTCCAATGTCTGTTTTACCAGATAAGATATATGCAGCTCGGCCGAGCGCACGCGACTCAGTGGTTGCACTTCCTCTATGAAGGCGAAAGTGTTACAAAGCGTCTCGACTAGTCCTTGGATAGATTCGTCCTGCTTCATCTGCGCAACTATAGCCTGAGAGGGCGTGAGGTCTTGGAGACATAGAGAAGAAGATTACACACACATGAGGTATGGCAGATAGCAGGCTCCAAGCCATCTTCGCGTACGGATGAATCTGCGCAAGACTATCATGTAGGCTAATCAGCAAATGATGATCTGGTGTGTACCTCTGCCAATCCATCCACCAAACTAGCGAAAACCTGCAATCGCTTGACCAACGAATACCAGGCCTTGTCCATGACCCTATTCACACCGTCGGGCGCGGCTGAGATGTCTGTTATATCCGCCTTCGCTGACTCCATGTGCATGTGGCTGACTCCTCGGACAACTTCGTCTATGACCCGCTGGATTTCAGCGACTTCTGAGCGCATAGCGGCGTCCTTATCCGTGCTCGTCATCGCTTTATGCTCCTCAATGCCTTGAAGAGTGGTCTGATGTGGCTCCTTCGTGAGCGAATCGTCAAATTAGGCGCTGCAACGAACCGATAGCATCTTCTGCCCCATAACCACGTCGTTCTGTGTCCATGGCTCATCTGCGATAGTGCCAAGCTTGAACAGGCGAGGAACAAACATTAGCGAAGGAAAGTAGTAGGACGAGGAAAAACGCACTAGTGTCGATGATCCATCTCCCGCACCGCTCAGAGCGTACAGAGGGGACGAGCCTGATCCTGATCCCCATTTCTCCTTGAACACTGCCCTCCCCTTCCGGATTATCTTCCGCATAACCTGACACTCTCGTAAGAAATGCGCAAAGGGATGAGCGAGGGGTGGCGGGGAAGGTCTTCACTCTTCCAGGTCCGATCAGACGGCGATGGTGGGGAATGGCCGTTATATGTAAAGCAGTCCAGAGAACTAACGATAGTATACTTCCGCGCCGAATACATAGCCCATCGAAGTATGACGGACGTTTATCAAAGCATGAATGAACAGCATTGGCCAAGAACACATGAGGACGAGGGGTCCGAAGTTAGATCCGGAACGCCGCGACGGAGCCATGAGGTTGTGCACTACAGCTCCGACGGCAGCTATGGATGTCATTGGGATTCTTTGTGGGCGCGCTGGATAGCATGTTCGTATCGCACAGCCTGTATGGAAGGCACGAGGCGTGACGTCATCATCATTGGCATGCATGCGCGAGCTGAATCGGATGATCAGTATAGGTTGTATAGAAGTGAAGATCGAGGGTTTTACAGATGGCGAGCTTGAGACGTTGAACGGGAGTCGTTACGGTTCTGACTCTCAGGGAGTGAATGTGGCAGCCACGACGAATGATATGTCGAACTTTTCCGTCCGATGACTCTGGCCTGAGCTTTGACCGGTGAACGATACGAAGTAGCACCTAGAGTATTCGCTGAGGGGATAGATCAGTACGGTGCCACGCGCATAGCGTACTCGTTCCGATCTCCGAACCCGAAACTGGAAGACTCGCACGATCCATGATATGCGGGCAAGCAGTCTGGATGTTATCGGATGATAAGCTTGACAAGCTTGACGACTCGTCCAGCACTTACACATCAGGTTCCTGCCCCGCAGACCGAAGGCCGAATCATGGTGGAATACTGGTCCTCGGCTCGAGGAAATCAATGAGCGGTAGTAGCCAGGATGACTTTCAGTGCAAGATCTACTGGTGAGATCATCCTAACAGCAATTCGGCCTGAATGGTGCGGGGTAAAACCATGACACAGTGGCGCTCCGAACGTAGTAACCGTTCCCCAGCAGATGTCTGATTAGACGCCAGCTCCCTCAAAAGATACAATCGGTGCGGCCAAGGTGCGGGCGCGGGCGAGAGGTGCTCTTGTTCCCAATAAGGCAGAGATCGGTTGTCGATACCGCCCATACAGGCTGGCCAAAGCTCGCGATAAATCGGCGCAAGCTTCTTGATGCGCGCTGTTTTTGCGCCCCGCCGGTCGTCGACACGGGTCTGTCGGCGAGAAGCGTTCGATGGCCCCAAGATGCGAAGTACGTCGTTGTACATACCTCGACATCAGCAGAACGATCAGCAGAACACACGTGGCTTTCGACCTGCCCTGACGCTGACCGTTTTCCCAACTTCTTCGAAGCTCGACCCAAGCCCTCGCAGAGGGACTCGTGACCAGCTGCCAGGAACGCAATACGAGGGAGTACGGTCGCCGCAGCCTTCTCGATTCGGAGCGACGTCGCGTATGGAGAGAGTGGCATGGCATGTCTCAAATCATACACCTCGATATGCCCGGCGCGGGGTAAGAAATGCAAGCAGAGAATTACATCAATGACAAAAGACCCAGCGCAGTTAGTTAGCCCGGAATCGGAGCGTACGGTTGTCGCGAGGTTGCCGCAGGAATAGCCCAGGAGGCACGCGGAAGCACGTGGCGACACCCGCCTCCTCCTTCAGAGAGCACCATCACGGTCGATCGCGAGTGGTCGTCCATTGCGGACCTTCCGACAGAACATTCCTTCATGGCATCGGGAATAGCGCTCGCCCTCGTGAGACGGACTGCGTCATTCTCTCATCCTTCTCCGTGATCAACGCGCCGACTCTCCTGCGACGCGGACCTGACCGACGAACGATGGCATGCGGTCGACAGCAGTCATGGGTCACATCCCCGCCGCAATCTTGGCGCTTTGACTCTGATCTACGCCGCGCTTGCCTTCTCTGGACAACCTAGCATATTAATACAGGCTATCCGTGTCTTGCCTTCAGTCGTCGCGTTTCACGTATAAAGAGATCTCGGTTTTCTTCATCGCACTTCACCGGTTGTTCCAGCGAGATGCGTGCTTTCGTCGTCTTGTCCGTCGTTCTCGCCTCGGTGTCAAGCGTCTTCGCACAGACCGCCTCGGCGGCTGCTTACGCTACCACGGAGGCGCCCATCGCCAAAGCCGGCGTGCTCGCCAACATCGGCCCCAGCGGATCCAAGTCGCAGGGAGCAAAAGGTCCGGAGCTTCCTGTTGCGAGCCACCTTCCGAAAGCTGACGAGCGCTTCACTCAGCGGGCATCGTGATCGCATCGTCAGTACTGATGGGCCTCCTCGTTTGGGATACCTTCGTTGACGCCCGTTTGTGCGTTGCAGCCCTTCGACGTCGAATCCTGACTACCTGTGAGTATGCGGAGGGCTGAGCGTTTGCGGCTTTCGCTGATGACTCTTTCACGCAGGTACACGTGGACGCGTGACTCGTCGCTGGTGTTCAAGGCTCTGATCGACCAGTATACTTCTGGTGAGGGTTCACTTGTGACACCGAGCTTTCTCCCACTTGCTGACACGCGTCTCATGCAGGCATTGACACCACCCTCCGCGGCGCGATTGATAACTTCTTCAATGTGTGTCTGTTTGGGTCTAATGGAGAGCTGTGTCTCAAGCACGTTTGCATAGGCCGAGAAGATTCTTCAGCAGGTCTCGAACCCGTCCGGCACTGTCTCCACCGGCGGTTTGGGAGAGCCCAAGTTCAACATCGACGAAACTGCGTAAGTGTCTTCGCTGTGTCTTCCAACAGCTTGCTACGTCACTGACGTCTATAAATAGCTTCACTGGCGCCTGGGGTCGTCCTCAGCGAGGTTTGTCCGATATTGGAACCATAGAACACCGCGTTGAATCTTCCGTCCACAGACGGACCTGCATTACGTGCTACCGCTTTGATCACCTATGCGAACTACCTATACTCGACGGGCAACACCACCTTCGTCTCGAACACGCTTTGGCCGGTCATCAAGCTCGACCTCGACTACGCCGCGAACAACTGGAACCAGACTACGTGAGCGTACACGCCTTTCCGCCTCCCCCATTCCCTCCGAAGCTCATATATGGATGGTACAGGTTCGATCTCTGGGAGGAAGTCAGTTCGTCGTCGTTCTTCACGACGGCCGTGCAGCACAGGTCGCTGCGCGAGGGTGCCACGTTAGCGACCAAGCTCGGCGTGACCTCGTCGGCGTCTACCTACACGTCGGCAGCCTCGAGCTTGCTTTGCTTCTTGCAGGTTTGTCACCATGAATGCCTCCGGCATGCTCGAATGCGCGCTCAACTCGATATGACAGTCATACTGGAATCCCGCCGGTGGTTACATCACCGCTAACACCGGAGGTGAACCCATATCCGCCTTGTACGCGACTCCAGCTGATCAAAGCATATTGTATAGGTGGCCGCAGCGGCAAAGATGCCAACACCGTCCTCACGTCTATCCACACCTTCGACCCTGCTGCCGGCTGTGACGCTGTCACATTCCAGCCCTGCTCTGACAAGGCGCTTTCCAACCTCAAGGTCTACGTCGACTCGTTCCGCAGCATTTACGGCATCAACTCCGGAATCGCCTCAAACGCCGCCGTCGCTACTGGCCGTTACCCCGAGGACACATACTACAACGGCAACGTGAGTGCACTCTGGACGTTGATGCCCAACACGAACAAGCGCTCATCGGGGCCGTGGACATATCTTAGCCCTGGTACCTGACCACCCTCGCCGTCGCTGAGCAGCTCTACGACGCTCTCATCGTCTGGAACGCCCGAGGCTCGCTGAACGTCACCTCGACCTCGCTCGCCTTCTTCCAGCAATTCTCGTCCTCCGTCACCACCGGCACCTACCCGAGCACCTCTACGACCTTCACCACCCTCACCTCCGCCGTCAAGACCTTCGCCGACGGCTTCGTCGCCGTCGTCGCCAAGTACACCCCTTCCTCCGGCGCGCTCTCGGAGCAGTTCGACAAGAGCTCGGGCTCTCAGCTCTCGGCCGCCGACCTCACCTGGTCCTACGCCGCCGCGCTCACCGCGTTCGAGGCCCGCAACGGCACGACGTTCGCGTCCTGGGGCGCCGCCGGCCTCACCACCTCGTGCTCGTCCAGCGGCAGCGGATCCGGAGGCGGGTCGGGGAGCTCGGGATCCGTCCCGGTCAACTTCCAGGAGACGGCTACGACCGTATATGGCGAGGTACGAGATGAAGAGCCCCCCCTGCCGAGAAAAAAACGGTTGCATCGTGGCTGACGCTGTGATTTCCAGAACATCTTCATTGTCGGCTCCATCTCGCCGCTGGGCAATTGGGATCCTAACAGCGCTATCGCCCTCAGCGCCGCCAACTATCCCAATTGGCAAGGTGCCGTAAACCGTGACCTTGTTCTACAGCGGGTGTCGTGCTGACCGCGGTTTCTGCATCCGTCTTAGTTTCCATCTCGCTCCCTGCTTCGTGAGTTTGCAACCCTCGATACTCACGTATCGTATCTCGACTAATCCGCTGTCTGCAGGACCACCTTCCAGTACAAGTACATCCGGAAGTACAACGGTGCAGTGACATGGGAGAGCGATCCCAACAGGAGCTTCACCACTCCTTCCAGCGGATCGTATAACGAGGTACACCTTAGTGCGCTGTTTGTGCCGCTAGACCCGCGCTGATGGGACCATCACAGAACGATACCTGGCGCTGAGCTCTCTGCCATGGATCGGAGCGAAGGCTTGCCCGATCACGCTCCGCGCGATGAAATATACCACCCGCAACAAAGAGATTATTACAGTACGCTAACATCCTTCTTTCACACGAGATAAATCCGTGTTGTTTGCCGTTGATTGCCCTTTTTATCAATATCGATGGAATTCCGATACCATATGCGCCGCCATGGTTCTTCATCTTAGCAAACGTCTTGCGAAACCGGGATGACCCGTACCTTCCCATGAATATACAGGCATACCCCGGACACGCATAGCGAAGCGAAACGGACGAAAGATGTGATATTCAACTTACGCCGGCGCGATTACGCGCATACGAACGATTTTGTAGATACGAGTAGACGCGCTCATCTCCGTTTGCGCTTTCCAAACCCTTTGAACGTTGATCCGTCGTCGGAATCGTCATCCAAGATGGTCACCGTGGGTGCCTTTTTCGCCGCGGATCGCCTCGTCGAGGCTCGAGTTTGTGTCGCAGCTTTACCGCTCGATCGCAGGGTCAGTGTCTCTCCGGTACCATGGTGGGCCGGCTCCTCGTCAACGGCATCGTCGCCACGACGGCCTGTTGTGGGATCAGCCTCTCCGTCTGAATCGAGGAAGAGCGGTTGTGGCGTTGGGGATGGCCGACGGTTCGCGGTTCGTCTCGGCGGAGCAGAGCCAGCGCTCTTCGCCCGCGAGGAGGGTTTGGGCGGTATGTGTCCCTCGTCCTCGGACTCGACGACCGGGGTCAGTGCTGGTGCTTCGTCGAATGATTGTTCGGGTTGACGCAACGGCCGCTGCGATGCTGGTTCACGTCGCGGCTGGGTTAACCGTTGTGATTGTGACGATTGGGTATTTCGACCCCAGACAGCTGCGAAATATGATCTGACCTGAGCGACATCACGCCATTTGACAATATCGAGAACTCACCATCATAGGAGTCATCATCGACGAACAGGGGGACAGGCTGCTGCCTGCCGGCTTTCGTTTTCTGTCCATGTGTTCAGCATCCAAACAAAGGTTGCAAGGTAAGAAAAGACACTGACCTTCTTGAACTTCTTGAAGTCTGGTCGACCTTCCCATTCTGGTCTCGTTCCGACGCGCCTTGTGGCGGATGACGCTTGGGGCCGGAAGGGCTCCATCTCGACGACGACCATGAAATTACCCCGCATGCCCGAGTCATCGCCGAAATCGGCGAGAACGTTCCAATCCTCCTCACGTTCTTCCTCTGCGGCATCGGGCACAGCTATCCGCAAGTTGTTAAATTCGCGGTCAAATTGGTCTTCGTTCTTCTTGCCCTTTTTCTTGGTCGCCAGGGCTTTGAGGAACGCGGGATCCTGGTCGGGCTTACTTGTCGCTGCTGCGGTCTTTGAGGATGGTTTCGAGGTCCCTGCTGCAGGGACATCCGCTGCCGACCTCGACGAGAAAGTAGACAATGGTTTTCGAGACGACGGCGGCTTGGAAGTAGGATTGACGACTGCACTTGCATGTTGAAAGGCAGGCGGTTGAGGCTGGTCCACGGTCCGTCTCTTGGCAGGTGGGCTAGGGAGCCTCTCAATTCCGTGTAAAAAAACGCCAAACGGACGAACGCACCCGTCCATATCAACGTCTTCGCCATTCTGTTCCGGCGCCTTCCTCTTGCCTGCCCTTGGCACAGAGAATCTGTCCGTCATCTGGCTCTCCTCCTCTTCTTCCGGCACTGCAGCGAGACTAGAGACCGCGCCAGATCGGGTGCCATAGTCTGTCATCCTCGACTCGGGCTGGGTGTAGCTCTGCGTCTGCTGAGCGATACTGGCAAACATCGCGTCCGGATCTTCGTCGACCGCGTCCGGTCGCGCGCTCTCTTCGAAAAGGGCTTTGAACCGCTTCAGAGGCGGCTCCTCCTCCGGTTCCATGCTGACAGTCGGGATGTCGTCCGAGTTGACAAGGAGAGCCGCAGCCGAGGTCCCCACCCGACGCTTCAAACGTCCTGATCGAGCTGGCGTTGGAGGCTGAAGATACAACTCTGTTAAAACAGGACACCGACGAACGGGCTTCGTGACAGCTTACCTCGACCTTCTCCGTATTCCGGGCAGTAGGCTGAGACATATCTTCGTCAATGATATGGGAAGGATCATCAACGCCAACGATCATGGGCTTGGCAGCTTTCGCTCGCCTAACCAATGTCTGCCGGAACGAATATCTTAACGACGCGACGCGACGCTCCGGAGTGTGCGACTCACTCGTTTAGGTCTGACCTCGACTTCCGCGTCAGAACCGCCCCAGGCTGCGTCTGGTACGGTAGCTGAACTGGCTGTCGCAGTGACCGCGGGAGGGGCTTCAGAGGCCTCTCGCGAAGGAGCTCGGCGTTTCAATGGCCGTCGGGCAACAGGACCCGCAGGGGCATGCGAAGATTCGGCATGTTGCGATTGTGCGACGTCATCGTGAGCCTGTGCGTCGACCGGACTCGTGGATCGCGATTTCTGCTGGGTCGGATGCGTCGGAGGAATGATGGAAGGGATGGGAGAGGATGTGGGCATCGCCGCCTCTGTTGAACAACGTATCAGTTGAGTCGCAGTGAATTGCATTTACTGGATGCACCCTGTCCTTCGTCCGATAGGTCAGAATGCAGCTGATTCGCATCAACGAGTAAGATGGCTCTGAATACATGGTCCAGCGTGAGGAAGCGCAAGTCGAAGCTGACAAGACAGTGCGTCAGGCACCGCCGTCGAACAGACCGGATGCTCAACGTCACCTACCTTTTGGCTTCTTCCGCGAGGTCAACGAGGCCGGGATCATCCTCGTCCACATCGTGCCGGATGAGCACTAACTTCTTCTCCGTGGAGGAGTGCTTGACCAATACGCGATGAAACCTCGTCCGACCCCATTCTGCGCGCCATTGAGTAGGTTCTCAAGAATGCGCGCATCACGACGCACCCAGTGCGAAGCCTTCGTAATGGCCCTTTCCGCGGAGGATCAGATCCCTCACATTTTCTTTGACCTCTTGCTCATGCGTGACGATGACGAAACGGATATCCTGAAACGAACATGGGTGATCGACATTCAACGAAGGAATGTTACTCACCGAGAAGAAGTCTTGAAAGCGATCGAAGTTTCGATCGTGGTCAGGATCCCAGGTAGACCATTGCCTGATCTTGTTCGCGGAAACGCTGTCTTGGAGGCAGACCGGCAGAGAGTCAACCGACGGGAGGGAAGGTCGATATTTGGGAAGTTTCTCGTCCGGAAGTGTGAATTGCTTCTCCAAGGAGGCTAGCGCCATGATAAGTTGATGTTAATGTTGATGTGGGCAGACGAAGAAGCATGCTTACATCGAGTCTGTCCCTCCTCCATCTTTCCGAGCGCGACGACCTCTGCAAGCCACTCGGGTTTGACAAACTTCGTTAATGTGAGGAGTGCGGTTGCGGTGAGTAAGGAGGGGGATAGCTTGGCAGTAACGAAATGGGTCGTCGAAGGCATGGGAGATGTGGTTAGATGTACGCCTACACAGCGTACACAAGGGTGAGTATCTATTCGCCCTGCGGGAAGATTGACACGGACCAATTTTTGCGCATTTTTCCAGAAATTTGGGCTCTTGAGGACGCGAATAAGATGCGGAGTAACATGTTAGTTCGTGCCACTTCACGCTTTGACGCCAAACAACAGAACGCTCCAGATCAGAAGAAGACCAGACGCATAGAATCCGCGACTGCTCACGTTAATCGTATGCCTTGCACAATTCTCACCACATCCCCGTGTTGAAGAGAAATATCGGTGTTCCCGTTGACCACAACTGCCTCGATTTTCCCGGTGATAGTATCAGCACGATCGACCGTAACGATCTTCGCCCGGTCGTTCGTCATCATCAGACTCGGCACAAACTCGGGCTTCATCTAGCGGCAGTCAGAAACGAGCACGTACGAGAGGTGGTCATGTCTCCTACCACGTCTGGTATGCTCATAGGTCCAACAGCGAAGCTGCAGTGACGCGAAGACACCTTCTTGTTGGCAACTATCAAGTCCTGATCTTTCCGGCCGAGCGTGTATTCCCTCCCCGGTTTAAGCAACTTGTGCTCTAATGGAACATGTGAAGGACTGTGAGCATGGTCATAGCGAGGCTCGATTAATGAACTCACTCTCGCCTTCACCTTCGACATCATCGAACGGTCCACTGATGACCCACATTGGATTCTGAGCCCAGTAGCGTTCAACTTGTCCAATATTCGAGACCTTTCAGGTAACGATCACTGAGCGCTGGGTAGCGTTTATTGGGCGTGCAGCGGATATCCGAGATGTGCCCAAAAGCTGTTGTAATGAGAGCAGTATGATAGAACAACAATTGGAAGCAAAAGCTTGACTCGGTCCAGAGGCTCAGACTGGCTCTAATCTCCCCAAGGCAGACTTTCGATGGGTAGTGAAGACAGTCGTTACCGTGGACTAACTGAACTCAGAGCGCCGGATGTGAGCGCCGACGGTCTTTCGCGTCGCGGAGCGATCACGTGGAAGGCTTACATCTCTCGAGAGTCGCGCCCAGCGCCAGCGTTTCAATGTCATCTGAGAGGGTCAAGAGCGATTCCTCTTGCATGGGTCTGAAACGGCGATATCATTCACTGAGCTCAACCCCCCAGGCTCAAACTTCCCCTTACCTTCGGAGGTGTTGAATATCGTGTCTTGTTCACTGAGCGGCGATTGCCCACTACATATATGTCAAGACCGAGAGCAATGACAAGAATCGGTGGTGTGTATGTGCTAGTCTATTTGAACGCTACTTCATATCACGCACGTTTACAGGACGTTGGAAGCAGGGCGATGCATGATTCCTCGTTGAAGGGCTGCAATTCATGCCGTAGCGGTCCATAGTTGTAAGATGGCATGCCAGTCTGAGCCGCACCGATGTTCCAATCCAGAAGCGAAGCTTGGCATGAAGACGCAGTCCTATTGATTGACATGTCCTGCTGTCTGTGAGATGGTCGAACGAGGGGCGTGGTAGGCATACGGATGCCGTGACCTACATGACGTACCAGCAGGCCATGGATCTTAGCAAGGCCTGTGCGTCAGCAAAACCCCTGGGAGCGGTGTATGTATCAAAGAGCCCGGTGGGAGACTTCCTCTGACTAGGAAGCAGAACAGAACTGCTTACGATCTATCAATAACGACATGAATGGTGCCGGGCCCGAAATCGCTCCACACACTCAACACCGATGCAGTCATAAAATCTCATGACCGACGCTACTTAACGCGCAGCTCTCTGCTTGTTTGACTCCCGTTTCCTGTCTAAAGGTCCTCCGTAAATCATGTTTGATATCATCGGGATCTGCGCACTCGTCTTGGCGCTATGGGGATTGCAGAAGTTCTATAATCGCGCAGTGATCAAGTCCGTTCTCAGGAACCTGCCAGGACCATCGAATCCATCGTTTATTGTTGGTATGTGCTCCCGTGCTCCCGTCCAAGTCGGTACTCTACACGAGTCCTACCACTGACGGCCCACATTGGGGGTTAGGAAACTTGAAGCAGTTGTGGAATGCTGATGCATTCCCGTTCCATCAAGAGATCGCCGATATGGGTTCGGCTGTCAAAGTGCATGGTTTCTTCGGGGTACGGATCGCGAGCATTGCTACAGTCTGTGATCCAAAGCTGACAGCGCGCCGTAGGACGAACAATTATATCTCACGGATCCTCGGGCTTTGCACCACGTTCTTGTCAAGGATCAGGAGATCTTCGAGGTAAGTGCCAACAATCTGGAGTAAGACTTTGCACTTGCTATTGTTATTACTTTTGATTGCTTATACACCGTGATACCATTGAAGAATTTCGAGGCTACTGTGGGGGAATGGTCTCGTTGCAAGCCTTGGTCAGTGTAAGATATGCGCTTGTGTAACGATAGATACTCAAAGCATCCGGTATCAGGAGAGCAGCATAGACGGTTCGTAGTTTCAATATACCATGTTCGGCCTTACTGAACTACATATTTACGATGGTGCCTAGGCAGCGAAAGATGCTCAACCCTCTGTTCTCCCCGGCGCATCTGCGCACGCTGGTCCCAGTCTTCATCACAATCGCAGAACAGGTTCGCCTTGCTTGAAGCCGTGGACAGTGACAAGTCATCTGATGATCGTACTCGCTGGCAGCTGCGTGATGCATTGACTCGACACATCAGTGGCTCGGATAACGAGATCGATGTTTTGGAATGGTGTTCCAAGGCAGCCCTAGAATATATAGGGATCGGCGGCCTGGGCTATTCATTCGAAACGCTGAAAGAAGGGGCGAACAATGCTTACAGCAATTCGGCAAAGAATCTACTGTGCGTCCTTTCTCGCTTTATGTGATGTACAGGTCATGACGGACATGATCAGCCCAGCCGTTTTCCCCATCGCTCCACTTAGCATCCTACTTCCCTATATCACAGCTGTCATCTCACCTGACTTTGGAAGGAAGCTGGTGGATGTGCTGCCATTTCCCACGTTACGGAACGTTAAGAATATTGTCGACATGATAGACGAGACAAGTAGAATGATCTACGAGCAAAGGAAGCAGACGATACTGCGCGGGGATGGCGAGGAGTACGACCAGGTCGCAAATGGGAAGGACATTATGACCACACTTTGTCAGTTCCTCTGGTTCGTACTACCTGCGACGTACTGATAAGCTATCAGTGCGCGCAAACTTGGCAAGCGATGAGAAGGATCGTTTGCCAGATGACCAGATGTTCGGGCAAATGAAGTGCGTTGTGGCCCCTATACCGCGATGAGAACTGGCCTAATATCCGCAGCTTGCTCATATTCGCCGCATATGATACCACGTAAGGCAGTATGATAGTTTCCGCACCACTGAGCCCCGGCGCTGACCGGCCATTTTCTGAAGATCATCTGCCCTTGCTCGAATACTTCACTTGCTCTCGGACAACCAGAGTGTTCAAGACGAGCTTCGGCACGAGATCAAGGAGATGCATATACAACTCGGAGACGTAACGCCAAGCTACGATCAATTGAACTCCCTTCCCCTCCTGGACAGTGTCATTCGCGAGACGCTTCGCTTGTGAGTCACCGTGATCATTTTCTCGTTGAGTGGTCCTCATTCAAAGCGACAGGTACGCTCCTGTCCCTTTCGTGCTAAGAACGTGAGTAATCTTTGCGGAGTAAACATTATTAACCTGATTTCCCCCACCAGAGCGTGCAAGGATGTCGTTATACCCCTTCGCACGCCTACAATCGGTATTGACGGCACGATTATCCACGATTTACCCATCCGCAAGAATCAGGGTATATTCGTGGGCATCACCATGGCGAACAGGAACAGCGCCATCTGGGGACCAGACGCCGCGGAATGGAAGCCGCACCGCTGGCTGAAGCCGCTTCCGCATAGCGTCACAGATGCGCGCATCCCCGGCGTGTATTCCAATCAGTGAGTGGCGAGAGCAGTGTCCGACGATGCCAAATTCTGATTATCACGAAAAATTACGAAGGCTCACATTCATTGGCGGAAGTCGTGCGTGCATGTGAGTAACTCGTGTCATGCACCGACGGTCTCTCCCTCTCCTGCTCACCTAGGACCACAGCGGGTTCAAATTCTCGGAATTGGAGATGAGTGAGTATAATAACTTGATCCGGGTTGCTGCATTCTCACACGGAAACGCGCACAGAGGCCGTCTTATACATGCTCATGCACAACTTCAAGTTTGAGCCATCCAAATCGGAGATCATCTGGAAGTTCGGGACCGTGATGGCCCCCTCTGTCAAAGGATCACCGGAGGAATCCACACCCCGCCTTCCGATGAAGATCACGGTCATATAAACTGACATTCCTGTGTTCGTCGCGTTTCAGTGTAGAGTACTTTGAGTGGTGTTCGGCACTCCGCTTCGTTACCTCGAATTGACGTAGATGGCAGATCCTTGCAAAGCTTATAGACGGGCGCTGGAGCGCTGGGCCCATCTTTAGTGCTACTGAGTATGGCTGAATGAAGTATCGAACGACTACTTGGTTCAGACGCGCTTAATGCCGATGCGATTATATCCTGTGGGAGGGCTACGATGAGACCACGAATGCGTACACGACGGCCATAGTTTTCAAGAAAGAGACAAGCTCTCCAGGTTGAACGAGCTTGTAGGCTCGCAGGCAAGTTGGATCAGACCCGCGCTGGTGGTGATAGGTGCGGACGTCTCCGGATCGGATTCGTAGAACGCGCCGGGACTTGAACAGTCCGCGCTACCGGCGAAGCCGATCGTCTCGCCGAAGTCCGAACCGATGTTCCACACCTGCTTGGCGGGTGGAGTCGTGGCGTCCCCGCACGTCTGCGCTTTGATGAGCCAAGGCTCGGCGCTGGGGAAGTTTTCGATGGTGAGGCAGGTGTTGGGGCCTACGAAGGAGCTTTGTTGGACGACAATGCGGCCGAGGAAGATGTCCGCGTTGGGGAATTGGCCGCCGAGAGCGGGGCAGGCCTGGATGACAGAAACAGTGTGAAATGGGTTCAAGTCTAACGCTTAGGGATGCGTACCTGGAAGTCGACGCCGAAGGACGTCACGATACCATGGTCGGCAGTGACAACCTCATGATGCTCATTCAGTCCGAAGTGAATCGTATCTAAGGATATACATCTCAGCGACATCGGTGACAGCACGAGAATTCCAGGAGACGTACCGTTAGTGAAACCGCTGAACAATCCGGAGTGCACGGTTGAGCATGCTTGGCTTTGCCGCTCAGCGATGGTGGCGCCGTGCACCGCGAGCATTGCGCTCAAGAATGAGAGAGCGCGCACAGTGAACATAATTAGGGGTACGGTGCTGAAGACCGCGTCTTCAGGACCGAGACGCACACGTATTTATACGAGGTCGATGCGTAGCCGCGATCACGAATCAGGTCACAGGATGCTACCTGTGATGAGAGATGGCGGCGAACACGGCATGCAGCTGCATTTCATTTGTTGAGTAATCCGATCGGCACGGAGCTTGTCCGTTCATAGCGCTGGAGCTACTTACCTTGCTGGGACCTGCCGAAGAGTTGGTGACGGACGGGTTTGAGCATCAAGTGCATTGCGTTCAACTCTGTCATGTCTCATAACTCATTTCCAATGGCGGAACCTGCCCCGCTTCCATGAGCTTCTTCACGACACGACAAACGCGAAGACATTGCTAAGATCAAAGTGATTTGTATGAGAGAAGTAGCCCTGAATACGTAGGCCAAAGCCAGAAGGTTTCAACTAGTTGCGTCAGCCTGGAATGCGGTACAACAGCCTCGCTGTCGGACTGGCAAGCGCGATGTGCCGATCGCAGGCGACACGGTCGCCGTCGCCGGACTACAAGTCGGATGATGTGTAAGGGTGCCGGCGTCGAGCGAAGACATGACCGTAACTCAAGCAGTGCGCATGTGGGCTCGTCGAGTGAAGCGCGTACAGTGATCAAGAAACATGCTGTTGGTATCGTGCTCGCTCCAGACTGAGTCTCCAGCCAGTCGAGACGGAGGCATTGGCGAAGTTCGCACGCCGTCGGGTCCATGCGGGAGTCACATCCGCATCACAACGCGTCACAGCGAATATTCCGTCACACTATCGCCCGCCCTCCTCCTCCCCTCATCGAACACCACCGACCGAAACGATGTTGAACGCGGCCCTTCGTGCTGCGCGCCCCGCTGCGCTCGTCGCGCGCTCCGCTGCCAGGCGCTCCGCTGCCAGGCCCGCCGCCCGCCTGCCCGCGCGCGCGCTCTCCACCACCGCGCTCCGCGCGTCCGACCACGGCCCCAAGCCGCCGAGCCTCTTCGGCCCCGGTGGAAAGCCCGGTGAGGTGCCCACCGACGAGGAGCAAGCCACCGGTCTCGAGCGCCTGCAGCTGCTCGGTGAGCTCGAGGGCGTTGACGTCTTCGACATGGACGAGGTCTTGGACTCGAGCCGCCTCGGCACGCTCGCGGACCCGGTCAAGGTCCCGTCCTTGGTCAGTGGTTCTCCTCACAGAACCCGGGAATGAATGCGTTGTACTGACTGCCTTTGCTGCCTCTTGCGTGCAGGCTCCCGCTCGCCTGATCGGCTGCACCGGTGTCCCCGCCGACTCGCACGATGTCATCTGGATGAACCTCGAGCACGACAAAGTTCGTCGTTGCGGCGAGTGCGGCTCCGGTTCGTCCAGTATCTTGCCGCCATCTGCGAACTTGCACTCATGCTCCCCGTTCAGTCTATGCACTCGACTACAAGGGCGACCCGGAGGCCCTCCACGGCGAACACGCCCACCACTAGAAGATGATACTACGCTGTACTCCGGCTGGCTGCTGTTGAAAAGACCTGCAATCGTATCTTCATGCCCTCTTCTCAGCCGAGTTTGAGAGCTAGATCACGTCGACTGAGGTTTACTTGACGACCTCAACACGTGTGATTAGCTGGTGGGCATCGAGTCCCCACGCAAGCTCGCGCTCCAGTCTGAAGACTGGTCACCCCGCCAAGTTCAACACTCGAGATTTGCAATGCCTTGCGAACAGGCGACCGGCTTGTATGCAATCTAATGTACAACATGCTTGGTAGGGAAATCTATCTACAAACTCAAGACGACAATTCGTTTCTTTTTCTCCCTGAAAATACCTTCTGCAGTAGGATCACGCTGTCGTCGCGGCTGCATTGCACTGCGTCTGCTGATCGCCGCACGCGGCGACGGTGAGCGCACCCTTGTTGCCGGACGCGTTCGCTGCGTTGGCGCATTGGTTGTGCTGCACGTCGCACGAGCGCACGAGCGCGTTCTGCTCGTCCTTGAACGACGCGTTGCCGTCCACCTGGAACGAGCCGTCCGCGTTGGCGGTCACGGCGGGGGCCGTGACGCCGCCGAGCGCGCCGGTGAAGGTCTGCAGGTTGCCTCCGGCGGACGCGGCTGAGGTCGAGGACGCCGCGGCGGACGACGTGATGGACGAGGCAGAGGCGGAGCTGGAGGCGCTCGAAGCGGCGGAGGAGCCGGTGCCGGCGATGACGTTGCCCTGGTCGTCGACGCTGGCGACGGCGGCGAAGTCGGTGGTGATCCCGAAGACGGCGTTGAAGGCGTCGGCTTGCCCGCCGGTCTTCGCTGTGACGGTGTCCGCGGCGGCCTTGGCCTTGGCGCAGGTGTCCTTCGCGGTTTGGTCTGCGCCGCAAAAGTTGACGAGCTGGTCGCACATGAACTCTGTAGGCCGTCGGGGGGCTATGAGTGCTTGGCGTACAACAAGCACACTGTGATGAAAGACTCACGAGTGATGATGTCGATGTTCTGTGCGCTGCCGTGGTCGTAGGACGTCTTGTCGACGGGCTGGAACGAGGTCTCTTTCCGGTTGTCGAAGCCGGTCGCGAACTCGATTTGCGGGACGGTGCACTTGCCGAAGTCGCCGATCGCGGACGAGGACGCGGTGGAGGAGGCGACGGCGGCGGAAGCGGACGCAGAGACGGTGGCGGAAGCGGACGCAGAGACGGTGACGGTCGAGGTGATCGTGCTGGTGACTTCGGCCGCGCAGCTTGCGCTATCGTCCCCGGAGGCGGAGTCGTCGACGGCGGCGGAGGTGGTGGTATCTGCCGCGGCGGAGGCGGTGACCGTCACCGTCACGTCGCCGGGGCAGTCCGTGGCCGTCGCGTCCGCTGCAGATGTGGTGGTGGTGGTGGTGGTGTCGGCGGCGGCAGAGCTCGCGGCGCTGGACCCGGTGCCCGCAACGACGTTGCCTTGGTTATCCACTTCGGCGACGGCGGCGAAGTCGGTGGTGATCCCGAACACGGCGTTGAACGCGTCCGCCTGGCCGCCGGTCTTGGCGGTGACGGTGTCCGCAGCGGCGCGCGCCTGCTGGCAGGTGTCCTTCGCGGTCTGGTCAGCGCCGCAGGTGTTGGTGAGCGTATCGCAGATGAACTGGGTGATGATGTCGATGTTCTGCGCCGAGCCGTGGTTGTACGAGGTCTTGTCGACGGGTTGGAAGGATGTCTCCTTCCGGTTGTCGAAACCGGTGGCGAACTCGATCTGCGGGACCGAGCAGGAGCCGAAGTCACCGATGGCGGAGGAGGAGGAAGCGGTCGACGATGCTGCCGCGGCGCTGGAGGTGGACGAGGCGATGTCGACGTTCGCAGCTGACGTCGCGGCTGCGATGGCCGACGACGAGGATGCGCTCGCGACCGCGCTGGACGTCGTATTGGAGCTCGCGGAGCCGGCGGTGCCGAAGGGGAACGTGTTCGACTGAGACCCCTTCTTCACCGTCGCCTGCGGGGAGGCAGGGTCGAAGAAGGAGTTCGGGTCGTTCGCCGGGTCCTGAGCCTGCACGAGCCCGTTCAGCTCGGCGTGCTTGGGCGCCTTCTGGCAGAAGACGGAGTTTCGGAGGATGTTGGGCTGCACGGAGAAGTCGGGAGGTGTGTTCTTCTCCACCTGGCGGTACTCGACCGCGAGCGCGATCATGTTCGCCTTCGTCGCGTCGTCGAACTGCTGGGCCGCGTCTGAGTTGTCAAAGGGTGAGAACTTGTGGGCGACAAACAGACTGGGACATACCTATGATAGCGTCTGCCATGTCTTGCTGCGTGCACTCGCCTTGCGCGGCGAGGAGGGGTGTGATGGCTTGGCCTGCGAGGACGCCGCAGACCTCGCCGGGACAGGCGGCAGAGAGCTTATCGATCATTGCGGGGTGTTCCTGGCCAAAGCGACGGGGGTGAAGGAGGACGGCGTGGCCATCGCGTTCAAGCCAACGCTCGCGGGCGAGGCCATGGAGGGCAAGGGAGACAAAGACGAGGAGCGACTTGGAGAACATGTCGAGATAGAGGTTCGGAAAGCGTAGTAGATTGACACCTGGCCGGTCAGGAAGTGAATGTGAAGGCTTCGCCGTTCAACGACACCGAGCACGCAATGAGGGGAAGGAGATAAAGAAGGAATAGACGGACAAGCCGCGGGTTGTGAACGAGAACGAGAACAAGGGGATGGAGGCGAGGGTCGTGTTCCCTTGAGCCTTTTATCTTGGCCGGCACCATTGCTCGTGTTGATGACACGACGAGCCGCATGCGAGACAGCCACGCCGGCATCTTGTTGGTCGACAAGAAGAATTTTTCTATAGAAGGTCCGCGGGCGAATATGGTTACTCGGAGGGTGTATCGGTGGTTATAGCTCGGGAGAAGTAACGCATCCGCGGTCTCGGGCGATTCTGTGCCTTGGCAGGCATAATGAACGAAGACGCGGATTGCTGTCCGGGACCTTACAAGGTTCCCTCCATCCAGGAGAATAGATGGTGGTATGCAGGCTTGACATCTGAGGAGTTTATTGCCTTAGAGAAATCCGCGCTGAAGCTAGTGCTGGCATTATCCTGGTTTCTTTTGCTCGAGGCGAGCAAGCCGAACGATCAGAAGCCCATTGTCGTCCGCGGCCCGGACCGAGCCCGGACTCTTGGGTCGTGCACCGAGGATGTGTTTGCCGGTTGTCAAGACGTGGACGAGCAGTCTAAGCGCCCACAATATTCCCACACATACGAGCGCCTATCGCGAAAACCTTGCTTCACTTTCAACGCCCGACTGACTCTTACCTATTGACCTCACCCGCATGCCCTCGTAGACAGTGAGGGTCGCCGCTTTGTATCCATACGTCGTTCTGATATCTGCTACAGCTACATGAGCGAGGACGACGCCGAGTCGCTGTTCGGCTCGCCGCCGCCGTCGCCGCCGAGCGCGACGCTCGACCTCGCGCTGCCCACGGGGGGCGCCACGACAGAAAATGTGGGGACCATTGCACTTCCTGGCTCCCGTGCACGTTCTGAACACACAGTCGTCCCGCCAGTCTCACGTCTGAGCGGTGCGCATCCAACGCACCCTCGATCGCATTCGCAACAGCAGCAGCAGCAGCAGCAGCAAGCAGGTGCGCATACGTCCTGGTCGGCGTCGCCCATCCCGGCGTATCCGCGTTCATCGTCGACTCCGACACCGACGCCATCGTCTCGAACGTCTTCGCCGTACCCAGTAACAACGCCCGAGACGACGACCACCTTGACGTCAGGCCTTGCCTCAATTCCCGCCTCCGACTCCTTCGAGCGCCGCAAACGCCGCAAAGTCGAGGTGTCGCCAACTAGGACAGCCACCGCGCCACCTGCGCGCCCGCAACCGCCGCCGATACCACTGCCAGCCCCTGGAGAACGTGCCCCGGCAAACTTTCTGCGCAACCAAGCCGCGCTCCTTGGTGTGGCGGGCCTCGTGGGCGGGCTCAAGCCGTCTAGGTTGACGACCGGCACCAACAAGGGGAAAGGCAGGGAACGGGAGAACGGGAGGGGATCGGGTTTCGCGACAACGACAACGCCGGCTAGGAGAGGGTCCACTCCAAACGATCCGATCGTCGTCGATGGTGACGACGACGACGCCGTCGCCGTCGCCGACCCTTCACATCCGAAATCGGCAGTCCCAGGGTCGATACCGGGAACAGCCCCCGATAAAGATATCATTGCGAATCTGGCCCGGAACCAGAACTTCTATCCGGTCCTGCAATCCATATTGAACTTCATCGCCTCTGCCGGTGGAGCTTCAGCGGCTTCTGCTCCCGCTTCTACTCCTGCACCTGCGCCCGCATTTGTTCCTGCACCACCAACCACGTCCGCCCCCCCTCCGTCCACCTTGTCTCCCCAATCCGTCCAAACCGATCCCCAACCCGCATTGCAATCACAACCTCGTCCATCTCCCTCGCCCTACTACCGCGACACAGCGCTACCTGCTTCTCCTCCGAAGCTGCCTTCCACCTCGCACTACCGCACCCGTTCCAAGCCGACCACGCAAATCGAAGAGCAGAAGCGGGGGTGGGAGATCACGCTCAAGCTAGCAGCCATGATTCAGGATGCGGCGATCAAGGCCGCCGCTGCGCGGTCGACAAGCGGCGGGACGGCGCACCCCTCTCCTAGCCGCGAGTCGTCCATCTCCGCACCGATATCCGTGGATGCGACGGCGCAGGTTCCACCGACTTCCAAAGGCCATTCTGCTGAACAACCCATCTCATCGTCTTCTTCGATCGCCTTCGTCGATCCGCCTATGCAAATGGATGTCGATGAGATTCTGCCTTCCTGCGCAGACGACACGGGGAGCGGCTGGACATTCGATGCGAACACTATCAACGACGACACCACGGTCGACTGGATGGCCCTGCTGGATGGTCACTCCGCCGGCATCGGCGAGCTATCGTTGGCCCAGCTGGGTATCCAAGAACTCGATTTCTCGCTCGGATCCTCGACACAGCTATCCTCAGAAAGCACCGATGATATGGTTGCAGATGTCCTGGCCGCCGCTGCTGCCTCCGGTACCGAGGCATCGCCCTCTGCGTCGGACATGGAAGCCATGGCTGCCGCGATCGATCCCACCCTTCTAGCCATCTCGGGTGCGGGCGCGGAAAATCATCAGACGAGCCTGCAGCCCAACGTCGCCACTGCCCCATCGGACGTGGACGCCACCTTCGACTTCTCCCCTACCGCTCCCGCCTCAGAGTATGCGGGCTTCAACATGGACACCGCAATGGACCTGGATCTCTGCGCCCTCCTTGCAGTATCGGAGACGTCGGGAAGCAGCGTTGCCTCGCCGGGCGGGCCGCCCACACCACTATCCGCCGCCGGCGAGGGCGCGAACTCTACCCCGTGCGTGTTCACGCCCTCCACTTCCACGACCGATGTCAACTACCAAGGTCTCAATGCACAACAAGGCCACCATCAGGCCCCGATGGGGAGCAACCAAGGTACGCACGTCGTGGAGCTGCGCCGGCGAATCGTCGCTCATCAGGGCTTCATCGACCTCGCAGCGGACGATCCGATAGCTGCCGCCGCGATCCTCATGCAGCTCGCTTCCATGGCCTCCCTTCCTGCGCGGGACGAATCCACTGGACCTGCAGTGCCCGGTCCGGTTACCAAGCCCGCCGTCGTCGCTGGGGTAGCGCCTGCGTTCGCCGCGTCCAGCTTTACCGCGCCCACCTTCACGGTACCCTCGACTTCCACGGTACACGCAACGTCCGCACAGCCCGCCGCTGCGCCTGTCGCCAAGCGTCAGGCCGCCGGCCCCGGCCGACCCGCGCACGACCCGCAAAAGGCGAAAGACGCGATCGCCCGCGCGAAGGAGCGTCGGGCGCAGCTGGCGGAAGAGCTCAAACGGGCGCGGGTCGAGCTTTGGGAGACGACGATCGAACAAGGTGTCTTACTGAACCTTGCGAAGGAGATGGGGGCAGGGCAGGGCTTCGGGATGTCGGTGCCCTTCCGGAGTTCGTGAGGACAGCGTTGGATACACGGATACGACTTGCATACGATCCACACAAAAAACTGCACTTTTCGGCATAATGACGCAATAATTATAATATCGAGCACGGCATACATCCCGACATGAGAATTTGCATGTGTATGAGATGGGGAAGTAGTAAATGCGAACACAATTCACCGTCGACCAAGGTTTGAGCCCGTTCTACTGAAGACGGAACGGGGAGGTATGACCGACGTGTCCTTGACAGGGGATAGTGTGGTCGGGATGTCGAGGCCGCCAGTCCCACCATCCTGGATCCACGCGAACACGTAAGCCCGTTGTACAGGCATGAAAGTGCAGCGAGACGCACCTGTAGGAAGTCGTTCCAGGGTATCGCTGTTTGGCCCTGGGGGAAAAGGTTGATCTTCCGCTTTTTCTTCTTCACCTGAGCAGACGAGGTGTCCTCCGCCTCGGGCTCTGGTTCAACGCCGTCCACGTCCTTCGAGCCTCGGTTATCCTCTCGCGCGCGCTTTGCAGACCTCGCTGCGGTGGTGCGTTTGGCGGTATCCAGATGTTCGTGGTCTTCCGCCGGCTTGTTCTTCGGGGGGCGGCCGCGCCGCCTCGTCGGCGGCTCGGGCTCGTCGGCGGAGTCGTCCACATCGATGGTGGAGTCGTTTTTGGACTTGGCTTTGGGCTTAGGTTTTGCTGGTGAGCGATTCCTCTTTGGCGGTTCGAACTCTTCCGCGTCATCATCGTCCAGGTCGATTAACTTGCCCTTGCCTTTGCCCTTCGGGTCTTTCGCCTTGCCATTGGCTTTCGTCTTAGTCTTGGCGGGCTCGTCGACGAGCTCGACTTCACTTCCCAGGCTCTCTTCCTCCTCTTCGTGAGCGGGGGCGGCCTTGCCCTTGCCCTTGCCCTTCGCGACCGCGCTCTTCTCTGCAGGCGCTGGGTCGTCCGCGACCATGATCTCGTCGTCAGCCTCTTCTTCGAGCGTTGCCAAGGCCTTGGCCGAGGACGCTTTCGACTTCGCAGCGGCGGTGCCCCGTTTGGAGGTTAGTTTGTCTGACGAGGAAGACGGCTTGGAGGTGGGCGAGGATGCAACTGGCGTCTTCTTGATTGGACGTGGTTTGGGTCGACCTTTGGGCTTCTCCGGCGGCTCTTCCACTTCTTCTTGCTCCAGAAGCTCGTCGACGGGTGGTGAGCGCGCTCGTTCCCGCTGCTGTGAAAGTATGTTTTCGACGACAAACACATTGGACGCATTTGCGCATGCTCACTTTCCCTTTGCCGAGCTTTTCTGCAGGATCAGCTCGCGCCTTTAAGTCGTCGATGAGCCTGTGAGCTGCGTCAAGCTCATCTGCGAGTCGTTCAGCTTCATCGCGCGTACGCGCAACTTCGGCGTTGGCCGCTTCCGTGTTCGCCTGCGATATCCTATAAGCATGACACAGAATATGGATAAGACGAAACGTCGAATTCTCACCATTTGTTCCTCGAAGGCGACTTTGTACCTCTCAACCTTCTTCCTCAGCTTCTCCTCCGTTTTGCCACCCTGCCTATCGCTGCTTTCCAATTCGGCCAGTTTCTCCTCGAGTTCCTTTACCTGCATCTCAAACTCGAGACGCCGTTTCCGCTCTTTATCGACCTCAGCCTCGTCTTTTCCTCCTATTCATGAGACAACCGGGTCGATTAGGGTAAGAATTAAGCCACCGGAGACGGACCAGTCGGCTAGCCACTGCTGACCTATTGTTTCCCATTCCTTGACCTGACGTTTGAGCTCGGTGTTACGCGTGGTGAGTTCTTGATTGACTTTGGTAAGGTCGGAGATAGTGGTCTGCGCGCCGGCCAGCTGAAGTTGGATACGCTCAACTTTGGAGGTGGAGGACTCGGATGTGGACTTCAGCGCGTGGTACGTCTCTCGTAGGGACGTGTATTTGTCCTGTGCAATCCACAATAAGATATCCAATGAAAATAAGGACCACAGAAACATAGTGAGCGCGTACCTCGAGCTCCTCCAGTGCCTGCTTCGTCTGCGCCAACTCAGTCACTGACGCGTCCAAATCGGCGGTGACCTCCTCTAGCTGTGTCTGCAGCTCCCCAAGCTCCCCTACACCCTCATTCCTCAGGCGCTCCACCTCCTCCTCTGCCTCCGCGAGCTGGTCCTCCAGTTCCTCAATCCGAGTCTCTAGCTCCCGCTCCCGGCTTTGAAACCGCACAATGCTCACGTCCCTCCGCGCCAACGCGACCTTGCACGCCCGAATCTCATCCTCTGCCTTCAGCGCGCCTGTCCGGTCGCGTCCGAGTTCTATCGCCGTCCGCAGGTGCGCGATACGGTGGAACGCCTGCACGGTGTCGCATCCCGCGCGCCACTCTGCGCGCTCTGCATGCCATTGCGCGGTAATTTCCTGCATTGCGATGGTACTGCGCTCCTCTTCGCGCCTAAGGGCAGCTTGTTGTTTCTTAGAGAGCGCCTCGAGTGTGCGGTTCTTCTGCACGAGGTCGTCAATGTGGGCCTGCTGTGAGGCGGCCATGGCCTCGTACGGCGCGGACGATGGTCCTGAGCGGAGCGCGATGGGAGTTCTCCCTTCCATGGCTCAATTACGTGTTGACCGTCAGCGTGAGCGCTAGAGAATTGTAACTAGTAATGCTATAGGAGTAGGGATGAAGGGAGAGCCAAAGAGCCCCTAACTTCAAATATGCGCAAACAAGTAACCACGTTGCGCAAAGCCAATACGTTGTCCGGTTTTCGACAACAGTCATGGCCACATATACAGCGGTCCCATCATTTACGTGTCGTCTTCCGCCAGAACTCCTGGTGAAGATAATAGAACAAATCTCGAGTCCTTGAAAGCCGCCTCCCTCGTTTGCAGGTCACTTCGACGCCGCAGTCAATGCTGCCTCTTCAACACCGTCTACATTGACGTCGGACAATCTGAACGCACCGGCAGTGTCGCCGACCTGCTCTTTGACTCGAAAATCATTGCATCGGGCGTACGACCGTTATTTCTAGAAGACAAGACGTGGCCATTTGTCGTTGACAGAGAAATCACCCCCTTCACGAAGGCGTTTGCGGCATGCACGCATGTGACCAGGCTTAGTCTCACAGCTCTACCGGATCTCCATCTACACTTACTCTGCACTTCGACAATCTCTCCCAACATTCAAGCGCTGCACATATATAATTGTCGATTCTCTTCGTACAGCGCGTTGGCTGAACTCCTTTGCCACACGCCCAACTTGACCACCTTCCTCCCGGATCACTGCTGCGTCGATCATTCTTTGCCGGAGGAAGAACCGTCAGCAATAGCCCCTGTCCCTGTGCGATCGCTGGATCTGAACAAGAAACCCTAAGTCCACATGGATGCTAGATTTTACGACTGTTTCATCTTTGATCAGCTGAGAAAGTTGGCTATTGAGGTTCAACTTGTCTCAGATGTCGAAAACCTGAAGAAGATCTTCACCGAGTGTGAACCGGTGTTGAGAACGTTAGACCTTGGCCTCCGCAAGAAGTATTTGGGTCAGCATCGACCCCTGCATGCAAGGACATTCTTACTGATCTGCGTGTTTAGACATCCTCTCCGATCTACTGTCTGAATTCAACTCGCCAGTGTTGCAGAAACTTGTGCCCATAGCTTCCTGCCTCGAAAACGACTTCACCTTCTCCCGTCTTCGCGGGTGCATCGTCGAGCGCATCGGCATAGGCTTCCCAGTGCATCGGTTGCACTATTTGCGCCACCATCATTCATCCCGCTGGGACATACTTTGGGATGGGATCGATAGCGCGCTCTCGTCGACCACGGTGTTTCCTTCCTTGAACGAGGCCGCGGCTTTTGAGATACCGAATAACCCCCTGAATAACAGAGTCTCGATGATCCCCGACGTGCACGACCTTCTCCCCAGGACTGCTTTCCGGGGTGTTCTCCTGTCGCAGTCTAAATATCACGGATACGCCCGCAGACCAAGGTTCCGATTGAACGAATTGCATTGGTGACATATACGGGGACAGTCCATCGTCCGGCGCGGAAGATGGCACGGGGCGGAAAAGGAAGCTGCTCGCACATGCACACGGAAAAATATGATAGCTTACCTCAATGGCAACGAATAACACTCGACACTATTTACCTTCGACATTCACCTGAATCAGCATTACGTAATTGGTCCGGACAACGCGAGTCACTTAACCCCTTCGCAGACGTGACTCAGGGAGCTCGCTGGAAAACTCGCTGCACGTATATCCGCTTCTTTTTTCACCGCGGAGAGTCCCCGAAGAGACGAGGGCTCCGAGAACGAGATGAAGGAAACCAAACACGCACCTCTTACGTACCGGGTGAAACCTGCAGAGACACCCGATGACCTCAAAAGATGTATGGATATCAGAAAAGCAGGTGTGCACGTTCATTCTACTGACTGTCACGTCAATTGAATGACTTGGATATCCAACAGTATTCATTGACGAACAGGTATGTGCGGCACTATGGCCAATCTTTAAACACGGCGGGAAGCTCACTGAACAGCTCGAACGACCAGGGTTACGACATAAGTATAGAGACCAATGAGTGAGTTCGGCAAAGCAACTGGGAGGGATTTGAAAGGCGATCCTGAGTGATGAATCAGCGACGACTGCAGGAGCACTCACTTCCTCATGACGCTTCCTGACACCGGTGAACCCGTCGGCACGGTCCGAGTCATCAATACGAGCGGCCAGGTGCGTTGTCGTGTTAATGTGCTACAGGTATATCAAAACGTAGCGCAGATTGGTCGGGTCGCGATCCTCAAACCTTACCGGGGGCGTGGCTGGGGTAGACCGTTAATCGAAACCGTGCATGAGTATGTTCGGTCCATCGGCGGGACAGAGGTTTGGTGTCAAAGCCAAGTAAGTTGCGAAACGTTCAGGACTGGACATCAGCCATGCTTCTCATTCCGCTCACCTGTCGTGTTCACTCGTGTTGACTTGCCACTTGTTAGGCTAGTGACCCTTCGAAGGGAGGAGTCGATGCCACCGCGTTCTATAAGCGCCTCGGTTATGTAGAACGAGGGAGCAGATACATAAAGGAGGGGAGTAAGTCAATTCTGAACTTCATATTGGATTTCGTACGGGTGCTAATGTAATCGCGTTAGCTGAACATCAAGATATGGTTCTCAGCCTGATATGAGGGTCATCGCAGGGAGAATACGCGCCCCTCAGGCGACAACTCTGCCTTCCATCAGTCTTCGCTTCCTCTTCTATCTCTCGTGGCAATGTGTCTCCGTACCTCGTGGCTCTCTCGATCATGAAAGGTTTTCTCCGAAAACTTCCCTCAAGCGCGTTGTGCGGCGTGCCCCACCAGCGCATATCGGTGGTTTTTCGTTTCTAGCGTGCAGACATGCAAAATGCACATTCTTCCGGCGATGGCCTTGTAGCATCGACCACGGACTTCGTTTCTTTGCGGTTCGTTTATTGCTTCTTTACTGCATAGCCATCTCTCTCAGATGCTCGTAAATTTGATTAGCGACGCACTGACCCAAGGAGTAATCGCGCCTATCAAGCAAGCGCCTTCACCGACAGCAGTGCAACCTTTGCACATGTCTATCGCTCTAACTCCCTTCACGGTCTCTCAGGCCCCACCTAGAAACTCATTAGAGGTGGCTTGATGGCTCGACTGTAATCTGGCGCTATCACTTACGGCCCTGTATGTATCTATTTCCACTTTCAGCTTCCCGAGTCGTGATGGCCCAGGTTCGATACCATATTCGGTACGGTGGGTAATTGCTGACAATGCTATGCTACGCGCCCGGTCGTTACACATTTTTCTCAGGCCGCACTCAGAAATATGCCCCATTCGTACTTCATGCATCAAATTAGGAGGGCGGAGGCTCGGAGACAGGTGAAAACAACAAGTCGATGCGTGCTTCTGCACGGGGGTACCTCGCTACTGCTCCGAACACAGCCTACAGACGATGTCATTCGTCCGCGTGCATGCAGTTACAGACGCCATCTCCGGGATGGCTTCACCTGGAGTCAAATATTTCAGATCGGGTCATGCATTGATCCTCTCTGTGAGCATCGCTCGCATATAAATCATGCTCAGCTTGGATGTGCGTTGTTCATTACCCTTCCTTCTTTTCTGCTTCTACTACGAAAATCATGTTTTTCAAGTCGTTCGCTTCTCTCACTTTGCTTGTTTCTGCCGCCTGCGGCTCTGCGGTTCCTGCTTCCAGCAAGAACACGATGGTCATGAACAACAAGCTGGGCCTCAAAGGAAAGTCTGCCGGTGCCGTGTACTGTGAGCAAGACAAGACATCCTACCGCCTCCGAATGCTTCGACTGACCAATTCCGTTATAGTCATTACGAATGAACCTAGTGGCAACTTTGTCGTGTCTGCGGACATCAAGAGCGACGGTACCCTGGTACGAGAAGTTAACTTCAACATATGATCGCGAGTCACGGAGACGTGTAGACACTTGCCAGGGCCGTAAGCGCAGACGGTCGTGGGCAGCATGGCAATGACAGCCCCGCTGCGGAAGGCCCAGATGGTCTTTTCTCTCAAGCCTCCATCAAGGCGTCTCAAAACGGCAAAGTCTTGGCAACCGTCAACGTACGTACCTCACTCGTCCGTAAATCAATACAATAAACTCTTGATTTCTCTTTGCTAGCCTGGATCCAACACTATCGCGGTGTTTGCCATCAATGCAAAGAACCCGTCGGTAATTGACATGATTGGTACGCGACCATAGGGCTGCTTTGGGCTTCTCGAATTCATGTTGGGCGCCTTCAGGCGGGCCCGTATCTACCGAAGGGGAATTCCCCATGTCAATTGCTTTCAATGAGGCGGGAAACAAAGTCTGCGGTTCGTTCAACCGAGTATCCCGGACGAAAGTGGTGCTAATCCATCTCCAGTCCTCAACGGAGGTCAAGTGAACGGAGTAAAGTGAGTGCAAGTTTTTTCTTTGCCACACATGGCGATGACACTTTTCAACCAGCTGCTACAAGGTCGATCCCAAAGACGGGCTCGAGGCGATCCCGGGCACTCTCCGCTCCCTTGGTTTGAACCAGACCACACCAGCCACCGGTCCTGCGGGGACCACCTCACACCTCCTCTTCAGCTCGGACGAGAAGTCCCTCATGGCCTCCGTCAAAGGCGTTCCGCCCCAGCCCGGTTTCATCGCCGTCTGGTCTGTCAATGACGACAACTCACTCTCGCCCAATTTCACCAAGGTCGCGCCCGCAGCCGGCGGCCTGCTTCCGTTTTCGATGACCCCTATACCCGGCAAGAACGCGCTGCTCGTGACCGACCCCGGCCTCGGCTTCGACGTGTTCGACATGTCCAACGTCCAGGCCGGCGGTAGCTCGCAGAGCACGGTCAATGCCACCGGCCAGAGCAGCGCGAACCCAATTTCCGGACAGAGCGCGACGTGCTGGAGCAGTTTCAGCAACAAGACAGGGAGCTTCTATCTCATCGACATCGGGACCGCAATGGTGACGGAGGTTAACGTTGACTCCAACCTGAACGGCACCATCGTCAAGGTATGTTATATGTACTCGGCGGGGCGGGGGAATCGGGGGAATGGGCTAACTGTTTCATCAGCAATACGCGCAGACTGCGAACTCCGGGCCCATCGACAACACCGTCGCCACCGTGAACGGTAAAGAGTATGTCTTTCATCGTGATAGCTACCGGATGAAAGATAGCAACATCGCTTACCACTCTCTAGCTTCCTCTACGTCCTTGGCGCCAACGCGACCCAGATTGACGTCCTTTCTCTCAACGCCCCCGGTCAAGCGAAAGGCATCCAGACCCTGGATATTGCCGGTCCGTCAAAGAAGGCCGGGCTCACGGTCAACCGTCTCAACCTGCAAGGCATGACCGCGTTCATCAAGAACTGAGTATGATCGGGAAAGATCTGATTGAAAGTTGGAATCTTACGATGCTCTCAGGTTATTGATTCTCGTACAGTAGTCCTAATTAATCAGTCTCCGATGTCGATCCTTGGTATTGTGCCTCGGCCTATTTATTATCAATACTATTGCTCGTGATGGCTTCGGTGTTGACTCGGGTTCCGAGCAACGTATTCAGCTATTTTCCAACTCGTCGAAGGTGGAGGCGGCTTGCGCGCCTGTTCGCTGACATGTCAGGCATGGCCTTCTCTCATCCAACACCGGCTGTTTACGGATATCAACCTGGCCCACGTCTACGATCTCGAAGACATGTTAGAATTCGTACGCCTCTTCTTTCCATTCGCCCCATCTGCTTCCTTACATCAACCAGTATGACGGTCAAGGCTGACCTGCCCCTCCCCTTCTCCCCAATTTTCCTGCCAAACATCCGGCACCTACATCTCGGATATTCCGACGACAAGGAGAGGCGGCGAGGCATCTTGGCCTGTCCGAGCCTTCGCACCTTGCAGGTTCATCAGGCGTCGTTCGCCCCCTGCACCAATTCGTGAACCGGGTCGACAAGTTGCCTGTCGGTTATCGTCCGTCTCGATCCGTGGAGTGTACGCTGGTCGCCTGAATACAGACGAGACTACCTTGTTCCGACGAGGGTTCGATTGCCAGCTGCAGTGCGGGTTGCAAGAATGTGAGACTCAGGCTGCGAGAAAGGCAATCAGAGGCCGACGTCGAATTGTCCGTTTCCGATATACATTATCAGAATTTGTGTGTGCATTTTGCGTGCCTCGATTGTTGCATAGCGTTCGGGGTCGAGCGAGCAAGTATCAGCAGTGTCGGTCAATTGCGGTACGCGGGGTACGTACGCTACATTGTATTTCGAGTACACAGACTCGGATACCAGGAGAGATATTGAAACCCGCTTATCATACAAGTCACTAAGTACCGTTCGCGCCGACGTCGCCTAAGAGGAAAGGAATCCAACGCGCTTCCAGAAGGCGATCCACTTCATTGCTTCCTCCGGGCCCAGATCACGGATTCGCGTTGCGTCCGATAGAAAATCGCATTCTTCGCAAGCACGCTCCATCGAGAGCCTTGGTTCCTTCCATCCCCCTTTGAAAAAGTCCAACAGCATCAGGGCAGGAGTGGTGGAAGGATCCGTAGCGCCTTGTAGTTTACCGAGCCATTCATCGTATGGCACCATGTCGAGACGAAGCGAGTCCGCGAAGGCCCGGAACACGGACGAAGCGGGAATCGGATGGGGATGTGCGAGATGGAGAACACCTGGAGATGCCTTGCGCATGGCCGCTATGCAACGGGCAGCGATATCGACAGGTAGCCAAGCGAGATTCTATGATGAAACGGCAGACACGTCAAAGCAATGTAATGCGGCATGGAAGGGAACCTTACCTGTTGCATGGATGGCATGAAGCCCAGTTGTTGACTGGACTTCACGAGCGCAGGGAGCCATTCCGTACTAAGGATTGGGTGAGAAATCTAGCAGATGAGAAATAATGAATGACGTACGTCTTCCAAGCGCCGTTCTTCGCCCCTGACAGCTGTCCAACGCGGATGGTCACCGCATGCAGGCCGCTTTTCTCCGAGGCGACCTGGAGAAGGCGCTCTCCAACCCATTTGGATTGCGTGTAACCGTTACTCAAGGCCACCGACGCGCCGACGTACGTCTCTTGGATTGGTTCTGTAACTCCCTCCCCTGGACACTTAGATTAGCGCAATGATCGATTTGGTGTGTCATACGCGTACCACTGACCACCCCGATGGAGCTGACAAAGCATAATCGTGCACCGGACGAGAGCGATAAATCTATGAGGTTGCGCAGGCCACGGACATTCGCCTCAAAGGATGGCAACGCCGCCCCGAAGTGCACGTTCCATGCTGTGGAATGACCTTGGTCAGCGAATGACACAGGAACGGCACCGCTCCTGGCACACCGTTTTGAATGACGTGGGTCACGGAGCTGCGGATCTGCGACGCGGGCAATGTCAGCCACGTTTACCGAAGCGTGACGGCTAACGCCCACCTCCGTCAGGGTCTCCGAATCCAGCCCGAAGTCCGCGCGGTTCCAGTCCACGGTCAAGAGCGTGAGTTTAGGCGATCGCGCAAGGCCAGGATCTATACCATGCGTCTGGATCACGGATTCCTGCCTCTCGAGGAGCGACTTATGGCCAGTCCCGTTGCGATTGAATGCAAAGACCCGTGCCACGGATGGGTCGTCCAAGAGGGTCAGCAAAATCTCGGCACCGAGGTTCCCCGTCGTACCCGTCACTACGACGACATCGCTTCCACTCGCGCATAAACGTGCCGGAACGCTTTCAGGAAGATCGCGAGAATGCGTATCGACCAAACGAGTCATCGCGTCGAGGACGATGCGAGCATCGGATATCGCCGACGGTGCACCGCGAGCGAAAGTCACCACGAACGAAGTGAGAGCACGGATCGAAGGATGCTGGTAAACCAGGCTGGATGATACAGATCGCGTGTCAAGACTCGTGGTTTGACGCAAGGCGCGGAGCAGGGTGTTCCTGATCCACGTCGCTTGAAGGCTAGTCCATATTCGATCAGGACTAATGTACGCGGCGGTATGATCATCAAGGCCGACATACCTGTCGCAGCCGTGCTCGAAGAGGTCGTCTTCGTCAGATATTTCCCGCTTGAGCATGTTCTTGACGAGGGACCGTAAGAAAAGCTCCGCCGCGTCATCGGACCAGCTGGCGGGGGCCTGGATTTCGAGTTGCGTGGATTCTTCGAGGGCAGCGTAGGCCAAGTCGATCTCGTCCTCGTACTCTGCGAGAACCCCTTGGCGCCGGGCCGTCGCCTTGGCGGAATAGATGAAAGGCTTCTTCGGCGAGGCCACTAGGATCATCTATGGCGCTGATCAGCGCAAGCTCACGCAGGAAATCTGGACGAGTCCTCGCCTCTTTGAAGATGCGCGAGTGTTGAGGGGCGAACCGATTCATGCGCTCCACGCTCGGCCTGCGAAGAAATACACGATTAGCTGCGTGAGCTCGGGCTTGACAGCATGGGTCACCCATTACCAGATTTTGTTTCGGAAATCGGCGAGCTTTGCCTCATCGCTAGGGTCGAATTTCTCCTGAGGTATCGGCTCGACTATGACGCCAGCGTGGAAACGTTCCCGGCCAAACATGACGGCCCCGGCGACGTAGGGATCTTGATTCAGTATCGTCTCTATATTTCGAAGCGGGAAATGAGCACAGGGCCCGCGACACCAGAAAATAGGTGCCGACCAAGCGGTCCCGGATTAGTCTAGAAAGTGATAGGGTGAGTGTATCGAACGCGGACTGAATGGGGGATGGAATCGACCTTTTCCCCGGTGCTGTGCATGATCTGATCGTCCGCGCGGCCGAATACCTTCCACAGATCCGGTTTCGTGGGGTGTCTTTCGAGCAGGTCCCCTGTATCGTACGCGTCTACGCCATCGACCTTCGTGTTTGTTTTCACGGGAACGGACAAGGGGTTACCCTGGAACTCTCGAGTTAGAAAACATTATGGCACCGAGCGATGTCCACATACGACTAGCACCATCTCCACCTGTCCAAAGCCGTTCTCGACGAGGTGCGGCTTGACGTGCTTGCTGAACCGGAAGTACTGCCAGTCCAAACCGGGCCGATCTCCTGAGCTTCCTGGTCAGACCGTCTCAAGATCACGGCGTGCTCGCGACTTACTGGGAAGGATGACGTTCACCACCGTCGTCTCCGTGCTTCTCTCGTCAGCGAGCCCTCCTAATATGTACCGGCGAGCGCACCTTCCATAGAGCGTGTAAATAGCCACGCCTTTCTCGGTCAAGGCATCCCCGACTGCCTTGTTGAGGGGACCTGCTCCGTAAAGCTGGCCGAAAGAGTCTAAGCGCATACTCATGGATGGACAGTAGCCTCTACTCACGACACCTTTTATCCCCGCAAGATACTCCACATACGAGGGTGATTTGAGCCAAGCCTGGAACGCTGTATCATTAAGCGTCGTCAAGACAGGCAACCGTGGTCGAACCTCTATAAACGACGGCACCGAGAGCACGATGTCGGACTTCGTATGCATGGCGCCTTGAATGACGTGATCCGGAGTGGGAAGGATCGCCGGAGATCGGGGCGGAAAGGTGCTGATCACGAAACCGCAAGCCGGCTGCAGCGACTGTCCGTCAGCATCGCTCGGCGCGTGAGGCAGCAACCGGCGCTGCTCACCGCCCAGAGCAAGATCGTCAAGCCCATACCATGAAACATGGCCACGGAGTGACAACCGAGCGTGAGCCCAGCAAAGTCGATCTCTCCCCACGCTGAAAACAAGACATCGATAGTCAGCCGGGCCAGCACACTCTTGTTCCCCGCGGACAGAGCTCTCACCCGGGATGCCGGCAACCTTGATCATGAAGAAATGCGTGCAGGTGATGACCTTGGGGAACGCCGTTGATCCTGACGATCGCCGGGGTGTCAGTACTGGTCGATAGTGGCGTTTTGAAAGAGCAGTACCTGAGGAATGCAGTATGTATACCGGATCATCGGGGCCGACGTTGGGGTCAGGCAGAGGGTCACAAGGGTCGGATGATAGGTACAGATCCTCGAAATTGGGTATGATCGAGGTCGAGGGCACCGAATCCGGCGGCATCAATGAAGTCGCGGCCGTCGCCAGCTGAGAGAACGCGCTCTCGAAGCCGAGCAGAACGTGATCGACCCCAGCAGTCGAGAGCAGATGGGCGAGCTATAGGTATATGGTTCAGCTCGTCTGGCACTGCGCGCCCGGAGAGTGCATCGTGCGTACCGCAAGGGGGGAGTTTCTCGGAGAAATCGGGAATACGGTACATCCAGCGCGCATGATGCCCAAGCAGCAGGTGAAGTAAGTGATCATGTCTATGTAGCGTCGTAGTCAGCGCTCAGATGTTCAATATGGGTACAAGTAAGATCACTGACCTGCGCCGGCCAAGATCGCGATTACGGGCTTCTTTGACTTGCTATCGACGTGGTCGCGAATGATGCGACCGGCGCGGTGGCTTGCGCGAACAACGTCCGGCCAGTAGAGGGTCTTCGTCGTGCGATCCTCTTCGGCATATACGAAGAGAGGGTGCTTGGAAGACTTGCTTGCGTGCCAGTCATAGCACTGGAGAATGGTGAGTGTCCCATCAAGCGGTGGAACGGAAAATGTCGCGCTCGAGAGTCCCTGGGTCGCTGGTGGGGGGCTGAAAGGTATAGCCCTGAAATCGTTCGTCATGACCAACGAAGGGCGGGGTCAGACTGTCGTTAAGACTCTCACTGTGAATGACCCACTAGCATATTTATATGTGAGGACGAAGTGACAAAGGCAGCCCAGTCCGCCGATGCTGTTGTCACGCAGAAGTGCAAGTCTCTGCCCGCTCGTCAGTACGGTCTCGAAACGGACTCTCCTCATTCCCATGAGACCGTGACACTCGGGACGTCTGGTCTGGATCAACTGCAAGGTTCCTGTTGTTGAACGATCAAACTCGCTTTCCAACTTGCTGGTCTTCGAGTAAAGGCCGGCCGGCCGGGATCAGCGTTCAATACAGATGTGAATGCACTCTTCTCTCGGCACCCCGTTGCGAATCCGAGTCTTGGGCTGCACGCGTAGTGACTAGGCCCAACACCTAGGCCTCTGACGGCATCCGTGCTGAACTATGGAATAATTCGATAAGTATACTCAATTACCTCAAGCGAATTGTGCAAGCAGTGTTTGGTCGCGCTTGATTCGCAACGGCGCTACGTCACCCCAACGAAGGTTTGAACTTCCTACTTTCAGTAAACGAGCGCCCATTACTAGTAGCAATGGAGGGGAACACCTACTTATACCGCCATGTTATCTGCACCCTGTCCTTGGCACCATCCCATGATCACAGCTTAGGGCTGGGGAAACGGCATCTTTCGCTTGGATGCACTCCGCACATACGCTTGCGTCGACGGTGGTTATACCTTTGTCAGAACGACTTGCCGAGATGTTACAGAAGTGCGATACCATTCTTCCTTCATTCTGTTGTTCACCACAGGCTTTTTTGCATTCGCCACGTCAGACTCTACGGCATAGTTGATTGCGCGGAGAAGTCAATAGGACCGTGGAGAAGACGAGGCCGAGCGCGAGAGTGACGCTTTCAAACGCAAATGAAGTCAGGAAGAAAGAGCATCGGTGAATCATTCACGAAACGCACCGAGACGCGGGCTGGCGAGGACGCGGTCGAAATACGAAACGAGGAGCACGCGGTAGTGAGTGACTCCCACGTAACCTACCCAAATGAGGCGGACGAAGCGAAAACCGCGCTCCTTCAGTTTTCAGAGCTCGGGTGCGGTCCAGGTGCCGTGTTGGGCGATCGTGGAGGGGGCATAAAGTCGCGCCTTGCGTGTCAGACATTGCTACTTGGTAGATACAATACGCAGAGGTGCTAATCTGTGGTTGCTCGGTGGCCGGTGTCTTGGGCAGGTCCGAGTTGGTGAGCTTGGAAAGCCCCTAACACAGGGGGCCAAGCATGAACAAACAACGTGAGGTATTTTTCTTCGCGCGTCGCCATGCCTCTTCAGATAGATCCACGACCGGCGTCTTCCTGATGTCGCACCAATCCTGTTCTTCACGATGTTCAGTCGGGAAGAATGCAGGCAGGGTGTCGAAGCTCGTGGATACCGGTCCAGAGCAACATGGCCTCCTTAATCGCTCCAATCACGCTATTCTACGTTGAGAGGAGTTTCATGACGTGGCGACAATCCGCGAGCATATTATGTGTAGATTAATGCCATTGAGGTGGTGCTGGAGTATAGTGCCAAAACAACAAAATGCTATTGCCTACGAGCACACGCCTGAGTCTTTCGGGCCTGCAACCAGGAGGGCCCGTCGCAGTCGGTGAGAATAATGAGTCATAAATCAAATGAGCGCAATCGTAACAGACGGGCGCGCGCAGTACAGTGCAACGGATTTGAATATCTCCATCTGCCCCCGGTTTCGATATCCTCGCGCCGACAACGCCTGTCAGGTAGTATTCATACTACTGACATATCCCTCATACGATGTCCTGGACGAATTCGTTTCAGCCTCCACCACTACCAGATGCATCCGCGCTGTGGGGTCCCGATCCTTATGACCTCAACTTCGCCTTCCCTATCCACTCCTCCACGCTCCAGAACGCCCTCGTGGCCATCGTCCCCTTCATCCCCCGCGTCCACGCCGAGGCAATCTACAACGCCTTCGGTTCCGACGCTGACAAGGCTAAGCTCTTCAAGTACTTACCATGGAGCTTCCCCAACCTCGAGACGATGCTGGGATTGCTCGAAGTGGCGGTCAGGCGCGACCCGGGCGGGTGCTTGTTCGCGGTCATCGACAAGACCGCGCCGGGGCCCTTCGCGTTCGCGGAGGACGGGCAGGGCAGCGGTGCGCTGGCAGGCATCATCGGCATCATCAACGGCTCTCCCCTGCAGCTGACCGCCGAGCTCGGAGCGTTGACGATCCTGCCTGGATACCAAGGAACGCACGTCGCGAGGAACGCGGTCGGCTTGATGCTGCAGTACTGCCTGGAGTTGCCCACGGCGGAGAAGGCTGGATTGGGCTTAAGGAGGGTCGAGTGGTTTGCCCATCAGGATAACGTCCCCAGTAGGAAGACGGCGGAGAAGATGGGGTTCGTTGAGGAAGGCCTGACGAGGTGGAGCTGGGTGAGTGCTCTGATCCTCTGCACGCGAATCTCAAGCAGTAACTCGACCGACAGGTTCTGCCCCCGGATAAGGAAGGCCTCGACGTACGATCGGGGGATCCAAAAGAGGATGGAAAGGGTCGGCACAGTGTGGTGTATTCTCTGTGCTGGGACGACTGGGAGGGCGGAGCAAGAGAGAGGGTGCAGTCGGTCTTGGAAAGTAAGAAATAAGTCTGTCGATGCGGTACAATAGGATTAGCTACGCCTCCGAGTAATTGGTCGCTCAGGTACTTACAGGCCGTCTCGAATTCTCTGCGTATGTTACCGCCCCCATCCATTCAAGTCTTCGCCATTCATTCCCCGCGTCATCATCCGCCTCCCTTGAGCTTGTGCGTGAGACATTAAGGGCACTCCCCCATCTCCACCACCTTGCCCTGGGTTGCTGCCATAGAACTGATTAGGCGGTATACCACCTCCCATGTTCATGCCACCCATTTGTCCACCCATACCGCCACTCATGTTCATGCCCATGCCGCCCATAGCGCCCATGTTGCCCATGCCCGCATTCATCCCTCCGTACGGCGAGATCGGGGAGAAGGGTTGATTCTGATTGGGCTGGCCGTAAGGATGCGCAGCGTTCATGCCTCCGGACATGCTAGGGGCCCGCCGGAGTTGGGGAGATATAGCCATGGGCACGAATTCTTGAGCCTGAGGAACGGAATTAAATCCGGATAAATGAGAAGAGCTGGCGGCGGGCTCTTCCTTGGGGGGTGCTGCGTCGGCGGGTTCTCCTCGCAATGGGGTTGGGTCATAGTACAATTCAGATCCTTCGTCCACAAAGAACCTATAGAGACATGTTTGTTAGCCTCCTGGAGCACCAAAAGCATAGTGAATCATGAGTCAGTGACACTCGCATTTGCGTCGCTACGTCCCACTGGGGACCTCTCTCGGCGCGTGCGCTCGCCAGCATGCTGTTCCACTCGCTGGCGCTCTCGATAGCCTTTACCAGGTCGCTACCCGCTTCATGCGTGTTGTGAATGCTCTGCCGAGTGTCGACCTTCACGTTTCCCTCCGTGGCGGCAATGGAGACGATCTTGGCGGACAAGGCAGGACCGACACGCTGCGAGTGGTGGCGAGGTACACGGACCCGAATCTCTTTCGGAGGATGACTTGGAGACATAGCGAGGCTGAGGATGTGCAACCGCACAAGGACGAGGCCAGGAGGTTGCGCCGGAAGCAGTGCAGGGTTTCAGCGCGGTTCAGTGCGTCACTACTGCCTTCCTACATATGAGAATACGATTTAACCAGCCTGCAGGTCGCAATGACATGTAACTTTACAAAACTACGGTCGATGAGACATGTACTTAGTCTTTCCGGCATATAATCTCCCCGTGCGCGATGCTGAACCACCCGTCCTCGTTCTGCACCCAATCTCTCCAGGCCGCAGCGAGCCGCTCTAGGTCCTCCCGCGCGCAGTGCCCATCTCCAACGGCGATGTCTGCGTACGCTGAACCGACGGACCTGTCCGCCCACATATTGCCCCACCACTTTCTCTCATCCTGCGTGCTGAAGCACCAAGTTCCGACGGAGCACTTGATGCTGGCACGGTCGAAGCCCGCCTCCTTGGCCCAGACATGGATGTAGCTGCCTGGGTCGGGGTTCCCACCCCGCGCCTTCGCGATTCTATTGTATAGTTCCTTCCACTCGTCGAAGGCGGGCAAGCGAGGGTACCAGAGCATAGCCCCGGATTCGCGAGCGGCAACAATGCCTCCGGCCTTCGTGACGCGGCGCATCTCGCGAAGAGCTTGCACGGGATCGCGAATGTGCTGGAGGACCTGGTGGGCGTGAACAACGTCGAATGTATTGTCTGGGTACTGCAGCGCATGCACGTCGCCGGTCACGAACTCGACGTTGTTCACGCCCTCCTGGGCAGCGAGCGTGCGCGCGCCGTCGAGAGGATCGGGCGAGTATTCAACGCCGACGACGTGTCCCTGCGGGACGTGGCGAGCAAGGTCGATTGTGATGGTTCCGGGACCACATCCGACGTCGAGGATGCGGAGATCGGGTTTGAGATGGGGAACGAGATATGCGGCCGAGTTGTCGACGGTGCGCCAGCTGTGGGACCGGATAGGAGCCGCGCTATGGTCCGAGATGTAGACACGTTCAGAGTCTACGCTAGCCATCGGGCGTGGTAGTGAAGTCGCGTTGGGGTTGGGTGAACGAGGAATGCTGATCAGAACTTCTAAGCCGCGGCAACATATAGTTTATATAGGCCAGATGGTACTCGGGAGGTGATTTCCATGCATCGATAGTCGGGAGGTTACAGTCTTTCCTGCCCGCATACCGTGACGAAAGCTATCCAAAAACACCCAGAGAATAATGCTCGAGTCCGGGACCAAGCACGAATATATCGTAAACCTTTGCCGACCGCCTGCTCGCCTCCCGAGGGCCTCCCGAGCTCGGCAGAGTCATTGCAGTTCACTGCGTGGCTGTTCAGTGCCATTCAGTTATTGGACGCGGTCACATGTGCAAGGTCCTCTCCTTCCTCCTGACGCGGTGCACTGCTGAGCTGCATTCTATTCAACATTCGTTTTTTATTAGCTAAATGCCGTTCATTAACTGGCTTCCCCAATTCTTGAGGCCTTGGCCTCACCCAGCGCTACCTGGAATGCGCCTTGCACCAGAGTCCAGCTGTGACAATCCACTTATGGTACGTTATTGTTGCCTGTATGGCTTTAATCCAGTTCTGACGTTAATACAGATACAATGTTTCACGTGGGATGCTAAGTTTGAAGGGAAAAGCTGGTGGAAACACTTGGACGACGAAATACCTCGTCTGAAGGAGCTCGGCGTCACTCAGCTCTGGCTACCACCGGCACATAAAGCTATGCGGCCGGTGCGTCTATTTTTAGCCCACTCACTCGTCCGTGAAGAGCGCTGAACGCATTACAGGAGGGGCAGGGATACGATGCATATGATTTGGTACGGCGCCATGGCTCAACATTGTATTTACGCTCCAGGTGCTGATGAAGATTAGTGGGATCTCGGCGAGTTCGACCAGAAAGGTGCTATCGCCACGAGGTGGGGCACGAAGGATGAGCTCCTCCAGCTTTCGGCTACCGCAAAGCTCGCTGGGATCGATCTCATACTTGATGCGATCTTGAACGTGAGATTTCTACTTGTTTCTGTGGTGTGGCTGGAAGCACGATTCATCTTAACATGTATCTTGGACAGCACAAGTTGGGAGCAGATCGGTGCGAACCGTGCTTGGCAGTCCCTGTAGACCCTAAGAATCGCATGCGAGACCTTGCACCTCCACGCGAAATCGAGGTAAGCGTTTGAAATGCTATAGCGAAAAAGCTTTCTCAACGAATCTGGCCAGGCATGGACTATTTATGAGTTTCCTGGGCGTGGAAATCAGGTACAGTTACCCTCTGGATCTCTTGTGGGTGATGCAACCTCACGATACACTTCAGTACAGCGCGATGAAATGGAATCACGCACATTTCACTGGCGTAGACTGGGATCAACGTACCAAGACGGGTGGCGTATACCGGCTCGTCAGCGATCGTCATAAAGGATGGTCGAGGAACGTCGACAACGAACTTGGCAACTATGACTATCTGCTGGGCTCTGACGTGAAATATAGGTCATTACCTAGCCGATACACTAAGACTGATTTTCGCCCTTGAAATAGATCGATCACCGGCACTCAGAGGTAATCCAGGATCAAGAGGCGTGGGGCCGCTGGGTTCTCGAGGTACGTTCTTCCGTCACGTCGGCCCCGGGACAAGTCGCCACCCCTATTGCCTAATCCGAAGTGCTCGCGAGCTAACCCCAGATTCGTACAGACCACTGGCGCGCAAGGTTTTAGGCTTGACGCAATTAAACATATGGACAGGGTGTTCTTGAGAAACTTCGTACGTCTTTCCGTGTCCAGAATAGGAGAGCAATGGCACACTTGCTGATAGGGCATGCGATGATTTCGCGAATTGTATTCCTAGCTCAGTCGCACCCGAGACGCGAGTGGGAAATCCCGGATGTTCGCCGTCGCCGAATACTGGTCTGCTAAGTGCGTGTTTGACTCCTGGGCTCGACAAAATTGTTATATATCGGTTGTATTGTTCATACAGTCTCAAACTTATTTTGCCGTACGTCCGCGCATTCGGAGGATTGGTGAATACTGTCACTTTCATTGAATTCTAAGTACTTATCCATGGTCTTCGACAGACTTCGTTCTTCGACGTGCCTTTGCACGACAACTTCCATCAGGCCAGCAAGAGGGGTCCATCGTACGATCTGCGCAGAATCTTCGACAAGACCCTCGTTAAAGCTAGACCGGGAGACGCCGTCACGTTCGTGGACAACCATGAGTGAGCAATTTTACTCCATGCCGTGGATAGCCACATATCAAGCTTCGTTGCTCATCGAGCTTTGGGTTCGTAGCACTGTACGTCTTCTGAAGTAACTTCGTCTCCCGTCCGAAGTTCCTTCAATTGACTGCTGGCGATCCCACGTTATAGCAAATAGGACAAAGCCTCGAGAGCTGGGTAAGCGCAGTCCCCGCATCTGATCTCCGTCCGCTTCGATGAACATTCATGCTTGCGATTCCGGACTTTGTATTCCAGGTTGGTTCGAACTTCAAGCTCCAGGCCTACGCCCTCATATTGCTGAGAGCCGAAGGTCATCCGTGAGTGCATCTCGGACGCATGAGCCGCTTAGAGCACACATTGAAACCCGTCCTTCTCCACCTTTCATGTGAACGCATGTCGTCGTGCGTACGTATTACGTTGCAGATGCGTCTTTTACGGAGACTTGTACCCCAACAAGGAGTGTTATGACCCGGAAGTCGCCCAGCCGTTAGACACGCTCATCCGAGCGAGGAAGTTGTATGCGTACGGCCCCACGCGCGACTTCTTCGACAGTCCGAACTGCATTGGTTGGGTCCGCGTGGGCGACTCCACCCGCCAAGGGAGCGGCTGCATGGTCGTCGTTAGCAATGCTCCGTGAGTTTGCCATCTCGCCCCTCTGCGTGTCACGTACGCCGCTCACTCACCACCCTGAACGTTGCCCAGCCCAAGATCGCAGCCACAAATTCTGCGTATGAATGTGGGTGATACGGCTGGCGCAGGACCGCAGCGCACATACCGGGCACTGCTAGGATCCGAGATCCCGGTCGTTACGGTGGGCGCCGATGGATGGGCAGCGTTCTCGTGCCCCCCCGGAGGCGTTCAGGTGTGGGTTCCTGAAGGATAGACTTCCAGGGATTGTGCGACGATCGGAGTTGCCATATGCGAACATCGGGCCAGAAATTGCGGGACACGGTCTACAACGATACAGTGTTTGCTTGATATGATTGAAGGTGTATATAATGATACATACTTTTGCACAAATCGTAAAAGTCCCAATGTGGATAGACAGGCATTACATCAGAATATCGTTGGACGAGAGAACGTCGTCCAAATCACCGGCAGTTGTTTATGCTACTCGCACGCTATAGCGCACGTCCGACCACAGGGCTGGAAGGGCCCGCATCCGTAACGGAGTCGTCGTACTCACTGCTATCGCTCCCGTTTTTGCGCTTCATCCCGTACAGCTCGCCGTGAGAATCGTCGGACTTCTCAACCGAGACAGATATCTGAAGTCCGTTCGGCGCAGTATAGATACCGCTGAGCACGCGTTGATCCATCTGCATCGTCGCCGCGTCGCCACCTTGCTGCGTGAGCTCCAGCGCGGGACGGTTCCCGTCGAAGAGTGCGGCCTGACAGGGGATCGAAATTAGTATCGGTGAGCTTCACTGAACTAGATGGGCAACTTGCCGTTTCCTCCAAAGTACGGCCCTTCGTCTCAACGATGAACTTCATGACGAAAGCAAGTTCGAACGCTAGCCACGCGCAGTATACGAGGTAGTACTTCCATCCCATGGCGTCGAGAGCCCAGGGATTTATGAACTGGTTGAACGCGATTCTGGATAACGTGGAATGTCAAGCCCGATATCGACATAATCGGGGAGGTGCACTGACGTTAAACCGACCGTCATGTTCATGATCGCGAAACCTTTCGCTCGGATATGGAACGGGAGGATTTCCAAGGTATATGCGACGAGCATCGGAGTGTATGCCAGATCGTACATGAGGAAGAACAAGAAGATGAGTGGAACGGTTGCTGCGAGGGACAGTCAGCATCAGATAGCTCGAGTTGGATGTCAAATGAAGGGAATCACCTTTCGCAGCCGCGGTATTGCCGGTGGTACTGAAGAGTGCCGTGGTAAGTGTCCACATTGCGAAGACGACTGCCATGCCGGCAGTAGAGATGATGAATAAGGTTCTCCGACCAAGACGGTCGACGAGCAAGGCACCGGTCATGGCGCATGCCAGGTTCCAGGCCTGTAACTGGTTACAATGGGGACGAGCTTTCTAGAAAGAAAGGCCCACCTGAAGACCGCCATTGATTTCGGCTTTACGGCGGGTATCAATGATACCAACACCTTCCAAAACAAGGTTGATATAGTAAGAGACCAGACCGTTGCCACTGATGAATCGCAGTTGAACGCAAAATCAGTCCTCATTGAACCGCGAATGAAGGTAAGCGCCCTCGTACCTCCACTGGGAGAACAACGCGATGGCGATAATGATCATCATGCGTTTCCGGTTTCCCGGCGTCGCCCATAGGGTGGAGAAGCTGGTGCTTTGCGAGTACTCCTTTTCCGTCCTAAGCGCATGTCGGATCTGGGCCAGCTCGAAGACAACCAAGGGATCGCGCTCATCCCGGCTGCTAGCATGATAGCGCGCGAGAACAGCCGCCGCTTTCGACTCCTAGGGACGAGAAATTGATCTGAGACACGAGAGTCGCGAAGGATATGGTGATGCAAATACCATTCCCTGTGCTACAAGCCACCGCGGGCTTTCGGGGATGAACCATATGAGGAGAATCTGAAAGACCGGAACAAGCCCTTGAATGAGTGTGGGGATCCTCCAGGTCCATGTAGACCCTGCGACTCTGTCGTAGGAGGCGAAACACGCCCAAGCGGCTGCCATTTGCGCCCTTAGCATACAGCCGAGCAGATCGACCTGGCGGAACTCACAGATGATACTGCCTATGTACCAGGATGCGTTGTATCCCGCGGAGAGTTTACCGCGCTGCAAGAGATCGTGAGTATGCGCATCGCATGCTGCAGATAGTGGCTTACCTGTGTAGGGTACGCCAGCTCGGTGATGAGAAGTGGAGACGCGCTCAATGCCAGAGCCAGCCCAAAGCCGATCAAGACGCGGGCTCCGGTGAACATCGCTACGGATGTGGAGGTCGTTTGTGTTATAGTACCGGCGAGCATGACTATCGACCCCATGAACAGAGTGGCACGACGACCAAGGTGGTCGTTGGCGAACGGCGTCAGCGGATAACCCTGCGTCTCGAGATCAATTGACAATGTTCATCTGGGCGTACGAGAGGCTAACCATCAGGGCCCCAATATTCTGAGCCGAGTTTATCAAACCTAGCATGCGTCAGTTTGTGCAAACGTGCATCTATCGTGAGATGAGGATACCTAAAGCCTTTCCCTCTGGATGATGAAAGTATTCCTGCCAATCTGGTAATATTTGGAGACCTAGACCTGAGCGCGTGAGCCACGCAACGACAATGGTCGACAGGCGACAGACGACACTCACCATTGACCAAGGACGAGTCCAGACCATTCATCCATGCCGTCAATAACGGCAACAGAAGAGACAAGTTCAAGATCAGGATCCCTGGGCTGCTGGTCAACGGTGCGTGGAGTCAACAAGGCCATACCGCACTTACCGCTATGGCGCCAGAAGGGACCGGTGTGAATGAAGTCAACCACAGTCCAGTCTGGTCGGTCGGAAGGCATGGCGGTCGTCCAGAACTGTCACTAGACTGTCCCCGACAGTGATAGGGAGTATAGGAAGGAGCGGATGCGGATATCGGGGAACTTCTCGTAGTAGGCACGCGTAGAGCTATATACCGACCTCCCTCCGCACAGAGGGTTCCTCTGGCCATTGGTCAGTCGATCCGAAAAGGCATCCAGTCCGGGATTTTTGCGGCGATCGCGAACAGAGTCCGGGGTAGAATGTGGGGTTAGCCGAGATGTGCGACGAATGCGAGGGCCGCCTTGGGAACTTTCCGTCACGCGAGCTGATGGCATATCTTAACCTGAGAGTCTCCAAGAGGAAAGTGCGGGGAAGACCGACATCGGAGGCGGTCATCACCTTCTTGGTCTGCGGGGGTGTCCAAAGCATAGTGATGCTTCTCCGAATCTATCGTGAGCATCGCATAACTTGTTGCCTTCTAAATGCACCAGCAGTCAAGCGAATATCTGTTGCAGTAGTATATGGCTGACAAGCAAACGAGATTATTCGACCTGCTGACCGGAGCAGGGGCAAAAACAAGCTTAGGCCGTGACTCCCGTGACCGAAGTGAATCGCGCAACGGATCTGGACGCACGCCATGTCACGGTGCGTGACAACCTTCGCGTGGTAGGGTTTCTCCTCTTTCTGACCACGTTCACCACCAAGGGACTTCGTCGGGAACAAGCTGGCTGAACCCAAAGAACCTTGTGATAACTTGTGGTGCGGTCATATGAACCCTCGGCCTCTTCTTTGGAAGTGTCTTGCCTGTGCTAGCATCCTACCACCCGCTTATGCTCTCACTTCGAAGCTTGAAGTGCACTTTATCGGATCATTTCCACCCCTACGGGCGAGGTAATGCGTTACTCAGAGACTGCGGGTCGCGATCAACGTTGTGCAAACCTACGATGAAACGAACTGAACGGTCTACGTTTCGTCTCAACACAAGGCCGCCGGGCGGGAGCGGAACCAGATAACCGCCATCTACCTGCGTCGGCTCGCGGCGGACAGGTATCACGTATATTCCCGCGTCTCGCTACTGAATTCAGTCAGGCCCCTTCATGCGCTCCTGTCGGTAGCATGTATATCGCCGCGCCCCCATCACGGGTTTTGGCAGTCCCGAGAGCCGCAACCCGCGCATTGTTGATCGGAGCGCCTGCTTCACTCCTCAGACGCCCCCGCCCGTGGTATTTTGAGCGTTATGACGTCCTGCGCAGTGCGCTCGCTCCTCAACGGCGCATGGATCATGTCCGCGATAATGACGTTCCCCGTCGCCCATCCGGTTGAAAAGCGCGGCGTAAGCGGTCCAGTATGCGACAGATTCCCGCATGATGCGACCCTCGGCATTCTTCACGCTCGTTGCTTGCGCAGCTGCATGCGCCGCTAGCGTTTCCGCGCAAGACAGCCAAAGCCAATCCACGTAAGACCCTGTCGCTAGTCTCGAGGCCTATGAATACCTTAATGAAATCCGCACAGGACGAGCGTCCCGAGCCCCTCCACGAGCGCATTCGAATCTCACAGCTTAACGTCCGCTACGAACTCGAACACGCTCATCCATTCATCTATCCGGTAAGGGCTTCCCCCTTCTCCTTTCGTCTTATTCGTCCCACTGACCCCCCGTGTCTATTTTCCCGACATTTACCAGCTCGAAGTTCAGCTCCTCCACCGCTGCGGCAGCTGCTTCGAGCGCATCGGCATCCTCGGTGTCCGCCGCAAGCGGGCCGTCAACGACCTCTCCCTCCTCCTCCTCCTCGCCTACTTCAACCTCGGACGCCGTTTCGAACGTGCCCTTCGGTCTCGTACCTCTGCTGGTGGTGACGATCCCATCGTTGATGATGTTACTGTGAGATCAGTGTGACATTATTTAGTCGCAAGGAGGGCTTCTCTTCCTGTAGTACCCGTAGAGCTGCTGCGGATGGCTTCTCCGATATTCACGAGGGCTGAAGCCTGATGCAATCCTAATATTATTTGAATAGCCAAAAAAAAACCTCGGATAAATCGTCGATCGGTCGTGGGGCGTTACTTGAGCGAAGTGTGGGGAAGGTGGTACTGTAAAAAGGCTGTTCCGGGATAAGATTCGTTGGCCTGCGGTCCTGCGGCATGATTCGTGATAATACGCCGGCCGAGCTTCCCTTGTCGTGGCCTCATCTACCTTCTCAGTCACCATGCATCATAAACAGGCACCCATGGCCAGGTAATGGTACCGGTAGGGACTCGAGAGCTGCTACTGGGTTGCGTCACCGTGACGGTGCCGCGAAAGACTCATACATTAACGTCCTGTCCCTTTGCCTTCATGCAAGCAAAACCACCATAGCCGCCCCAACCACGGCGGCGACTTCGATATGCATCCCGGACTCCAAGTTCTTCTCAGCAAAGCTTGACGTCTGACTCGGCGCCGCCGCATCGCTCGTGCTCGCCGAACTGCCCGTAACCATATATGGTCAACCACCCATCCATCACGGTCCGCCCAACGGCGTTCAAGTACTCACCCAGAACTAGCAGTAGCCGGAGCGGTGGAACTGGATGCAACGCCGCTCGTGGCGCTGGCCGGCCGGCCGGACCCCGACCTCGAGATCGCGGAGGACGCAGCGCTTCCGGCGCTCGAAAACTCGCTGCTGAGGCTCGACGCGACGCTCGACGATATCGACGAGAAGGACGAGGATGTCGAGGTCGGGATGAGCGTCGACCCGGGCGGGAGCACGCTTCCCGAGGGCGCAATGCTCGAGATGTCCGTGCCCGACGCCGTGAGCGTCGACTGCGTGGTTCTGGGAACACCCCCCACGTCGTGCTTTAGCACTTTGCATCTCCGCTCATCGTGACCCAGCGCCGCGGCGGGCTCTGCACTTACACCGAACTCTGTGCCATCGCTCCTGCTGCCAATGCGACGACTACGGACAGCTGTTTCTGTAGCTGCATGATTAGCGCTGGTGTTGGTTCATGGAAGAGAGCCGTGCGGAGTGCTTGGCTTGCAACGTATTACTTTAAATCTGCATCTCAAGATGGTCACCGGGTCGGTCATGCGACACGATTGCCACCGCCGTCGCCACGCGTTCGAGAACGCTTGTAGCAATCTAAGTTATAGGGCGACACATACGTAGCTCCACATGCAGAACCTTTCTCGCCTTCTTCAACACTGATCAGCGCCCAACATGTTGCTTCGAGGCTGCAAGAGTACCACAATTCCCTTGTTTGGCGTTCCATCAACGATTCAACATGCAGGGCTGAGCGCTCAGCATACGACGCTCAGCCTCGCGCCTCAACATGATCAGAATTATAGTCATACAACGCATTGCATTCGCATGTACCAAGCTCATTTCGAGGAATCGTATGACGATGTATGCTCGTAAAAGCGCCCAATTTTCTAACAAACTAGTCCATGGAGCGCATGCTCTCTGCTCACATGCTCAAACCAGGACGATCGCGGCCACGCCGACGGCAGCAGCCAACCCGTACCGAGCGACCTCGACCGCATCAGCAGGACTCGAAGTCTGGGTGGCCGAAGCGCTGGCGGTACCACTGCCAGATCTAAAACGCGACCCATCAGCCTCATGAAGTCGTCTCGCCCAAGGCGCAGGGATCCGGCGCGAGGCTCACCCAGTTATGGACGATGCCGCGGACGAGCCCGACCGGCTGAGCGACGAGACCGAGCTGCTCTCGGCGGAGGCCACCGACGCGGCGAAACTGCTCGCGCTGGACGCGAAACTGCTCGCGCTGGCCGCGACGCTGCTCCCGGCGGACCGCGCGCTCGACGCGGGTGCGGTAGCGCTCGACGCGAGGGACGACAGCGCCCCCGTGCCCGCCGACTCGAGCGAAGACAACAGGGTGCCGGTGGGCAGGTCGGACGAAAGGACGCTGGACAGGAACGAGGTTCTAAGGCGCGAGTCGTCAATACTGGCATAGCAAGCGAAGATCGTGGAGGTGTACCACTCACACTTGGGCGGCAGCGCCGGAGGCGAGGAGGGCGACGAGCGCGAGCTGCTTGATGAATTGCATGTTCGTAAGAATATTAAATTCGGGAGGTAAAAGTGGGTGGTAACGTTGGTATAGCCAGGTTGCGACGAAAACCTACGCCTTATATATGCTTTCAACCGCTGCTTTACTACCGCCGCCCCATAATTGAAAGTCCATTTGGGGTGCACTGTCAGAGACGGGAAGCTGGCGGAGCATCATGATGAAGTCATCCGGAGGCATGTACCGCCGCAAACAGCCACGGTACTTCCAAGGCCACTTCGCAAAGCTGTGGTCATAGGTTCCAGTCCATACGTATATTGCGACTGCGCAGTCGCGGATTGCACGCCTTGCGCCGGACCAGCACTGGCTTGCGAAGTGGAATTCCCGTTGGAGTAGGCGACGGACGAACCGGAATATCTCTATGCGCGAATATCACATCGTTCATGACCTCTTTCTGAATGGGCTACTTACCTTACCTCCCAAGGTGGACTCGCTTCTCGGTCACAAAAGTAGGAAGCCGGACGCGGAAAGCTCGTCTCGTATTATGTGCAAAATCAACATTACATCCGGAGCGCCTATGCAGGCTACACGGTACTTTCTGGGGTGTTGAGATGGAAAGATGTCGTATATTAGGGAAGCTTTGGCCAAACCGCTCGAAAAACCGAAAAGGGACAGGAACGCGAGAGGGTATATCCGCTCACAACACACGCGAGAGTGCCTCTGAGGATGAGGAAAACAGAGATAGGAGGGGAGAGGATAAGGTCCGTACGCGAGACGCGCTAGTTTGTTGATTGCGCTCTTTAAGCGAGCATGGCAGCAACGGCAGCGCCGAGGACGGCGGCGGCACCGAATTGCGCAACGTTGGTCGGGGCGGCTGCCGAGCTGCTGGTGGTGGGCGCAGCGGCGCTGGAGGACGTGCCGGCAGCAGCCGAAGAACCGGGGGTGGAAGCCTTCGAGGTGCTGTTACACGTCGTCTCAGAACAAGTTTGCACAATATAAAAGAGCGAAAGACGTACGCGGCGCTTGAGGGGGCAGTCGAAGTCGAGTGCGCCGAGGTCGCGGCGGCGGTGGTGGTCACTGCCGAAGAAGTTGCGGCGGGTGTCGATACGGTGGTCGAAACCGCAGAGGACGTACCGGCTGCCGAGCCAGAGGTGGACGAGCCAGAGGCAGCAGTCGACGAACCGGCAACGCTGGACGAGAGCGAGTTTTTGCCAATGCACGAGCTATCGGCTGCGAGACGTCATAGAAACGAGCGTGAGAAGATGGAGCTGCGGAGGCATTGACACGGGCGTGCTTACAAGAGCCCTGAACGGTGAACTGACCGGACTGCGCGAGGGCACCGGTCGAGTCGCGGAGGGTCAGGCCGAGGGAAGTGCCTGCGTACGGGCGTCAGGAGAGGCACGAAAGAGGACATAAGACGGATGCTCACCGGCCGCGATATCGACTGTCCAGGTGAGCGAGGTACCGGTCTGTTCACCGAGATCCTCAAGAGCGGCGGCGCTGGGCTGTCCGCCGGGGAGGACGCTCAGGAAGTAGGGGGGAGCTCCACCCTGCCAGCTGAGGAGGACGGGCTGGCACTGCACCGCCGACGTCGGGGTGTTGATCATGAACGTCTGGGCGAGGGCACCAGACGCGAGAACCGCGAGAGTCAAAAACGAGGAGAACATCGTCGGAGAAGGGGGGAGCGCGGGGAGCGAGTGCGAGGGGGGATCAGCAAGCAAAGGCTTGAAAATTGAACCCGAACCTTGTGCGCTTTATATGCCGGCTCGGCGGAGCCCGGCCGCCCTGTCAGAAGTCGCGCGGTCGTTCGATGTTTCTGATGCCGACTCGTTCTCGATTGGCTTCATCACTGTCGCTAACAATGAGCACACGCGTACATTCACATTCATCCTTGAAGCCAACTGCGCCGACGCTGTCCGCAACGACCGAGGCACTGTGTCTCCCGTCGCCGAGGACGGTGTTCCAACAATATCGACTTCCCGCGCGCACCCCGCAGGCCATGTGCTGACCGGGCCTAGTGCGTCATTGATCGGGCTGACTTGCGTAACGCGTTATACAACACGGTCCCCGAGATAATATCCACATCGAACAGCCCAGAAGAATACAGAATGCATATACACGCACTAGGCCTCAAGCTCGCTATAGCACACTCACCGTCGTCAGCAGCCCAAAGTGGTCGCTCACGTAGTCTGTCGGCCCAGGCCCCCAACGCACGCCCTCGCCGATCCGCGTCGGCTCGTCCACGTTGAATCCCACGTTCTTCGTGAAGAATATCCTGAGCGGGAACGTTGCATCAGCTCTTCCTGTTAGCACGCCAAGCGATGTCGCTCGACTTGAACGTACCTATCTAACCGCCCAGGCGGAAACCGGCCCCTACATTGTATATCATCAGCAAGAGAACGCGTTTCAGGTGAGGTATGTATAAATACTCGCCGTGGCTGATAGCCCCAGGTGTGCCCCGACTTATCACCCCGCTTCCCGTTCCAGGCGTCCTGCAGGCCCGCGTCCTCGGCCAACGACTCGTCCTCCCGTCGAATGACGTTCATGTCGCCGCACACGATCCCGCCGGCCAAGTTCCCTTCCTGAAGCGCGCGCGATATCAAGCTCATCTGGATAGGACGCATTTCGAAGCCCTCCGGCAACGACTGCGCACCGCGGGTCAGGGTGGCGGTCTCTTGGCACAATGTCCGAAGGGAAAGCTCACTTCAAGATGCGTGTTCGCGATGCGCATGGTCGACCGTCGCCACCCCTCGCTCGTCGGAACGCTCATCAGCACGTCGACGAACAGCGCCGTCCTCCCCATCCTCGTCTCCTGGAACTCCAAGCTGTATGCCCTCTGCACCGGTATCGTCCTCGCCACGAGCGTCACCTGCCCGTAATAGATCGGGAACATGTTCGGTCCCTCCGGCACGAGCACGAAATGGTTCCGGATCCAGTCGTCCTCCATGATCACCGAGAACGCGCCTTCGTGCACCTCCTGCAGCAAGATGCAGCACGGCTCCGGCGCCCCGCCGTCCGCGCACTTGAAGACGCCGTTACGGAGGTGAGCGAGCGCGGCCGCGAGGCGGGGCTTCGTCCCCTGCTGCATGAAGTCGATATTCCAGGTGACGACCTTGATCCAGGACGGGAACGGCTCCTGGAATTTATCCTTGCGCGAAGTCGAGATCCACTTTTTCTTGCTGCTTGACCATCGGCATCCCCGTATTTCCAGCAGCACGTCTGCGGGCCTTCCTGTTGTACTCATAACGCTGACGTGTTGGTACTGTCGATAGGAAAGATGTAAGGTAGCGATGTATATGAGACCGATTTGATGTCGCAGCCGTCGAGTGAGGGCAGAGTATCTGAGCGTCAAGTGGCGCGGAGGGGGGTCTCGATTATGTCGGGTGCTTAAGTACGCCCCCCTCGTGTATGTGCAGGATTAGAAACTCTGATCAATCGGTACCTCCGCACCATGAGCCGGAGAGAATCAATACACGAGGCAGCCAATGGGGTGACCGCATTACACCATCCCCGTGTCTTGTTATCGTATGAGAGGCCCACGTACATACATCAGCGAGACATCTCAAGACAATCTTCGTCAAAAGGCGTTTGAGTTGCGTTCCCGATCTGCCATAATTGCGCTTCCTTTATCTTTATCTTAAGATCTCTCATCCGCGCTCGTCGGAACTGTCCCAAATCTAGCACAGCATGAGGTCTCTTGGGTTTTTGAACGCCGCTCGATATCCTGGTGGATCCGTGTTTGCGCATCGACCGTCCACGCAGCAGATGATCCAGATAGAATAGCTCTAACGCGCGATCGATAACATGAAGGAGTAACTCAAGCTAGGAGGACACGCTCAAACCATGCCTACAGCTCCTCGTGCACCTTCTCATCAAAGGCCTCCTTCGCCTCCTCGGCCTTCTGCGCAGCGAACGCGGCAAGGACGTTGGCCTTGATTTTGATCTCATCGAGCTTCTTCGGCGCGAGCGTCTTCTTCTGCAAGATCGACGACAGCCTAGACCAGCGATGCAAATCGCGATCAGTAACCCGGGCTCCACGAAACGCACGAAGCGCGGCTCACCGCTTGGACTCCTTCTGGACGTAGTCCTCCGTGCCGTTCACGACCTTCTCCATCACGCGCAGGTAGTGCTTGCTCGTCTCGCCGCCCGCCTTCGCGAGCGCGAGTGCTTCCTGGTAGATGCTACTCCGCGCGTCCGCGGCCGCGACGAAGAACTTGCTCGCGAGCGCGTCGAACTCGGGCAGGCGGCCGGCCTCCTCGTTGAGTCCACCGCCGACGGCACGCTTCTTGCCGCACTTCTCGTTCAGGAAGTCCACAAAGTCGGCTTCGGTGCGCCCGCCCTCGTACTCCTCGGGTTCCTTGTTGTCCTTCGAGAAGAACTTGAGAGTCGGGAAGGAGCCGATCTTGTATTTCTGGGCTAGGGGCTTGTTGGGCGCGGCGTCGGCGTCGACGTTGGCGACAACACACTGAACATAGCTGTAAGCCATCTGTGCCACGCTTGAGTGGTAGAATCAAACTCACGTCCTCATCAGCAAGGAAGTCAATGGCTGCCTTCTCAAACTCTGGCTTCATGCGCTTGCAGTGGCCGCACCAAGGCGCAGTGAACGCGACGAGTACGTTCTTGGTGGGGTCCTGCACACAAACGTAGGTCAACAGGCATTCTATGTGGTTTGGGCCTCCTTCCGCACCATAACCAGATTATCGAAGGTGTGGGTGTCGAGAACAGTGTAAGCGGGAGGCGGGGGAGGCTTGATGTTGGACTTCACGCCCGACTTCGCCGTTACACTTGACACCAAGATTCAGCTTGCTGAGGAAACAAGGGCGGAGTCGCGATACTCACTGTGCGACAAGGTTTTCCAAGTCACGTCCGCCTTCGTACTTCTCTGGCTCCCCGCCGTCCGCATTAAACCACTTCAGTGCTGCAGGGCCCTATGAGCCGCAGCATAGTGATAGGAAGGGAGTGATGCTCACTTGGGTAGCCCGTCACACCGTACTTCTGACCAAGAGGCTTGCCCTCGCCGTCGGCATCAACCTTCGCGATGATCACTTTGTCCTTCGCATGTGCGTATGCATCCGCGAGCTGTTCGTATACGGGCGCGAGGTTCTTGCAGTGGCCACACCAGGGTGCAAAGCTAAGGCATTGCTAATGCATGAGTGTGTATGTCAATAAGTTGTCGACCTCCCGAAGACGCACAATTCGACGAGCGCGGGCTTGCCCTTGCCAATGTATTCGTCAAAGTTGTCCGGGGTGAGCTCGATGACGTTGGAAGCGAGTACACCGCTCAGCAGCGCCGCACCGAACGCAAAGAAAGAGAGTCTCATGGCGGAAACTAGTGAAGGAGCTCAGTGCACCTCCGGTCCTCCGGATTTATAAACACTGCGGTGAGCAGTGGCGACGTGGAAGGGGCACAGCGTGTGGAGAAGTCGTGGGAACGCGTTCTATGTCTCTTCCCCTCGTTCCCCTCGGCCTCGGCATCGCTCGCACCGGCGTTCGCACAACTCGAATCTCAGTATGAGCAAGCTGGATGGGTTTACTTAGTCTCTGGCTGCGCGGTATAACCTGCAAGGGCCGCTGGATGGGTTTGTTCGACGATGTTTGGCGTCGTTAAAAGCGCGCTTCGAATTCGGTTCGTCGTAGAGGATGGCCCCCATTGGCGTGCTATACGCACTGGCATAGTACCCTCTCATCCACCTGGTGCGCTATCGTGTCATTGCATAAGATCGCTACGTATTCATTCAATATGGAACCATCGCAGCTCCAAGCCGTCGCAGCGTATAGCGGCATTGAGGTGACGGTGCCCGAGTTCGAGTACGAGAGGGACAAACACGCCCTACGTCTCGAGGTACAGCGCTGCCCTCGTGTTCGCACGTTGGTTACCTCCTTTCATCCATTTTCCGTCACCAGCCCTGGTTCCTAGCGAATTTTCCCTTAGGCAAAATCCGGGTGTTCGAGGCTGCCGATGGCTTCACTCTCTACGAGGTCATTGCCGTTGCGCGTTCCAGTGAGCAGATCCTACCTCGTCTTTGCCTGCTCTATCTATAGATGCACCTCCTAGCGCATACCTACCTAGTGGCGAACGCATAACCCTTGCCGTCTCGTTAGCCCCATCAGCTTCGCTGTCCAGGTCCGTACCTTTCTGTTTTGACATCGAGAGACGATGCCAACGTGTTTATGTGGTGCTTCCATAGATTATCCTCGACTCTCTGACCCGCGCCAAGTACTCGGACCTCATCCGCCACTTCGAGAGCATCGTCCGCCAGCCCCAGTTCGCGCCCATCTTCGGCGAGCCCAATTTCACAGACAGGCCTTTGGCATACACTCCTCCCCAAGCCGTATAGGCGGGCACGCGAACCAGGTTGTCCCAAAGCTACAGTGCTTGTCAGATCGAATTCGTGTTGTATGGTATGTGCTTCGCGTGTCGAATTCTCTACACCCGATGAATGAATCGATTGGATCGTTCAGTCGTGTGCTACTCGCCCTCGCGCGATACGATGATGCTGAGGAACCCTAGCTGGCTTGCCTGCGACTTGACTGAGGGTTGTGTATTGCTCTAGAAACTTACATGTACGATCACATAAATTCTTGAGAGCCGGTAAACCTGATTTGGGGTTAGGGGTATCACCGACGTTGCTCAAATTATCGCAGTTGACTCAAAGATCTCATTGTGCTGACTGATTATCGTCTTTACTCAGCACCTTCTCCTTGTATATATTCTGGTTCCGGTAGGCGGGGGTTTGCAAGACGAACTGAACTCTCTGGAGCTATGTCTGCCCCGAACGATCACGAAGAACAGTACGACGGTGATGGTGAAGAAGCCTACATCGAAGGAGAGGAGATTCTGGCCGTGTACGACCTCCCCGAGGATGGCGACCACCCGATGGATGAGGACGAAGATGAGGCTGCAGACCAGCTCGGGGATCTCCCGGGATCAACATCTGGTGCTTTTGACGAGGCCAACTACGAGAACAACTCCATCCAGCAATTCACGGAGCATGGGGCCTCCGTTTTCTGCGCTTCGGTACATCCAACCCAACCTCTCGCAGTGTCTGGCGGAGAAGACGAAGTTGGCTACATATGGGATATCACGACGGGTCAGGCGGTGGTTAAATTGACTGGTCACAGCGACAGCATTGTGGCCGTGGAGTGGAGTCACGATGGCGAGATGATTGCTACGGGCGGGATGGACGGCAAGACGCGGATATGGCGGAGAGTAGGAGCCACCAAGGGTAAAGCTGCGGAGGACTGGAGTACGTGGGAGTTCCTAACCGAGCTGTATGGGCCCAATGAAGTTACGGTATGGCGAGAATATTTTTGCTCGCGCTGCCGCTGATCGAAGGTGCAGTGGCTCAAATGGCATCCCAAGGGACATGTTCTTCTCGCGGGATCGCAAGACCAGTTGGTTTGGATGTGGCAATGTGCGTCCTTAGTTCCCGCTGCCTGCAACCTTCGCTGAGGTTGCCCCAGTACCTTCCGGCCGTGTCATGCAGGTTTTTGGAGGTCATGCTGCCCCGGTATGTTGCGGCACATTCACACCAGACGGTAAACGCATCGTGACCGCCGACGAAGACGGGACCTTCATCATTTTTGACCCTCATAAAGAGTCACCGCTGTTCAAGCTCTCTCCGACCGATGCGCGGTTCGACCTTGACGGGATCACAGCCCTCGCGGTCAACCCCTCGAGCACGCTTGCGGTTGTAGGCGGTGCCGCTGGTGATGTGCGCATCATCAGTTTGAGCAAGGGCGAGATCGTCGGCAGCCTTCCTGGTCACAAGGCTGGCGAGAGCGTCGAGGCCATAACTTTCGTCGATATTGGGGTCGAGGGCGTCGATGTCGTCGTCACAGCTGGCACTGACTCAAAGGCGTACGTATGGGACGTCGTCACTATGCGCCTTCGGGCAACCTTGGAGCATGAAGATCCAATTACCAGGCTTATCACGCATCCGGCTCAACCGCATATCCTGGTGTCCGGCTCTGCCGATATGACCCTTCGATCCTGGGATGCACGGTCGGGCACGTTATTAGCGGAGCATAAGGGTACGCCGCTGCGTTTGCTCTTGCATGCACGTCGTTGATTCTGTGGCTTCTAGGCCATCGCGCTCCCGTCTTGGATGCCTCACTGGGAATGGAAGGCAAGGTTTTGGTCTCTGCCGGAGACGACGGCGCGTGCTTGGTCTTCACGACGCAGTGACGGTCTCAGCAGCGACTTCTTGCCATCGGTGTACATATCCACCGACATTTATCGCTTTGTTCCCCATGATGATTTGTCTACATACAATCATAATGCTTGACACAATGTAGCTCGCGAATGCGTTGCGCTGTACACGTGTCTGATACCGATTCACCGTCGGCAAGTACTGGAGGCAGCTAGATATTTAATGCAATACCCTGTAACCCAGGCTCGCCACTAGTGCGAGGCCCTGGAGCCCGGCTGTTCCGGTATTTGGACCGCACCGGTTAATACTACCTACCTAACCACCCTGGCTTCCTTGGTTAGCCGTGATATGAGCGCGACTTGGGTGCAGTCCCGCTCCCTCGGCTTATGCGTTCCTACATATTCCTTTGAACACAAGTTACGCCTCACCCCATCTGTGCAAAAGGGAACAGGAAATATGGTGTTGCCGATGTATTCCATATTTCGGTATGGTGCAGCTCTGAACACGGAATCCGCATAGGAGCGAATACAACCTCAACACCGTGAGTGATGGTTCTCCCGCGAAGTGCCGGGCTTCACTTGTCCTAGTTGCCGCTCGACCTGATTGCCGCAAGTGCTACCAGCACGTCATGTCTCATGCTTTGGGCCACTACGAATAAGTGATCAGGTGAATAGACACGAAAACGTCTAATGGATGGCATGCACGAACCCTGGTCATGCTGAAATTTTGGAGTCCCGTAGCTTTCTCCTTGTCCTTTGAAGCAATGCCATCAGGCCCCACTTTACCACGTCCAAAAACCATGGTAGAATTCTCCTGAAGTGTCATGAGTATTGATCGTCGCCAGTGCATGAAGTATGGGTGACCACACACCTCGAAGCCAAGATGCTGGTAGCGATCACGGGCTGATGGCCCGCTGGCATCCAACATGTGTATCTGGTCAGGAGCGAATGCAAACTGGTCTCGGATAAGCATGGAGAGATATCCTGTATATGGCAACATGTAGTAGGCTGGCATCATCTCGAGATTTGCAAAACGTGCCCTTTCCCTGGAAGTTCGGATCCGTCCAAGCTAGCTGGAGAAACCACGTTTGCTTGGGCGACTGTTTGATCCCCTTGGCTTTGAAGGCGTTCTTGGCCGCGTGCTCGGATGCGGGCTCATATTCGAGGGCGAGTCGCTGCACAAAAGGCATTTGGGAGAAGAACGACGTCAAGGCGATTAACTCCCGCACCTTGAATCCTTTCCATCCCCAGCCCGCGAGTGTAGGGAGCACTCCAGCGCGTATGAAGGTCGCAATCTTCCAAAGGTCTAAACGAGACCCCGGCTGTAGCCATAGCGTTCCCGCCACGATCTTCCAAGAGCCATCCTCCTTGGGCACGACAATGACTGTATTCCGATGTTTGCATAGGAAAGCGCCTTTGATGATGAAATGCAGGACACGGATCAGGTTACGTCGATCCCTTGTGGATTCCGGGTTGGCCATGGGCTAGTTGGTGCGCCGTTTGAGTAACAAGTAGCCAGCGAAGGAGGACTTATGCTCTTACAACATGAGCATCGGCGCAATAGTGGAACAGGGCGTTGTCCAAAAAGGCGCGCGTTGCAGTTTCGACTAGTTCGTCGAGCTGTTGGAGGGTAGCCAGTTGAAGTTGAGCTCCACCTGGAGCGTTGGTAGCGTCGGGCATCAAGACAACAGCGGCATGGACTGTGGCTCGTAGAGGCAGCCGTTCGCTGTGTATTTTATTGTATGGCTACGGCCCAGCTGCCGGTCGAGGGGCCCTCCGGCAGGAGGAGAAGCGAACAACGAGCATGGTACCTGAGTGGATTACTCTGGGTCCCGCAGCACCCCATAATATCTGTCACAGCTTGATCACAGCGCAAGCTCCGAGCACATCCCAACGGAAGAAACCGTGTCCGTGTATGCTCCATTACCGGTGCGTCTCAATTACATGGATGGGTATCATCAAATGCTGGTGGAAGCAAGAAGCATCAAGTATTAAATGATTACTGTTCATTGGCCTTCTTGTCCAGGCAGATGCAGAACGCGGCAAGCAATGCGAAATTGACTGCACAGAACGATCACATCGGCAATGCATCCGAGAGCAGCGCAGGATACTCACCACCCGGTGCGACCGTCAGGATGACAGCGGTTGACCCGCGTTGAAGAACTTGCCTGATACGGGCAACGGGTACGTCGTTATATGTGTTCTTGGCCTTGGCGGTCGAAAAAGCCGCCTTTGAGAACGACCTTTTCATCGCGACCGGTGGTCGGGTTGTAGCTTGGTGCCAAAACTGAATGAGGACTTGACGGTGAAGATCGTCGCGTCTGAGGCCGGGCCCTTGCCGTGGAAGGTCGTGTAGATGTGGAAGTGCGACTTAAGCAACGTGAAGAGGCGGTTGCCGGCGGCGTCAGAAATCTCTGGAATGGGATCGATTAGCGTCGGCCTAGTTCAGACAACAATGGCGGTGAGATGTACCTTTGCGACCTTGGAGAGAGAACACCTTGCCGTCTACGTGGAAGACCTTCGCGCCGGTAGCGGCGTCCGTAATGTCGAAGTCATCGCCAGTGAAGGATAGCTTCTTCTCGCGAATCTTGAGCGCGACCTCGCTCCGATGCCGGCTGTACGTGGGGAACACTCCAACGGCGTGGGGTGCGGGTGCTAACGACATGGTCATGCCTGAGAAATTGCAACCAGATATCAACCGTCAGGTAGCCTTACCCTTATGCACGCAATATCCGCCGCATCGCGTTGTGTAAAGGCAGTCAGGAGATGGAGCATGATATCAGTATCTCCAGATGGTGCAGTGGCCCATAGTCCAACCACGGGATGACAGCAACAAGTCGATGTACAGAACTGATGACATTTGCGTGCAAGCAGCAGACGGGGGCTGTACTCTACACAATCGAATATATCGCTCGTTTTTTGCGAAACTAAACTAAATATTGGCAACTTAAAACTATGTGTCTCACACGCGGGTAATTCCCATAACGCAGAGATGCATGCAGTATAAGCGCCACGAGGTTTGCGATTCTACGAAGAATAACCATGCCTTGGATAGCTGTAAAGATGACGATGTGGCAAGGGCGCGTATGGGTCGAATGCCGGTTCGTTGCCGCTGCGATAGGGTGCAAGGTCGATAGCCGTTCGCGTTCGACGGTTGCCTCGGGTGTTTCAAGACGCGATGTACTACCATCCGATTGGTGCGGGTTCTTGGTGAAACTTGCCCCGGGCGGGCGGCGTAAATGCAACTTGAACAACGCGCGATCGAAAGAAAGCTACGGGCGCCGCAACAATTTATGGATCCTCCTGTTCGTCGACAGGTGTTGAGCTCTTCAGTACGCCGGGCTGTATGGGTCGGTATGGGAGTATTCGGCGTATGAAAGGGCGAGGCATCACACGGCGTCGTCATAGCGCCCCGACGCTACATATCGAAAGATCCTTGGTAACAGCGCAGCGATCCTTATCGCGCCCCTGTGCGCTTTGAAACGCTTTGACGAGCGACGCTTGACCTTCGTCCATCCTGTGATGTTGTGTAAGCTCGATAAAACCCGACAGTCTCTATTCTTGCGCACCATTTGACTTCGTGAGCCTTTTGGGCCAGTCTGTTTTTGATAGTGCTCCAAGAAAATCGAGCAACCGAAGGGTAACCAAAAACCGGGTCCAGCGAGCAGTCCATCCATGCGACGGTCTTCGGATCTACAAGTCGAACCTGAGGCACCGTGTCGAATCACATAATGGCTGCACCGTACCTCCGGGATAGCCACTCCCAAGAACGCTTCCCCATGGATAGGTCGGTACGTCTTGCGTGCTTTCCATATCGACATCCTTTTGCGCACCTGACTGATCGGCATCGCTGGGATGCTCCACCAGGGGCGTCTCTTCAGGTGCTTCGTGGACCGTCCGTGGGATGGGTCGGGGTTCACCGCCTTCTTCAAACAGCCAGTTCTCCAGGCATTCGTCCCTCGTCACCTTGGCCGCTACGCTTGCAGCACCGACGATTTTGAACAACGAATCCGCCTTGTTCCGAACCTATAGACGGTGAGCGGTTCAAACTGAAGAATCTCGAGAAGAACAGGAGGCCAACGCACGGTGATTGAGATACCCGGAAACACGGACGAAAGGTATTTTTCATACTTCTCCGGAGGGCCGAGAGCGTCGACGTAGACCTACACGTCATATGTTGGAACTCGCAACGTACAGTGTAGCGAAGTAAATGATGACCTCAGTCAATTCTATTCCTTTCTGTAAGACTTCCCGGATCAGCAATATGGTCGCCTCCTCCGACTGTCTATTGAGGTTAATGGGTGGTATGCGCAGCATCCCAGCAGAGAGCGCCTGCGGGCTACGACAAGCCGTCGTTAGGTGGTCCTAGCAAGCATGAGACTGCCCTCCCTACCATAACACTCTGACCGACCAGGACAGTTTCTCCGGATTCGAGCTCAGCGTCTCAAGAAGCTGAGACCGTACTTCCGGGGTAAGCGTCTTAGAGTCTGCGATACGCCAGTGAGCTGTCATTTCCTCCCATTCCCCTAGACGCGACGCGACGACTCAAAAGAAACACGCACCCGCAAAGCCAAGTTCCTGTAAGCCGGAGTCCCTAAACTCTGCTGTGCAGTACGCGACTCCGTACACCAATGGACCTAGCACAGGTCCGCGCCCCGCCTCGTCAACGCCCATTATGTACGGTCCTGGGGCGGTCGGTTTGGGAGCATGGTGTGTATAGGACTCAGTGACCAGCTTCGCCTCTGAGGAGCTGTGCAACCCGGCGGCGTTCGAGGGCATTTGCGGCATATTCGATGCTGCCCCTAGACAAGCAAACCTTGGTGAGGGTTTGGCGAGGAACACGGCACTGACGCGTCGGCGTCACGCACGCGTGACGAGACGTGCTTCCCCGCTGGTTTCAAGCTCCGCTAGATGGCATCTTCCGAGCTGCTGCGACGCAGTCGGCGGAGAGCTGCGACCCTATTAGAACTTCAGGGGAATAAAATAACACCAGATGGTGAGCCATCCACACATCCTTACTTGTCCCTAGCCTCATTAATGGCGTCCAGGCTCATCCTAGCCACCTCATTCGTTATCGCAGCTGCCTCTGCCTCGCTTGTCCTCGCCGCCAAGCCAGTCGATCCTGACGTGTTTACTGACCCAAAGGATGACGTCCATAACCCGCTACGGTACATTCCCAACAATGTGCTGACAGGTGTTACTCTGGGTATGTCTTTCCGATAATACGGCGGGGTTCAACATGCTATTTCTTGCCCATCCCCGACGTTTGCGATTTCCTATGTGGGAACGACAGCTCACCTGGTTCATCAGGTTTATTTGAGTTCGGTGGTCTTCTTGGTACGATTTGTATGGCTAAATGGGGTGCTTGGTGGATGTCCGCGATGGTCCTTGGCGAATACCGTAAGCCGTTTCGTGCGAATTGCACGGTGCCGTCGGTAATCCATGATCTCGTAGTATATGCCGGAGGAATCGGCTTTCGCCTTGGTCTCCACCGAAACCCGGATAGCTCGGCCTGAACACGTAGTCGGGTTCAAAATCTAATTGAAGTTCTGCATGGTTTCGTGCAAGCAGATGTGATCAGTGATTCAAACGTCGAAGGCTCCAAGCGCGTTAGCTCTCCGTCATCATGGCCGGGTAGTGATATATCTCATTCAAGACTTCGCATACCTTTTCGCACCGGTTGAGGAGTTCCGCAGTGGATCGTATACCTTCTTTCTTCAATCTAACTTTGGATGCGAACATGACCAAGACTATGACCACAACCTTCCCATGCTGAGGTGAGCACGTTTCTCAGAAGACCTGAACAAGTGCCTTATACCCATGAAGGAGACCTGTTTGAGGTGATCTTGTGCATCATGGCAACCAATCTCCAGGGCAAGCGTGTAGTCGTTGTAGGGGGCAGCAGCGGCATAGGTACGTGCCAGGACGCATCGAAATGCACGTCAACTCAGAAAAACATTGCGCACAGGTTTCGCAGCTGCCAAACTAGCATTGGTCAATGGGGCTTCAGTGATCATCTCGTCATCTAATCAGGCCAAAGTCGATGCGGCCACGAAGAGACTTTCCGAGTTCAACCCTGGCGGTCGTGAGGTTGAAGGCAGGGTGTGTGATGTCAAAGGAGGCGAAAGCGCAATCAAGGCATTTTTCGATGCACTTCCAGAGTTTGATCATCTGAGTACGCGCTCGACGGAGGACTTCATCTTTGTCCTCGCTCATGTGCTTCAATAGTCTGGACAGCGGGCGATCCTCTCCGCATCGGTTACCCGGACATCGACCTCGCTCAAACGCAAGGTGAGCCTCTAACGCGCGAGATGGTATTGAGCAACAGTTCACCTACGGACATGACTTAGATGCATTTGCCGTGCGCGCCCTGGGGCCTATTTATGCCGGAAAATATGCTCCGAGCCACATGCCGAAGAGCTCCAAGTCCTCGATCACCCTCACGATTGGCAGTGTCGTTCGGAAGCCCAGGAAGGGATGGGCGCTCATTGCCGCAATTGCCGGTAGCGTCGAACGATTCACCAAGGGATTGGCCGTCGAGCTTGCGCCCATTAGGGTGAACGTAGTGAGCCCTGGTTTGGTGAAAACAGAGGCAAGTGTTGCAGAGACTGTTTGATTGACTCCAAGCTGCGACTCACGCATCCCCACAGATGTGGGACTCGACACCTGCTGAGCAACTCAATGCGATCGTGAGCGGCGCGGAAAAGACACTCCTCGTGCAGCACGTCGCGGACGCGGACGAGGTGAGAACAGGAACCGAGATCGCGCCGCCAAATCGGACGTCTAACACAGTTTGGTTTGCAGGTAGCAGAGGCTTATCTGTATCTCCTGGTGAGTAATCTGCCATCGGCCTATACGAAAGTGACATAACATGTTCACGACAGAAATGCGGCTATGTGACCGGGGAGACGTTGAATGTCGACGGCGGTGGAGTCCTTGCCTAGGCGTGAACTATATTTTCGCTATCACGATGTTTTGGAATGACGTCGGGAATGTTTGTCAATAACATTGTCATGTGGCACCAGCTTGCAGATTGCCCAGATAGTCAAGCATGTACGCCGCTTCCTTTCCAATCATCATTGTAAGGTACTTTCGCGTTCTTGATACACATGCGTAAAATGCTGCGATAGTGGACTTAGACGACACGGATCAAGCGTGATTTCAAGCATCGAAGAAGCCGTGCCTATCCCATGCCCCTGCGGGCTGCCCTTCGCGCATCCAGCCCAGCCTGCTCATCGTCAGACCCGCCACTCTCAGGAACAGCGTCGAGTCGAGCTTCTCGAGGGACGGCAGCTTGTCGTCGGCGTCCGCAAGCAGCCCCGAGAAGTGGCCGGAATGCCTGTGGCCGTATAGCCTCGCGTAGTGTGCAAGTGTCCTCTGGACCTTCGGTATGTGGTCATCCGGATGCCAAAGCGCCGACTGAATCAACGGCAGCCATGGGTTCGACACTATCTTCACCCCACGCGCACCGTACTTCTCCAGGCTGACGGGCTCCCTGAGTTCGAGGGGCAGGACGCCCCTCGACGTGTTGTCGTAGAAGTTTCCGATGTCGATGGCGGGTCGTCCCCGACCAACGTAGTGCGCGAGGGAGGTCGCGAAGTAGACGTGCAATAGGGCAAGCTGAGACGAGAGCTTCACCGCCCTTGCCAACGATGGTACGAACAGCGATGTGGTTACGAGATGCATCCTGCGGAAGCGCACGTCAACGAAGCGAACTTGAGGCAAAGATGGAGAAACCGACGTGAAGAAATCCGCGTTGAACGTCTTTGATTTGGTGAAGCCACCAACGCCGTAGATCACAACGTTCATCCACGCGAGCTCCTCGAACTTCTGCTCGACGTTTCCTGGGGTGCCGCTTAGCCATTCATCGGCGTATTGAATGATCTTCTCAACGCGCTCTCTGTCTTCAAGCACGGCGGTGAAGGACTGCTCAGTGTTGTGCGGACGACGAGGCGAGAACAGATCGTCCTTGAGGACACGTGCAAGTATCGTCAGAGCGTGCGGCCCACTCGCGGGTACAGAGGGGGGATTTTCCGGCATCGTCGATGAGGAGATGATAACTGATGATAGTAGGCTCGTTGCCGAGGCAAGCTCGGAATGGTCCTTGTGATCTTCTTGGGGGAACAGATGTTCGACCATCAAGACAGTCGATAACGCCGGATGAGCGCATGTTTGCGCGAGGCCTGCGGTATGTCCACTGAGCAGAGATTTCGACGGAGTGGTATACTAAGACCAACCCTCTGCGAGAATGCCCGGAATGCCGAATTCAACACCGTAGCCAACATGAATCAAGGGGTGTATGACACCGGCCACAAAGCGGTCCAGCATGTAAGGGCGCGATCCAAGGGTCCCATCACCGAAATTGTACCTGTAAGAAAAGAGGTACGTCTTGAGTGTCGCTGCCACGCCATCTCTTTTGATGGCATCGACGAAGAAATCGAGGTAAGCCCTGTAGTAACTGACAAATACGTCAGCTGACATCGGGTGGTGTTGCAGTCAAAGATGGCATACACCTCATCACCCAGATGCTTCGTAAAGTTCTCTGTAGTGATCTCAGATGGGGACGCGATTACTTTGCGCTGTGTCTTCTTGTCCTTCTCGTATGCCGTCTCGAGGAGGGGCGCGCTGCCTCCCAGCGTCCAAAGCGCGAGTAGACGGTGCGCAGTATGGCTGGAAGTCATGATCGACCGTCAGTAAACGCTTGGGATGATAGGGTGAGCTGACTTGTGAAAGCCTCTGTCGTTGAAAAACAAGTGCCATCGTTCGTGATTGTCCTTGAGAGCTTCTATCAGGGTCGCGGTGGAGCTCTGATCAACTCCAGGCCAACGTTGCGGGAGCAGGTGTGATTGAGGCGGCGGGATCACAGACGGGAATAAATCGCTGAGATCCATGAAACAACTCTGAGTCTGATGTCGACTTGTAACAAAGCTGGACCGCGTAGTGATGATATATATACCTGCGCGAGGTAGACTGTATTTCAATATCAACCCTAAGGCGTTGGTAGGCAATGACTAAGGAAGAGGGCTGGTACCTGGGCGCTGCGGGCAGCTTCACGAGAGCCCTGCTCTGCGGTAGAAAGGATAATCTCATCATAAGCTTCCTATTGAGAACGTAACGTCTTGGCCTGACAAAGTCGGGCGTCATCTGAGAGTTGAGAAGCGTGAACACGAGACGTTGCTTACCGGCAGCTCAGCCGTACTATGTACCTTCATGCATGACTCGGAGTAAGCATATGGATGCGGGACGCCGTATGTATATCACATAAGACTCTCTTCCGAACTTCGCGGCAGGATTCTGACAACGAGCCAATAGTATTCGAGAAACATTACTGCCACAGCACAGCCTCCCATTCGTTGCAACCCACCCGCCTGGTCGGAGGTGACCCATCCTCTTACAGAGTAGGCTCACACCGATCATAGGTGCTCGGCAAGACTTACGGATAGGTCTCAGGGAAATTCTTAAGGATGCGACACTCACGGCGAACGAGACAGTCACTTTTTCGGATTCGGCGCTGGATACTTAACTTGGATCGAGAGCAGGTTTTCCGTAACGGTACATACCGAACCCTGATCATACCGGTACCCTCAGGAATGATTGCTACCAGCAATTACATCAAACACGCGCTTGGTATCAAATCGCTGAGGACATATCAGGCATAACAGGTACTCGCCCACGGCCTCGTATGTGCCAGTAGCATTGACGAGATTGTCATGGGGTACATTTCCGCGTCCCGCTGAGAATCTGTACCTCTCGTTCCCTGCTATCATTGCCCAGGCCAACGACGCTGTCGCCATTTTTTCCCCCATAGTTCGCAGGCAATGACTGGAATCGCGCCTGCACCTGTCAACGCTCCAAAGATCCCCGTCATCTTGGCTAATCCGAGGTTGACCGCCCCATTAGCAGCGTAGAAAGGCACGGTGAATCCATAGACCTAGCATAACGAAAACACGAAAAGGGTCATTCGTTACGCTCCTGCGAAATATCGGCGCCTACCTGGCGGAAAACGACAATGAATGCAGATACCTGTGCCGCCTCTAAGGGGTATGCTTCAAGACAATACGCATACACGGGCGTCGAAGCGAGTTGCAGACCTGCCCAGGCGATGGAGCTGCCTATTACGGGCGTGACGTTCCATTTTCCGGGCGTAGCGTTCTGTAGCTGAACACCCCAGACGATGACGCCGATCGCCCCCAGTAAAAATCCCGGGTAACTGGCCGCAAGGCGCATTTCCGGCTCGCGACGGCCTCCGGCCCGACGTGTCCTATACGACATCAGCCAGTCAGATCCGCGTCCGCCAATTTGCTCGCTGATCACCCCGCCGATGATTGGCCCCACGAACTGCAAGCCCGCCTGAGCGTTGTTGAGTCGGAACTTGGTTTGTAGGAATTGGGGGATGAGCACGCCAATGATGATGCCGGCGTAGGAGAATATGAAGGAGTATCCAAGCGTACAAAGGATGATGGGCGGACGGAAGACCATCAAGAGGGGGCCGAAGAACTCGGAAGGGTGTAGTGGCCGAGGATCGATGCGCCGGAACCGCAGCTCCGAGAGCCACCCTGGAAGCTTCGACCCATATGAGCAACCGAGTTGGTCATCTTCGGGAACTTGCCGCTGGCCGGGCACCCGCATAGGTCGAATGTATAACGTTTCGAATCCGAAGAACAAGTAGCCGAAGAAGAGCGAGAGTTGCAAGATGGCTAAGACGAAGAACAACCAACGAGGGCCCTTGTTCTGGACGATGAATCCGCCAACTATGACAAGCATGCGCAAGTCCAGACGTGTTCCAGAATAATAGCAAGTAAATCGTACTCAGCGGGGAGGCAGGAAGTGTGAGCAGGACGGTCCAAATACCGAGCTGAAGATAAATGTCAACAAAATCATGTCGACATGTTAGGTCACTGCTTGCCTTCTGGCCAAGCTCGCGTTGGAAGAACATTTCTTGGACTGTTGCTGCCCCAAGAGCCAAGGCCGGCGATAAACAAATTCCAGTGAATACCTCCACCGTCATAAGGGTACCATAGGAGTGGCAGAATGCTCCTGCAAAAGCGCATCCTGCCGTAGATAACGCCGAGAACAAATAGAGAGGATGACGTCCATAGCGAGCGGACAACGGGGTCCACACTAACGGGCTGAATCCGAGGAAGAGGATCTGGACCGACGTGAGGAAAGACGCCTTCTGCAGCGAGACGCCAAACTCTAGCATCGAGAATACTCAGATGCAGCACGCGCAGATGACACGACGAGCTCACCCTTCGAGAAATCAGAATAAGCCGGAATGATCATGGAGGTAGAGTAGATGCACATGAAAGCGTGTATAGCGACCAGGATGAGAAGTACATGCTTGCGCCAACTTTACACGAGAATCATCAAAAGATTCAACTTTGAAGTACTGGAACTCACAAAGGCCGGTTGAGAGGATCGTTCGGATCATCAGAAGGGAGCGGGACGAGATCAACTCTGCCATGCCATTCCCGAATCTTGTCTAATCCATCATTCACGTCTTCGATTACCGTGACTTCCGGTTTCGGGTTCTCGACTGTAACGAAAGGATGAGCCCTCTTGGTCCGCTGAAAATAACGAACGCGACGGACCGTCATGGCTCAAGACCCCAATCGGGACCTTGACTTCCTCTTCGTATGACAGCCGCGGTTCGGGCTTAGATGCCATCGGTCAAAGGATGGGGATTCACGGTATGCAGGGCATGGGCGACTTATATATATGCAGTCCTAGCTTTCAAAGTATCCCCCTCTCTCCCACAAGTGCTCGAGCGCGGGCGGGAATAACGAACCCCTAAAAGCCAAAAGTCAGTCGCCCATCCTTCGGAAAGGATCCGGAAACGTGATACGATGTCGCATAGCCCCAAGGTAGCGGGAGACTAGTGCTAGCAATACTTGGGTGTTGAGCTCCTTTACGCTGAAACGTGCCAGGACGGTGCGATGAAGCCGTTGAAACGGACGGGTGTCTTGAATGGCGTGAGCGAGCCCAGGGCACCACACCTAGTCAGATGCCGCAGCCGGTGGGCTTCTCAAGACTATAAAAACGCAGATTGTCGCTCGGATGCTCCACCAGAACTGCCCCCCTGCATCGAAACTGAAACCAAGACCGAACCATGGGGAAGGCAAGTGAATACTCACTTCTTCGGAGGAACAGCTGAGTTTCACGTTCACCTGGGATACGGAACACTCGTGTCGATTCTACGGTGAGCCACGATAGAAATACAGGATAAGACAGCGACGATAAGAGGCACGGGTATTTTGAGTGGGGCAATCATCGTGGGCTCAGTGAATCTACCGTCTCTTCGGTGGAGGCGTGCCACTCGCGTCCTCGTCTGCCTTTCTTTTGCCGAAGCTGATTGCTAATCTGTTTCTTTCTCCAACGTGTGTTGTGCCGCTAGCTGTAGAAGATCCTTCTGCAGGTGTCGTCGCATTCGATATCCTCGAGAAACCTGGCTTGGGCGCTGGTGAAGGCCGAGCGGAAGGGTCGGGAGTGGTGGCGGTCGATGCGAATGGCTGCGGCAGGTTGAGAAAACCTGTCGAGTCCACAGGCTGCGGCGTCCCAGTGTGACCATGCTCCTTCTTCTTGCCCTTCTTGTCGCCTTTCGTCGACTTCGTGAGCGGCTGAGGGTCGAGGAACTCCTCCGCTTGTGGTACCGCCCTGAAGCCAGATTCAGCAACAATTCGTCTGATGATCACATGCAGCATGCTTACCCTCTGTTACCGACAGAAAGGACGAAATGCGCTTGACCAGTCTTCTCTTGCCTCATCTGGAATGCCCGATTCATGCTCAATGGAGTATCCCCACTGATCATTGCCTCTTTCTTCTTCTCCTCTGCTATCTTCTTCAGTCTCTTTTCGGTCTTCATCTTGCCGCTTCCCTTCCCATGGAACTTATGGCTCAGCGCCTTCCATGCCTCCTTCGGCGTCAGCTCTCGGCCAAACTCGTCGTGGTAAACGATGTTGATATCCGGTTTGTAGTTCTTGTACATCTCGAGATTCTCTCGTGCCTCTTGCTGTTCGCGTAACCGGTTCTCGTATTCGCGCGTCGCCTGGTCTTTGTTCTGCCCCCTCGCCTTCGCCTTCTCCAAATCTCTCAGTGCGACCCGTTTCCGCTGCTCCGCAAGCCACAAATCACGCTGTCTTTGCACCTTCTCCCGCTCCATCTGATCAGCAGACGGCGTAGCGATCAAGCCTTGTTGGCGCAGAATATTGAGGGTCGACGCCATGCCCGAGTTGAAAGTCTGCTCCGATGATGTGCCCACGACATCGTCTCCGGCGGTGGCTTTCTTCCGTTCCTCCGCTTCCGTTGCATTTATTGCTTCCTCAATTGCATCCAGCATCGCCGCATCATCCTCCTCTTCCTTGACAACGACTTCTCCTGCCTCCAACTCTTCCATAGGAACGTCACCGTCTGACGCTATAGGCGGAGACGTGCCTCGCTTCACGGGTGCAGGGGTGGATTGTTTTGAAGATGCGCGGAGAGACGCTTCGGTCGGCTCGTTTTTTACTTCTTGCTTGGCCACTACCGGGTCGTAGGATATCGAGCTGACGAACTCGCTCGTTTCGTCAAAGACCAATCCACCTTCTCCATCCGCACCAACACCATCATCATCCTCAATCTTCACCGCACCATCAACCACCATCGTATCATCGGCATGCGCGCGGAGCCTCTCCGCCACAACTGCAACGTCACAGCGATCAGTGATCAGCGGCAGACGCTGAATCAGTTCACTTACTTTTCTGGGCTATATCTTCGGGTTTGATCTTCTTCGGCTTTGCCTGCTTGGCCCTCCTAGACCTTGCAAGCGCTGCCTGCAGTTCATCATCGTCTACGAAATTCGCGTTTAAGTCGCGTTGCCGGGGTGCGATCGGTTTCTGTTCATCGGTTTCCATACTATCCCCGTTTAGGTTGACTTCGGGATCAACCTCCGCTTGACGACGTGATGGCCTCTTCTTCTTCGTCTAGTCAAATAAACGCAGCGTCAGTATAACGTACAATACGTAAGCACTTGAATAACACACCTTCGGTTTCTTGAAGCCAGCATCACCTTCTTGCAAATAGTCGTTCATGTTAAAGTTTTCTGCGCGCAGCCGTATTCAGTAGCCGAAAGTATGAAGGTCACCGATGACGAGCTTACTAGTGTAGTCAATCGACAGCAACGCTTTATTCACCTTCGCTGCCTCCTCCACCTTATCAGCACGGGAAATCTTGCTAGACGCAGCGGCGCCACCCAGTCGGAAACCCTGAAAACCGAGGGCAGGGTCAGGCGACAGAAAATAGGGCCAGATCGTATGCATAGCAACGAACTGTCTCTTTCGGGCCCTCGAGATCGTCGTCGTATTTCGCGAGTACAGCGCGCTTCATACCCTCCCTACCGCCAGTGAACTCGTCATCGTCATATCCAGTGTAGTCACGGCGCTTGGTTTTGAGCTCTTGGTTCTTTTTATGACGCTCCTCCTCGGCAAGTTCGACGTTCTGAAGGACGTCCTCTGTGAAAGTGTATTATGTGAGCATGGCGGAAAGCGGCAACCAGACGGAGTCACCACATACCTTCGTCATCGAGGACCCGGCTGTCTTTGAGGGTAAGTATCTGTTCTTGTCCCTCTTCCATGTCGTCAAAGTCATGGCTGACCTTCAGCCCTTCGAGGTCCTCTGAAAAAGGCAGGTTAAAAATTTGGCGCCTGATGCCAGACAAATATCTAAGCGCGTACTCTCGGTGTACTCTTCCTGATACATCTTGTCCATGTTCTCTAGCTCCTGTTGCCGTTTCTTCGCGAGTTCCTTTTCCCGCTTCTTGGCGCGTTTGAGCCACTTCACTGTATCATCCACGTCGTCCGCAGCCTCGCCCAGCGTCACACCCGTAAGCTTCGCGTTCAGCTCATGTTGGTTCTTAAGCCTGTCGATGAAGATAGAGCGTGAATAAACGACTCGTGGAGAAGACGGACGCGCTGACTTGGCTATTCGGTCCTTTATCCGCCTAAATGGATAGAACCACAAGACATGCGTCAGACCATCTGATCCCATTTGAAAAGCAGCTTACGGGTTTACTTGGCCTCTCGAGCTTTCGCATCCTCAGCCCGCTTCTTTTCGTAGTTTTCTGCCGCGATCTTGTCGGGGTCGTTGGCAGGCGCATTGTCGTCCGTGAGGGGCTTGAGACCGAGCGAGATACGGATCTTGTTGGTCTCTTCCAGCGAGATGCTTTCTTCCATCGACATGACTGTAGGTATAAGGAGCGAAAGCAAGTACGATGCGGAGTAGCGGACGGAGGTGGTCGAAGCAAGAAAGGCAACGTCGCAACTCGCGTCTTGACCTGACCTCGTCTGACTCAGGGGTCATGATCAACTCCCAACTCAACCATCGCTACGATTCCACTCGCTGAATTTGGTTCATTATGCTCTCTCGGGATTGCGCGGTCTCATGTTCTGCTGACTAAACTTCAGTCTGTCATGACGGCTGCCATTCTGTTACATGGTCGTGGGGTCACCCAGTTGGTGTTTACATGCATTCCTGCATGCTACTTTGTCACGTAGGCGGAGAGTGAATGCGCCTTGGACCACGAGTGGAACCTCCCCATCGTTTACCACCTGTCGTAGTTTCCGACAAACACCGGCCACCAGACGTGTGTCTGAAGACATTCCCTCTTGCAGCTGGCGGCCGACCCTCTTGAACATCTCAGAACGTTGACTCCATTGTATGTCACCTTGCTTGGATTGGACGTGTGCGTGCCCTTGAAGCAATCTCCAAGTTCTTCTGGAGATGTGTACCCTCCCTTGCCCGTCCCGTGCTCGAAGAGTTGCTTGTTTTTTCCACAACATCCGGAATGAAAACGATATACGGGCTCGAGGGGTCGGTATTCTTCCCCAAACTCAGGCGACTCGACTCTGTGCCAACTCATGGCGTCGAAAACGTGCGGGACGATGCATCCTTCTGGGTTGAGAGGCGAATATGATGCATGGCACCGGACGCAGTGCCGTTCGCCCGAATCATCCTTGTGAGGCAATGCCTGCCGATGCAGGACAGTGAAGTCGGCCCAAATTACGCGCATACATGGCACTCTCGACGTACCGGTGGTGGTGGCGCAGGGAGCAGCAGGCTCGGCTGGAGCTTGTCCTATTTTTGCCAACTTCAACCAAATCACCGCATATATGCATCAATCACGCACCTTGTAATACCTCCAAAGCGCTTTGAGGTAATCCCCTTTGACCGGAACTCCATGTGTTCGACTCGACACGACCTCTACGCTCATGTTCTCGGCCAGTTCCTTCAGCACCGATGCAGGGAGGTGCTCTACTTCATGGCGCTTTGTATGTGGGCTACCTAGTAGATCCAGACCGTCGCGAAGAGTTTTGCCCGTCGTGGCGGAGGCGGACATGATATATGCGTAGAGATAGGCGGGTTGGAATGCAAGGATGGTGATTTCGCGCATGCATCCTGATCCAAATATAGCGTTACCCAGGAAAGGTGGCACCTTTACCCGGCAGTAGTGATAGTATAATCCAGACAGTACTTCTATTGCATGTATCAACTGGTCCGGCGAACCCAAACACGAGGAACCATGGACCTGAATGTTCCAATCCTTTTTCTCGAGAGAAAGAATCGAATGACAAGTATGGGGTGACTCGTGCTTCTCTGAATTTGATTGTATGCATCGCGGCAACCAACTACTACTCCTCTGATATTCGTACATTCACCACTGGATGGTATGTATAGTCGGCGAAACCCCGACCTATGCGATTTCCCGTTTCTCGTCCTGTTCTTTCTCAGAGCCAGCATATTGGTCGAGACCCAATCGACGATTGATATCGGCGAGCCGTGCCTGATCCTCTGCTGCTAAAGATTCGCTGGCGCCGAACAAGTCGTCCATCTCTTCTAGGGTGAGCCCCTTCGTCTCCGGGAAGAAGAATAGAATGAATACTCCGCCGAGGAAGGAGAACACGCCGAAGAACCTGTATCCTCAGGTGATTGCCTGGTAACACAGGAGTCGGAGGGACGCGTGGATAAACGACTCACAGGAAGGTACCAAATCCGATATGGGTCAACATGGTCGGTGTCACTTGGCCGACAATGAAGTTGTTCATCTAGAGTGTGTTTCATTAGGGAGAGCCTTGGCTTACGATGCAAGGAATTGTCTCATACCCAGTTGGACGATGCTCCGATGGAAACACCCTTCCCGCGAACACTCAACGGCCAGATTTCAGCCACCACCACCCAAGCCATCGGGCCCTACAGTGGATGATTGATGAACATGCAGGACGATGGCTCAGCTTTGCTATCCTCACCCAGCTGTATCCGAAAGCTGCAGTCCTGCGTGAGTAAATGACAACATTGCACACTGATTATCGACGTACCCATAGCAAAGATCCAAACGAGGACGCAGGCTGCCCACCCGGCAGCTGGCGAGACAAAATCAGCTTTCCACTCCCACTGCGCAGAAGGAACAACGAGCGTACCGCGATGACTAAAAACGACACTCTGTAAGAATGTGCCGCTTATATTCCACCGCGAACTTACCTATCCCAAGACTTGTGGAAGAGGCCAGTAAGGATGGCTATAATGATGTGGCATCTATGCAATGTGAGCTGAAACGTCATTAGCCAGTTCTCTTGCGACGTACGCAGCCATGATGAACGCGCCAGAGACCAGCAATGGTTTCCGGCCCGACTTATCGACCCAGATGACGGCAGGGATGGTGGCAAGGAACATCCTGATAAAAAGTTGATAAAGCAAACCTGACTTAGAAACCAGGTTTGACATACACGATGCCGACCACACCAGTCGCAAGGAGGGAGATGGTGTTGCCAGTCAGACCTAGGTCCTTGAAAATGCTACGAAAAGCAAGATACATTCGCAGGTAACACGGAGCAAGAGTGTGTTATACCTTGGAGCATAATACAGAATCGCGTTCACGCCGGTCCACTGCTGGAAGAACATGGTGCTGGGAACTCATAATGAGCCTCTTTGCATCCTTCCCCGGATATGATGATGCACTTACAGAGTCGCTAAGGCCACCCGATACAAAAGTGCTGTATTGAAAGAGCATCAGGACATGACGGGAACGGATGTGTTACACGAACTTACTCCGCGTGCGTAGCAGGCTGAGATAGTCCAGAGCCCCGAGTTTGAAATCGGAGCGGAACGAAGCATCCTGAAGATGGGGATACTTGCTCAACGAAATCTCCTTCTCGAAGATGTACTGAGCCTTGATTTCCCTGATAGCAAGGAAGCCAGAGATTCGAGCCCTTCCATAAAGGCTGACGGAGAAAACTTACAAAAATTCGATCTGGATGATTTCGGAGTCCGGTGGAAGCCCTCGGGTCTGGCTAAGTACGGCAAGGGCCTCATCCTCGCGACCATTGTTTACGAGCCATCTGGTGAGAGTTATCGTCAGGCAGTCTGATCAGCCTCCTCGTATGTTCAGCTATTGGGGGAACGTGCCTTGGGGAGAACGGCATGGCCAAGATTCCTACACCAAGTGTAATGGCGGGTACGAGCTGCAATGCAAGCGGGATGCGCCATGCTGCTTCGCTTTGAGACTGGTGGGTCCCTCCGATGAAGTTCGTCCCTGGGTTACGCGTTGTTCAAAAGCAGGTAGGCGAGATAAATACTCAACATGGACGTACCGTAGTCAATCCAGAACGAGACCATGATTCCGAACGTGATCGCAAGCTGCTGCAACGCAACCAGCGAACCACGAACCTCCGGTGGCGCCAGTTCGGCGCTGACCAGCCATTTTAGCAGCAGAAAACTTGTATGTTTTGCGCTAGGACTCACTTGTAGAGAGGCACGGCCATACTCAGAGATCCCACGCCCATACCGGTGATGAATCGCCCTACGGATCATTGTTGAACTTCGGTATATATACGTCGGCGTCACGACGCGATGGCAGATGTTGCGTCACCTCCGAAAATCGATGACGGATGGAAAGCTGCGCTTTGCACGATCACTCCAACACAAAATACGCAAACCGCTGTACAAAAACCTTGAGCGCCCACGAAGCTGGCATTGATATGCAAAAAGGACGCACCAAGGACGATGGTATACTTTCGGGACAGTTTGTCAGCCAAATATCCCGTGACCAGAACCCCGAACCAAGCTCCGAGTTCCAAGATCGCGACAAACCAGCCCTTCGGACCGGAGTGATCGACCACGGATGCCATACGATTGTCGAAGGATGTCATGCTGCTCAGCAGGTTTAGCCGATATCTTTTACCAAGCCTTGTACATTCGTTGCGCACCTCAGGACACCCGAAAAGACTCCCTGATTGTATCCTGAACGTCGGATGAGTGATTCACAATCGAATACTGATATGCAAGAAAGGAGATATGTACCATATAAACTGTAAGGCTGCTGCATTAGTATACGATTCATGACCGGTGTCGCGCTACACTCACAGACCGCCGAGCGAGGCAAAGACAGCGATGAAGAAGACCCGTTGGTTCGCCACCAAACCGGCCCAACCACTCTGGCCAACTAGTCGACGACGAAGTCTCGCCGTTTCCGGATTCGCACTCGAGACCACTCCTCCGGCCATGTCGATGTGATGAAATCTGTGCGAGGCCTTAAACAGGTCCGTATCTGAACTTATGGGGAGGCAGCGCTCAGGAGGTGGAAGCTACCGCAAAGGCACGGCAGGGTGGAGGTGCGCTCCGCGCTATCTTTGTAGCGACGCGACGCCTGTTCTTGCCCGAGAAGAGACTGACCGTTCAGGACGGTCATTTGATCAATCGCGCCGCCCGCATCCCTGCGGATAACCTTGGAATGCATCTTGGTGAGAAGTATTGGGGAAGGGCAATGGAGATTGCATACCGGAGAGCGGCCCGCCCTAGCGTAGCATGTCCGAAGTTAGTGCGAGAGCGGGTGCGATAACGATTTCGCGGCTTCCTCTGAACGTCTCGCGGTGCGCCATCAATTGAATCCGCATCCTCCGCATCCTATGACGTGATCACGAAGCGCGTCCAGGTGATGAGGCGGGGTTGCATTCCGGAAGCCCAAACTTGCAAAAGAGTCTATGCCGCAGTAAGTTGCGGGGAACGGTGTGGCAAAGACGTAGGTGGCTCACTCAGAAGATGAACTCCCAGGTCATAAGTGCTGACGCGGAGTCGGCTTGGGCGCAAAACGTCTGCAATCCGCCATCCTGGGTGCAAAGCCGATTCAGCTCAGCATTACCCAGGAACGTACGCCCGGCGAAGGAAAGGTCCAGAGGAGAGAGAGTCTAATCTGTTTACCCGCTCAATTCAATAGCAGTAAGATAGACGGGTGCTTGAAACCTTAAAGATGTCCGTAATCTTGCACTGCAGACGCACGGAGGAGACCCCGTGCGGACACGTAGCATACTCCGGCCACGACGGATTGGAGAGGGTTCGAGGCAAGCCGTTCCCACTGCCCAGAATATCGACTGCAATTGTCGGTTGGATGACTAACGTATGAAGAGGGCAGGAGGCTGAGCAATCCCATGTGAGTCGACAGACCTCGAGCAACCCGTCACAATACTGGGCCGGAGTCAGTTTGATCTTCTCGGGTCAGGTGAAGAGGACAAGATATTCATCGAATGGCAAGGGGTTGGATAGACAGTTGCAGCACTTCGAAGTCGGCATAGCGTTTCGCTTCAGGAAACGACGCCATGCCATTGTAGCAGGCTCATTTGGAGAACGGTTGGCGCAGACCTTAGATCAAGACGACGAACGATGTGAAGGAGTTCACCGAAGAGCCCTCGCAAAAGAATACCCACGGGGCTCCCTTAACCTCTAACCACCACCATGGCGAGGTTTCCCACGCCTCCGGGCTGGGGGGGATGGGGAGGACACGATCCTCCCCTCGGACGACAACCCGGCCATGACAACTATACATGAGATACATAACATCCTGCTACACTACGTAGCTGCTAAGAGGCCATAAGTGCAACCGGCGAGATGGATGCACAACGCATGAACGGGATGACGCCCGGATAGGACGCACGCCGGTACACACCGGAAACACTGCCACACCCAGCTAAACCGCCGCAACCAAACGAAATAAGGCCGGAACGAGCAACCGATGCCATTAAAGCCCATAGGGATAGAAAGACCAATACGAAAACAAACCATGAAAATAATCGAGAACCAGGCAGCAGGAGAACATGCCTGGACGGCCTAAACACAATACGCGCGGTCATTTCGCTTAACCTAAGCACGACTACTATACTTCCTAGACGTAATAGAGCCCACTCAAAATACCGACGAGCGATAACGGCAAAAACAAGCAAGCATATAAAGCGAACGTCGGAACACAGTGGCACCCCCACCCCTCCACCATGCCTGACGACGATGAACCACCCATCAGCATGAACATCATACCCTGGAACCTCATCTCACACCTGTCGACCCTCCTAGACAAAGAGCGAGAGGACTGTAAGCACACAACTAACACGAGGAAACCAACTGACCGCACCCAGACACCGCTCAACGAAGCATCGGCTACATTGCAGCCTCAGCCCGTATCCAGAGCGCACGTGTGCGCCGACACGTGGTATGAGGCTCTCCGCGAAATCTCAAGGAGCATCTCATAAAACCCCCCCATCAGCTACAGAACTCGGAGAAAATGCCACAGCCGGAGGAAGAGACCGGCCCACCTGGAAAACCGGAGAGCCCGAAGGAACCCGAAATGCCCCGAGCACAACAGTCCATGCTAAACCGCTTCAAGAAACGCATGCACACGCAAACGAGGTCGGAACCACAGCCGGGATACGCAGGACCACCAAAGACGCTGGTGCAAAGCAAAGACTGATAGATACCTAATATACCGTTGTCGCAGACGGAAGTTTGTGTGTGTTGTGGCTGTGTCGAAGAGGCGAGGGGAATTCTTGAGGTGATAGGAGTGTACCACCGATTCTTCAGCTTCTTCTTGCAGAAACTTCCCTGAGGTCCCGGGCTATCTAAGTCGGGGATTGCTCAGTTGGCCGTCGGTTAATAAACCTGACTTGAATTTGATGGGACAAGCTTTGTGAGCTTGTCGGCGATACCTAAAGAGGTAAGAAGACGGTTAGCCTGTATGGGAGGCTTGAGGGGTCTTGTGTTGATGTGTTGTACGACGCGCGGCGCGTCGAAGTTCCTAGAGAAATAAAGGGAGGGATCAGTGGTTCCTTGGGTGGCGGAGGCGATAGAGCGTGGGAAACGGTTTCGAACAGCCTACGGTGGCTGTGTAGAGTCGATAGCGTCGATAGAGAGTCGATAGGGAAGCTGTCCAGGCACTCGAGTCCTGACAGAG